AACATTCCAAATGATGATGAATGACATCTTTCATGATCTTATCCTCACTGGAAAGGTTATGGTATATCTGGACGATATCTTAATATTCACCAAGGACATGGAGAAACATCACCAGGTTGTAAAACAGGTACTTAGAATACTCCAGGAACACAAGTTGACATGCAAACCTGAGAAATGCGAGTTCCATGTCGAAGAGACTGAGTACCTAGGTCACATCATTGGCCATGGGAAACTTCGCATGGATCCTGCAAAGGTCGCTGGCATTACTGAATGGCCAGAGCCCAGGTCCAAGAAAGATGTGCAACAGTTCCTTGGATTTTGTAATTACTACAAACATTTTGTAAAAGGCTTTGGCTCCTTGGCCAAGCCTCTTTCAGACCTCATGGGCAACCGAGAATGGGAGTGGATGGACACTGAATGACGTGCCTTCCAGGGTCTCAAGGACCTTCTCACATCGGCCCCAATTATACATATACCTATGGATGAGGACCCCTTCATGGTAGAAGTAGATGCTTCGCAATTCACCCTTGGGGCAGTTCTTATGCAGAAGCAAGATAATATTTAGGTTCCTGTATCATATTACAGTAGATCATTCAAGGATGCTGAAAAGAACTACCAGGTCTATGACCGGGAGCTCTTGGCAATTGTAGATTGTCTAGAAGAATGGTGACATTACTTAATATACGCCAAGCATACTGTACAGATCTTCACTGATCACCTTAATCTCACCTATTTTAGGAACCCCAGAAAATTAACCTGCACCAAGCCCGTTGAATGACTTTCCTCGCCGAATACGATTTCGAACTCCATCATATCCCTGGCAAGAAAAACAGTGCAGCAGATGCACTCAGCCGATGACCGGACTACGATGATGGCATGGATCATTTGGACAACCAGGTTGTGTTACCAAATGAACTATTCCATACAACCAAAATTGTAGGGACTGATGCTATCTGCGACCTCTGTGCCAAACATTCATTTGAATATTTATTATGGAAAACACTGCCACAAAAGGAGCTCGAAGCGGCCGAGGACAGCACACTCTCGAGGGGGGTGAAATTCTCATCATACCCAATAATAAGGAAATTATTGGTGAAACAATATGTTCCCACCATGATGCATCGTTCATGAAACACCCAGGAATAGAAAGGATGTTGGAACTAATCAAGCAATTGTACTGGTGGCCGGAGATGATCAAGGATGTTACGGCATATGTGAAAGGTTGTGGGACCTGTCAAAAGGCCAAACCTAACCACCAACACAGATCAGCACCATTAGAGCCAAACTCAGTTCCAGATCATAACTGGCAGTACATCTCCATAAACCTTATTGTAAAACTACTGTATCTGCTGTAGATGAGTACGACTCCATCCTTGTATTCATGGACTTGAAGTCTAAAAACTTCATAGCTATACCCTGCAAGGAGTCGATTAACTCAAAGGACTATGCGGACCTGTATATTAAACATGTAATGTCAGCTCACCGACTAGCAGAAAGGATATGGTCTGATAGGGGACCACATTTTGTATCCTCATTTACCAAGGATGTATACCAACAGTTGGGCATCCAGGGGAATCCTTTTACTGCCTATCACCCTCAGACAGATGGGCAGACTGAATGAATGAACCAGGAAATAGAGACCTACTTGAGGATATATACTTCCTATAGGCAGGACGACTGGCCATCCAAGATACCTCTCGCTATGTTCGCATACTGAAACCATAGACAGGCAAGCACCAGCTATACCCCATTCTACCTTACGCATGGATATCATCCCTACACGGGAGTCAAAACCAGGAAGGAACCCCATAATCAATTAGCTGAGGAATGGATGAAGGAAATGGAGGAACTTTCCAAGGACGCAACTAATCACCTTACAAAATCAAAGGCTATAATGAAGAAGTACCACGATGGCAAATACCAAGCACATGCTGCTTATATCAAGGGTGATCTGGTACTATTAGAAGGAATTAATATTATGACTACTCGACCAAGCAAAAAGCTGGACGATAAACACTACGGACCATTTACTATAGTAGAAAAGGTCAGGAAGTCAGCTTTCAGACTCAAGCTCCCACCAGCTTGGTGTCATATACACCCCGCCTTCCATGAATCTTTATTATTACTCTATCATACTCTGCAGTTCAGTGTACAAAAAGACGATAGTACTATACCAGTTCCAGAAGGTGAATCTCCCACCATTGACCGTATACTCGATAGCAAGAAGTCAAAAAATGGGCTATTATACCTGGTCAAATGGAAAGGGAAGGACGATACCGAGAACAACTGGATACCCTGCTCTACAATAGTGAAGGACTACATACTACTATTAGATACTTTTCACAAACTACATCCCAAGGCACCTAGACCGCCTAATCTCCTTACTATACCTGGAGGACGAAAGATCTGAGGCATGGCCGAAGAAGACAGCAGATCAAGCAAAGCTGGTGACAGTACAAAGGATGAGGAATGGAGAGAAAAAATCCATTGGCAGGGAAAGATGGAAAGATGGATGAAAAGAAGATATCAAGCCCATGTCACGCTTCATATTCCAAAGGATACCCTGATCGATCTAGAAATCAGCATACCCGAGCGGCTTGACATCTCAACAATATGGGCTTGTGGACCCTGACCATTATATCCACACGATCATCTGTGTTGGGCATCCATATTCTCAAAATCATCAATTCGTATACCCAGTCCATGCCCAATGGAACATAGAAGAAAAGAAGATTCGGTGCCCCGAATGCACCCATGGCTACTACTACCTAGACAATACCAAGATACCCTGAGAATACATGACTGTAAAGGATGTTCCGGTGAAGGAAGAGGACATCTCCAAATATACCACATATGACCTGGAGCATCCTCGGACACCGATACCTAAGGACAAATGAGCACTCCAAGCAGTTCACCCACATATTTATCAGTAGGAACCAAGGGGCTTCGTGAGGACACATCAGCCTGGAGGGGAGGTACTGTCACAGTTTTTCTACACCACAAGTCTCAAGTGCCAAGGACTTTAGTTCATCCACCCGAATACCATATATAGAATGTACCACTACGCCTCTACGTGTATATCTTAGTATACCCACACCACTCGGACATCTCTCAGACATGTACCAGTCATGTGACCCTACATCATAGTGACATCATAGGCCTGGACTCTCTAGGCACTCCTAGACTTAGACGGACTCCACTAGGCTTGAGCATGCCATAGCATGCCATAATGAGGTATTAGTACGAATCTAGGATATGCAGGGTCCTACACCCAGTACCAGGGATCTTATCCCACTTATATATATACTGGCTTGAGCTGAGGCCTACACCTCAGTTTCAAGTTGATCTTTATGTTGGCTTTTGGGGCCTGGGAGGCACTGCAGGATAGCAGTGGACCTCGGGGGCATCAGAGCCAGGTACAGGGGCTGCAGGAATGGCAGCTGGATAAGCGTCAGGTGTGCGAGCTGCGCCGCCTGCCCTGAAGTGGCATGGTTAAAAGGGAGATAGTTAATGTAGTGTTACCTTGCTCATTTGTACCCAAATCCCAAGTGGTATCATGAGTTATTGGATGTGGCGCCGGCCTTGGCTGCCGTTGTTCAACACAAACGAGCCATCGATACTCTGGGACTCTCCGTTATACTCTGGGCTCTCATCTAGTCAACCTGGGCTGACCTTCTTTGACGCAACCAACACTGTGATGCCATGCACTGGGCCATTCAAGGCGCAAGCATGAGGGGTGGATGGTGGGCAGTGTAGGGAGGAGGCGGAGGTTGAGGGGGCGCTGGTACAAGGCACTGGGATAGGGTGCGTAGCGTCTGTTGAAGAGCAGGGAGGGAGGAGGGGGTTGTTCTAGCCTGGGCATGATTGTGAGCACGGAGCATGGTGGGAGGGACCCAGGATCCTTTGGGGGGACCTCAGGCTGTGCGTGTCGAGAAGGTGATGTGGATGCAAGACCACACGTGAAGTGCCAGAGCTGGATCAGGGGGCAGGGCACATGGACAAGAGGGGCCGAGGCTGAGGTGGTTAGCCGGGGCTGAGGCAAGGCAGTGGGCACATCTGGGCTGGGTTTGACAGCGAAATGCACAGCGCGATGCGGGCTGGGCCGGACATGGCAGGACGGGCATTGGGAGGAGCGCCTGTAGCCAGGGCACTATAGAAATGCAGCAGAACCAGGGAGTGCCGGTTAGGGCAGAAGGAGCTGCAGACAAGGCAGCTGGTTAGGTGGCTGGCTCGAGGGGGCGTGTTGGCTTTTGAGGCCTGGGAGGCACTGCAGGATAGCAGTGGACCTCGGGGGCATCGGAGCCAGGTACAGGGGCTGCAGGAATGGCAGCCGGATAAGCGCCGGGTGTGCGAGCTGTGCCGCCTGCCCTGAAGTGGCATGGTTAAAAGGGAGGTAGTTAACATAGCATTACCTTGCTCGTTTGTACCCAAATCCCAAGTGGTGTCATGAGTTATTGGATGTGGCGCCGGTCTTGGCTGCTGTTGTTCAACACTTTACTCCTCCAATCTTACCAGAGAACCTTGACAGGTTAGGCGAGAGCGGACTCAAGGAGTTCTTGAGATCCTTCACACAGGAGAACATTGAAGACTGGATCGACGTCGATGGCGACGGGTCTATGCGCGAGCGGACCACCCGCCACAGACGATGGTGGGGGCAGGCCTGTGCCGGCGTGGTCAATAACCCCAATATGCCGTTGAATGAACGCAATGCTCCTTACGATGACGAGCACGCGTTCTTGTTAGCGTGAAGCGGCTCCGAAGAGCCGGACTTCCAGAGAGCGTCCGATCAATACTCAGATCAAAGGTCTGTTCTCCTATGAGATGATAGCGGAAGCGTCGCTCGCGATTTGAAAGATGATATATATACTTGATACACATTGAGGTTGATTGATGATTGCTTTGTGCTTTTCTGAGTCACTAACGGTGCTCAAAACGTACCACCCGTCCCACAGTGATAACTGCCGGCGCTTATGTAAGCAGTAGCCAGGCGCGGCGATGTGCTCGCGTTCTGTATAAAACTTTGCTCTGCCCTTCATTCACCTCATCACTCGCCATGGCCGTCCCTCCTGAAGATGATATTTATGACGGTATGCATGTTTTTGTGGCCTTCGGATGGAACTTGACTTCGATTGCAGACCTTTACGGCGACAGCGCCGACATTCAGGACGTCTCCCCTCCGCCGTCGGCGTCGACGGAAGAACCACCCGTTCAGATCCACGACACTTCGTCAGAGCCACAACAGCGCGAGAGGAAGATTTCAAGTGGAGAAATCAGTCTTCCTGCCAAGCCAATACAATCTACCGAATTGTCATACTCGGCGCAGATCGCGCGGCAATTTTCCGCATACAAGCAGACACCAGTCCAGGAGCGCCAACAGCAGTCCCGAACCCAGGGTTTATCTACAGATGTTGAAATGACCATTTATGACGGAGGCTCTACTCGTCGGCCGGTGCGTCCCTCTGAGATGAAGGACGAAGGGTGAGTCTTTCTTGTTCGCGCTGGTCGCTTGTGACGACTACGGACCGTCGTATTGTTTGAATGATTGCGATACGGAAGTCTCTATGACGATATCATATCCTAGTCGCTACTCAGCTAGCCACAGATATGGCCTTGACTTCGTATTGCCCAAGCCATACGATCCTCATGATACTGTATGCATTATACGGTTGCACTCTGTCTAGCTCTATATGCTCTACGGTCCTGTCTACCTCGCTTATCGACTATACCTGGATACCTTCTCTGTTGTTACTCAAACACTAATGTCCTTTTTACGACCATCCGTGCTACTCTACCGACATACCCGCCGTACCTTGTTCGCTACCTCCCTATCATACGCGGCTCTGAATGCAATATTCGCAATCTCTCTCTGCATGCGACGTCTATCTCGTCACACAGCAAGCTCTTCGTCGGCGGCCTGAGCTGGGATACCACAGATGGTAGAGATAATTCCCGCAGGCGTGGCATATTGCTGATATGTCTCGAATCGGTCAGAGGGCTTAAGAAAGTACTTCGCCGAGTTCGGCGAAGTAGAAGACTGTACAATCTTACGCGACCATGATGGCCGATCCCGAGGATTCGCCTTTCTCACCTTCAAAGATCCGAGCTCCGTCAACGCTGTGATGGTGCGGGAGCATGTCCTCGATGGCAAAGCTGTATGCGTCACAGATGCTGTGGGATCGTCGTTGAACGCTAATCTCGGTGTGCGCACAGATTGATCCAAAGCGTGCGATCCCAAGGGAGGAGCATCTCCGGAACACGCGCTACTTTGTCGGTGGCCTCTCACACGCGACGACCTCCGAATCTATGCGAGCATTCTTCTCCACATACGGTAAAGTCGTCGACTCGAGCGTAATGGTCGACCGTGAGACAGGGCGCTCGAAAGGCTTTGGGTTCGTGACGTTCGAAGATGCCAGCAATACGGACCAGTTGGTCGGGCGCTCAGATCTCATTCTTGACGACAAGCAGGTGTGTTTCTCTTCCGCTCCCTTTCACTACATGAAATTGACCTACCGTTCACTGAAGATCGAAGTGAAGGTGGCTCAGCCCCGCAGCCAGCGCGACGCGACGCGAACCAGCCGCACGACACGAGATTCGAGCTACGAAGCGTCCGTCAATGCCAACATGAGCTTCGGAGCCGTACAGCCCGCCGTCAACCCACAGCAGATGCAGATGCTCTACCAGCGGATGATGGGCCAACTCCCGATGATGGGCATGGGCATGAACGCGATGGGCATGGGCATGCCGGGATTCGGCACGGGCGGTGCGGGAATGACAGGCATGATGCCCATGGGCGGGATGACCACCCAGATGGCCGACTTCAGCGGGATGGCTGGAGGTATGGGCGGCAACATGGGTGCGGCGATGGGCCGCGGTATGGGCATGGCGGGAAACATGGGCGGTGGGATGGCCGGGGGCATGCGCATGGGAATGGGTCCCATGGGTATGAGCCCCTCGAACATGGGTATGATGCGGCCCGGCATGGGCATGATGGGTGGTGGGATGATGAGGCCGGCTATGGGTATGATGGGCGGTATGGGTCAGATGGGGCGAGGTCGTGGAGGTGCCATGGTCAATGCCGGTGCGGGCCCACAGCGAACTACGGCGAGGCAGCATGGGTTCCATCCATACGCCCGGTAGGAAGGCTTGCATTCGAGGTTGGTTTGCGCGGGCTTCTCTTGAGACGTGCTCGTTATTGTTGTATTTAGTCTATTCACAACTACCTAGTATATTTCGACACAGTTTTTATGGTATACGCAGTTCCAGACAAACCAATAAGTTAGCGGCTACGATAACACTGAGGATATAATACATGTATGCTTTAGAACGTCCGCAACGAGATCTGTGGCTTGGGTGCCTCGACCGCGGGGCCTTGGTTTCCCAATACTTGCCGCACAGAGCTCTCTAGTAATTCTCTCATCTGAGGATCGAGCTTAGCTGTCACTTCCTTGAATGCAGATGGTGACTGAGAAGCTAGCGATAGAAGTTGGGTGACAGTCTGAGAGTGGATCGTCGACATAGGCGTCCGACTGGGATCAAGGAGGAAAATCATCGCGGGCATAATAATCCCTAGTGCTCGAGGGCCTAAAGACACGGGTTAGGCCAGTATTGCGAAAGACGCAAGGGCGACTTACGCAGATCCTCTTGTAGTGACGAGAACAATGCCGCGAAACCTTTGTAAATCTCTCCTACCGTGGCAAGTTGACGTTCTGAAGCCTGATCACCAACCGAGGCAGCGATCTTGGCAAGGCATTCGATCATCCCTGGCAGGAGTAGTCTGGCGCATTGACGTAGAGCTGCATTTCCCGATGTTGACGCAAGGATGAGTGTCTTGGCACAGTGAGCAGCGGTCAAGGACATCTACCACAAATATTCAAATGCGCTCCCTCCACACGTCGTTCAATACTTACCTCCTCCTCATCCACGAGCTTCTGAGATATCAAAAAGCAGGCATGGTCGATGATGGCTTGACTAATCTTCACTTTGGGTGGGACTACAGTCAAAACAAGGACAGCAGCTAAGAGGTTAGACTTGATCTTCTTTGCAGAAATCCGTCCTTGGCGGCCTCTGTGAATTCTACTTCAGCCATGCCGCCACTTCGCAGTATGGAGACCCACACCTCATCTCATCAATGTTGACCAGACATGCTGACAGGAGGCCATGTATGACCTTCTCATATTTGTTGCCGTATGTGGCAGCACCAGCAGGTAATTCAAGCAAAGCCTTCAATGACTGTAACGTGGGTCCAACCAGGTCAATGTCGGAAGTCTCGTCCTTGAGATATTCTGCCGCTGGCTCTGAGCAGATTCAACCATGCCATGTTGCGGTGCACCTACCATTATACAGCGTGACCGCTACAGCCTTGAAGTCATCTCTTTGCTCTTGACCAAAGGTATCTGCTACGTTGGAGAAGGCCTCGAAAGCTGCATTTATCAAGCCGATTTTGTCCATGGGTGTCGAATCATCAACTATACCATCCAGACTCAGACACGCTCACAAAACAAAGGGCCTTTGCGTCACTTACGGACGGCCCCGCTGCGCGGGCCTGTAATGGCTCTTCTGATCACGTACGCACATACACGCAGGCAGTGTACCTGCGGTAGATTGAATAAATCTTCCTGAGACGTGTTATCGCTGAATCATGTAGTCTGAACGCATATTGCCAACCAGAGAAAACGAGCACACTCACAAAAGCGCGCTTGTGGCATGTGTGGATGCAAGACTTCTGGCGAGACTCGCTATCGCTTCCACAAGATAAATTTGCACGGAGGCAGGCTCTGTCAATGCCATGCGATAGAAAAGATTGATCACTTCGTCAAATATCACGGGGTCGTTGAAGACCTTGCCGCAATACTTCCCTTGAACCAAGGGAGTCATGGCTTCGAGAGCAATCGCCGAGGTTTTTTGCGACGTTACGTCCGCATCCGGAACGGCAGTCGCGAGCGCTTCAAACACTAATCCGAAAATGGCGAAGAAGAAGACGGTTGGTTCTTCGCGAACTTCAGATTCCAGCTTTCTTACTTGATCAGGGGTTATCGATTCTTGCCCATCCATGGCAGCCAATATGTACGGATCTCCCGCCTTCATAACGCTAGCAACAGCCTGCAGTATCACGGGCCAGGCTTCAAGGTAGTACTGTCCAACCTTCAGCGTCGATAGCTCCATGGCACCCAGTTAACAGACTTACCGGAAGCAACACTTCTTTACCCAGACTAGCATACGAAGTGTCCAGTGAGCTGGACGATGGCTCTTCTAGGACCTCCGTGTCTGCGCGAATGCTTGCGTAGTCACGTAAACAAGCCACCCACAATGGTGCAAGAGTTGGTCGGTGAGGCTTAACGACCTCTAGGAGGTACTTCTGGTCAGCACTTGCTACTTGAAGCTCAGCCCAAGCGGATAATGTGGCTATGCGCAACATCACAGACGCATTTGGACTGAGCTTGGCCGCATCTCCCAATGAAAGCATTCCAGACCCTACGCCAAACTGATCAGAGATATCGACATCCGAGGAGTATAAATGAGTCGCTACCTTTCGACTGCTCTAATGCGGACGTCAGAAGTTTCAAGATACGGCCCATTCTGTGCACATTTGTTACGACGCCGCAACCAACAAACACGGCACAAGAGCCGATCGCGGAAGCGAGAATCTCCGGCGTAGAGTCAGAGGAGAATGCGGGAGTGAGTGCTGCAGTTATTGGCGCTTGATGTTGCTCCAGTAACAGAGAGTCCTCGTAGTCAGGATCAGGAGTCTTCGCGAAAATCTGAAGAACGTTGATTCAGCACTGATCTTCGATCTCCAAAAGGATCATATACCTCGATTACGTCGCGCAACACTGTAAGGCCCTCTAGACGGATCTCCGTGACATGCGCTGCTGATGCTGTGAAGGCTATCTTGATCAAATCGGGGACGCGCGAAACCAGCAAACCGGAGACAGGAAGACCTTGACTGCGCGCGAAAGCTATGTCCAAATGCTCCCTTCTACCAGAACGCCCCACGATAGTACAAATGTTATGCAAGCATTGCAACGCGAACAGCTGAGTTCTCCAGCGAGATGTTTGTCGTCCACCTGCCCCCGAGGCCGAGTCCTGGTTCGCACCCATGCTCAATGATTGGCCCTCATCATCAAGGAGATCTCCCCGCTTCGTGGCAGCATCGTTTGCTTGTTGAGATGCGGTCGTACGTGACATGATGCGTTGACACAGATCTATCCAAGCCGATGGGTTATGCACAACGGTTTGCTGAAGCCAGCTATCGATGACATTGCGGACGCCGTCCACGGATGAGTCGTCATCCAACATCGCAAATAGCTCCTCCACCAATTCATCGCCTCCAAGTCTTGACATACTAAAAGCGTCCTTCTGCACCAGCTGATAGAGGGCATTGATGGACGCAAGTTTCAGAGGCCTACGGGTCGAAGAGAGATATCCTCTAAACTGTGCCACAAGCGCTGGCACCGCAACAAATTCAGGCGCGAACATCAAGAAATGTTGGATGCAATTGATGGCCTCCACGCAGATACCGTCGTCATCTTCACTGATGAACTGGTGAACGAGATCTAGGACGAGAGTACGAGATCGGGTGGAGTCTTGCATGTCCGGACCCAATACCGTGATTACGGCGTCAATATTCTGACAAACCGCTTGATATGCGGGCAGATCTCCGCTCAAGTTGGCATGGGCCAGTGACCCACCCTCGGGCTCATGCGACTCCAGCATGTAGACCTTGAAAAGGAGGCCCAATGTGCTCGGCACAAAAGGTGCATACGCAAGGCTGGCAGCATCAATGACACGCGCAAGCGCAATGAGAGACCAGAAGTGTACCACGGGGTGCGGGTCGTTCACCAAAGACATCAGAATGTGGACCGTCGTCTTGAGAAGAGGGCCAGTAGCAAGGCCACCTACATGAGCATGGATCTCCCCGAAGGCAAGAGCACATCCGGCACGTCCATGAGGATCACGGTTGCTGACTACCTGGTCCACTAAGGTCTTAGCCTGTGCCGTGAGGAAGTTGGTACCAGCAATGCTAGCTAAGCGGCCGATAGCCTCGCTGCCTCCTCTGCGAAGCAGCAGATCACCGTCCATCAAGACGTCCTACAAGATGATGGAATTGATGAGTCAAGCTCGACGTGAGCATTGCTATTTCCTAACCTTGAGAAAGTTGGACAACAATGATGTCACCTGCCCATTTCCTAAACTCTGCCGCGATCGAGGTGCAGTCGCCTGTCGAAGAGCGAGGACAAGTGCGATTGTAGCGTTGATAGTCACAGCCGCCTTACGACCCGAATTCCTCGCGAGCTTTGCAGAGCCTGTGGATTCCATCAACTGCGTCACGGTGCGTATGGTAGACTGTAAATCTTGCACATGAAGTAATTGAGCAAACAGTTGAATCGCGGCATTGACTGCCGCGGTGGCCGGAGGTGGGGGTTCCGGCCATTGAATGCTGATGTCAGACGAAATTCTTTGGCATAGGAAGAGAGGATCGTTGGAGCAGGATCTAATAATCGGTTTATTGAACTTTCATTGTTGCCATTGTCAATTGACGCATGCTTCCTCAAGGTCTACGTACTCACCATTTCTTCTACAGAGATCTCCACGTTATCGCGATTCATCCATGCCTTGACAGATTCATCGATGTGAATATCAGAAACGCCATATGCATACCCATCTGTGCTTTGCCATACGGACGTGAATGCTCCTGTGGAGGTAGCGATCGCAGCCTGCACCGACGATCCAGCGTATCCTTCCGGACTTGCAAACAGTGAGATGGCAGACTGCAACAGAGCCGATTGCATGGATTCCGTGATGCCGGCGTGCCCCAACAGGGAGAAACACTGGAATATCCTCGTCCGCAGTAAAGCTTCCCGTCCCTCCAATGATAACTCCTTGGTTTCCGTCGGAAGCTGCTCTGGGTTCTCGTCTATTCGCCGTGCGCGGAAGGTGTTCACAAATTGTAAGGAGTTCGAAAGGAGGAACGCAATCCGTCTAGTCACGTCTGGGGTGACCAGCGTCGGGGAATTGGACTTCAAAAAGCAATACACTGCACCGAGCGCGCTCTCCCTCAGGTGCAGCAGAAACATCCACTCAGCCGGCGTCCGACCCGCACTTGCATCCTTGTTCGTTGGTTTCGGAAGTGCATTACGCCACAGTACGAGCAGCTGCGGCAAGTGTGCACGTACGAAGTTCGGTCCGAGCGCCATCAGAGCCGCGATGCAAGTCCATGCGATCTCCACTTCCGTCCGAGCGATCTTGACCTCATGGTCTCCTGCGCGCTTTAGCAATTGAACGGCGGTGTCAAAGACTTTCGCGCTGATGTCATACGATACGTAGAGCGGCCGTTCTGGAATCACTGTTAGTAGTGCGGCGAGGCCGTAAGCGTGGCCCAAGGAACGTGTGTGGATATCCGACGGGGCGGTTGGTGTGGTGATTGCGGAAATATCTCGCTGGAGCACCTCAACAACGCTGATCAACACTTTGGGCAGTCGCAACGGGGTTGAATAACAAAAGCATCGCAGAGCCCAGGCAGCGTTCACCCGGATGCTATGGTTCGGATGCCCCAGCAGTGTCGACAGAGGATCAATAAGTGCATCCTGGGAAACTTTAAGTGACTACCGATCATGACGCCAAGGGAAGCATACCTGCACAGGGGGAGGGGCGTTCCCTAGCTGCTGCAGTAATTTTGCTACTTCCCTGAGTGCCACTACTATACACAAAGGATTCGGCGCCGTTTGACCGGGCATCATTGCAGGCCATCGCTTCAGGTACACGTTCGACAGTTCTTGAATTGCCATTATCTGCGCTTGCTCACTGAGCATGCGGACTCCCACCAGATCTCTGAGCAAGATCTCCACCAAGGACCGTACCAGCAGCGTCTCGTACCGCGTCGTCGTATTGCGTGGGTTCTCAATAATTTCCGTCATCAAGTGATCGACGATTAGCCCATAGTTACTTTCAACGAATGACGGACCGAGCTGCGACAGAAGTGATGTATAGAAGTCAAAGATGCCAACACGGACCTTGCGTGATGCTTGTGGCTTGTTGAACTGAAGCGAGAGTTGAAGGAGCATTTCGTTCGGCATCATGACCGGCTTGGCCTCCTCGATCTGGATGTGAAGCCCAGTCGGCACATCCTCCTCATCCTCGCTAGCATTCTGTCCTTTCTTTGCCTTCTTAGGCGGCTCCGCGACGGGAGTCAAGCGCTCGACCTGCGTCGCCGCGAGGAGATGAGCGACGAGCTTGGCAAGCGAGCGCCGAGTCAACTGGTCAGCGCTCTCCAAGCTCTTTGTACACAATACCACAAGCGAGTCTACGTCGGCGACCAGCCTTGCAGGGTCATCTGCGGGATACATCAAGATCAAGACCTAGAGTTACGTGAGTCCATCAATTCACGATTACAAGTGGGATGACCGACATCACAGGCAGCTCTCTGAATGGCTAAGGCTTTGTCGCCTAGCGCGTGCCTCATCTGCTTGACGATGTCTTTGAGAAGTGAGTCCGTTACTGCACGTTTTGCTGTCGACAGACATTTCTCCAGGGTGCGCAGTGCATGGTAGCGGAGGATGACGGGCTACATACTCAAGTTATCGGAATGCACCATGTCGAGGCAAGCACCAGGAGAACATACCGCCGATGACGCTTTGTACAGTTTGAGACTCATATTCGTGATGTCGATCATCAATGACATGACCTTAAAAAGGCACTATTAGTCGCGGAAATATATACATATCTGCTAATATCTCAACCTGGCTACCGAAGGCTCCCATGATTTCACCGATGCAGTATGTCGCCGCACTGCGCACAAGACTGAGAAACCGGCATGGAACGAGTCATAGCACTCACAGCTTGCTGGAGTCCTTGTAACCAGCCTTGGGCTCTCCTACAACCTTCAAAAAGGACTGAATAGTATCAAAGATGGTCTTCGTTTCGCCGCGGGTATAGATTGCTATAAAACATTTTGCAACAAGAGCCCTCACGGGACGTCCGGGAGCGGGGTAGGGCTCTGGTGCTTGGATAATCTTGACAAGGGAGCCCTCGAGGTCCACTTGAGATGCTTTGAGGTCTTCCTGCAAGGATCACTGGATATAGACCACTGGGCATATGAGCGCATGGCTTACCACCGAAGCTCGCTTCACCGCTCTCTCTGTAGCCGCGAGCCACTGAAACAGATAGATCTCTCCCGTCTCGCCTGTAAGGTTTGACTTGACACCAGTCTCAGTAAGCTACGCGTAGCGATTCGAGCAACTCACTTCGTCAATAGCATCGTATAATGCGGGACTTTCGGTGGCCATGACGGTCGCGGTGTAAGCCACGCGTCGGTGGCTGCAGCTGCCGCTGGCTCGCGCGTCAACGCAACTTGCTCCGCTCTCTGAACCATCTCTGTCCCTGGCTCTACGCTTTTTTTCTTCCTCGGTTCTGTTCGATTAGTCGCATAATTTTTCTGGAATATTCGATTGTATTTTCAGATCTACTTTTGCCGACATGCACATCGCCTCAGTCCCTGGGCCTGCAGAAAGAGGTGCCGCTCTGCTACCGCGCATCGTTACTTCAGACTTGGCCTCAGAGTTGGAACCCGTCTCAGACAGCAGCGAGACAATCACACCCGTCTCGCAGCATTCTATCTCGTCCGCCCCGGAATCTCAAGAAGCCGTCTCTATCCCCAAATCGGACGGCCCTTCCCCAAGCGCAGGTGCATCATCCATAAGGGTACCGTCAACCAAGTTCTCCCATACTTATGTGGAGGACCCTTCCCTCGTGTTCAATAAATTCATACTTTATGAAAACCGCCTACGCTTCTACATCGTTGCATCCAACACATCCGACTCACGTCATCGGATCATCAAGATCGACCGCACGTCTCAGGATGAGCTGGAAGTCGTTGAAGACGAAACGGTTTACAGCGGAAAGCAGATGAGCGCGGTACTCAAGATGCTCGAGGACGGCAACCGAGGGTGTGGCGGGCTGGGCAAGGCGCGCGTGTTCTTTGGCATAGCTGGTGCGCTTCACGGCTGCAGTGTCCTCGTATGTCTATACCGATATTTCTCAATATATCAGGCTTTGTTCGCTTCACCGCTGGGTGGTACATGATCGTGATCTCGAAGCGATCCGTTGTTGCATTGCTTGGCGGACATTACATCTATCACTGCGAGAATACAGACATCGTCCCTGTCTGCTCCAACCACAAGATCGACAAGCCAGCAGAGGAGCAGCGACTTATGAACATCTTCAAGCAAGTGGATATGTCGAAGAATTTCTACTTCAGGTGCGTGTGCTCATGTCCATTTTACAGGATGTATAGCGCAATTTGCCCGTGAACAGATTTGTAACAAAGAGCATAGGTTTCCTATACTTTAACTCCATGATTTGTTTTGTGGTCACCTTCAGATGTTATGATTCATTGAGTAAACTCTGATTAAGTCATGAAACGTCTTCGACGTTCCTCCTTCACCCTATGCACGACAAGCCTATGATTTACCTCATGGGAAGTTTTGAAACTTTGCTCACGCCCATTCCGAAAATGCGCTGTGCATCCTATGCCTGAACTTCACCAACTCGACCGATGTTTTGTCCGCAGCTATACCTACGACTTGACATCGACGCTGCAGCACAACCTCACGCGGGCGGGTCTGCCTCCGGCGCGGCGGTGGATGTTCAATAACCGATTTGCATGGAACCATCACATGCTAACGGTATCTTTCGATCATGGCAAATTCCCCGCATCCAAAGCGCATTGGCTCATCCCACTTATCCATGGGCATGTCGATCAGGCCAGTGAGTATACAGCGCAGGCTATGCTGCGATAATGCTTATGCTTCATAGAACTGACGGTCCTCGGGCGCGTCATCTTCATCACCCTCATCGCTCGACGCTCCCGGCATCACGCTGGCGCACGGTACTTGAAACGTGGCGTGAACGATGAGGTGCATTTTAGAGGATGCCGCATATTAAACAGGTCTGCTGATACATGGAACCTAGGGCAACGTTGCAAATGAAGTGGAAACCGAACAGATCGTGTCCGAGACATTGACGACGCCGTTCTACTTCCCTGCTCCTCGAAGCTCAGAACATGAGCAACAGGCCCGCCGCCCGAGCCCGAACTTCACGAGCTATGTTCAGGTGAGCACATCGGCATAAAAGGAAGACGAATTCTAATAGAACAACAGTATCGCGGTAGCATACCCATTTACTGGGCGCAAGAAACTACCAGTATGAGCCCAAAGCCTCCCATTGAAAGTAAGTTGCATACATCACATCTGAAAACATGTTAACGCCCAGCAGTCAGTGTCATGGATCCCTTCTACACCGCAGCCTCCCGGCACTTTGACGACCTCTTCGCGCGCTACGGCGGGCCAATCATGATTCTGAACCTCATCAAGAAGCGCGAACCGGTCGCACGCGAATCGAAGCTCGGCGTCGAATACGCGCAGTGCGTCAAGTACCTGAATCAATTCCTCCCGCGGGACAAGCGGATGATTTATCGTGCGTGGGACATGTCGCGAGCGTATAAGGAGTGAGCCACGCTTGACTATGTGCAGGCACCCCGTGCTCAGTGCTTACGATGGTAATGCAGGAAAACGCAAGACGTGATCGGGTACCTGGAAGACATCGCGGAGGAGTCTATCCAGACCACGGGCTTCTTTCACTCAGGACCGGAGCCGTATTCGCATGCATTGCAAATCGAGGCAGAGTACGTGACACTATCATCTATTCTACCGTCGATGCTCATCCGCTTTGATCGTCTGAGCGTAGGCAGAATCCAGGCATGACATGGCGTAGCACGATGTCACTCCAGAATGGCATCTGCCGCACAAACTGCGTCGACTGCCTTGACCGGACGAATGCCGCTCAATTTGTCTTCGGAAAACGCGCACTTGGCCACCAGCTGTATGCGCTCGGTGTGGTTGATTCGCCCAATCTGGCGTTCGATTCGGACGCTGTGAATATGTTGACGGAAATGTACCATGACCACGGCGATAGTAAGTCGTCTGACGAACCAGTTAGTTCAAGACGTTAATGAACACCGCTCGCCCAGGTTTGGCATTGCAATACACGGGAAGCGCCCTTGTAAATCGTGTCGAGACTTATCGACGCATGCCGCATTGGAACAGTCACTCCAGAGACATCATTGAGAATCTGCGCCGTTTTTATGCCAACTCTCTTCTCGGTAAGTTCATGCACTACGATTGTCTATGAAACGTGTCAATTTACCAGGAGCAGATGCCGACAAGCAAACTGCTATCAACCTCTTCCTCGGCGTGAATCCCGACCGGCAATCAACTCGCCCCCTCCAACGCGACAAGTATCAAAAATGGTATAAAGAGGAGCACCTCGAGCCGGCCTACGTTTTAGAAGAGTGTCAGAAAGGCATTATGCAGTTTGTCAACACGCGCGGGGACTATTGGATCGAATATTATCGGCCGCTACTATTCACTTCTTTAGGGAAGCACTTTGCGTTTTCAATGAATAGCACGCTCAAGCTCCCTGGGTATCTGTTCTAAAATCTCCTTTTAGCAAATGTAGCCATTGATTACGAGTTGTAGAAAGACAGCACGCGACGTGAACTACAGTCCGTTCCTGCCCCATCACAACTCGTCACATCACTGTCATCCACGTTCCAGCGGCAGCAACAGGATCTGGTTGATCATATATGGTACAGGCTCATGGATGGCGTTCGACGCTGGATCAGCTCAAGCCCAGCTCCGGGCTCTCGGATCTCACACGTAGACCGGGCTATGCGATCATACCCCAAACATGCCGGAGACGCCGTCGCCGTGGATCGAAATTCCACTAAATACATTGCAGAGCAGCTTATGGACCCGACGGTCTCGCTGAAGGAAGAGGACGAGTACGAGGAGTGAGTATCTTGAGAACATATTGTGCCGCTAGCTCATGAAACGCATGCAGCTATGTTGATCAGTGCGAAGAGCCGATGGAGTAGCTCGCGTGGACCTTGAGAAGTACCAGGACGCCGTCTTGCTGACACAAGGTCACCTGTCCTGCTTGCACGAGCCGCGAGAGGACGTGTTCGCCGCGTATGTGGAGACCGCAAATCCGCAAGGGCTGGACGGGCACAGGGATCCACTGCCCGTCAAATTTGACTACGAGAGATGGATTGCGGGAGTGACTATGACTTGACGACAACTAACGACATTCGGAGAGTAGGGTATGTGAGCGATGTATCGTACTGTACAATATAGATATACTGGATGAGGTGAGCGTGGAAAGAGGTCGCAGTGAGCCGTAATGATTGGCAGAAATCAGTGTATAATGCAATTTAACGTTGTGTGCACCCATCAAACTCCCTGTGCCACCATCGAACTAAGGAAAATATGCAGGCATGATCTAAAACGGTCAGTCGAGAATCCAAGCCTGCTTAGAGCCTACTCTCGACGAGCACGTTATTCCTCCTCCATCCGATGGCACCCTTACCAAAGGCCGCCTCTAGGACCTCCTCAAGAGTTCGCACGAAGACAAACTGCATTTCGCGACAAATCTCTGGCGGAACGTCAAATTCGACGTCCTTGCGGTTCGCCCATGGCAGGATCACCTTCGTGATCTGCGCGCGATGTGCACCGAGGACCTTTTCCTTGATACCACCGACAGGGCCAACGCGTCCACGAAGAGTGACCTAAAGACAGATAAGCTCGGTGTCTCATGAGGGTTGTCGTACAGCTCACCTCTCCAGTCATAGCGATGTTGCTTGGCACGCAAGCCCCTGTGAGCAGGGAAACGAACGCACAGGTCTGCATAAACGTGAGCCTCGTCATACAACTGCAACAAGTACCACCACGCACCATAGCAATCCCAGCAGACGGCCCATCCTTTTTCACCGCGCCCGACGGCAAATGCAGATGAATGTCAATCGGATCCGGGTTTTTCAACGGGTCCTGACTCCTCGTCTTCGTGATATACAAATCGTACGCGTGCGCCTTGACCCAGCTAAGCGCGAGCTCGCCGCTCTCCTTGATCACATCGCCGAGGCTACCCGTGAGCTTCAACTTCCCGCTCCCCGGCACCACACTCGTCTCGATCGGCAGTATGCCGCCCTCGCCCATGCCAGTTACGACGAGCCCATACACGAGCCCGCGCCGTTCCTCCCGCACACGCTCCTCCTCATCCCACCGCGCAATACCGAGGATCTTCTCGAGCTCGTCTTCCTCCACGAGCTTCTTGTACCCCTTCACTCCGGACTTGACGACCATGTTTTCCAAAGCGCTGTCCGGGATGGTTGCGTCATCCGGGTCGACGCCCAAGCTGTCGCAGTACTCGGCCCATTCGACAGCCTTGAAGCGCACTACTGCGCCGATTGCTCGCTCTAGCGAGCGTACACCCGCTTCGCGCGTGTAGTGTGTAGCAATATGGATGAGCGCCGCGTCTGTCAACGTGAGGTGGTCTGATGTTAGGCCATTCATCTTCAGCTGCTTCGGTAGCAAGAATCTACGCGCGATATGCATCTTCTCGTCGTATGTGTAGCCTGATGTTGTTCGGTCAATGAAGGCCGAGGAATACGCATGAGAACACGTTACCTGATAAGTGTACTACCTCGCATCTGTCCAGTAGCGGCGGTGCTATTGTATCGAGCGTGTTCGAGGTGCAAATGAACAGTACTTGACTCAAGTCAATCGGGACGTTGATATAATGATCCTGCAAGCAGATATTTATGTCAGTATTCCGCATTCTCTATCTGTTATGCAATCACTTACGTGGAAGGTATGGTTCTGCTCCGGATCCAGCACTTCGAGGAGTGCAGCAGCCGGATCACCATGGAAGTTACTATGTGAGACTTTGTCTATTTCATCTCTACAAGAAGTCTGTCAGTAACGCGCAAAGATACTCCGAACGATACAGTAACCCACACTCACAAGAGAATCACAGGATCTGGTCTACCCGCTTTTCTAAGAGCCTGCACGATGTTCCCCGGGCCACTGGCGACATATGTCCGCCTATGGCCTCTAATTTCCGCCTCATCACGCACGCCTCCCAGTGATATCCGCTGGAACGGCCTGTCAAGTGCGTGCGCAATGGATTGCCCGAGCGATGTCTTCCCCGTACCCGGAGGCCCAACAAACCTAACAACCAGAGCGCAATATTATATCACGTGATCGCGTTCGGTCTGGAAAAACTCACAGCAGGATTGGGCCTTTCACGTTCTGTCTCTGCCGCGTGTGTTGTTGCTGGACATCAGCAGGAACTGCTGCTGGGTTTCCTGGACTATACGGGATTAGTGCCTTGCTATCGTTCTTGTCCGGCGGACTGGAAGACAGCCGCTTGACTTCTTCCGTGAGGTGCTCGGTCTGGTCCACCCGGTTCGCTTGCAGCTGTGTTTTCTTCTCCGCCTGCAGTTCCTTTAGGCGCACGACGGCGAGATACTCAATCAGCCTCTTCTTGATCTTCTCGAGCCCAAAGTGATCTGCATCGAGCTGCTGCCGCGCCTTCGTCAGAAAGGCCCGATCTCGCAGCGCTTCTAGTGAGGCGCTACTCTGATTAGCCGTCGTCGAAGCGGGCCAAGGGATAGCAGTCAACCACTCCAACTGCAGGTCTGCTCAGTCAACGTCACTGAAGCGTCATTTGCATGCGCCACTCACATAATTGCGGATAACACCCTGCTCTACGCTGCCAGTCGGTGTACGTTTGAGCCTCTTCCATTCTCTCACAGCCATCTTGCGTTCCTCGCTGTCCTTGGCCATCGCCTCGATCTTGCTTCGGATCTCAGCTAAGTCGTGCGCTTCAGCCTCCTCGTCATCGTCAAGCTCGGACACTGCCCCATGCGGTGTTGTGCCACTAGTACTATTCGTACTGGAAATCTTGGAGTCAGCCTGCGGGGACGACCGCTGCAGGTTGCGTAGCTCGCGCTGGATGGCGGCGAGCTGCTGGCGCAGGAAGAACTCCTTCTGCTGCTTGGAGAGCGACTCGTCGATGGACTGGGTGATCTTTTTGCTTACTTCCGAAATCGAGTTCTGCTTGACGAAGATGACGGCTGCGCGCTTCAAGCGTTCTTCCGTCTCGGTGGCAGACAGAAAATCTGGGCTAAGGCGTCAGTCTAATTGCCGGACAACCCAAGGTAACAGTACTTACCGAGCTTGTCCGCATATTCAGCATTCAGACTAGCCACCAGCACGTCCGCAATCCATCCGGCCCTCTTTATAGGTGCTTCGTCGACCATGTTGGTGAGTTTGGAGTAGAAGTCCCGTTTGGCTTCACTAGCGGCATCACTGCTTAGACGGTCCAGCAACTTCAACGCTGCACCCTTGAACGCCATGAAAGCCTCAGCGCTAGGGTCGCCCTCCTGACGGGGATATTCCACCACGAGCTCAACCAGTTCATCAAGCCCCTCTGGAACTTCCCGAGCCTGGGGAAGATGAATGCGCGAAAGGCCGTGGAGCGTGAGTAAGTAAGGCCGCTGCTGGTCTCTGCCGACAGCTCTGGGCGGCTTTACCAGCCGCACTACACGCGCCGCACATCCCCACTCATGCAATATGGTCGCATCGGCAGATGGAATGGGAACAGCGGCAACGACGGGTTGCGTCTCGGACTCCTGGACGAGCTGCAACAGGAGCTCTCCGGTGACGCTGTTCACGGGTATGGTGAACCGGGCGGTCGGCAGCAGCAACAGGGGATAAGCGAGAGACACAACAGGCAGCGTCGAGGTTGCCATTGAGAGCACGGTGGAAGAGCGGAGTAAAGGGAGAGGAAAGATTGGCGAGCATCTGTTTCGTGCTTCTCATATAGCAGTCACGGGGAACGCGTTTATCACGCGCCACCGCTGCCCCGCGCTGCTCGGGGATAGCCTAAGGGCCACGACTCTTCCTCGCTCTCCTTTGACCGACCCAGCTCATAGGCCCATGCATCTCCCTTCACTTACGCCCTCTCCCGCGTTGTCCACTCGGCAATCACGAAAAAAATTCAGAAGAGATCTTGGTCACTAGCTGGGATTTTACATGCATAAGAATCGTGATGGTGTATAACGACTGAAAGCCAACGGATGCGACGAAACACAACAGAAAAAACGTGTCATAGCGATGCCTGATATTTCCCTTGAGGAATCAGTATTAGTATGCCGAACACAACGTATTGCGGCATGTCGGGTGCATTACGAAAACATAACATGCAACACCGAACGATCGAGGACAGAAGCGAGGAACGAACCCATGGATACAATTATGATAACAGACTTGCGGCGACGGCGACAAAATCAATGGTCCTATAGACGTGAGCGGCAGGCCCTCTGGCTCTGCTCTACTGTGCGTGCAACTTGACATGAATGATATGTCCTCCTTCAGAGGACGATGGGTTGAGCATGAATGGCGGAGATAACGCGAGGTCGTGGAGTAAGAAAAAGAAATGAAAACATGATAGAGCGATTCGAGCGCATAGGCGTGACTCGTTGAGCCTCTATGCAGTGGCTCGCTTGACCATCTATAACAAAAGGATAAGTCACCAACCCGGACATTCGAGAACGAGAAAAAAACCGACCTCCCGAGCCCACCGCAGCGTCTTCTTCGTATCTGGGGGCATGCGTCCCCTTGACCGAAGCTCACTCATGATCCAATCAGCCAGCAACACCTGCTTGAGCCGGCCGTCGGGGAACGCATCTGCCAGATCACCGATGAGGCCGAGACCCAGCTTCAATACAGCATCGGTCCTTTCACTGTCAGCCAACGAGCGCTGGACGAGGTCCAAAATGCTCTGAACATGGGGTAGAAGCAGATTCACTGAGTGATTGAACGGTCATCAGCTGTTGTTGAACACACTGCAGCGTATGGAACATACCTTTCTCTGTGTTCTTGAAGCCGGTGACGATTCCAGTATATGCGTCCAGGATACCCTCGCGAAGGGACGCCGCATACTCCACCAGTTCCAGGTCAAGCTACAGCGACAAAGTCAGTGGACGCTTCTGACGAGACAATCACAACGCACAGGGTTCGGCTGCAACGCGCCCGCCTGCCGCAGCACCGCCATCGTCGACGACAAGTACGGCTCAAACGCGGGGCCAATCGCCAGCGCAATATCGCCAAAGCACGCCAGGATCGTAATCTTCACGGTGCGGTTCAGCACATCACTCTGCAGGTTCTCGAGCAGCACACTCATGAACGCGTTCGCGTATTGCTCGCTCTGCTCGTTGAGCGCGCGCGAGATGTCGCCAATGAGCCCGACGGCGACGGTGCAGAGCTGCGTGTCCTCGTGTGCTTTTAGGGCCGGGTATAGGAATGGTAGGAAGGCCGGGATGTACGGCGCGAAGCGCTGCTCGAGAGCTAGGAGAGGAGGAAGGTCAGGAAAGGTGTTTCGATTGGGCAAGCCGAAACGTACATGAGGCCAACGCTCCGACCACGAGGAACGCATCCTCGATAACGGTGGACGTCTTTCCTGATGCTTGCATCAACTGCAGCATGAGCGTCATAATGCGATCGGCGAGCGGTTGGATGCCATCGCCCAGCTTGCGAACCACGCTCTACAGCACTGTCATGATCACATCGATCACCAGAGTTGTCCATTTTTGCACTCACGATAAGAACACTGCAGATGTTGCTCATGAGGTCATTCCAGTTGTTGCTGTCATCCACACCTACGACTTGGTTCTACCGAGACGAAGTAAGAAACCACCTCGCGCGATCGCAACACCATACTCACACGCAATGCAAGCAGCTGCTCCATCCTCTGGAGGACGGCGACCGCCGTGTTTTGCACAACTGGGATAGTGTCGAGGGTTGAATGAGAGATGAATGACGTGACTGCCTCGTAAGCTGCTGTTCGGTAGTTGCCTTCATTGCTGGCGCTGAAGACAATCTAATTAGCCCCCGTCCTCAATCATACGAGACGACTGCACTCACGTTTCAGTAACACGGAGCAGCGCCTGTACGATACCCTCAAAGTAAGGCGACAAAGCGCCCGTCGCAGCTTCCTGCGGATCACCGTCCTCGCTATACCCTAGCTGATCGGCCAGGTTCATCAGCGCCCAGCAACAGTTCGCCGCGATCCTTGGGTTGTCCTGCAAGCCATTTACCAGCGCCGACACAAGTGGGTGGAGGTGCACGTCCGGTTTGATTGCCTGGACCATGATGTCGCAGATACGGCCAAGCGTCCACGCGACGGTGTCCTTCACGTGTGGGTTCGTGTCGTGCATCATGTCGATGAGGATCGGGAACGCCTGGTTCACGAGCGGCATGAGCACGCTCGGGTCGGGGCCCTCCAGGATGGACCCGAACGTCATAACTGCCGCCTCACGGTGATGCCAGTCCTCCGCCCGAATGTTGGCCTCGATGAACGGGATCACAGCGGGCACGATTGGATCTGCAACTGCCTGCGCGAGCAGGCCAAGGCAGGTGCCCGCGGCCATGGAGATATTCCATTCGTCCTCGTCTGCGTCTTCCTCCTGACGCGTCAGGAGCTGCAACAGGACGGGCACAATCTCGGGCAGCGCAGTCTTGGCAAAGTACTTGCTCTCCGTCTCAGGGACCTCTCCATACTCGTTTGCCTGTGAGATTCACATGTGAGGCCGAGCGATGATGATCAAGACTTCGATCAACGCACCTCTTGCGCCTCCCATAACAAATCAGCTTCGATCTCGCATACGGTGGACCAGAATTCAACAGCTTGAAGTGCGATCTGCTCCTCCACATGTTTCATTCCCATCACGGTAAGCTGAGATGGAGCGACATCAGTTAACTGCATTGATATCAGTCAAACGCATGCAACGCACCCCGAACAGAGCGCGTTCCATATAGAGACCCATTTTGTCATAATACAGAGACATGACTTTCACGATACTCTCATATGCACCAACTTGAACGGGTACAGATGAAGCCTGTGTAGCCTCACACATCACCTGCATGATGTAGTTCCGCTCGCCCTGTACCAATTTGTGAGCCACGCAGATAACATCAGAATCGTTGTAGACAGGTGCTCGCCTCACGCTCAAAGTTGTCGCGCACAAACTCCAAGGAGTTGTTGAGCGCCTTGATAGCAGCAAGCTGGACTTCCGGCGATGGCTCTTCTTTGCGAGCACCGTGAATCACTGCAGTGAGGATTTCATTTGAACGCATGCTGAGGACCTCAGGTTTCTAAACTGGCATGAGAAGAAATCAGGAAGAGAACGTAACGACGCACTATTGATTCGCAGATGTAACCAATGGTCTGCAGCGCGGACACTTTCAGGTTCACATTGGGCTGGTTCTGAACGAACCCTAAGAGAATGCTGATCAACTCTTGCCATTGACCTTGAGGCAGTTCCACCGTCGCGACGGCTGCAACAAACTGTGCCGCGATACCGCCGATTTTCGCGTCCAGCGAACCGAGAGCCATCAGGGCCTGCTGCTTGACCTTGTTTCGCGTATCATTGTCCACGGCAAGCCATCTGTTGCTGAACTCCAGTTGTCGCGCGCTTTCCTGGAGAAAGAGTCATGAATCGTCTAGCAGAGACATACGCGCCGCTCACCCGCGCTGTCAATGCATTCTTCAGAGCCAAACCTGCGGCACTTCGAACGTGCTGTGGCGAGTTTTCATTGACAAGCTCAGAACTGAGCATCAACATGTATGCGGGCTACGAAATGCATCCAGATCATGGTGAATGAGGGTATCCGAGCACGACGAAAATTCATCGCTCACGTAGTTCTCCCTGGACGCGTTCTCGAGCTTCTGAGTCGCATCTTGGCGGATATTCGCGTCTGATGGGAGTAAGACGAGGACATTGAGCGATTTAAAGCACGCGTTCGCGATGAGCGAGTGGACAAGGATAGCAAACGCACCTGGAGATAGGGTATTCGCAAGAAGCTCGCCAACGTTCATTGTCGTGAGTCAGACGTGATGGAGTCGGTATCTAAAGAGTGGTCCAGGGGTAGCACGTAGACACAGGAAGCTTTTTTGAACGAGTATGAGCGATCACTGATGCTGAAGAGGAGAGCGAGAGGAGAGTGGCGGGTCGCGTTGGGTTGAGGGACTTGCTAAAGACACGCGCGTCTGATTTTCAGTAGCGGCCAATTTGTGCGCGGCCACAGCGAGACTGCAATCACCACAAGGCATGCAATTTCTCTCCTTTCTATTGTGGACTCATTGTCATGTCCTATTGTTCGGCTCCTTAGCGAGTCTCTCGACTGTCCCTCTGACTCTGAGCCGTCGAGCGGGCATCGGCGCCTCGTTTCGCTGGTTCAACTGACATTACGTCCATCGACGTTCGCAACACGTTACATCTTCTTTTGTTGACTCCGACAACCGCGTAGTGACACTATCATGGCAGATAAAGTGCGATTCTACGCTCAGTTACATGCATTCCCGCAGAGACTGACCTGAGTCAGGGCCGCAATGCAGCGAGAGGAGCTCGAGGAGCAGGCGGTGCTTCAAGAGGCCGAAATACTCAGTAAGCACCACTTTTACAATAGGTTTCTTTTGTCCATCCATTGTATGCTACACGCGGACGCTGCGCTCATCAGTGTACTTTTCGACATCATTCCGGCCATGCTGAACAATGTAAACGCTCCTTCTGACTGGTCTTTAATCTTAGGGCACAACCTATGATGGACAGGCCGAAGCGCGAGGCTATCCTTGATCTGTCCAAATACGTGAACGAACGAATAAGAGTCAAGTTTACAGGCGGACGGGAGGGTGAGTGCATCGTTTTTTCCAACTCGCCAATGGCGCATTAATGTGCTCTACAGTGACCGGTGTGCTGAAAGGGTACGACCAATTACTGAATCTCGTTCTTGACGAGGTGCAAGAGCAGCTCCAGGGTGGTGAGTGATTGTTTGGACTTTGCCACGTATGAAAGTAGTCTTTGACCAGTGTCACTAGAAGGAGAGCCGCAGACGCGCTCGCTTGGTTTGGTCGTCCTCCGTGGGCCTACCATCACTCTTCTGAGTCCCGTGGACGGCTGGGAAGAAATTGCGAATCCTTTCATAGCTCAAGAGTAGCTGTCTCTGAAGTACCGGACAGTACAAAGAGAACCCAATATTGAAGTGGGAGCAATACGGGAGCATCTTGGAGCGGACTCTACAAATCATTGGCTGTTGATTGAGCGATCTCCTTTGCACGGCGGTTCGTTCTGCCCGGTGATGCCAGCGCGACTGGCCACATCCTTTGCGTGCTGGTCCACCCTGCTTCCATGTTCATTGACTGGCGATGCACTGTATCACGGTGTTCATATCATCGTGCAAGATTGTTGGGATCTCACCGTATAGTGTGTCGGATAATTAGCTCGCCATAAGTGGGATTTCTTGGTCACTTCGCTACCAAGGAATGCTCGAAGTGCGGAATCTTAAGCTTGAAACTAATCACTTGTTGAGCGTTCGAACGTTGAAATTGATGAACTCCCATCACCGCGCGCGTGTGAAGTAGTACTGGTGGCACGCTGCAACAGTAGGTCGCTCATCGCGACGCGCTCGGCGTCTGCCAACTTCATACACTGTTCTCTACTGTTCTGCACCTCATATTCGCCGCGCAAACTCATGCCTCGCAGTCGCAGTCCTCCGAATAGTAATTGGTATTGGAAGACGCGGGATCCTACAAACGTGCGGCTGATGAGCATTCCCTTGGCTGTACAGGAGTACTTGCACAACCAGCTGCTGCAGTTATCGAGTGAGACCTGCTCAACCGTGCGATTGTCCTTGCTGGTGGGTGAGGATTTGCGGACTCAGACACACAATGTTCGTCTTGCACGGAAAGAAGCCTTGTTGCAGAGTTTCCCTGCTTTGTTCACTGGGCCGCATGGTGCAATGCTGTGCGCCGAGGCATGGTTGCCGATATACATCGTCCAGGCGAATATTCCTCATGCAAACCTGAAACGCACGACCTATAACACAGATTTTGAGGTTTGCGCCGTTCTTTGGTCACATTCGTCTTATATTACAGGCCTCTCGTTTTATAACAATCATCTCAATCCGTCAACACAGTTCTCGCACTTCGTCGTGGATGGAGCAACCACACGTAATCTATCGGAAAATCCAAATACACCAAGGAGAGGAGATGGCTTCATTCGTGCAGGGCAATACTTGTTTCAGCAGGTAACGAAAGGTAAAAAGCCAGACGACATGATGCATGGACTCTCGTTCAGAGTGGGACACCGCATTGGCCGTTTAGAATGGCATAGCGGTGTATCTGGCCTCCCTGAACAAGTGAGAGTACATGCAGACAAATTCGGGCCTAATGTATCGAAGGTCCCAACCAATGAAAACCCTGACGAGGTGGTGATCACTATCCTAGGGCTTCCCGGCAATCTGGCACCTGAGGATGTATTTCCGGGTGTCTTCTCCCTTGTCCCTCCACAGACGTCCTGGTGTATTCTAGGGCGCACCCCTCAGAGTCCCACAATCTACTTCTACAAGCCATCTCATCAGCTTTCCCCACCTGGCCAGGGCTCTCCTGTACCAGCTGCATTCTATCGAAAGCACTTGCTCGTCTCGAATGGACCTGCTGTGAACAGACTCGGAATAAATTACATTGGCAGTCTCCCAACCACCGCTGACAGAAGTACGGTGATCACGAGTGGGCACCTCTTCACCGAGTACAAGCGTCATCTCTCTGCTGCAGTCGACCTCGCTTTCCGCACAATTCCCGACCTTGCCGTCGAACTGGCGATAGATATTTTAACGGATCGCAACGCTCCTGATAGCGCCAGTATCGGTCGTGTACTGAATCCATCTGATGATGAAGGCCGGGATGCCTATCGAGTCGCCTTCAGCAAGGCATTACAGCAGGTTGCGCATAAATCGCTGACCGATAACCTCACGCCGTACCCATTCTGTGGAACAGGGCACGACCTCATCAAGGAATTGGGCTTGCTTCCCATCCCTGTTGCACCACATATCAGGAAGATCCTCGAGAAATCGGGGGCATTCCCTGACATCACCGTACATGCAGAATCGGTCTTGCTGCGAGCGCCACTACATCGGGAGACCACACAGGGAGCAGACCATTTGCGGTCAGCTCTGGGCTTGATGAAAGGTATCAGCAGGGCAGAGGTTTCGATTCGACAATATCACCATTCTAAGCCGACCATCGTTTGGGACAAGGCGAGCGAGCAATTTGTCATGGGTGTCCCGCCGATGTGTGCAGAGCATCAGACGAGGAATTGTTTGTGTTGGGTTGGTCCCTATCTGGCTGATGCTGTTGTGCATTATAATTCCCGGCAAAATAAACCTGTCGCTACATCGTCGACTGCTGAGATGTTCCGTGCATATCTGCAGAGTATGGGAGCCGTCAATTATATGCATGATTCTGCGGAGATCGAACGGAAGGACGGGCCGATAGTGAATGGTACGTACTGGTGTTTACCGTGGTGGTACGACGCTGACCGCGTTTTCAGGCTGCATACAAGCAGCTCAAGAGCCTACTCCCAATGTGGACGACGACGAAATTGATTATTTGCCACTTCAGAAAACGACACCTCCGGTGGGTGAAGATGGTCCGCGTACACCGCAGTTCTCATCGCATGCTGCGAGCCCATCGTCACAGTTGGAAATGAGCATTTCTTGTGATTCGGACCTAGTAAAGCCCCGCGGAACATCAGATCAGACAGCTTCTGCGGAGACCATGCCAGCGACTTCAGCAGAAGGAACGAGTATGTTGATAACTCTCAGGAATTTGACTAGTATCGGCACTCACTAACGCGCTAGGTTCAGTCGATGGTCTCCCTGATCTGGTTTCCCTCGAGGATTTGTTCCAAGACATGAGGAGCCGGGTTGCGTCCTACGTCCAAGCAGAATCAAGAAAGGGACAAACACAAATCGAGGAACAACGCAGGGCATTAGCAGCTGAAGTGCGAACTCTTCGAGCCAAGCTAATGGAGGTTGATAACGAGCACATAGAGCATTTCCGAGTCATTGCAGAGAAAGACGAAGCTCTGATGAGCCGCAACCTGGACCTGCAATGTAAAGATGAGATGATACGCGTCCGAGAAACGCGCATCCAGCAGCTGAAGCATTCACTACGGGAACACGCGTCTCGAATCCGGGGGCTCGAAGACGACTTGAAACGCTGGGAGGAAAAAGAAAAAACATACTCGCAGGCTCTGCGGACGGAGATCGCTGGGTTGAAGAAACGCTTATCGCTTTTATTCATGGGTTCGAGTCAACAGGACAACGAATCGGATGAAGAGGGGATGCAGGCGGGACCTTCGCGGAAGAGAACGCGCTCAGGTTGAGCAGATGCCATTGGAGATTTCGAAGTGATGATTCAACGGGTTGGTTCCGATAGTCTCCATCTCATAGCTTGGGCAACGAACGTTTGCATTTCAGAGGAGTGTGTCATTATATCGCATGCAAACATTCAAAAAACCCATGTACAGTATCAGATGCTTCGCATGTGCACGTGTGTATATTACAGAGGATGTATACGTACAGATAACAGTGATACCTAGACAAAAGTCCAACGCTGTCGACAAACACCTCACTTGGCCGCTGGTGCTATGTAATCCCGGGAAAGGTCGATCTGGCCCCTCAGGTGCGTGTTCGTGATGCGCACCTGCCGATACCGTGGTGCGGACCTCTTGCCCTTCTTCTTTGTCGCAGGAGCCTTTGAGGTGACAATCTCTGCGGCGGTTGCTTGTAGGCCCTCTGAGGCAAGCTGCTTCAGTAGATCGACGTCGTTCGGGACTTCGAGCGAATGCCATAGGTCGTTGAATTCTACAACGATAGAGAGTGGTTAGCGACACCGTGGTAGGCACAACAGAACGCACCTTTCTCTACGGACATTCCCCCGCTCTCTTCGTCCGGCTTTATCTCATTCCAGAATACCATCCTCATCTGTCCGTCCTTCAGTGTACGAGTGACGTATACTTCGCCCTCGTTCTCAAGCTCTTCAATGGCCTGCGGCGCCTCTTTCCAGCTGTCCTTCAGGGTGCGCACTGACAGACCACCTCCTTTCCTTGTTTGCCGCTGAATCTCTGTAAGAAGGGCTGCCTTGTTTCGTACGTTGTAGTCATGCTAGGAGATGAACATGAGGACCTGGTAAGCATGACGAGATGGAGCAAGACATACACGATACGAGTAAAGATCCGTCTTGATATCGTACAAAACACGGTCATGCGCTTTGAACTTTTCAAAGAGAACTCTGTCCGTGTCAACAGGGGTATTCGTAATGATGGCCAAGTCTTGCAGCCGCATGGGATTACCGGTCGACTTGAGGTGATTGACGGCATAGACGAGCTGGGTATTGACATTGGTCCCGGAACCGGTGTCTGCAGGCTGTGAGAATACGATATCTGCACCGACAGATCAGCCATGGGTCAACCAAGGCGGATGAGTCGAGCAGATGAGAAAGAGACGTGCTCGATTTCTGCCGTTTCTTCTTGGACTTTGACGACGGTTCGGGAGTCTCTGTCGCCGGGTGTTGCAGCGGTGGAGGCTGAGAGTGCCATGATGAGTAGTCCTGCCTGTGCAAAGCGGACTTGAATGCTGCAGCATCTCTGGCGAGACCGGCCATGGTGGCGGTGGCAGAGCAAGAGGCAGCACCAGCGCCACCGAACAGCCGTAAGCGGTTGTGGGCGTCTGTTTGGAGGTATGTACGGCCACGTGGGACGCGCGCCTGCCTGTGTCCGCATTGATAATCGAGGCGACTTTCCGCGTCTGCGACGACCTCCACCTGTTGGCCGCAGGATGGCGCAGGGCGAAATGTCTTTTTTTTCCAGGCCCTCTTCGTCTGCGGTCAAAATCGTCGCTCCTTCGGCAGAGGACTCGCCCAAGGCGCCGCCCAGCCCAAAGCCATCGCCCAAACGAGGTACGTACATTCGTTTCGGCTCATGTCCGTTGACCGCAGCTTCGTCTAGACTCTACTCAACGCCAGTGTAGGAATATATTGATATATGGGTGCGTACATCGCAGCCCGTGCACGTTGCATTGTCGCTGAGTGTGACGTCAGGTCATGTAAATTCCAGGACAAGGGTTGTATCTATTACCATCCCCCGGTATGTGTCCGCCTCAAATTTATCCTGAACGCATATTCATGCACTTGCAGCGCGAGGAGTCTCCGCCTGCGTATGTCTAAGTGTACAATTCTCCTTCCAGGCTGCTTGACAGATATATAGGGCTCCAGAGTCCCCTGTACCGAGACCGGCTCTCCCAGCAGAGGCCGTTAATGCGCCTATTTTTGTGCCCAAGGCAACTGTCAATGCGGACAGTTCGTCAGGATCTGTTCAGGCCACAATCCCGTCTCAGATGTCTATCCCATCGTACGCCATCTCTCTCGTCGAGTTGTCCGCATTTTTTACGAAACCTCCAGGTCCATCTCCTCGGCCCAGACGGATTATGAAACTGCCTACTCTGAATTTTCGGAGGAACACGATCCATATGATCCTCATGTCCATGGCGCCCACATGAGTGAGGCTCACAGCGATGGCTTAGTTCTGGTGTGTGCAACAGATTCGCATGCTAGCTCTGCCTTACCCCCCACATATCGATAGAATCCATATTCCACTGGTACCGATGCAGCTCAAATGGTCGGATTTGATGGCTTATCTGCCATGGACGCTCTCTATACGTCCCATTTCACATCCGTTAGGCAACCTGTAGGTCGATATGGCGCTCATACAGTTTACTGTCATCGACAAGTCTCTTCCAGCTCAACTACCACCTCTATACACTCCCTCGCCCGGATAGCCTCGCTAATCGGTACTTCATATCTGACACTATTCGCGAGGAGCTACAGATGCGTTCCGAGACAATACACATAGCTCCAGCGCCTGGCCTGAACCTCCCCGAGGAATTGCAAGGGTACCACACTATCACTCCGCTAGAGCTTATTGGCGGGGAAAGACGCAAATTCTGGAACTGGTATTCTACGGTGTACCGCGCAATCAGCTCTACAGATGGAGTAGCTTATGTACTGAGGAGGATTGAAAGTGCGCCATTTTCCTGTCCAGATACGGGAGAACATGCGTAATGCTAATACGTCCAGACTTCCGCCTGATGCAACAGGCCGCGTTCTCCGGCATTGAAGCATGGTCACGCCTCCGGCATCCGAACGTCGTCTCTATTCGGGAGGGGTTCACAACGCGGGCCTTCGGCGACAGCTGTGAGTGTCCATGCCCATGTACATAAGTACGTGCAATTGATCACTGGCGGCTCGCTCCTTCAGCGCTGGTTGTGGTCTACGACTATCATCCGAACGCACAGACGCTATATGACGCGCATATAAAGCCGAAGGTGCCCCAGTTCCAGAACGGGCGGCTGCAGGCGCAGGCACCTCGTCTTGCCGAGCGTACTGTCTGGTCCTACGTTGTGCAGATTGCGAGTGCGATAAAAGCCGTGCACGACGCGGGTTTGGCGGTGAGGATCATTGACGCGACCAAGATTCTTGTCACGGAGAACAATAGGTAAGGGGCTTCACCGTCTCAACTCTGATGCAGCCTCCTACGTTTGTCCCTGTATCGAATGCCCCACGGTGCGCTTGACACGAGTCTGATTCTGTTGTTGCCCAATCAGGGTCCGCATTGGTTCATGCGGTATTGTGGATGTGCTTACGTACGAGTCGCGTACGGATATCGCCATTTTGCAGCAAGAAGACCTGGTAATGTTCGGCAAACTGGTCTTTGCGCTATGTAATAACAATCTGGCGGCGATGAACAACTTTCCGAAAGCGGTTGAGAACCTCGGCAGGCACTATTCCCCGGACTTGAAGGCGGTTGCGCTCTTCCTCGTTTCTAAGCCTGGTCCGAACAAGGTGTGCATTGATTTTCCTGCGCATCATTGCATCGTTGTGTGACTCTTAGGTTTTTTAGACTATAGGTCATCTCTCTGAGATGATCGGGAGCAGACTGGTGATGGAGATGGATGAGATGCAGAAGTGAGTCATCGACACCGCCTCGAGACACAAATCGGTCTAAAATCTGTTATTTCCATCAGCGCTGTCGACCGCCTTGAGAGCGAGTTGATGTCCGAGCTCGAGAATGGCCGCCTTGTGCGCCTCCTCTGCAAGTTCGGTTTCATCAACGAGCGTCCGGAGTGAGTCGCCGACCTACTCAGGATATCCGATTTCCTTCAGGTTGTCTGATACAATGTCTTTTCGCATGCAGGTTTGCACGCGAGCCCCGATGGTCCGAGACAGGCGACAGGTACATTATCAAACTGTTCCGGGACTACGTATTCCATCAGGTGGACGACCATGGGAACCCGGTGGTCAACCTGTCGCACGTCCTCACCTGCCTCAACAAGGTGCGTCACTTGTGTTTCTGTGGAGTGCGAGTTGTGAAACGTGTGCACAGCTGGACGCAGGGAGTGGTGAACGGATCATGCTGGTATCTCGGGACGAACAAAGCTGCTTGGTGGTGAGCTACAAAGAAGTCAAGGCGTGCATCGATTCGGCGTTCGGGTGTGTGCTGGAACCCCTATTTCCAATGAATCTGCTGATAGGATAACGTTTAGCGAGCTATCGAGGAGGTGATGCGGCAAAGTTTGACCATCGCTGTTCAGAAAACATGTAGAACCAGAAAAAGACGCGGAAAATATAGATAAAAGGTCGACGATTGCATTTTCTCTAGAAATTTTCCGAGCGGGTGGAGTGAAACATAAATAACTGTGATCTTCAGTGCGTCAACCGACAATCCACCTTGGCCAGCGCTGCGCCAAAGTCGTGGAACATCGACATGCGCCACCGCATTGTACGAGGGGTGCGCACTGCCTTGCGATTTCATCGACAAGATGCTATGTCATTTCGCCGCATCCTGCGAGTTTTGACAAAATAGTTGTCTGTGTGGCATCGCGCAATGGCCGCAATAGACACCACATCAGCACAAGGATCGTTCGCCGCTGCTCGGCCACATCTGGATAGGTTGGTCTGGGCGTCGCTCCGGTGGGTCAAGACCGGGCTCCTGCCTGGGATTGTGATGCGTCTGCACTCTGTTTGTATTGGGAACAATGGCTGCGTGCGGCCAGAACAGTCGTGATCGTATGTTCAGTTGCCACATGTGCCAGTTCTCCTATCTTCTCAGGCCGCTTCCTGTAAACCTTACCGCAATCACGGCAGGAGATCTGCCGCATCGTGGTTGTCCGCATATTCCTGCGTTGTCTCAACCACACGCAGCGAAACGATAAGTGGAATGCTTGAGACTGCCGTGCACGCCTTGAGGCTCAGACACAGGCCTGCGTCGGCCACATGAATATATTGATATTGGTATATATGAGAGCGGTCATGTGACGGCCCCCGTCGTCGGTAGCGATGCCTGCCATAATTGGGTCAAGGCGAACGGGTTATGCGGACAGCAGCTTGTCCTTGCTGGTCATCTCGCTTGTCTACTGCTTTCCTAGAACGTGCCCGCACTCGTACACGTTGGATCTTGCTGTTGGACCGACTTTCCGCATCTTGCATCGACCGTCAGACAAATGGCCACTGCCTACGCTCAGACTCCCAGCGCCCTCCAATCGCCCCGACAGCAATACCTGCAGCCTACTCCACAATCACAGCGGAGACACGCATCTAGACGGAAGTTTGCAGCGGAATTCTCACAGTGCCTTTATGAGTTTGTCATACAGCTCCTCCCGACCCCAGAGGAGTTGATGGTAAAGGAGGACGTCCGAAAGCTTCTTGAGCAATTGATCCGCACCATCGAGCCTGACAGCCGGCTTTTGTCGTTTGGCAGCACGGCGAACGGGTTTAGCCTACGCAATTCAGGTAAATGATGTACTCATCCTGCGCTCACGGATATTCCTAATATCCTATTAGACATGGACTTGTGTTGTCTGATCGATTCGGAGGAGAAACTTGCGGCTTCGGATTTGGTCAATATGCTGGGAGATTTGCTCGAGAGAGGTACAACCTTGCGCCTTGGGAGCTCGTGGATTGTCGTTGACTTGCCCCGCAGAAACCAAGTTCCATGTCAAGCCGCTGCCACATGCTCGAATACCCATCGTCAAGCTGTCGCTCGATCCAGCGCCTGGTCTGCCGTTAGGTATTGCCTGTGATATCGGATTCGAGAACAGACTCGCGCTGGAAAATACGCGTCTCCTCATGTGCTACGCCATGATCGACCCTGCTCGCGTTCGGACGATGGTCCTATTCTGTAAGTGATCTCGACGTGAACAGATTTGGAAAGAATTAAAAACATATCGATGGGCTGTCTGTAGTGAAAGTTTGGAGCAAACGCCGGTACGTCTTCCGCTTCAGGTGAAAGGTGGGATACTCAGCGTTTACGACGGTAATACAGGAAGATCAATTCACCATACAAAGGGACTCTGTCATCATATGGATATGTCCTTCTCGTCATCTATTTCCTTGTACATGTAAAGAATCCACCTGTTCTGCCAAACCTGCAGCAAATGCCGCCTCTTCGTTCAATATCACATGTGCGTGTTTCTGCCTCCGTCCTGTTTCAGGATGCTCAACGACAGTGAACAGGAGGACACCCACCTAAATGGTCATAATATATGGTGAATCCTAACTAACGACTGGACACACTCGCAGTTCTCACGCCGCACAGGTTTTTTGATGACATAGAGCTACTACGACAACGTTGGAAATCGTCGAGCACAGAAAGCGTGGCTGAGCTGTAGGTCCAAGGATGGTCTGCCTTACAATAGTATTGACACGCCTTTCCGGTAGCCTTATTGATTTTTTCAAGTTTTACTCTCGCGACTTTACGTACAGTACCGGTGTAGCCTCCATTCGAGCAGGATTGCTTAGCAAGGACAGCAAGGGATGGGCGAACGAAGTGAGTGGGAAGATACTGAAACATATTCATCGTTGAGACTAGCACACATAGTTCGACAAGGGAGACCCGAGAGAACGGAATCGTCTATGTATCGAAGTAGGTCGTCATCATCGCGTCGGTGGCATGTTACTCATCGGTTGACAGGACCCTTTCGAGATCGACTACAATGTAGCGAGATGCGTTACCAGGGATGGCCTATACACCGTGGGTGCTCTTCCGTTGTATTGTGTCCGACTCATTAATTTACTTTGCACCGTAGATCCGGGGAGAGTTCATGCGAGCATCACGCATCCTCGCAGCCTGTCCCGACAGGGCGGTCGTTGCCATCTCCGAGCTCTGTGAAGAGCGGCTGGACGAGGAGCTGCTACACCCATCTCCACCTCGTGGAGCATTCGTACCACCCCGTCTGTCTCCTCTGCCTCCTCAAATCCCATATACTATCGGCAGCAGTCCGATGCGTCCCATTTCTCTGCCCGTAGCTGACCAGCTTACTGCTTCGGAGAAGACTTCCGCTAATGGCACGTCTCCTCCATCAATATCTTCAATACCGTCATCTCCGCCGCAACCGCCTTCGACGGTGTTGTCCGGATGCGCTGGGATTCAGAACCCGCTTCCGATCGATCAGCTTGAGCATATGGCTCCGAAGCGCTCCAAGTGGACCAGTCTTCCGCCGCCTGAGGCCCCAGAGGAGGACCGCTCAGCATTCGAGCAACGGCTGGGTCAGAGTCTCGCTCTTGCTACAGTCGCCAGTGCGGCGCGTGAGCGGGAACGACACACTGCTCCGTCTGTTTCTTCTTCGGCTGCCAGCGAAGTTCCGACGGACGACGAGGCACCGTCCGACATTGCGGAGTCGGACGACGTGCACTCTGTACAGTCTTTTACCGAGGAAGGCACACTGAGTCGACGGCGGGAGAAGGAGACGGAGGCTGATCGAGAGCCAACTGTCACGCTTGAGCGTCAGCAATCGCGTCAGATGCGACCAGACTCCATGTACTGCGTGCAGGACCCGTCAAGCTCCCGCCAGGCTGTACGGCAGGAAAACACACTGGACGCGAAGACGTTGGCAAAACTGAGAGGGCGCGCGGCCTTGAAATGGCCTCAAACGAGTGACACGAATTATAAGCCGCAGCTGGTGGACAAGCAGGCTACCTACGTTCTTCCTCCGCGGACAGATACCCCACGGACACCACGGCGCTCGCTTTCGGGTCCGGCGCGCACGCCGCTCTCCAATCGATTCTCTCAGATGGCTATACCCCCGTTCGTACCCGGACCGCCATACTTTACCCCAGATCTGTCTACCTCGCGGCAAGCACCGCCCCACCTTTCCAACGTTAATGTGTACTATGAAACGACTCCGTCTAAGGATAAGATGTATCGCGTCTTGCCGTATGCTTTCCCAATGTCTCCTGTGTCCCCTGTGTCCCCACAGCAGCAGTACGACGTCCTGACATATTACGAGATTGCGCGCGGCCTGAATGGCTCGCCTTCATCGTCACCTCGGCATACGTTCGCTGCACCTCAGCAAGATCTGCCTTCCTCACGACAGCCGGCACCACGGCACTTGCCTCCATCATTACGTCGCAATTCCAGGCCCATCGTCCAAGTTGGCGCGGGCTCTTCCTCTCTGCATGTCGATGACGCGAGGTTATCATTGTCGCCGGGCGGCTACTCGCATTCCCATTCCCATTCGACGGCCACTACTCCCCGAGCACACGTCCAGGACTTCGGCCCTGCGCAGCTGCCGTCACCGTCGCTCTCGAGGTCGCACTCGCCGCCGGATCTGCAACGAGAGCCGCAACAGGGGCTCAAAGCCCAACAACACCTTCCTCCACTACTGAGCGGAGAATATGGCGCCAGACTGCCATCCTCATCGGCTTCTGTCTCGTCAGAGAGTGCGTCGCCGCCAATGTCTTCTACGAGCTCTCAATATGCCGCGTCATGTTCGCCGCTCTCCACCTCTCCGCCTTCGCCCACGCATTGCGATGCCTTTGGCAAGCAGCAGTCAAGAGTGCATGATTCGCCACGTCAGTCTGGGAGGGGGCCACCGCAAACCACTCCGGCAGGCCGGGGGACGGGGGATGGCCACGGCATGACGGTCGTTACTGGCCAGAGGGGACCGACACATGCTCGAGATGTGACGACAGCCCAAGTCGGAGCCACGCGTTCGCACGCGAATGCTCGATAGCGCTGGTTGAGTGCACTTATCCCTGTTGTATGCTCATCTAGATCTGCTGAGCAGAATCTGTCTGCATCACAGTGTGTGGTACTTACCGTCTGAGTTCCCCGGCGCCTCTCTGTGTAGCTCCTTCCGTCATGCTGCTACTGGCATTTCTTTCAAACACTGATGGCCCTCGGATGCTGTGTAAGTCTGTTGGCCATGCTTCTCGTGACCATTGCATAGCATGTATCTTAGACTGACTTTACGGGCATGAACAATGGCGTTATTTGCAGCCTGCTTATCGGTTGCATGTCAACCACATAATCCCCTGTCTACGCGGATGTACATACTACATGATATAAAATGGGGCTGTACAGTAGTACTTACTGCACTACTGAATCGATGTACCCTCGCAACAACGCGCCGATGCATGTTAACCGTGCGCAACTAGACGCGGCGTCGGGCTGTGAAACAAATCGGGCGTCTATGTGGTGTGATTTCGTGTGACCTTACGTGCCACCCTGTCACTTAGGGCCACTGACATTCTGAATCCGGCTTTAGAGTCTGCTTGAAGACGACGCTCGCCTCGGACGCAACTCCTTGAACCATTTATGCTTCTTTATGTGGTCATGATGCCAGAAGATATTAGAAAGGATGAACTGGACACATCCACGGTGTGATTCCTATGTTTACAGTCCAAAAGCGAGCAAGACTGAACAACTTTCACATGCGATTTCAGAGGCCAAGCAAGCGGCCAAGAATGATGGGCTTTGCGGACGGCTTCGTTAAAGAGAAAGCGTCGGTGAAGATCTCCACACCGAAATTCGTGTCTGCTTTCGACAGCCTTGGACCCTCCACATCGGCAGGAACATCCTCACGACTAAAACCCTCTGTTAAAACTCCGTCACGTCTGTCCAATATCTCTGTGCCTTCTCCCAAGTCACAAGCGAGTCAACTTCGTGACAAACCAGGGGACTCATCAAGAATGAGCAAGCTTATTTCCGTGCGCGTCCTGAAACCACCAGCATTTCCTGTTCCGCCTGCGATTGAACGAACAGAAGAGGTCAGAACAACGAGAGAAAGTGGCACTATCACGGCTCGAAGACCTGTGCTGACTGCTCCACGTATAAGCTCAAGCAAGAATCTGACAAGTATTCATCGTCTGCAGCCGCGCCCTATCACCCCTCCCCGCGAAAAGAAGAAGATTCTGACCGACCTTGCTCCGCCTCCCTTACCCGGAGCTGGGCCCGCCTCCGGTTCCTTGAAGTCAATCTTTGACACCGCCGTCGCGCGCGCTACTGACTTTCGCTCAGAGAGTGGACAAGCCGAGGTGCTTTCAATATACCTGCAGCAGCATGGACACGGATTCGTGGATCCACATGAACGCGAGCTGCAGCGTGGTCTTGAACAGAGCCCCGAAAAAGCCTCGAAGCGTACCAAGGCGGCGAAGTATGCGAGGTATGTAATTCGTACAATCAGCACATTCCGATATCGATGGGATGTATTCCTTTGCAGAGGTGGCCTAGCTCAGAGGGCAAGCGTGCAATTCTCTCATCGTCGGACGGCACTTTCCTTATGGCAATCGTCGTTGGAGCTGGAGATGCGCTCTGGCAGGGCTCTAGTTCCCGACATGCATCTGCGTGTCACTTCAGTCAGATACTCTGCGAACCCTGCCGACCATCAACGCACGTCTCACGCGCCTTGCGTGGCTCTCGTCCGTTGTCGTGTGGTGTCTGCACGCAAAGAAGAGGATGTCACTGTCATGCTCAACTTCGATGGCGTAGGATCACGCGCGACGCCGTTCAACAAGGTATCGGAGCTTCAGGATGGCCGGGAAGTCTACGTGTGGCGACCTTGGAATAGCATAACGATCCCGTCGGCTTTTTCACTTCCTGGAGGCACGGAATGTGACAACATCATGTTCTGCTCCCGATTCTGGCTCAAGCCGGCTTGACTCTGGCCTGATTGTTTCCCGTGTCTCTATGTTCTGTCCTGTTTCCTTGGATCTATACCGTGTCCGATGTACTTGTAGCATGTGGCAGCCGATAAATAGCAACTTTGCCAACGCTTCGGTCACGGTCACGTGCCCAGACTCATCGCGTCCCCTGCGATGCGGTGCACGTCCTTGAACTTTGTGCCACACGAGAGTCAAGGTGATTTATTGGCCCTCACCTGTGGATAGACAATTCTACATTGTCTCGTTCCTCTCCCCCCAACGCAAAAAAGCATTCATCATACACATGCCTGGCCGCTCGAGCAGAAATACGGTGCTGTTGCCGCAATTTTCTACCGAGTCATGGGATGCTCACGATGACGTTTCTAGCTCTCTCAGCAATCCTTGAGCAGTGATGATGCAAAGTACGTGCGTATATGCGATATGTTCTCACGCTTCGCTGATTGTTCTCGCATGATAGCATTGTAGCTGCCGTCGCACAGCAGATGCACAGTAAGGCGCCGCCTAGGCCGAAGCGAGATAGCGTATTGATTACCGGTATTTATGCACAGCATCATGGGAGAAGAAGAAGAAAGAGAAAGAAAACAAGTTTGCAAGGGATGCGAAATCGTCCCTGGACAGATGCGTGAGCCGCTCTGCAGAAGTGACTATATGCGCTTATTTCCGCTAAACAAACGGTACAGGTGTCGAACAGGGCGACCGAATACGCCGAAGCTATGGCAGAGTTGTGCGCATATATGAGTGTGCTGCTTGCCATTGTCCGGACTGATGGTCGCTTGCGAGCAGCAATGAAGTGTACGAAAAGTTCATTATGGACTATGCGGCAGTGGAGGACGAGATTCGCAATCTGTGGGTCCATTTACTGAGGGAACAGCAGAAGCTTCTTGTATGTGCGATCACTCGACGCTCATTGCAATGATTCGTTGATGTGTTAGTAGGTTCTAGCAGAGCAGAAACACAAACGCGTGGTAGAGAGCGAGAAAGTTCGAGAGCGTGGCCAAGTGCAAGGCATGGCTATGGCCAAGAAAGCCATGGAAGGTTAGTAGCTTCTGTTGCTTATGAAATTCGCTGAGAATGTGAGAGCGCTCTTCTAGACTACATCCAGCTCGCCAATTCTCTGCGAAATGTCGAGTCCTGAACGACGGACGGCGAACAGTCCCTTCATTCCACATCCGCGTAGCTATGCAGAGAAGTATCGTTTGCACGCAGTACATTCGGCAGCAGCATTGACATACAGGAGGAATGCGCATTGATGCGCTTCAAAGCAATGAGATTACATTACAATTACGTTCTCAACGCTTTCTGCCTCCGTTCTCGCCTTCTTTGTGATCCGGACGCCCGAGAGCGCCTGCGAGAGTACTTCAGTGTCGTCGCGGCCATCCTCTTCATCCTCACGCTTTCGTTTCTCCGCCTTTCCGCACTGCGTCGCAGTGAGAGTGGCACATACCGGAGTCTGACTCACGGCATCCTGATCCAAATCAATATCCATCATGTCTGCGTCCCCTCCTGTGGCGGGTTTGATTTTGAACACGTCTTCATATTCATGACGATAGAGACCCTTGAATTTAAGGACCTGCAGCGCCAGGATCCGCACCCACTCCAGCTGGAATTTCCTCTCCGTTTCCTCTGCTTTGCATCAGTTGAGGCTGCCTACGCAACGCAATGAACCTCGAGACGCTCACCGTTAGGGATACTCCACGTCAACTTCAACCCATTACGAACTTTGAGGACCTCCGAGATACAGATGACGTCTGTTTTGCTGAGAGCCCGCTTGAAGCCGATCAACCCTGCTGAACCGTTTTCTATAGATTTAGAGAACGGACGATCTTCCAGTTTGTAGAGCAGTTTCATTGTGTTCTGAGAACCAAATTAAATGGCCAAGCATGACAGAACCGCATAAAAACCAACCCGTATGTCTTCGATAAGGACATTTCCGTCACAACTTTCGAACATCAATGTCGCGCTCTTGATGTACGGTATGCTCTCTTCCTCGAGAAAGGGGTCCTCATCATCGGGTTTGTACACTGCGATTTCCTTGTCCAAAAGCTTGAAACGCACTAGGACTTCGCATGTTTTGTTATGAACGCATTTCCAACGTTCGAAACAGGCGAATTCCGGGGGAATTCCCTTGAAAACGCTCTTGGCGAGCCTTTTCATCTCAAACTTCGTTTCGGACCGATGCCTCCTAGAACGCACATAACCTCGCCTCTCAACAACAGCCACCCTGGCTCTGTAGTGCCTATCTTTTGCAATAAGTTCGAAGTAATCCTCTCTGAAGACAACGTTCGACCAGAGAACTTCATAGTAACGTCTATTTGGGACATACCCCGATAGAATAAGGAGTTCGCGGTTGTTCCACATGGGTGCATCGTCAAGAAATGCATTCCGGGATTCAATGTTTGCGTATTCGATGAATGCAGTAACCTGCAAATCGATCAATCATATATTCGACGTCAAAATCACTAACGGACCGTGTTCGCTGGCCCGATTTGTTTCACGCGGATTTGTTTTGTTTCGCCGTATCGCTTGAAGAAAGCTTCCAGAGGCTGCGAAACGTCCCCTGCAATAACTTGGAATCCTTTCTGCAACGATGCTCGATCGTCGTGGCTAGACGTCAAGTGCGTCTTGTTGCTTACCGCGAAAACGCTCCGCTTCTTGATTTCCTTCCAAGCTTGACTACGTCTCTTTCCCGCCCATGTGCAGTCTGTTGTCGGTGTTGCCCCTTCACCGAATCGGATCAGATCATCGATTCGCGATATAGACATATTTCTTCTTTTAGAGCGCAACATCAGTTACTATGCCTATGTAGAAAGCAACCTCATGCCAACCTTTGAAGTGCGTATAGCTGTCTGCCAATGCTGAGAACTTCTGATCAAGTATATGAACCATTACCTCGTTGTCCATGCGCGGAGTTGAGAACAATGTTGACGCATTATTTGTTCACGTCGGTCCCGCAATTCCCACAGATAACACTGGCCCTCCACCTCCACAATATTAGTTGAGATGGTAGCCTAGTTGTTGCATGCGCATGTCTCGAAAGACTTCTATCGCTTGAAATAAGACGATGATGAGATGTGGAGTAACTTGAACGCACTGTCCTGATTAGGTGGTTTGAAAATTACGCGTCTTGACGCGTCTGTGGCGGACTGTCACGCAGGATGTTAGCGAATCTCGTGATGATGTCACAAGCTCGAGGATGTGTTCAAAGTCGCGCTTGTTCAATACGTTCAACGTCAACGTTCAATGGTTGCCATTGAAGTTTACTGTCTGTAAGTTCTGCTGCTCATTTCTATGCTCGACATGCTCGTAGAGGACTTGATCAAGGGCCACATTTTGTGGCAACGTGTAATGCATTCGTGTTTCAGCATCTTCGGAGACTTGGATCAGTTCGTACTTTTCTGTAGCAAATTCCTAGCACTGGTGACATCTCAAGCCGAGGACTTCGTAGTGCTCGCGTCGCTGCCAGATATTTCTGTTGCCTGCGTGGACATGCCCAGTCAAGCAAAACAAGGTGTGGTGCTAACGCTCAGCTCTCTGCTGAAATCGATTGCTTACGGCCATAACGTGTTTCTCTCAACAGTTCTTGAGCTTGATATTGATGATACAAGACGGAGGCATATATAACGTCAACCTCCCGACGTGAATGGCTGAGAGATGCATGGCAGCATCGTGGCTGCTGTTGCCCAACAGATGTATACTATCGAAGATGGAACACAATGTCGACCTCCAAGGAGTCCCCGACTTTGTTCTGGAGCCCTGTCGGAAACGAGAAAAAGCAGAACGAGAGAAAGTTTCAACTTTGCCCTTGGCATCGTTGAGTAAATGCTAGTGTGTAAGTGCTCCATAGAGACTCTACTATTACTAATGGCTGCATGCGCATATTCCTACTGACGGTTGCCACAGGTGTCGAACAAGGAGACCGAGTATGCAAGCTATGGCGGAACTATACACACATATGAGTGCTAATTTCTTATCTTATCCGTCTCATGGTCCGGTTTGAGCACCAATGAAGCATACAAAAAGTCCGTCGTGGATTATGCTGACCAGTGACCGCAGTGGAGAGCATGACCCGCAAGTTGTAAGTCCAAATGATGTGGGGAAGCTTTTCGTGTGTATTCCATTAAAATGCTTTCATATTGTATGTGAATGTTTCGCAGCTGCTAACAGGGCAGAAACACAACCGCATGGTGAGCAAGAAGGCCAGGCAACGTGTTCAAGTGTAAGGTGTGCTGTGGCCAAGAACGCCATAGAGAGCAAACTCGACAATTCGCTGTGCCACGTTGAATTTCTATTTGGGTTGCATGAAGATGTGGCTCTAGCTGCCTAGACACTCGAGAGACGTTCCTTACCAGTCGTATCTACGTTTCAGTCCACAATGGGTTCAGGCATGAGTACTATGTATGCGAGGCATGCCCAGTGCATGAGCATATAAACAAATGGGCATCCTGTAATGCCTGCGAGATTCATCACGAGGCACAGAAGAGTGTAGATCATAAGCGCTCACTCCTTTGATCCCGACGTTCGTCTTGTCTGCTGACTGTCTGGCTGCCACTGCCGTTTGGTGCCTCCGAGGCGGTCGTGTCGCCTTGACTTTGCTGTTCCCGGTGTCGCTGACTTGGATCACGGATTTACGAATATTCACGATCGTTGTAGTTTGTGAGCAGCCGGTCGGGAACGTTTCGGACCGCGTAAATGCTGACGCATGGATAGTCTTGAATGCCTCCTCAGATTAAAGATGCCGGCCGAACATCTCGTCTACGTTCCAACACCACCAACTTCGTTCCGTTCAATTGGCGGCGTGGTAGAACTGACCCAACCTCGGCGACAGCTCCTATCAGCCCGCCCACGATGCCTCTGGAGGCTCTAATTGAAGCGCTCTCTCCTCCGGCTGTGCCCTCGCTTGCCCATGCACGAGCTCTGTGCTCTGCACTCGCGAACAAGGCCCCGAATCCCAATCTCGCTAAAATCAATTCTCTCTTGGCTTCTCTCTGTTCATCCGAATCCCCACCTGCATTGCAAGCTGCGGGATATGACATTCTGGCCGCCTACTGGGAGAATAACGGGGCGGCGGTGCTTACTACTGCCGATAGGCTCTCCTGTCTATCTCTATTCCTTCATCCTGCTGTCCCGTGGCTGCCTGAGGTGTGGGAGTCGCGTTTCAAGGCGTTGGTTGCTATCATACAATCCGGCGCCGAGACGGTGGGCATGGAGAGCGCTCTGTTGAAAGTGTTAAGATCATGGATTGAGGGTGCTTTCGATGGCCTTGTGCGTCTTCAGGCCCCATCTCCGGAGGAGAGGTTTGAGCGAGAGCGGAGCGTCACGACACTGACTGCATTCCTCACCCGTCTCGTGAGCAAACCTGAGTTTGTGTCCAGGCTGTCGGAACATGATACCTCGGAAGTCTTGGAACTATGGGTGAAGCTGATAGACAGAGCGCTGCTCGTTCCTACAGACGATGCGTTCGGCGGTTTCTCTTCCCAAACGGATCTGCTATCGCTCAAGCGGACCTCGTCGCATGGTAGACACCATTCGGCGGCGTCGTTACCTCAGGCTGGACCTACGAAACACCCGGCGGATATCATAGTCGACGCCTATCTGCAATATCTCGACACGCGGCTGAATGCCCTTGCCCCTCTGTACCTCGAGATGATCCTGCCGCTGCTGTTTCGCGCTCTTGCGTTCTATGCAACACCCCTTCCCCGGATATCACTTACTCCCAGCGAATCTCACCAGCACAATTTAGAGCAGACCATTGTCGGCCTGCTCAGCAGCCTCGTAACAGGCCCGTACTCGTCGACTTGCACGAATTTGCTCAAGCGATGCCTATTCCCTGCCGCCCAGATCTCTCACGTCAACATACAGACCACAGTCGGCGCGCTTAAGACACTGCGAGCATCTATCCGTGAGACTCTCATCACCCGCTTGGCGCGCGCGTACATCATCCGATCCAGTTCCGTTGAATACTCTCCCGCAGGTGCTCCAACCCACCTCAACCTCGAGCGCGAGTTAATGAAACGTGCTTGGTCGAAGGATGACTCTGCACCGTGGGATCTAATCAGGTTCCGCACAGTGCTGTGTCGAGCAGTCCGGGCTTGGGCGGATAAAGAACAGGACGGGCGCGATGAAGTTACGAGCATGCCGAAGGAACTGGTCTTGGACGAAATCGCGGCCATCTTGAAGGACGTCGTCCAGGCACTTGACCAGAAGGGGGAAAGCGAGGAGACGGAGGATGAGGAAATTAGTGCCGTGGGCGATATTCTGCGCGAACTTGTTGCTTATGTCCGTCAGACAAAGTATGTTCAATTTACTGTCCAATTCCGACGTCTCATGAACACTGTTTCTACCGAAGGACGCGAGACGGAAATCCGATCACGCTATTCTCGCCGCAACTCGGAGAGACCTCGCCGTTCGTCAAAGACGTGTCTGCGCTGCTCGGCCAGGATTTGAACAGCACGCCTCTGTTTCCAATTCTACCATCTATCCTGCTCTCGTGTTCGGAGCTGCTTACCGACGGGGACACTGCTAATCTGCTGTCAGTGATGTCGGAGCGACAGTCACTCACGCCTACGTCCCCGTCGTGGCTTGAGCATTGGAACGACATCCTCTCGATACCTGATCTATACTCTGCGTCACGGCTGATGACACGTCAGGTGGCCATGGACATCATGAGCTCCGTATGGGAGTTTGTCAAGGATATATCAGTGTATCGCAAACCCCTCGCCGAGATGATTTTCCAGTTCTGGAGGCAGCAGACTGCCGGGGACATGGAGGATGCCACAGTCACCGTGATTTGGCATATTCTGGGCGACGAGGTCGTGCTGCGCAGGGTTGAGGCAGCGGGCGATGAAGCTTCCGCGGACCATCAGCTCGCTGCAGACATACTGGCGTTTCTCACCAGCATTGCTGGTGAACGACAGGACGATGACGATGACGATGACGCTGCGTCCGTCCGGACTGCAGAAATTTCGACAAACGTATCTCCACCGCTCGCTCCGCCTACGACAGCAGCAACTTCTCCTATCATCTCACGGGCGCAATCAGTCTACCCGCCCAAAGAAAGGGAGTCAACGATCCCATCGGTTATGTCGATCCTATCGACGCTGACCTCTGGTAACCCAGCCCGCTCGCAGTCACAACCTCCGCAATCGGCAGCAACCGAGCCTCGCGTAGAGTCGCCTCCACCTCTTTCTCCAGTGCTTCCCCCGGTGTCGAAAACCATGGGTGCAGTTGTCGCCCTTGTCTCCATATTCAGTCAGCTAGCATTCACTGCACTTGTTTCGACCCAGAGCAACAGGGAGCTGGCGTTACGTGTGTTTCGCACTCTTATCGACCTGTTAGAAAGCGCTGAATGTATCAGAGCCCGGCTCATGGTCCTTCAGTTCATGATGCGTCTGAGAGTGGACCGTGACCACAGGCTTTACTTCTCAGGTACTGATTATGACAAGAACGGGCAGATCTTTTCCCTTGCTACCCTCATCAGTCGAGTCCCGCGATCTGCTGCATCTGCCGACCAGCTTGCACACGACCACGATCCGCACAGCGCACGTGCTCGTGCCGTTCAAGAGCGTAACGGCAGAAGACCATCTCGCGGGCGAGGGGGACATCCGTCGAGGATAGAGTCGCGGAGTCGTTCTCGAACCGCACCTCGTATAGTTTCTCAACCGGCCTCGATTCGACGCTTGAGGGCGAGGGATCCGATATGGGCAATCCCGGAGACGCTACCTTTTGCTATAGGAGAATCTGGCGTGGCCAGCGAAGGCGTCATGTCGTATGATCCATCTGGCCCTCGGCAAGGCATTGTCCTTCCATTGTCTACCTATCTCAGTAAGATGGTCGACATCATTGAAAACGAGAAGGAGTGGGAGATCCTGTCCTATGTGCTATGTCATTTCCCTACTCAACTGGCCAACAAGCACCTCTTCTGCGGTCCCAAGTCGCGAGTAGTGCTAGGTCGGCTGCTTACCGTCATCTGTTCAGGCATCGCTGGAGGGACCCTTGCTATGAATGTCGAGCGCTGGCCCGAGAACATCGTCGCACGGGATGCGCACGGTCTGGCGTATCATACGCTGACGGTCCTCATCAGTTACAAGCGGTGCTTCCCAGACTTGCATATTCAGCATCGTCTTGTGGAGGTATTTCTTCTAGGACTGAGTGGCTTGCCATCTACAATCAAGTGCTGCTTGCATGCTCTGTCATTATCAGCTTTCGAGCTCCAGCCATCTATGACTAGATACGCGTCTAGAATACTGGAAAAACTGTCCCAGATCATGTCAAACCCAGCCATGGCTGTCGATATCATCAATTTCCTGGCGATCGTGGGCTCTATCAACAGCTTGCACGCGAATTTCACGGAAGGTGACTACAAGATGGTCTTCGGCGTTGCGTTGCAATACCTGCAGCATCACAATCATCTTGACGATACCATGCCAATATCCTGGGCTTTGTCTCAGCATGTTCGTATCATGTCATACTATATCGTCTACCTCTGGTTTCTAGCCGTTCGCCTGGCGGATAGGCATCGCCATGTGAAGTTCATCTCAAGGCAATTGCTGCTCGCGAACGAGGGTAGGGACGACATAGACGAATATACTGAGGTTTGCTTCGACTGGCTTGCACGCTACACGTATGCAAGTGCGGATCCTCGACCTGCTCCATCTATGCTCGGCGAGATCGTCATGAACCCGAGCATGCAACGACAGTCCACTGAATCTGCCATCAGTGAGAAGACGTGGGTCGCGGGCAATGCTGTGATCACCATCCGCACGTTGAAAAAGCGGGGTTGGGTAGAGGTGCTTACTCGTCGCTCATCTGGGCTCACCAAGTTCCTCTGTCGGGCAGAAAATGTTCCAATGATACAATTGGGCGATGTTGACCCTGACTTTGTCTCGGTCGTTGCAACCTTGACTCTCGACCAAGGCTTGCAGGAACCAGACACCGCGTCTACAGTCGGGGCATCTTCAAACGAGCCACCTTTGGTGAGTCGTCCGTATGGGGTGGACGTTCACAGTATTGAAGTTGTCTGGTTTTGCAGCAATCACTTGTTGCCCTTGGCGATGGAGAGACGCCCGTGTCAAAACCTGACTCTATCACTGGCTATGTCTGGAGTGGTACGGCACCATCGCAGAGGCGCAAAGATGTGGCCATCTTGCCATCCTATTTTGCTCTCCAGCTCTCCTCGTACCCGGACATTCCTGCCACTTTGCACCAAGTTAACGATTTCAATCGGGCAGCAAAGTTCTTCCAGTCCTTGGACCGGATGCCAACCATTGACACCCACAAAGTTGGTATCATGTATGTGGCACCTGGACAAAATTCCGAAGGCGAGATTCTCCGGAACAGCCATGGCTCTCCGGCATACAGTCGCTTCTTGGAAGGATTGGCCAGGCTCATCAATCTATGTGGGCAAGTGGACGTTTACGCTGGCGGACTCGACCCAGATGAAGATGGCGAATACGCCTATGCGTGGTGGGACGATATCGGTCAGATCCTCTTTCATACAGCTACTCTTATGCCGTCGTCAGATGATGTACATTCTACGAACAAGAAACGCCACATCGGTAACGACTACGTCCGGATCGTATGGAATGACTCCGGCATGCCTTACAGATTCGATACGCTAGTCACTCAGTTCCAGTTTGTCAATATAGTGATCGAGCCTCACTCTCGCGGAGCCATCGCCGCCTTCTCGAATAATCAACATGAGAATGAATACTTCAAAGTCATCGTGCAACGTGCCCCTGGGATGAGCGACTTCACCCCTATAGGCGACTTCAAGCTGATCTCTGCTGAGAACTTGCCTCTCCTTGTCAGGCAGCTCAGCCTCCTTACGGACTGGTTCGTCTCTATCTTTCAGCACACACAGAATGACACCGTACGCGTCGAGATCACAACGAACTGGGTTTCACGATTACAAGCTATCAAGAGGTTCAGGATGCAAGCGATCACTTCAAGTGAGCCTGTTCCTACGGAGGAGGGCGTAATGGGGCAGACGTATCGAGATTTCACGACAGCATACTAGGATTGTATTGTTAGTTTGCCGAAGTTATCGCTCACATCTCTCGCTCATATGTAGCATATAGTATACCACCCTGCTATCAATATCGTTATTCACTGTCGCACGATCGCAAAATCAATTGTCAGCCAAAACAAAATACATCTGACATAAAACGGTCTGAGGTATACAAGATCTACTGTGAAACCTCCATTAGATCATGTTAGATCGATGACACTGTCAGGATCGAGGTCGCGGTACTTTGGACGAGATGAGGACTTTGCCCGGGCCAATGTGAGTGGTGCAATTTTAGAGACGGTCTGCGCATTGTCCGAGTCACTCGAGATCTCGATAACTGAAACGTCCGCTTTGGCGTTTACGTATTTCGCATTCCACTGTGCTCGGCGCGGCAGTCCCAGTGTGCCCTTCTGTCGTCCTAGAGGTGATGGAGAACCAGAGCGTTCAAATGCATCGTCTTCTGATGTGATATAAATAAACGCTCGAGACCCGCTTGCCTGCTTGCGCGGAGACCCATGCTTCTGCGATTTGCGCGGAGACTTTTTCAGCGGCGAATCTTCGAACTCGAGATCAGATGAACTGATAGACCGCTCCTGTGCCTTCTGAGGTGGCGTTGGGGCGTGCGGTCGTCCGGCTGGTTGGCTCTGGAAAGGATCATCTGTGGCCGAGGGGCTGTCCTCAAAAGATAGGGGAAATGGTGCGGGAGTAAAGTGACGCTTGGAAGAAGAAGATGGCGTAGATCCTGTGGGATTGTAGGAGTCAAGTGCTGCGAGGATGAAGCTCACTGCTGCAGATGAATGCGAAGATGATGAGGGTCCATAATTGGCCATGAGAGCTGGTAGCCTGGACGGAAAGGTTGGGAGAGCATTAGCTGACAGCTCGTCGTCTGAGCTCACATCGTTTATAGGCAGCCTCTTGGCGAACGGGACTTCCCTGGGTACGCGAGGAGACGAATGATGACCTTTGCTCGCTGCCGTCTTCAATGTCGCACGTGTAGTATTCTTCTCAATAATAGTGCCTTTCGTCGCTGGAAAGAGACCTTTCAAATTGCGCGATGAACCAGATGGAGCGTCCGCTGCTGGTTGACGAGCGGCACTATCAGTGGTCTTCTTCGTGTTCCGCGCTGCTGCAGAGGGTTTCTGCGGAGTCGGTGAAGTATATCCGTCCGAACTCTCCTCTTGCTCTTCTCGTATGGGCTCCACCATCTTGCTCTTCTTCTTACCCTTTCCCCTGGACGGAGATGGTTCTGTCACTGCAGCCTTAAACTGAGAATTTGTGCCACGCGCTGTGCCAGTGCCCTTGCCAGCCTTCTTCGCGCTTCGCATCTCCTGAATGCCCTCGAACTCATCGACAAGCTCGGGTTCAACAATGCGCACCATACATGCAGGGAGCCAGATGCGTAGGTGGCTCTGCGGATCCGGCGGCAGTTTCTTTTTGCCTTTCCCTTTTTGGTCACCCTCATGTTCATCGTCCCCGTCTGATGCTGAGAGTCCCGTATCGAGGGCAGTGCGAAGACCCTTTACGCCTGCTTCGCATAGCCGTGCTAGCTGAGTAGGGGCTATCTCGAGACGATATTCGAGGACGCCATCCGTGGAAGCATGCTGCCGAGACGAGCGGATTTTGACGATTAATGGCTCCTCATCCTCGTCGTCCTCCGCATCAGAGTCACGTCCGCCGCCTTTCATAGGAGAGCCGAGCTCTAGATAGGAGAAATGCTTCGCGATCATGGACGAAGGCGTGCCTGATACTTTACGTGCCTTGCCGCTCTTCCTCGGTGTAGAGGGTACGCCGATCGCTGCGCGCCAAGTTGACCTCGCTACCTTCTTGTCCTGCAAGAGTACTGATCGCCGTAGGATGCGTAGCACCGCCGCAGGCCACAGCACAGTTCTAAAACGCTTGATGATGATCTCTTTAACGCCCCACTCGAAGTACATTTCGCACAATGCTGCGATCTTGCCCAGATCCGGCTCCTTCTCCCAGTCAATTACTGTGTTTCTGTGACCCATGCCCTTCTCCTCAGATGTGATGGGATGCGTGTAGCTCAGCAGTACGTCCACGGGTGGGAAGTCAGTCGGCATCCTGTTGGCGAGCGCGATGTGTTTCTTTCCAAGAATTCCACGAGAGTTGGTCCGGAGCTCCGCGCGCACGTCATCGCGCCAGATCTTGAGGAACGCGGGCAGATCCTCGCGAGGAAGGGTGCGCGCCGCTTGTAGCAACGTATCGCCGAACCCGCATTTGGCCAGCCCGTGTGCGATCGTCGGGCCGCAGCCGGGGAGCCCCTCCTGCTGATAGTCGCCGCCGCGCAGGATGCCGATGAGGATGAGCCCGCCCTGGGTAAGCTGCACCGCTGGATGCTCGAGGATCTTGTCTGCCTTGTATATCGCAACATGGTTACCATCGTTTCGTCCATCGGCATTCTTGAGTGAGTGCGCATGGTTGCCGGTCAGGGTCAGGCTTGGGCTGGACAGCGGGCACGGCTTGAGCGCAGCACAGTGCACGCGATGCGATATTTACTCACTTGCGGACGATCATCTTTGCACCAAAGAGAAACGTGTCTACGTCATCAGTGTATACAGCATCTATGACACCGATGCGATTCAAGTAGGCGAGCTCAGCCTCGGCTTCTCCGGGTGCCTGAGGGATGTGTTGAATTCAATGAGAGGCCATGGGGGGAGCAACGCACCATACGCCATTCGAAGCCGAATGCATGAATGATAGCCTGCATGCCCTGTACCATCCAGTGGTGCTTACCGCTGACGCGTTTACCGCGCTTGATCTTGGGGCGCTTCGGACCATCGAATACGAACAGAGGCAGAAAGGGCGCGCTCATCAGTCGCATGCATTTGAAGAACAGAGTACGCAATTCTGGGTTCTCGCCTTCGCGACCGTAGGAGGCATGGAAGAACCAAATACTCGCGTCGATGCCGACGCGAAAGCCTCGGACACCATCAGGGTTAGCCTCGAACCCATCGACGACGGCGAGGTGAGTGAGCGACCGTGTCTCTCCGGCAGGACGGAGAATCTAAGTGGGTAAGTACATTTTGAGTGTACTTGAATCGAATGAACGGACGCACATTCCAAAGTCCGGGAACACCCATAGTACGTTCAGTCAAAACATTGTTTTCAACATCCGCCACACACGCGTCCAGCCGAACGACGCGTCCGTCACGTTACTGTCACACGACCGGTGATGCGCAGCGTCACTCATTTGAATTTAGTTGTATCAGATATCAGAGTGTGACGGTACGTGTTACACAAAGACATTCGCGCCTCAGGGTCAATACCTGGCATCGTTTTGCATTACGGTTTGATATCCTGCCACCTTCAGATGTATGGGATGCAGATAGTATTTCTCAAGAACGTGTGAGCTCTTTCAACCCCTGGGCCCTTCGCAGGTGCCTGCATGTTCCTGCAGAACCGTTCACTTTGCAAATACCCCAAGGACATCTCGTATACGATGAAGAAGGCCGATTCCTGCTCCTTCTAGAACCGCCAGAAGGATGATTGATTGCCTCAGGTGTGACTGGTGTGGCCCTCAAGCGAATGTCTTTCCCAGGACGCTGTGGGCTGAACGATGATGATCGAGATTTTCTCTTTCCAAGCGAGCTCCCAGACTGACTCTCCACACTGGCTAAAGAAGATGCAGGACGTGCTGTGTACAACTGCTGCCCTCCGGAATAAGATACCCTTGCTTCTACAGGCAAAGTCACCGTTGAGCTTTCTGTGAGGCTTATGGTCCCAATAGCGGAGCGTCTGTTGCACCGAACATTGTTTGTCTCAAAACAAGTGTCATGGGCTTGATCTTGCGCAACCGTGCTCTTCTGATCTACTACAACCACCGGATTGGTCCTCTGGCCACATTGCTTGCTCTCTGCCGAAGTGGGCGACGACTCTTCATTATATCCCGAGAAAGGCTGGAGTAAAGCAGAGGGGTGAAAAAACTTCGGGAGAGTAGCAGCAACATGTGCGCCTTGATGCTGTCCTGCCATGTCCGGCTTGGATGACAGTCGATAATTTGACATACCGTCGAGGGAGCTCCATTCCATCGCCTTGGAGTGGCCACGATTTGGACGAGAAGACCCTTCAAGTTGAGGAACAGCACATGAGACGCTGTGAAATAACATGCGATTACTATTCGCTACTTCTGAGCAAGAACAACTATGCTTACGACACGGAGGGGCCTTGAGTATTCATGGGCCCACGACTGGCCAGAGGTGTTCCGAATAAACCTTCCATAGAGTTATGGGTTAGCAGTGATATGGCAGGGATAAATGAGAGGGAAGAGAATGTTGGTGCTATTGCGAGTGCGACTTGGGTACCAGAAAATCCCGGACTTGGGTTGTACTGATAGAGCATGCATCGCCCATACATGTCTACCCAGAGCGGATAGATAGCGGAAGGACTGTGAGAGGGCTGCATGGTTGCACCTGCAAAAGCACACCGGACACTACAAGCTGCAGCAGACTTTATGCATGGGCATTGAGACAAATGCACGACAACAACGCGTACGCGACCGCCACAGAGTGTTCGACAACATGCCGCATGGACCAATAGCAATAGCGAGTGCATTCAGGGCACGGAACTTGTACAGACTGGCGTGTTGAATTACGGCCACCACAGTGGCCACTCCGGTGGCCAATCGACAATCTGGAGGAAGTTTTCGTGAGGACTTCGATCTCGGAAACTGATCGGCATAACCCCTTCTGCAGCCAAGAGCTCCTTACCTTACCACCTCCTCCTCCGCGTCTGGCAGACTGATGTTGTCCAACTGATGTTGTCCAATCTGTGAGTGTTCACTTTTCGCTGCCGTTTGCGCCTAGCTTGCCATTAAACCAAAACCCATTCATCGCTGATCTGTCAGCTATTGCCTGGAAAAAAAGGGACAGGTTGTAATGCAAGGATCTTCACTAAGTGTTAGTCAGCAACGAGTGCCAAAGATGCGTTCGATATTCTAACGAAAGGGCTCACGCTGTGGACTCAGTTCAGCCGAGCATGCAAAGCCAGACGGTGTCACCATACTTTGTGCCTCAGAGACAAGAGAGATGGCAAATAACGACAAGCAGGATCCGATAGTGTATATTGGATATTGGAGGCTAGAAGTGGCTAGAATCATGCAGGAAGCGGAAACGTTATTCTACGGGAAATGAGTTCGTCACGATGGCAAACGGTGGTTAATTCCACGCCACAAACACGTCTCCGATGTACAGAGTCGGAGGCGGATCCGATAAGTCAGAGCCGAGCCTCCTTGCGCGTAGAACATATCGCATGGCCAGCGTTAGGCAACAAGTACATATGAGCATTTCATCACATCCGAGGTGATTTCTGTGCGAGATTTGAGCACGAACAATGGCCTGCGCGTAACATGGAGGGGAGTGCTGATACTCCATGTCGTCTGCTACTAGATCCCTCTGGCAGGAGTATGGACGAGTAGTCGAGCTGATAGTGCCGCCGACGTTTGAGTTTGTTGATCGGCAGGTCGCCGAGAGGAGTTGAGACAGTGCTGGTAAGCTTGCTCGTGTTCGTCTCCTTCAGCAGCGACAGCTCAGGATCGCACATGGTCTTGCGCCCCGATGATGGTCTGATCTGCAGGTCGGCACTCCGGGCACCAGACGTGGTGCACGGACTTTGGCTCCTTGAGAGAGACTGTCCCAGACGGGCTCAGAGAATTGAGCCTGGGAGATAGGGAAGACGAGAAGTGTGCTAGCGCGGATCTACCACTTGACGAGGTCCCCGTGCATTGCCCACATTAGCAGTCACTTCGCGGTACCAGTCGGCGCGTGCGCTTCGCAGCTCATAATTCATCGCATCCGACTTACACTACATACTGGAATGAGTGGTAAGTAAAGAGCGACATGATGCGTGATGAGCAAATATTTACTCAGCGTATGTGACATTTATTTGTGGTGTTGATGAGGCTGTAGACTTCGGCTCCTTGGTTTTCAACGCATCGTCTTGCCACAGACAAACAAGCCGTCCACGTCAATGGGGCGAATGGCGAAATCATCTGGCAGATTGGAGGGAAGAATACTTAATTGCTGGCACATTCCAGCCCATGTCGCATTCTAGGGACAGCTGGAGAAGGGGCATAGGTGCAGGGAGCAGAGCAGCTCGATGGACGATGGCGACCCCCCTAATATGACACGCATTTCAATATTCCAAACGAGATGCTTTGCAATCAATCGAATTCAGACGTTCTCAGCAGCAGCCCATGACAATCTTGTTACAACGTATCGCAATCTGACTTCTGTGGGTCGAAGTCCATCAGACAAGCTGTGTGATGTCAGGCATGACTGCTTACCAGCATAGGCCCCGCGGACGTCCATCACCGGTCTCCAGGACGGCTTATTGCAAAATTCTTGATAGTTGAGAAGCCGCAATAATCATACAATCCGCGCAAGGCTGGTATGTCTGTACTCCGCGAATGTTATTAGGCGCCCGCGCATGTCAGACGTCCCACGCCACGAACGCGTATGGGTCGGACCGAGCTGCGTCGACGCCCCGCCCACGCCCGCGCACGAAAGCACCACAACACAACCGCCAATCCAACTCCCTCGTCCTACTGGCCCTCGTGTCTGGCAGCCCAAGGACAGACGCACCTTTACGCTCAAAGTCCTTGTCGCCGCCACCCTCGTTGGCTTCGTCACATACCACCGCTTGGCTGAAGTCAGCAAGAGCACGAGCACTCAGATGACCTGACTACTCTTCCCGACTCGTGCGCACTCTGTGTGGAGGAGGGCCGCGTTTACACCGTTGACGAGCAGAAACCGAATGCCGACTACTTCTTGGTGGCGAAGGGCCGTTTGTCAGCTACGGGGACTATAGGCGAGTATTTGCTTGCTACTGACTTTCACGCCAGTGCTCTCTTCCTTCTCCACGCATATGATTGCCTTTTTGTCCGCGATCACTTACTGTGCTCTGTCGTCACGTCATACGAGACGCAACTACTTCCCGTCTCATCCTTTCAATCCTCCGCCCATATCACTTCTTTGATTCTTGCATTGTGCGTCCAACTATTGACCGCTCCGATGCAGATGACATTTGCCCCCACTGGGACGCTCACCAACCACGTCTTGTCAATGCATTCTACGGCAGCGAACCCAAGGCCAAGAAGCCGCTCACGGTTCTGCACGCACCAAAGGGGAGCATCATCGTCCCTGGTCTTGCAGGTGAGTGATTGTGTCTGTCGCCACCCATCGCCCATCACGCCTACTATACATCACCTTTCGTGACTGTGATGCTCCAAGGCGGAGATGCAGTCAGTGTTCGTTCCCGTCTATAGCGTGAGCCGTGCCCCGCGACTGAGTAGTGACTTATTAGCTCAATTTCTACGGGAGGATTGGACCCCGGCATAAGAATGCGAGCGTGAGGAGCCCAGAGAACTGAGAAAGCGGTGCTCTATCCTGTTCGCTAGAAAATGCTACAACACATTTTCTTTTGGGGTATGTGCGCCTCTCTTCGTACTCCTGCCTCTTCCCTACGAACTCTGCCCGCTATAACCCCGCTCTTTCTAGCTGCCCTCACACGGTTGGCATCACACGCTTGTGATGTCCTGACTACCGCGATGTAACCCGTAGGGCTGCTGATTGACACCCATGTCAGACGCACACGCCCACCTAATGATATACGGCGCGAAAATGGAGCTCAACTTCGAAGATGCGACGTCTACAGATGGTGAGTGCCCCGTCACCCGTGCTGTTCCCATGCTCTCTCACTCGGCATGCGCCGTCCCCCCCTCTTGCGTTATATTCTTCCGCGCAGATGTTCCTCGAAGTTTAGAGGCTTACACGCGTGCACACCCTATGAACTCCACCTCAGATGAGGAGGAAGCGTAGATCGAAGGCTTTGGCTGGGACCAGATGTGCTGGAAGGGCTGGCGGGCGGACTTCTAGGCAAGGTGCTTCCCTTTATTTACTCCGCCATCATTTCATCTTGCTGGTACTGACGGCGGCTCACGCCACAGACCGACCTCGCCTCCCGCCCGCTCCTCGCCCACCGCACACTCGCACTCCTCTGCGTCGACGGGCACGCACTCTGGGTCTATCCGCGCGCACTCGATATCACCGAACACAGCGGGAAGCTTCTTGGTGGACGGTGGACCCGCGCGGGCGAGGTGCAGGGCGAAGAGGATGGCGAGGTGAGTGGTGAGTGTTTCTCTCCCTCCTCTTACCCAATGGCTGTGAGATGGTGACGTGGGCGGCAGGCGTGTTTCTGGACGCGGCGATGGCGCTTGTGCCGGTGCCCCCACCGACGGAGGCGATGCTTGAGGAGCGTGCGATGAGGGGTGTTCTGCGGGTGGGTCTGAGAAGCGTGCATGATGCGGCGGTGGATGGGTCGACGTGGCGCATGTTCAAGAGCTGTGTCGTCTTCCTCTTCTTTGCCGTTTGACGGTCACCGTCTGATGCGGCTACGCAGGACGGCAGAGGAGGGCCAAATGCCGGTGGGTAACTCATTTCAACTGGTGCGGATGTAGGCTTGACCGACAGAGAGTGGGCAGATCAGCGTGCACGCGATGGCACACGAGGAGCACGATGGGTATTGGGACGGAGAGTTTGAGCAGGTCGAGGGTTATGGGGACCCATTGGGTTCAGACTTGCATCTACCTTTTACAGGCTGGTCAGAACAGCCGATGATGAATCCGGGTGCTTGCTTGTATGTCTCTGACTGAGCAGGCTGAAGCTGGAGGAGAGTGTTGACTGCCGCCCCGTCTAGCGTGTCTGTCCACGGCGGCCCTGTTAATGCTGCAGCTGGCTTGTAACTCGGCGGCTCTACACTTACTGGTCGGCCAATACTTGTAAAACACCCACGATGAACCAGGCTTGCGGCACTTCTTGCTGTGGGCGATGTATACGGCGCACTCGCGCCCCCACGTACGAAGGCCGATATTGCTGCAGGAGGACGTGTAACAGGGGAAGCACGGTCCTTGTTACATATTCTGGCACCAGAGCCGACTGTTCACTGATTGCTGAAGGATTTTCTCGGCTAGATCATGGCAATCTAAGACTCCTGATCCTGTAGACACCCTCGAGGATCTTCAGGCATGTAGGCTCGCACCCCGCTAATTCCATTATGACGAGGAACATATGGTCGGAGGCGAGAGTTTCCAGTGAAGCCAGGCACACTGAATGGGCCAGCGAGATGTGGGTATGTTCCCGAGTAATTTAGGCGAATGCCACATCCCCACATAACGATTTGATTAAATGACAAGCATGAACAACGCAGCGGCAGATGAGGCGACGTAGAAAATTTCCTTTTGGTTCGTGTGATATATCTCCTGCTTGAGATGCTTGCGAGCCGATGTAGCTCAGTAATCGAGGCTCTTTTGCCGATAGATGACTGATTCCAGAGAGAACTTCGGGTATTTCATCGCGGAGATAGAACTCAATAGACACATAGAGCAGGACATATGTAATGGCGGAGCAATCTGAGTACTGAGGCCGAGATGGTCAACAAATGCCACAGTGCTGTGGCATAGGCATACGTCTCCATCAGTTGCAGGCTATCAGCGGTGGTCCACGGCGGTCGGAGAGCACTCGGGGGCAGAAACGCTCCTGCGGAACTTCCGAGTACGACTTGAATACCAAACGTGCCGTGCTGGCATTGTGAAACATTTTTGGGATGATTGAGTAGACTCAGTGGCACGACTCAGTACTCAGTGGTGCCGGTGAAGCTCAAGCATGAAAATGCTTGTCGGATCCAATGTGGGGAACGGTCCAACGGATCCCAGGTTCAGAGGCGCCAGAGCATAAGCCGCCTTCCCACGCCGCAGACGCGTCTGACGCGCAAACTGTCCGGGCCTCATTTCACTGCTGTTCCTCAGTTCTAGCAGTCAGAGGACTGACTCCCACATATTTTCGAAGTCCTCCGATTTCCCTACCGGCCTTTTTAAGTCCTGTAATCTCTGTGTCGTTAAGGGCGGGACAGGGGTGCTCGAAAGTAAGCTAAGAGGCCGCATATCTTCAGCACACTGACAGGGGAAATCACGCATTTGAAATGGCCCTTTGAGCCTCGAGGATACGTACATGGTGTTTTTGTTCAGATCTGAAACTCATGACCGATATCAGCAAGAATCTGGTATTTTCTCAAATGCTCTAGCTCGTGCACGCCACTCAACAGATCAAGAGGTGCAGCGGCGTAACATGGAGAGACGTACTGATACTCCAGGTCGTTTGCCACTGGGTCCATGAATTACCAAAAACACCGGCTCATGTTGGCAAGTTATAGGAATGCACGGCCCGCCCACGTCCTCTAGAAATTCTCAATATGTTCCATATGTATGTGTGATATATCATCACCGGGAATTTACTATATGTTGGATGCAGAGCTCGTCATGGATCGCCAAGGAAACTCGAGTGTGCAACATCTAGCTTTGGGGCCCTACTTCTGACAGATCGATGATAGTCACTTTCCCTGCCGTTCCGCCAATCACAACAGTATGGCCGTGGTAAGCAAAACACTTCCGCGGCGAGGTTGGTCGTTTCGATGCAGTAATCCAACACATTTTCTGGCCTGTCCCATCCACCACCCATCCATCCTTAAGCTGGAGTTCGCGAGATGCTGGGTGAGAACCACGGTGTTTGATCCAACCTAACTCTGCTGTCGGCAAGCTCTCCCCGCTGTGACAGTCCCAGAGGAAACTCAAGCCGTCGATAGTCCTCACGTAGACATTGTTGTCATCAGGTGAGAATGCAATTGTCTTCACTGCAACGCGTTTGTCTGTGAATTTAGACAAGTCGATGCTTTTCACGAGTGAGAGTCCAGAAGCGTCATACAAGTCGAGATAGCTTTTCATGCCGGGGGTCATATTACAGATGGCAAGCCGATTCCCGCTCGAAGAGTACTGCATAATAATGAATATCCACTCATGCGCGACTTTCGTAGTGATCAGCGATTGGCCGCTTTCGACCTCGTAGATCACCAGAGTCCCAGTCTTATAATCATCTGCGCCCCAGATCACCGCAAGATGTCGGCCATTCGGGGAGAATATCATATGATAAACGTGATGCTGGTTAAGCGTGATCGTCGAGATAGAAGTGCCCGAACGTATGCGCCAAATATTTAATGTGGAATCCGTAGCTGCTGACGCCGCCAATTCTTCATCATCAGACAAGATGACTTGAGACACTTCCGGTGCCCGGTGTATGTCGGAGCGATCGGGCATACTGCTCGACAGTCCGATTGCATCGGTATTCGACAAGTCCCACACGTGAATCCCATCCGAATGGAATGATAACAGCCGATCTCCTTGGGGAGAGAAGCAGAGGCAAAGCGGGTCATCAACATCACGTAGCTGTGCAAGGTGTTTGCCTGTGCCCGCATCCCAGATGTCAATCGTGCTTCTGCTGCTCACGGCAATGCGGTGTCCTCCGGAAGAAATGGCAGGTTCTGAGAAAGTACCAGATGCATTGAACGTGTGAAGACAGCGCGCAGAAGGGACATCCCAAATTCTGACTTGCGAGCTATCGAACGAAACGACCTTTGAACCTTCTCCAGGGAAGAATAACGCGCTTTCGACATCGTTTGAGTGGCCCACAAGCGAGCTTCGTATCGCCTTGTGCTCAAGGTCGTAAATGGATATCGAGTTCGTTGATGTTATCGAAAGAACCATGGCTCCCCAAAAAGAAGAGGCGGAGTGGGGATAGTAATTGGCGGTGTTGCTGGATTCCGGTAATTGAGCAAATGTGCAGGAATCCCATGCACGGATGCTCCGTTCGTCGCGGGCATAGGCGTGGGCTAAGATCAGTTTGCCATCTAAGGAGAACGAGGCTGTTCTGAAATACCTTTCCTTGCCTTCCGTGATCACGTGTAGGAGGGCACCGGACGCCAGGTTCCAGATTCTGATGTCTTCTTCATCACCCGACAGAATCCTAGAGTTATCCGGTGAGACGTCTATTTGCCAGACTACTTTGCTATGCCGAACCTTTGCATCGGTCGCCATCATATTGAGAGGAATACCGGAGCCGGCATCCCATGAGCAGACAGTGCCATATCGGGTGCCAGCGACGATCCAGCGGCCATTTGGAGAATACGCAAGAGCACTCACAAGATCAGAAATTCCTTCGATTACCCTAATGCACGGACTCCAACTCGAGTCACGGAGGGTGGCTATCCTCAGGCCATTAGATTGCACAGAAGACGCTTCATAGACATCAAGCAGCTTGCAGGATGGCATTGTTGGCAGCGCGGAGATGTAGATGTGCTCGGGACAGGCATTTATTGCATCAAAGTATTCAAGAACGAAACGATATCCATCATCGAGCAGCGGCCCGACATTGCCGGCAGTCTGCTCAGATCTCTGGTGAATGCGAAATCATGTCAGCCATATACAGCAAGCATAATGCTCAGACGGACCTGGTACCACGAACGGACCATGAGCAGTGCCGCGGGAGCGACCTCAAGTCGGTTCATGAGGCTCAATGCTTCATACCAGACAAGCAATCGGTTCATGAGGAAGGAATCCAGGTGTTTGACAACGAGCATACGAGTCTCGGAGTCGGCGGCCTGCGTACTCGAGACGTGGAACGCCCAGTGAATGCACGCATACTGGACATGCGTCGGAACGTTCTGGGATACAAGATACGGCAGATCTTTCACACTATGTTTCATCTTCGCAGGGTTGGGAAGGCAGCAGATGTTTCGCCGCAAGCTATCATGCTGAGTCAGCACCGAGAGGCAAGAGATCGCGAGATGCGCATGGTGGATTTCAGGGTCAATATAAAACGTTGTATCCTTACAGCGGCTGCTGTCGATGAGGAACTGAGGGAAGCTCGCATGTAAAGGGCGAATTGTGTCATCGGCATCGCGCAAGACGACCGACGCTAGGAGTTGGACCACAAAATTTATATCAGCGACGCGAAGGCTGATGAGCAATGCCATCGCATTCACGGTGAGTTGATCTTGAAGCAAGGCGATGGTACCCAGCACAAGACGAACCTTCCGCATCCTCTCCGCATCGGACACAATCTTTTGGCCAAATGCGTTCTGCAAAACGAGGGTATATAGCTGGTCTAGATCGCTGAGATCTTGATGCGTGTCGTGCATGTTATCTGCGAGAAGGATATCTAGACGCTGCACGGCGTCGACCGGGTATTGATTGAGGAAGTTGATAGCAGTAGAAGCGAAAATGAACAATCCGTCCGCCTTTTTGGCTAGTTCCGCAATTGCATTGGGTCGCTTTCTCTGCAACTCTTCACCTTGTGCACTTTGAGATAACCGATCCTGAAGATATTTCTTGATGTCCTGACCCACAGTCGCCCTTGGAACATCTTGCAACTTGAACAAATTACGGTCCTTTCCGAATTTCTCCGAATCGACGGCATTCTCGATGTGGTAGTCTGGGCGTGAGGTGATAAAGATCCGAAGAGGGAACCGGATGGTCGATACACCATCAGCGAGCAGATGCAACATCTTCGGAATCAGCTCTTGCGCAGAATCGGTGCATTCATCAAGCGCATCAATGATGAGGATGATTGGAGCATGACTTTCGGGCAACTTGGACAAAGGCTCAATGATGAGGTCCTTCAGTCCATACTCCATCCGCTGTGGGTCGCTGCCCTTGGCGAGGTAAGAAGAAGCAGCGTGAACGATGCCGCGAGTGGTCGTCGGCTGGAAGGATGCTAATTGATACGCAAAAGTTGTGAATATGCGCCGAGTTGTCGCCAGATCGTTGTATCCTCGGTCGAAGAAAAAGGATGCGCCGAGGATGCCATCCCGCGCGAGGCGCTTGGCCAACTCGCACGCGATAGTGGACTTGCCTGTACCGGCGGCACCGCTGAGGACATAGATGCGATGATGCAAGGTACTAGACGTCCCCTTCGCCCATTCGTCGATTTCTTCTAGGAGAGCCTCCCTCGTTCCATCTAGGTACCCTGATTTCGATTCATGGATCACGGATCGATAGCTTGCTGCGCGAGCGTATGGAAGACGCTCAAGGATACCTCTGTCGTCTGAGTGGCCTGCAATTGAGGAAGGACGTTGGCATGGAGGGACCAGTGTACTCACGATCATCCAGCTGAACCTTCTGTATTGCCTACAAGGTACGAGTCGGGGATCTCAGCTGTTATCCTTAGCGCTCATTCTGGAGAGAAACCTACCACAACACCCTCTTGAATAACGCCAACGAAACCTTCGACAGCGATATCCCCCTCGAGCTATGTTCGTATCACACGCACTATAAGCAATCGGCAGTATATACTTACAATCGCTCTACCGACCTTGAAGTCTTCAATCGCATGCGCTAAGTCCTTTTCTAAGTCATCCAGCTCCTCCGCATCTATCTTCTTGCGGAGGAATCTCTGGCGCCTTGATCGACTTTTCATCTTCTTGGCCTTGTTCTCGACGTCCTTGAGTCTCCTGCGGCGGATGTTCAAAATGTAAAGGGAAGCATTTGTGATGAGTAAACGTACCCTTCGAGACGCTTGATTCGATCTTCCAACGGCTTGACATCCGCCACAGATACATTTGACTGTTTCGCTTGTTTATAGACAGCTTTGAGACAATCTGCAAGCTCTTTGACCCGATTGGCGACTTTCTCCATATCCTCAGCGTTCTTTCTCATGTCCTGTCAAGTCGTGCATCGCGTGGTCTCCTCAGTCCAATGATGGATCAGAACAAGGACGCTAACCTGTATCGTTCCGATGACATTGGCGAGTGCACTCGCCGCGAGTTTGAGCCCCGGGATTGGCGCAAGTGAAAGCAGATCACCTCCGACATTGAGAAGTGACCGTGCTGCATCCAGCGTGACATCGATGTTGTCACCAGAAGGCTTTGAGGCATTTCCGGGTTTACGAAGAGGCATGCTGCGAGGGAGCTCAAGAGAAGGGGTGATGTGTTGGCGATGGTGTTCGAAAAACGAGGCAGTGTGTTAGCGATGGTGTCCAGGTATAAAACGAGGTGGCGTGTCAACTGCATGGTGTGCGGTAGGCTTGAATAAGGTTCGGGCGGTGTGGGCAAACTCTACTCGGCGCTTGCAGGCAGCAGACCATGAATGTTGCCATCGCTTGGAGCGATATTGATGTTAGTTGCTGGGTCATGCGAGTTAGCCATGATCAGAGAGTGTGCAATCAAAGGGTGTTCCTGCAGAAGTTCATGCTCAAAGTTGAGCAAAGTGAGAGGTGAAACCCGTACACCAGACTGACCGTGACTTCGATATCGCCAGTCTATCGCCGTTAAGTCAAATTACGGATTCTCCTGGCAGATGCCTCTCAGGCCGCAGCCACGCCGCAGACACCTCGTTGTATGCTCGTCCCATCGATTCACCAATGACAATGCACATAGTAGAATTTCAAGACATCAGATGTGCATCGCGTATTGCAGGCTTTTCCAGTCAATTTGAGAGGAAAGGTTGACTTTACTGGCTTGAAAGATGGTACGAAGCACCAATAAGTGAACATACAGGTCCAGATCTTCTCCTGTCTTTCCCTCGTCAGTAACAAGGACACAAGGTGCACACACATGCATTCCGCTGTGCGAGAGATTGCCGTGTTGAGCTGCACTCTCCTCAGCCAGTGGCAAGCTCCAGCGGTTTGTTAAGAATTTGCTTCCGGCTCTCTCGGTGCAGCGTTTTCTTGGGATATGGATGAGTCGTTGATCTGGTAGTGCCGCCGTCGTTTAAGTTTGTTGCAAAGTTGACAGGTCGCTGAGAGGATTTGAGACAGCGCTGGCAAGCTTGCTCCTGTTCGTCTCCTTCGGCAGCGGGATCGCACATGGTCTTGATCGTGTCACGCATGTATGCGCCCCGATGATCGCCTGATCTGCAGGTCGGGACTCCGGCCACTGGGTGTCACTGCACGGACTTTGACTAGCACGATCGTGATAGTTGCGTTCACCGTGTCGCAACTTTGACTCGACTTGTGCCATCTCTCATGTAGTTAAGTTTAAGCTGGCAGCGCGGGTATCGGGAGGAAGGACCTCACAGCAGCTGATCAGCGTGAACAGTCGCATAATGTTCGCGTTCGCGCTCTTCTCATCGAAATTCACATCCTCGTGACCATCGCCCGCGTCCGCCAAGCATAACCGCGCAGCATCCCGCCGAACTTCTCAACACACCACCGCATCGTCATCGAGTTACCCTTGCTCTTCGACATTTTCTGCCCATCAAGTGGCCATTTGTTTGCATGCTTAGCAGCTACTTGTCCTCTAGGAACAGCGCAGCATGATTGTGGGGTGATTTAGCTCTTTGATTCTCAATGGATCGTCTTGCCGCAGCCACACACAAGCTGTCTACTACATCAATGGGAGGAATGGCGAAATTATCAGGCAGCTTGGAGGGAAGAATAGTTCATTCACACTCGGGCCCAACGCCACGCTCTACGGACAGCAAGATGCGCATTTGATTAAGAATTACACTGCGATCACCATGTATGCTGGCGACGGTAAAGAATTTTTGTTTCATATTAGACACAGTCCGTTGACTAACCGCCGTTATAGCTACCACTGGGCGGACCAGTGCGTTCGATGCCTCTTGATGAAGCATCGAGAGTGGACTTTCTTTTCTGTGAATATACAGCCGCTCACGGACTCGTCCAACTTCATCACGATGAAGGCGACCTTGATCGCAGAATTCCTCCCCTTGGAGCCACTGACGAGCACCTCTCATCGCTCTTGCAGGGTATATAGTATATTCTCGGAGTCGACTTACGTTGATTGGCCGTCATCGACTCATCCCTAGTACGACCTTGATTTAAAAAAATAGTGGTCGGTTGGGGCACAAACTCATCGTGCGTCAGATTGCACCTAGAAAGAAATTTGATGTGAAGACCACTGTCTGACAGTGGCTCATGACATTCGAAACGACCTATACTGCATCACGAATCTTCAGCTCGGAAGTGCAAACGCCCCACTTGACTAACGTACTTATGTTCTCGAAGGCTCGCAGCTCGCATAAACATACATTGCCATTCTTTCAACCAAATGCTACGCTGACATGCCGAATGTGAGGTGACCCCGAGAGCGCAGTCAAGGCCTCCGAGAAAAATGAAAGCATTCGAAGCCGTTCGATTCCATCATACGCGCCTTTTCGCTTAGCACCGGAATTGTGTGCAAAAGGAAACTTGACCGAGGCATAAACTATTAGAACAGAGCTCTGTCCGACGTGTTCTCAGAAATGATGGCTCTCACTGCGGCAAGTTGACCGTTCACAGATCTAGAATTTGCGAAGTTGAACCCATTGCGACATCGCATGCCGTTCCAATACACATCTGCCGCACGATGGATTGTCAAGTAGGCATTGAGAATGACAGAAGACACGTAAAGGGCCTCAGAGACGTGATGCGTGACATAACGTCAATGAAGATCCATCGACAGCAGGATCAATGCATCTATTACAACCGACTCCGTAAGTGCCACCATGTGCAACTCTTGCGAACCATTGGTCGCAAGCCACACTGAAAAGACGAAGAAATTTCGTGGCCAACTGCATGTAGACTTGACTGAAAATTAGCGAACGGATGCATATCATCACGGCAGGAAAGCGTGCTCTCTAATAATCGAATCGAGATACTGATTATTACTACAAAATCAAGCGCAACTTTTTCAGACAAGGTACCGTGGGTCGAGCACGTACACTGGCCAGGATACAGCCCTTCAAGGCGGTGTCGAATGTGAAGGCGTGACATCGATGAGGGAATGACCGCAAAACCATTCTCCAAAAGAGCACATCACATCAGCAAGATTCATTTCCCTGATCAGCTTCTCCCTTGCAAAGCAGAACGTGGAGACTCATCACGTCGGTTCGCTGCACCATTCCACACCTGGCACAGACATCAAAAATCCCAGGCGCCTTCCAGTGTACCGTCATAACGTGACGTCTAACAGACGATGCGTCCCTAAAGGTGCTATCGCAGAACTCAAAAGGACACCGCATTGTGTCTCCGACGCAGTGGACCGTCTTCAGGTGGCACCACATCGTATGCGCGTCGCCTGCGCTCTCGCATCCGGCGTAGGGGCAAGTCCTCAGAGCGACAGACTTATCAGCTCGAGTGCGCTCCTTTCGCTGAGGGGCCCGGGCCGAAGCCGATTTGTTCAGCTGGAGCTGTACTATGATGTTCCTGTGGGCCTTTGATGTCCTCGGAGATGACCTTGCCTTCTTTGTAGTGTTTCCTCGGACGTGATTAACTTTCTTCGCCTGAGATGCGGGACGTGGAGGGAGCAAGCTGGATGCGTTGCTTAACGACGCCAGCGGCACTCGGCTATAGTTTACCACAATAATTTCAGTTCAACCAACTAGATCTAATGCGGTTACTCACCCAGACCCCGGAGATGCAGCAGTATCTGCCTCGCGAACACGCAGATCCTGTCGATGGCACAGCGGGACGTTTTCAAGCTGATTTTTCCCGGAGAATGTGGACATGGGTAGCCATGACGCTTGAATAGCCTCTCTCTGGTTCGACTTGAAGTTCCGCTGTGACGAGCCAAGAAGGACCGTGTTGGGCGTGTTCAAGCGGGACTCATCCTCCTTCAAAAGATCAACCCATACGCCTGTCCAATCATCTTGAGAACGTGACATGGCTTCGTCATTGCTTTCATGAGGATACACCCGCACACGGTTTAATTGGTCGCTGGGAATCGGGTAAGGCTGACGACGTGGAAATGAGTGCCGTATGCCCTTGAGATATCTGGCCGACTCCAAGAAACGATCCCATGGATTCTTGCTGCCACTTGGATCGCTTGCATTTACTTCGCCATCCAGTTCCATAGGAGCCTTTAGCACGTATTGTTGCAGACTCCGCGGGAGAGAAGAAGCATTATTCGAACTCTTATGATGTTCCTCCACGTTGCTTTCGTTCACAAAGAGCAGCGGCGGCAAGGAGAGGCATTCGCGAGTTTCATTGAATTCATTCGATGAGCCCGAATAACGCACAGGGATGCACTGTCGGTGCAGGGTGTCCGAGAGGCTGACAAGTTGTAGAAGGATGATATCGACGATCTCCCAAGCTGACGCAGGAACAGCACTCACACTGTCTTCAACGCTGGCAACCGTGTCGACTTGTTGTCTACTCGACGGGCAAGAGGCCAGACTTTGGCAGTAGTCGTTTCTGGAAAGGAGGCCGGTGGTGCCATAACGGAGCTTTCGATGGGCACGAATTGTCGCACAACTGTCTGAACACGGTTGACTACCAAGTTTTTGGCGCGATACAGATGTCTGGAGAGTCCCTCCTTATATATTCCCAGAGCATGGGAACGGGGCCACTCACCACACCATTATTGCCCATATTAACGCGTGTGGCGAAATGATTTTCGCCGCCCGCGCCTCGCACGCATGCGTCGCGGAGTTCCATTAAAGGGTAGCCCGCGCATGCTGTTCTTGCCCGTCCATGGCCACATACCCGAGCCACAGGCTATGGCCTGACAACGCGCGCCTGGAAATCAGGCTGCCGCCCGTGCACGCTATTGCAGAGATCAATGCACGATCAACGAAAATGGCTCTTCGAATCCATAGGAGACCCACTGATCAATTTACAAGTCTTCACCCAAGCGATACAGTATCATTTGTCTCCGTCCATACGTCCATGCCAAGAAGCTGCCACTCAGGCCGCGGCCGGTAAATGCCGTGATCTTCCGCCACGTGCCGGAAGTATGCCACTTTAGGCAACTCCGACTCGGCCACTCAGATCGCCTCCCCGCCACCCTGAGATCACCTTTAACGTATACTTGCGCACTAGATGAGCTGGCAGCATCCAACAACCTGACTTATCTCTACAAGAAAAAAGGTGACTTTGACCCGAGGAAAACACCAATCTGCGTCCATGGCACATGTCGCGTGACATGCAAGTGACATGCAAGAACTTGAATTGTCACTCAAGCTCAAGCTCAAGGTTCAATCAATTGAGAGGATCCGAGCGACTAACTGCCAGCCAAATCGTTCTCTGAGAGAGCTGGCATGGGAACCTCCTTCAACAAGGAACAAGCATGTCACATCTTCGCATGAATAGCACCCAGCTGGATCCAGAGCAGGTATGTTTAATTCCAAGGCATCCCAAAACAGACGACGCACTCATGTATGCAAAGTCTCCAAACTCTAATCACACCTCTACACCACCACCTACGATCCACCCGCCGCGTCCACAAACAGCCCCGGACTCGCCGCCCTGCTCACCCTCAAGCTGTCCGGCGCGCTCCCATCATAGTCGCTGCCCTCCGCCATGAGCTCCGGGTGCCCGATTTTCGCGAGCTTCTTGTCAAAGATGCGCATGCGGTACCGCGACACGATGCGCTCGAGCAGCTCAGATGTGCTAACGCCCGGCGTGCGGCGCGTCGGGATGAATTTTCCTGACAAAGAAAACGACGGCTATAAGTACAAGAGGGAAAAGATATACGGAAGAAGGGAGACATACCTTTTGATTTGCAGTAGCCGTATACGTCGTCGATGCCCGCACTTACATATGGGTCCTCGTCGTGTGCGACGTAGTCGATTTGGTACTACGCAGCCCATCATTCATATGAGCATCGGGCGAAACGCGTTACAGCCTTTACATGACGGGGAGATGAAACGCACCTTTTGCAAAAACGCCTCATCGATCACCCACGGTGCCTCCGGTACCACCTCGTCCACCCATCGACAATGCCGTACCGCTTCACACCTGCACACGATGTCAGTCCAGTCCCGACCCATAAATTCGATTGTTGCGATACACACCGCTCAGCGTGGCTCATCACAGCCATGTTCTTGTGCGCCTCGCACTGCTCATCGGAATTGACGCCCACAAGCAAGTAGACACCGGGCATCATACCCGCGGGCGCCACATTGTCAAGTGGAGACGTGGCCGCGCTACTCGACGCAGAAGGCGTAGAACATGGCGACCTCACTCTGTGCGTCGCAGATGTCGGTGTGGAGGGAATCGGGATGGGAGGGAAGGAGAGCTTGGCCTGGCGCAATTGGAGCGCGTGTCCAAAATGGAACAAATCGTAGACGCCTGGAACAAATCAGCTGCAACGCCTACCGGCCAGCTCGTGCCACTCACCGTCAGCATATATCCTCGCTGGGCGGTCCTTTGGTGGCGGGTTGATCTTGTACTTACGGAGCGTGTTCTCCTCGCCTTCGCGAGCGATGGCCCTGCGCACATACTCCTGGATGTCCTCAGGGGTGAGTTCGGCAGGATTGAACGCATCCACGGAGATAGGCGCAGGAGCTGGTTCGGAGGGGTTGCCATCCCAGGCTAGCAGTGATGATGCGGTTGCGAGGGTCAGGGCAGCGGGGTCTGGGAGGACAGCGGGCGTGGGCAGCGGGGAAGTGAGGGTGGACACAGGAGAGGGAGCGTAGTGCGTACTGGACGAAGAGTCGTAGTGTCTCGCGAGAGTCGTGCTGCTCTCGATGTCACCATCGTACGTTGGCGAGTCGGTGCCAGTGTCGTTCCCGTCATCGACGAGAGCGGCTAGGCGGGCGCGGGGCCCTGCACGAGTGACAACGGGCGAGCGCGACGTACTTGATCGCGATGGCACGGGGACGCCTACAGCTGATGCTGCATCGTCTGTCAGAGGATCATTGTCCTCTTCCGAGGCATCGTAGGCAGCAGGCGAGTCGGGGACCTGGCGATGGCCGTGCGGGTATGCCATCGCAGCGTGCTTGGTCCCAAAGGAACGTTTGGAGTGCAGAGTGCGTTTTGGGGGGAGAATGTCGGACATCGTTGCGAGTCGGGAGGAGGTAGTTTTTAGCAGAAAGCTCTTGGAAAGGTCCACGACAACGTCCACGAAGGACTCCCTTCTGATTGGAGACCCGCGCCGCCAAGGCAGCGACGTAACACCGGGAACTTCCGACACACGTGCGCCTTCAATTTGGCATATCTCCTGCCTCTTTCGGCGTTTTCCCACCACATCTGGCTCACAGAGGAATTTGTTAGCCATTTCCGTATGATCAAACGCACACATCAAGTGAATAAACGCAGGGCGCAGAGGCTGTACGAACCAAGCATGGACGAATTGCAGCCAAGTGACGCGTGCTGAGCGCTGACGAATGCGCAGAGGGGTCGCTCTGCGATCCTTGCCTGATGAAGTTGGCGATACCCGCGAGAAAGAGAAATGTTACCCACAAGCACCGCATGTCTCATATAGTACTGTCAGGAGAGAGGCGGGACCTATTTAATGCACAATCAGCGCCTCCTAATCAGGTTCAATGACGTACACGCAATGTGAAGGACAGCCCACACGCATCCAGCTAGAGACGTTATATATATCGCACCGCATAACAGGCTGAATGCGACTGTAGAGCCATCAGGCCCAGAAATAATGCCACGATAGGCGTTGTCCTGTCAGGGTAGTAGGGATGCTGTCGACTATGCAAATGGGAATACAATCGTTGCTACAGGTATGTTGTATCACAACTCTGCCAGTGAAGAACAGCCTATGGTCATCCGTATCCGGAACCCTCGACATTGGTGCCTACTGGCGTCGATGAGCTGTGGTGTCCGAGACTGACTTCTCATATGATCCAGGGATCACTGCGGATACTGTGTGAGACGGATCGTAACAATCACACGCATTCAATGATGAAGAGCGCAAGGATGCGGGGCACAATGTTGAAAAGCTAGCTGTCAGCGAGTCGGGCTTTCTACAGCTGCCGGCACAGACGACACTGTTGATGGAGCACTTCCGGTAACATCACTTGAATTTCAACCACCCTCTTGCTCGATAACGGGCGCTGACAAGAGAATATACTATACCTCTCCCAGCGTCAAGAATAAAAGAGGATTAGGAACCAGGGCTACTCACTTCGGAGTCTGTGAGCAGTACCTGTATGGGTGAACCACTCGTCACCCATGTTAGAAAGTTGCCATGAGTCACCTGCTCCATTTGAGACATAGCTACTGATTCGTTTAGCATCTTGACGCAAGGAGTACTATATTTCATCCATATAAGGATCTTGCTTCGGATTGTGGAATACTGCTGTGTAGATTGAACATGAGGTATATCACTATCAACTCCGTTCTTACTCACTTGAAGTAAGCAATCAGTACGGGAAAGTATTCAGAGGCTCGCATCGCCATTCACGTGCGAGAACCTTTCGTTCTCGCACAATCACATATGATCGTGACAAGTTTGAATTCTCTGATGTCAGCACGACTGAGACGGCATTGCTTTGCATTCGGTTGTAATCACCTCGGAAGCCGCTAATAACGGAGTCAGATGATGATACTCGCCCGTCCTCCGCTTCTCCGAATTCCCGATTTTCACCGAACCTATCGCTAATGCTATGAATAGAACATGATCCTCTGGCGTTGCATTCAGGTCTTCGATTCGATCGTCAATAAAGCAAATGGCGATAGTCACCTTGAGGGATTGGCAGCGAACCCATCTAAGTCGCATGAACATGAGTACGAGCTTTGAATATTTGAATGCCCTGCCAGCATGCCAGTCTGACTGTCCTGCCTCGGTCACAATTAGCTAGTACGTCACCATTATTGTGGCTGTGAATATTGATCAGCGACGAAAATGAACCGATCTTAAATGACTTCGATCGAACGGATGATAGTTACGCAGAGCTGAAATGATAATCATTGCGCCTCGGACGTCACTTCCAGTCATCGCCTCCTCCTGACTCCGACGTCCGAACATTTTCTTTACAAAACTCCTCGTTCACGACCGGACAGGCCACCAAATCCCTCTACTCGCTCAGCTATCTCGTAAGGACGCACCGCCACCATGTTCGCGGGCACAAACCGCGTCCTGCGCCTGACGCCGAAGCTCCGGCAACCGCGCGTGCCACTGTCAAGTCGCGCAGGGATCTTCACGAACCTCACGACCGGACAGCCTCTCAATGTTTCGAAACCGCCCCGGCCTCTTTCGACGACCGCGCCAGTGTGCGACAGCACGACGATACTTTCGCGCGAGCGCGAGGTCGTCGCGGCGGAGGAGACGCACGATGTGATGACCATGGACAAGTTGCTCAAGGTTTGCCGTGAGCCATCCTCCTTCCTCTTCTCTTTCAGTAGCGGTTGTTCACGCGCGTGTGCAGGTCGGCGCGCAGACCCGACGTACCAATCGTGAGTCTCGCGTTCATGCCGAGAAGGTGCGTATGACCGAATTGGTCTTGATACAGCGTCCTTCCCATCCGATCCCGCACACTCTGGTCTGAAGCACTCATGCGCGACTCAATCCCACCGAGCGTCAGAGACCCCGACACGACGCCGCGCATCCTTGTTCGAAGAGACGTCCCGCGGCACATGCACGACTCATACTGCGAGCTCTCCCTGCCATTCGCGTCCTCCCCCGAGCTACTTGAGCGCTACACGAATGCCTCAGGCGGTATTCGGACGGGTATGCTCATGGAACACTTGGACTCATTGGCCGGCGGCATTGCGTACAAGCATGTACTCGGCCCTGGGGTCGATGAGCTGCCGAAGGACCAGCCGTTCTACATGGTCACAGCTTCAGTGGACAGGTGAGTGGTCGCGCGGGAGTCCTTGACTGCCGGATGTCTGAAATGGCGGCTGTGATCAGGATGGACATGCTGGCACCCATGTATCCCGTGCGCGACATGCGACTCAGCGGTCAAGTCATTCACACAGGCAAAAGTTCGATGGAAGTGGCTGTTCGTATGGAGGCAATACAGAAGGACGGCACAGAGGAGACGATCATGCTAGGTATGAGTCCACTATATTTGGCGGAAGCTATCAGACATGTACCTCGTCCACCAGGCCGTTTCTTCATGGTCTGCAGAGACGCACGCACACACAAGGCGTCCCCCATAAACCCGCTCATCATCGATTTGGAAGAGGACAAGACCCTGTTTGCAATCGGCGAGAGTAAGTGGCCCTCCACACATTCGCCGTTCTACCTCCTCAGACCGGATTCACAACAGAGCACAAGGCGAAGCGTCAGACGCGCGCAAGCGCCGCGTTGACCCGCGTCCCGCCGACGTCGGCAGAGGCGGCGGCGCTACACCAAATGTACCTGCAGTATGTGCAGAACGAGAAGGGAGACTTTGTCGGTCCGGACGGGCTGCATCGTGTGTGGATGGGCGACACGAAGCTGGAGAAATGTATGATGATGTTCCCGCAGGAGCGCAAGTGAGTCAATCTCGCAAATGAGACCACCCGTTTGCTGATTATGCCCGCGCAGCGTTCATCAGAAGATCTTTGGTGGTACGTAGAATATGCATTCAACTCGTCCCCAATTGTCGCTGATATTCAACAGGTTACTTGATGCGCCTTGCGTATGAGGTACGAGCCTCCGAGACACGCTATGCATCGAAATTGACACTTGCATGCACCAGCTTGGATTCGCGACTGCGGAGCTGCTTACTGGCTGTCACGTCCTCTTCCTCTCCCTAGACGGGATCTCGTTCGCGAAACCAGTGCCGATCGGGTCGATCCTGCGACTCACCTCGCAGATCCTCCACACCACAAAGTCCGAACAATTCCCCGGTATCGTCGTAAGTGCCCCCTTGCCCTCCGGCTCTTCCGCACATTCCAAAAACTGAGATCGATCGTAGCACGTCGGGGTGCAAGCGAATGTGGTGGACGTGGCGACGGGAAAGGAGCAGACGACGAACGATTTTAGGTTCACGTGGTGCACGGATTACCAGCTGCCATTGAAGCGGAAGGTGGTTCCGAAGACGTACAAGGGTGAGTCGCCGATGTCACCGCTGGGGTATGGCTGTTTGATCGTCGTTGGTATGCAGAGGCGATGTTGTGGCTCGAGGGGAAGCGCGCTCTGGACATGGGTGCTCAGATTAGAGGGCTGCTCAAGCGTGTATGATCGCGGTAGGATTCACAGGAAAGACACATTATTGTATTCACTACCTATAGACAACATACCTACAATAACACTTGATTATTATGTGGCCTTGAAAAAATGTTATCACACCGGGTGAAACGCGTGACGTCACACGACCTGTCACCGAGAATCGAACCGACGCAATATGTCCGCTCCGATTGGATCGTTGTCGAGTCCGGTTTGTGCGGCTGCCTTAATACGAAAGTGCACCCCTTGCAGCGTTCGTTCGTCCACCGTTGCCGTCCGCGCTGCAGCTTGCAGGCCTCTCCATCGTGCTCATCGTCGCCGACGTCGGGCATGGCTCCGGCGATGATGCACTCCGATGCGTTTGACGTGATTCCGTTCGAGGTGCGTATGCGTGGTATGTAAGGGGTCCGCGGGGTGGTTATATGCTGCGTGCGCAGGACATCAAGGACGATTGGACGAAATTGGGCTCGGGATCTTTTGGGAACGTATACAAAGGTCAGTGATGCCAGATATTGTTGGTCGGCCGGCGGAACGATGGTGGACCTGCAGGAAACTACCTTGGGATCGAGGTGGCCATCAAAGAGGTTCTCCCATCTAATGATTACGACGTCGCGAAGTACTTTGAGCGCGAGTGGAGGCTGATGAAGTGAGTATTCAGCTCCTCGTGGGACCTACGGATGATGCTATGGTGAAAGGGATGGCGATGTTGTATACTGACCGCATGGTGCTTCAGGGAAGCTCGCCATCCCAATGTCGTCCTCTACCTCGGGCTTTCGCAAGCCCCCGACGGGCGCATCTTCATCATCTCCGAGTTCATTGAGGGCGGGAACCTCCGGATGTATATCCACGACAAGACCAAACCCTTTCCTTGGAGGCTGCGCCTCTCCTTCGCGACGGACATCGCGCGCGCGCTCGCGTACCTCCACGCACGCAAGTGCATCCACCGCGATCTCAAGGGCGAAAACCTGCTCGTCACCGCAAACGGGCGGCTGAAGATCACCGACTTTGGCTTTGCGCGCATCGCTGCGCGCAACGAGGAGGAGCTGAAGCGCCTCACGTTCTGCGGGACCGATTCGTACATGTCTCCCGAGATCCTCACCGGCACCGAGTTCGACCTCCCCACCGACATCTTCTCGCTGGGCGTGATATTTTGTGAGATCGCGGCGCGAAAGCTCGCGGACGACCATACGTTCCGTAGGACGGCGCCGACGTTCGAGGTCGACCATGAAGAGGTGCGCCGCCTTGCGAGCCCCGGGTGTCCCCCTGCTTTCATCGCGCTTGCGTTGGACTGTCTTGCGCGAGACCCAATGATTAGGCCGAACACGCGCGCGATCTTGGATCGGTTGCGGGAGATCGAGGCAGAGGTACTGTCGCGGCCATCCGAGATGGAGGATATGCATTTGGGCACGGTGAAGTTCATGACTGGCACGCCGAGGAGACCTGGTGCGGCGCCTCGGATCCCGAGCTTTGGGATGGGCATTGGACGAGATATCCGCAGTGGCGGGCAGACGACGGCTTTGGAGGCGCATTCGAGTGAAGAAGAGGCATCTGACAGTGATGAGGAGCTCATGCAAGCGGTGCAAAAACTCAGTACTGTGAATCTCGGTAGTAATTGGACTGAAGATAGCACAGGTTCGTTGACTTGCGCTGATGTTGCTGCTTGCCGACTGATGGTTTCGGTAGATCACAGAGGGGATAGCGGGCAACCACTCCTCGAGAGCTCCTCGAGCACGCGCTCTGAGTACAGCACAACCGTCGTCAGGTCGCACGGGCACAGCGCCGAGTCTTCTGCTCCTTCACTGTCTTCCATCCTCACGATCCGCCCGTCTGCACCAACGACGGAGCCTCCCCCCACAGGCGCACAGGGACCGACACCGACAGAGTCTCTTCTATCTATCGAGTCGTACTACACTGCGTCCACGAGCTCTATCTCACCCGTATCCATCGCTGCGGCGACGGAAGGCGGCTCAACCATCCGGAGCTCTTCATTCCCACTCGTGCACCGGTTTTCTCTGCTGAAGCCCGGGGCAAAGAAGACGAGTATCGGTGGAGAGAGGAGCAGAAGCGCGTCGCCGCCTGCGGCCTCTGACGTGCTGTGGAACCGGAATCCGCTGGAGTTCATATTCTCAAGCGCGCTGTTGGCGGCGAAGTGCGACGTCTGTGGCAAGCGTCTCGGTTGGAAACCGGTACTCGAGTGTGATGACTGTGGTCTGCGGTGAGTTCCACATCCTATCGATGGCGTCATCTACTCCGCTGATATGCGCTCGATGATAGTGCGCATGTCAAATGCGGAGAGAACGCTCCTATGGACTGCGGTATCCGTCCCGCACGTCCACGCGTCCATCAACGAGAGGCTGCTTTGCCCTCCAACCCGTCTTCGCCACAAGCGAAAGCAAAGCCTAACGGGAAGATTTCTTCCCCAAAGTAGAGGATACCCCGTCGCAGGGCTGCCTGCGTCTGCACATCGGATGATGAATCTCACGACCTTCATGAACTTAGCATTGGACTATAGCGTCATCCTTGTTGACCGTTTCTTGGTGATCTTCATGGTTCTGCCACGTCCTGACTGTACACTGCATCACGTATTGTACTTAGCATGTGAATCCTTTTGCAATGTTCTAATTTATGTACAACGTCGGTTGGGAACTGTACATCACCTCCAGACTTTCCACGTAATGAAGTCTTCTTGCTCTCCGGTGAGTCGAAATAGATAGTACGCGTACAAACTGAGTATCCGGACCGTGGTGAGCGATCACTGCCACGGGCGTTTAGTCCACGAAATCTTCAGGATGTAACTGTACATAGTTGAGAAACGCGAAGCTGGAACAGCAAATCCCAATTACTTCGAGCTCTTTTCAAAACACTTGCATCCGACTCACTTTTCTGCTCTTAACAGGTGATATGTCTTTCGACCTGCCGGAGCTGGCCCGCGGGGTATGGGAGCATCGGACCATTCCTCCTCCTTGTCCATGGAAGTGAATAGATATACGATTTGCGGTGCAATCGGTGCACTGAATCCCTGGCGGAAATGGGCTTGTTGACCAAACGCGCCGAATCCTTGTTGTGGCTGTGCGCGCTGGCTGAATGCACCGAAACTCTGCTGCTCGGGAGACATCATATGCTGTGGGCCCACATTGAAGCCATTGCGGACCATGTCGGCCACTGAGAAACGCTGGTCCAAGCCTACTCGAGTCACTAAGATAAGGTTGCCGTCAGCTCGACGTCCATCGGAGCAATATGCGATATACCTAGGATGAGGTCACTAGGTCTCACACTGTATATCTGCGCCAGACTCTTGCCGTGATGGAGAAGGAATCGCCACGCAGAACCCACAGAGCTCACGGACGATGGTTGGACTATCTGTATCTCTTGCTGTGTCCCTGCCGGTATAACGATTGCCCATCTGGCTCATCCACAATGTCAGTAGTTCTGGCGATGCATCTATGCAATCTTACGCAGAGAACGCACCCCGATCTGTTGGGTCCCGTCTGCCCCTTGGCTGATATCCATTGAGACCAGCCCTTCTTTGATTACATTGCACAGCACAGTGAACGACTGCACAAAGGTGCCCTCGCCGGATACGTATCCAAGGTCTCCTATGGCATACGTATTGGGAGGGACCACGCTCTCTCTCCACATGTGGTTGTGAGTACCCGCCTGGAGCGCGGCCAACCTGATTTGCCGGAGAGTCGGTCCTTGATTTGACATGAGAAAAGTCTGGTCATCTTCGTTCTCGCCGAGAAGCTTCTGAAGACGTGCGAGAATGGTGGAAGGTTGGTTAGAGTCTGGGAGCACGGCCTTGAGGATGGTTATGGCATGGTTGATTTTCTCTTCGATCTCGGCGTTCTCTGCTCAACTGTCAACATATCACTCATCTTCTCGGTAGGTCCTCTGTTCAGAGGAGGCTCACCTTTGGAGTTTTTGCGGTCAAACGGACCCTCAGCGATTCCATTACTTGGAACTAGCTAAGTGCTATCTGATAAATAGCAGGGTCGATTGGTTACGAGTCTCGGACCACACCTTGAGGTATAGCTGCTGTATAGAGCCTGCCAAATCATAGTTTCGCCAACTAGTGATTCTGTCAACCTCCAGCGGAGGTAATCCCATGATCAGCTTCTTGTCAGTATCAATTCGATAGCTCGCGTTCTGCAGGATATCAAGATCAGTCTCAAAAACGGCCATAACGTTCATCATTATAGACAGACCTCGACATAATCTTGGATCTTAGAGTCAGTTAAATCCAGCTGTCTCTGCAGATAGATTGCTGCATCCTGTATATTCGGAGTTAAAGCACATCACCGTATTGAAATACTGAGAAAACAATAGTACCAATGTATCAAGGTACTGAAGTCTCATGTCGCTTCAGCACAACACCTGAGTCATAGGAGATAGATCGCCCACCAGGCGTAATATCGAGTGGATACAATCGGACAAGCTGGACTTCTTGAGGGTCTCAAGCATGTGTTCTCTTGGAGATTTTGCTCGCACTATGCTGAACTATAGTCAAAGTTAATTGGATGACCACGACCACACGCACCATCTGCAAGCAGGATGAAGGGGGTACGAGCATCTTGGTAAGAGTATCCAAGCATCTGGGGTAAATTAGGGTGGCTGCGAGATTGTAGAGTGAGTATCGCAGCCAATTCCTAGTCACAGATTTACTCACAAGATGTTCTGCAGGATCTTCACATCCCGTGCCCATTCCTGCCATGAAAATGTTAAAGACAGTCTGCAGCATCTCGAGCGAGAACAGACCTTAGCGGCTTCCTTGCGACTTCCGCTGTATTGCTTCGCCAAAACTTCTCGGCCGTTTAGTCGGGCATCGACTACTCCCGCCCACCATCCGCCTCGAATGGATGGTCTCCCTCGCAATGTGGATTCCGACTGATGGTATTGAGTAAACTAGGGAGCAATTCACTTGATCATTAGCGAACGCTGATCACCGCTGATTATCACTTACACCGTGATGATCGTCAATATATAATTGATCTGCATCGCCGGACGTTATTGCGGGAGCGTTATCTGACCTACCCACAAGATCGGCATGTCTCATTTGGAAATCTGATCTCAGGTTATTGCGTGGGAATAGCTGTGTAGCAGTACTCTTGGGCTCTGGTTTGCTGAAGCCCATAAGGGATGGCGGTATTCACATGACGTTCTTGATATTCTATAGCAGGTGACAGTATCTGCTCGACCTCCAGTGACCCATGTACATAATCCACTTCTTTCTCTGCAGAGGGTATCGCTCGCAAGGCGGCCTTAGGAGCGTTCTTGTCGCCGACAGAATAGTGAATGTTGATGAGAGTGGCAATCTGAACGCAACGTGTGAGTGAGAGTCAGCATAAGACCGTCATCTAGAAGACTGTGCCTGGAAGGATCTCGCAGCATCATCAAGAAGAACATGGAAGTCGGCCAAGGTGTCCTCAATGAAACCTTTTCTGAATAAGCGGACGTGCCATTTTGCGCCTGCGATGTTTGTCAAGAAGTCATAGATAGACTGGAGTGTCCTGTTACAAACTTCAATCATACATACGTACACACCTAGAGGAGAGGCTCACTTTTCAAACTTATTCAGCGCTTTCGCAAGAGATGGAGGTGCAGAGTCCCAGCGATCATCCATATGTTCGCTGATATCTACCAGCAAAGCAAGACAGCGATTAGCTAGTCGGTAACATTCACTCTTATTCCTCTGTACACTCTTCAAATTCAAGATTCAGACAAGGATCATTAATTGAGACCATGCCGCTACTGCAAAAACTCACCTGGATTGTCTGGAAGATCCGTAAGAGTATGGTAGCAGGGACGCTTACGAGAGCGAACCTGACGACGCTCGCCAGTTGCTGGGTAGCGGTCGTGGTCGAGACGGCAAGGTAGAGAATAGTGTCTCCCTTTACCCTTGAGCGTATATACCGAAGGACCATGGTGGCTCGGGCCCGGCGCTGATGATGGTGGTATTGGAGAGAGAAATTTGTGAGATACTTATCCTACACTGCATTAGCCGGAAACATGAATTGCATAGTTGTGATGAGTAAATAATGAAACGCCACGCTAAGCACTCGGCAAGACGGTCCATCAATCAATCTGTCTACTACTAAATGGTGGCGTAACGGTCCACGCGACCGACCCGGGGCAAATATGTACTCTGGGGCGGTCACGTGTGCCTTAGGGCAAACACTGATGCTCGAATTGAAGCTGCAAGTTTATTGTAAGAAGGGCACTAGTTCAGGCCCCACTAGCGCTGTCGTGGCAGGCTATTTGTGATATAAGAAAGCGACAATAAGCTGAAGTAACATAGTAAGCCGGTCAACTTCTTGCTTGGGACCGCTCAATCTCACACGCTGCGAAGCAGTTCTCTCGACACATTAACTTCATTCAATCATTATCAGTGCACAACGCATCTCTATCATACACCCGTCCAGCCCCTTGTTGGAAGTCATACGGACTTTATGTCCAGTGGGACACGGACTTAGACATTCCGCGCTTATTCGCTTATGTAATCACGTAGCCACAAGCGCGCTCGATCTTTTCCTGCTACCTCAGCACTCGCATCATACATCGAGGCTGAGTCACTCGTTCCTACGTGTCCTACAGCCCTCGTAAATTTTCACCTCGGACAATAGGTTATGAGCCCCGCGGCTACACACTAACCTGTCCACTCATTGAAGCTTCCACTGTGCTCACATTCCTTCCCCCTCTGACGGATGACAACACCGCCATCTACCCAGCGCCAACACTAGCACCAGCTCGTCCTCCAGCACCACCTGCTCCACAGCCCTCTACTCCCATGTCTACATCCACAAAACAACCCTCCGGCTCAAACTGTCTCTTTGACATTCCATCCCTTGAGAATGAAGGCGGCAACTACCAGCAATGGAAGTTCCGTGTTGAGACGGTCCTACGCATCAGGAAGCTCTGGTACATTACTCAGGGCCAGGAAACCCGACCTGCAGATTACGAACCTGACAAGCAGGCCGAATGGGATGACAAGGATCAAGATGCAAAGGCGCAGATCACGCTCACGCTCAAAGATACGCCTCTGAGCGGCATCATGTACGAGAAGACGGCGAAGTCTGTATGGGACAAACTCGCCGCGCAGTATGAGGGGAAGGGGAAACAGACGATAGCGTACCTCATCGGTGAGCTATTCCGTGGTACCCTCTCTGACGAGACCGGTATGGAGGTACAGCTTGATGGCATGGTCCAAAAGGCCAACATTCTGGCCACCCTTGGACAGCCACTCGAAGACTCGCTGATCGCGGCCGCCATGGTCACATCACTCCCTCCATTGTATTCAGTACTTCGCACCATCCTCATGTCGACGAGCGACAAGCTCACCACGGAGACGGTCACAAACCAGGTCCTTACTGAAGAGCGCGAACGCCTCAAGGAGGGATCGCAGCACGCGCTTGCCGCCAAGCTGTCAGGTATGCCACCAACATCGAAATCGAATGGGAAGCAGCCGAAATCCGGCAAGAAGTGTGGCTATTGCCACAAGCTGAACCACACGGAGGAGGAGTGCCGAATGAAGAAGAGAGACGAGGAGAAGCAGGAGGAGGAAGAGGGTAGCGACGACAGTGAAGACCTTACAGCGAAGGTCGCGTCCACCCGGGGTACCACAGCGTCCCCCGTCCTCCGACTGTTCATCACCCACGCGCTCACGCAGCGCAGCCTATCCGCCGACCATTGGATTCTCGACTCAGGTGCAACGGCATCCATGAGCTCACGCCGCGACTGGTTCTTTCAATTCACGAACCTTACCTCACCGAAGCGCGTTTGGCTCGGAGATGGACAGTGCATTCACGCAGAAGGTATCGGGCAAATCTACATCGATTTAGCCATCGAAGACGGACGTACAAGCCCGACGCTGCTACAGGATGTATACTACGTACCGCAGCTCCAAGGCAACCTCCTCTCCACCTCGCGACTCACCGAACGAGGTCAGACCCTCACGTTCCACGGCGACGCCTGCAAAATCACTTGCAACGGCGAGACGACGGGCCTAGCGCACAAGACAGACGGTCTCTACATCCTCGAGTCAATCCCACACGCTCCCATGCGAGCGTTCGTAGCGCACGCGGACTCCTCCACGGATCCCGACGAGTCTCCACTCGAAGCGCTGGCGGCGAAGACGACGACGCACAAGGCGAACGTCGTAAAGTGGCACCACAAGACCTGCCACATGGGTACCGAACTCACCCTACAAATGGTCTATCAAGGCGCGGTCAGTAACACGAACACCGTGAGCAATGCGACTCACGACGTGAAGACCGGTAAGCCCATCCAGACGGGCATCAAGCCCTCGGCCACACACATCCGCACGCACGGGTGTATGGCCCATGACGCCAGACTCGACCTCAAGTCGGTCAAGCGCGTCACCCTCGGGTATGCTCAAAACGCGAAGGCACACGCTGCCTCTCACCGAACGAGTGGGCGCACACACGACGCGCAAAACGCCGCCTCCGACGAGGGCATCCGTACGCGGCAGACACGCACGGTGATCGACCCTGAACTTCAACACGAAGTGCAGGGCAAACCGCCGAGCTCACCTGCCGGCACTCCTCACAGCCCTCGCGAACGACGAGCGGCTCGTATCGCGATCGTAGCCGCCGAACACGACCCAACGCCGCCACCACTCGACGCACCCAGTAGCACGTCCACCGGCGATAGTGACAATGACAACAGCAATGACAAAGACGACGAGGGCAACACAGTACCCTCGCCCAGCCATCACGCCGCGTTGCCAAGCCAGACCGCGTCAAACCGCTCGCCTCCTTCTCCGCCTCAGCGCGAAATCGAGAAGGAGCACTTACCTGCCATCTCAAAGGCCACAGCATCTCTCTCACACACTCGGACTCAACGCGCAGCCACTCCCGCTCCCGCTCCAAAGGCTTCAAAGAGCCATGTCCGTCAATCCACATGCGCGCCCAGCGCTGATTCGCGACGACGATCCGTGGTCCTCTGTCAGCGCATACAAGCCCAAGACATTTCCAGGAGGCCTTGGAGCCAAGACGAAGCGGGCAGTAGAGACTCCAGAAGTCCAGAAGAGAGCCAGAAGCAAAGAAGAACAGTCAGAGAGAGGAGGGAAGAACGCGCATCAAGTGGGCGCAGTCGAACGCGACAAGGCTCGCGCGGGCGCTACGGGTCACTCAGTTGACGACGAACCTCGGAGAATCAACGTCAGATGCGGATCAACGGAAATCAGCGACAACGGAAGAACTTACCCCGTTCGTCAAGGCCACACTCAACGACGAGTACGACCGTCCACGCACCGCAATCGGGCACAATTCAGGCGAAGTCACACGGCGCAGACAGCGTACAGCAAGCAGCCCGAGTTCTCAAATCCGCCCAGACGGACTCAAGAAACCCTACGCCACAGGCACTTACCATTCAATCCGTGCAAGTCACAACATCTGCCGAAGACCCTCGGTCGCGCACAGCACAAGCAGCATGAAGGATTCAATTAGTGTTCTAAAAGTAGGTCCGCATTCCCACTGAGTGGGCGTGTTGGAAGTCATACGGACTTTATGTCCAGTGGGACACGGACTTAGACATTCCGCGCTTATTCGCTTATGTAATCACGTAGCCACAAGCGCGCTCAATCTTTTCCTGCTACCTCAGCACTCGCATTATACATCGAGGCTGAGTCACTCGCTTTCCTATGTGTCTACAGCCCTCGTAAATTTTCACCTCGGACAATACCCCTCACCACCGTCTTCACACCAATTGCTGCTCAGAAACGACGACATCCTTTGCCTTCGACTTTTCCACCGAATCCATCGAGCCGCGGCGCGAGTTCGCTGCGGTCTTCTCTATCGTCGGGATAGGCCCGGTGAACCAGTGGATGCCACCGTACTTGGGCAGGTAATACCAGACGAGTGAGAGGATCATCACGCCGCCGAGCACGACCTGCAGCCAGACACCGAGATCAATTATATGTAAACGAGAACCTGGAAAAGACGCTCACGATTGTGTAGTTCATCTCTTGAGTGTTCGTCTGCGGCGTCGTTGGAAACAGGAAGACGACAGACATGAAGCCCATCCACGCGAGCCCCATGAACGCCACCGGGCCGCTGAACCAGCCCAGGTTGAACGGCCCCGGCTGGAAGTCATTGTCTCCAAGGAAGCGAGCCGCAATGGGGATAGAGTAAGCTGAGTGACACGGTCGTCCTTCATTAATCACCTCCACGCATTAAAGATGCAGAGCACGTACCGATGTAAAGCGCGACGACGGACAGCGAGAACACCGCGCCGATCGCCTGCTCGCCCGCAAATGCCAGCAGGCCAAGGAGGAGTGCGCACCCGCACGTGAACCACACCGTGTTCACCGGCGTGCGCGTGAACCTGTTCATGCGATACAACCAGTTCGAGAACGGCAGCGCGCCATCGCGTGCGAATGCGAAGCTCTGGCGCGACGCAGCCAGCACCTACATGTGTTAAACCACAGTAAGAATGGAGAGTCCGAGTAGGAGGAGGGGAGGGAAGGCAGACCATGCTAGAGCCCATCATGTACTGCACGAGAACGACGAACGACCAGAGCGCGAGCGTGCCCTTCTGCCCGAAGCTATTGAAGAAGATCTGCGCCATCGGCTGCCCGACAGGGCTGTTCACGATCGCATCGAGATTAGTGCCCATGCAGAATGCCAATGCGACGTTGATTGCTAGGCACAGACACGTGAGCGGCAGTGTCCTCGTGTGTTATGTGAAACGAGATGCGACTCACCCCATCCCAGCACGCCAGCGATGGCGATGGCCAGGACGATGGCCCATGGCACTGCGGTGGCGGCGTTCGATGCCTCCTCGCTGATGTGCACGCTGGAGTCGAAAGAGCCTAGCCAGTAAGGTGGGCTTGTTAGTTGAGTCGAGGAAGCACCAGTATGAAATGTGACGTACAAATCGTCCACAGCGGAGCGAGAAAGCTGAGGATGAATGCGAAGCCGCTTGGCCATCCATTGACTATGAGCACTCATGTGAGTCATTGCACGATGAATATGGCTGGGGCGGGCACTACGCACAGTTGGAGAAGTCGCCGAAGGCAAAGCTAGCGCTGTTCATGTACTCCTTGGGTGTCGCCGCCGGAAGGGCGATGATCACAGCCAGACAGAGCCTGAGAGGTCCCATTCATCAGAACACAACCGCAGCGACCAACAAACGGTCTACGCACAAGACATTCAGCACGACATAGACCGTCTGCAGCCGCGCCAGGATCTTCGTGCCGAAGCAACAGATGAGAGCATGCGTCAACAGGATCAACGCGTACACGCCGCTGTATATGCAAGCAATTCTCAGTGCCAGGAAGTATAGGTTTGACATAACTACGAACAATTTCTGGCCCTCTGTGGGAGAGAAGCTCTGATCCTCGGACCCGATGCTGGCGGCAGCCTTAGCAAAATCGAATATCAGTACGTCTTACATACAGTCGTCCGACCTGGCTGGACATACCATGATTTGCACTGCGCATCCCCAGTCGATAGAGGCGATGGATGCAATGGAGCCAATCGTATTTGCATCTGCGTCACAGCATGTGAGCTTTCTTAACATCATAGCGATATTCAACTGAACATGGTACGCACATCCGACGATCCACGCGAGAAGATTACGCCACCTTGGAGACGAGAGGGAGTGCGCCCAGAAATACAGCTGGATGACGGCATCAGAAACGGCTATTCATGGCAGTGCACCGGGCGCTTCAAAGTGACGTACCCCACCGGAGGTTGGAGCCGCGGAGGCCAACTCGGCCATAGACATTCCCACTAAAAGAATGAAGAGGCTGGCTACGGCCCACTGCGGTAGAATTAGTCATTAGTGTTCTAGAGGATGCTTGTGAGTACGTACCCCCCAGACCATGGCGGAGGGACCGCCGTTGGGGATGGAGGTCGATAAGACAGAGCTGGAAATAATATAGATTAGCCCAATTGTGACATCGACGAACGTGAGAGCATGCGCACGCAATGGATGGCAGCAGTCCAATGATACTGAATGCAATGCCGAACGTCTGTCACAATAACGATTGAGTAAAGGTGCCTGCAGATCCTGATGGAAACCAGGGCCGTGGAATCAACTCTTCGCTGATATCGAGAAGCAGCGAAGGCCACCGCACTCGCCCAACCTGTCATGAAGAAACACACCTCCAAAGCGCTGAACTCTCTCCGGAACTCTTGCTTGTATCCCAGGCTCGCAAGGAGGTCCTCGTCAGCGATCGCAATGTCCACGCGCCGCCGGTCGCCGAGGGTCGTTTGCACTCCAGTATCCGCCATCGTCAAGGTCGTCAGAGTCTTCTGCACAGAGCTTGACAGTTTTCGGGAGAGACGCACGAGACCAAATCAGACTCGGAGGCGGGGGCAGAGAATCCCCCGCGTGTTCCACCGCTTCTTATCTGCGAGGCACCACCGCGCGCTTCTTAAATTCAATCTTGGACGGTGGTAACGCCTGTCTCGCTTAGATAGCGGTACCGGATGGAGCGTTTTGTATTGCAAACTCTCCACTGGGTGCGCTCGCGTAGATAAGTACGCGACGCATCGGGTAGACCGATGGCAATGAGAGACACAAGGAGCGTATCTCCCAAGGTACGCGCTCCCGTTATGAAATTGTCGAATTGTTTTCGAGGACAGCCTGTGCTGCATCACCTGGTCATGGCGCCTTTTTTCTGCTGTCCGTCACGAAGGGAGGATGGGAATCTGCAAGCTCAGCCACATGGTAGCGGGAGAGCAATTGAATGGTGTGAGGCATTCAGCGCCTGCGGTGGCGACCAATAGAATAGAACCGATCCAAAGTGATCGCGTGAAGATCTGAAACGCGATCTCGCTTACCTCACCGTCGGTACTACCATATTTGGATGTATCAACCGATGTGGCCACACAACCTTGGCAGGGGAAATCCGCTGCGATTGGTTACCTTCAGCCACAGACTCTGACCGCCGCACTTGTTAATGTACTGAGATATTCTCATTAATGTTCGCGAGATGGTCGACCTCCTGATTGCATTACTCTTTCACACCTGCGCTGCTCACTATCAATGCATATCAAGCAAACGCAACCGAGTAGACTCGAGTGACCGGGATTCCCAGCCTGATTCGTGTATAAAAGTTTCTCAACAGCGGCTCACAGTGAATATGCCCACTGGTTGGCGGAACGGCGAAGGACTGACAAGAAAAATCGAATATGCAATGCGCTACAGAGCCAGCACGATAGGGAACTCTTATCGTGAGCTGCCTCTGCGACGCGACTTGGCTCAGAAGGCATCGTCGGGGAGCCGTAAGAAACCTAGTACCGCTGCTGCCGCTTACTCCTCAGAGCTTGCTATGTAATGCTTGCTCGTGACCACAAATGATCCGGCTCTACCGGTATACGAAGTCGACACGAAACACGAGGAATGCTGCGTTCGAGATCGCCCTCTTCTTGATTTCTTTGCGCGTGGCCCAGGCTGGTCCAAGACGGGATGTTCCCAAACGACTGAAGTTCGGAGAGTGTAATGGAAGTATTGCCCTCTGACTCTTATGATATCAGACGGCCACATCTCTCCTACACCTCATTGTTCTATCCGCAGGACTTCTTTTCGCCTCTTCTTTCGATGGGCAATGATCCTGCACATTGGACTTTTTTCAGCACAAACTTGGCGGAAACACGGCAAGGCATCAAAACAGACTGATGAAGACGCGGGATAGGATAGCGTTTGTGAATCCGATCGTCAGTGACCCATGCGAGGGGCAGGACCTCCTGCGTATATCCGTAATCAGCTCTCGAGGAAAAAGCATGCGCATGCACCAGGAATGGAAGACGGCCAGAGCGAACATGAAGTGACACGCACCGTCACATAGATTGGGATAGGTTGCATTAGCCCGTCAGTTCGCCCACTGCTACCCTCACACCAATCTCCATCTTGACCACATTGACGACAGAACAGCTGGTGACAACGCTGCTGTGTTGAGTGAAGCAGAATCTCACATTCACTAAACCAGTTTCGGGCACATCATCCGCCGTCGAAAAGGATGGATGCCTTGACCATTCAGCCAGAAAAGACGCAGTGGCCACAGGCCAGGGCAGTGACACGTAGACCAAAACACAATTACATGACTAGGCGATGTAGTCGGGCGACATTGCTCTCGAATGCTGTGTTTATAGGCCTTCGACAAGTCACTTTGAGACGTGGCATCAGAGTGCGCTGACGAACGAGGTGTTTGACCTGCCTGGCACGCGTCGAGGACCCCAAACACTTCTCGCAGCGAGCATCGGGCGCTCTCCATGCCTTCCTGGGCGACTGAAACCAGAATGTGACCATTTTACTACAAATGTGCTAAGCGTGGGTAAGTGTTATGTAAGCCCTCAAATTTTATACCCGTGAGGCATTGACACCAGTGCTCCGGGGTCTGGCCTCCACGAAAGTGTTGACGTGGCGAGAGCAAGATATAAGAGTTGCGTCGAGCGCTTGCGTGCGAGCAACAGCACTTCACCCTTCCACCATGTCCCTCCCCCGCCGCCCGACGCGGACACAGTCACGACGACTGGTGTCGTCGCTCTCCATTGTGTTCTTTGCTTTTCTTGCACTCTTGTTACTGTGTCCCGTCGCGGTGACCGCGGATGAAGACAAGCGGTCCGAGTATGGCACGGTCATTGGGATTGGTACGTATTCTTTTGCGATTTACCTTTCTGTGCTCGTGCTTTTACTGATTCTACGTGTGCAGATCTGGGTACAACGTAAGCGTGCAGGGCAAAGTGGTCTGTTTTCCGTGGAGACTAACGGGCAACCTTGGTATAGATACTCTTGTGTAGGGTGAGCTGATCAGGTTGCAATCGCACATCCGCAAAATGCTTAACGAATCTTGACACAGTGTACAACGAGGAGGTCGTGTAGAAATCATCGCCAACGACCAGGGTCACCGGATAACGCCGTCATGGGTCAGCTTCACGGACGATGAGCGATTGTAAGTTCGTACATGCTGACGTGCCTCACAAACCCTAACAGTTCGTTTGTCACGCAGGGTCGGAGACGCAGCGAAAAACGCGTACCACTCGAACCCTGAGAACACCGTCTTCGACGCGAAGCGGCTCATTGGGCGCAAGATGGACGACCCCGAGGTCAAGCGCGATCAGAAACATTGGCCGTTCAAGATTGTCGCGAAGAACGACAAGCCCGCCATTCAGGTCAATTACCGCGGCGAGAACCGTGAATTCGTGAGTGCTCACGCAACATGAGCGTGGAGCGTTTGTTAAAGCATCTTTCAGACACCCGAAGAAATCTCTGCCATGGTCCTTGGCAAGATGAAGGAGACTGCTGAGAGCTACCTTGGCAAGCCCGTCACCCATGCCGTTGTTACTGTGCCCGCATGTACGCGCTCAGAGCATCTCATTTGAAACATAGCCGCTCATTCTGTAAATTGCTCTTTGCAGACTTCAACGATGCTCAGCGCCAGGCCACGAAGGACGCCGGAACGATCGCTGGGCTCCAGGTGCTTCGTATCATCAATGAGCCCACGGCTGCCGCGATTGCGTACGGCCTCGATAAGAAGGGCGGCGAGTCACAGATCATTGTGTACGATCTTGGCGGCGGAACCTTCGATGTCTCGTTGCTCTCGATCGACGACGGTGTCTTTGAGGTGCTCGCTACCGCCGGCGACACGCATCTCGGAGGCGAAGACTTCGATAACCGTGTACAGGAGTACCTGATCAAGCAGTACAAGAAGAAGACGGGCACGGACGTTACGGGCAACCTCCGCGCGTTGGGCAAGCTCAAGCGCGAGGTCGAGAGGGCGAAGCGAACCCTGTCGAGCCAGCAGTCAACGCGCATCGAGATCGAGTCGTTCGAGAACGGCAATGACTTCTCGGAGACGCTTACGCGCGCAAAGTTCGAGGAGCTCAACATGGATCTGTTCAGGAAGACGATGAAGCCCGTTGAGCAGGTGCTCAAGGACGCCAACCTCAAGAAGGAGGACATCGCCGAAGTACGTACCAGATACGTTCAGGCTGGAAACCCATCTCATCGCTGCTTTTAGATCGTCCTCGTCGGTGGCTCAACGCGTATCCCCAAGGTCCAGCAGCTTCTAAAAGAGTACTTCGGAAAGGAGCCTTCGAAGGACATCAACCCAGATGAGGCTGTCGCATACGGTGCCGCCGTCCAGGGTGGTATCCTTTCCGGTGACGAAAACCTCGGTGACATCGTCCTCGTCGACGTATGCCCGCTCACGCTCGGTATCGAGACCACCGGTGGTGTCATGACGAAGCTCATTCCCCGCAACACTGTTATACCGACGCGCAAGAGCCAGATGTGAGTCCTCAGGCAACACGTATTTATGCAGTAGTGTGCTGACCGCTCGCGAAGCTTCTCGACCGCCGCTGACAACCAGCAGACCGTGTTGATCCAGGTATTCGAGGGAGAGCGGTCGCTTACGAAGGACAACAACCTGCTCGGCAAGTTCGACCTGACGGGGATTCCCCCAGCGCCGCGTGGGGTTCCGCAGATCGAGGTGACTTTCGAGATTGACGCGAACGGTATCATGAAGATCTCTGCAGCCGATAAGGGAACGTGAGTATTTTGTTCTTCCATCAAAAGGCATCATGTTAAGAATGCGTCCGTCACAGTGGCAAGTCAGAGTCGGTGACCATCACGAACGAGAAGGGCCGTTTGTCTCCGGAGGAGATCGAGCGCATGGTGAAGGAGGCGGAGGAGTTCGCTGCAGATGACGAGGCACAGCGGAAGCGTATTGAGGCGCTCAACGGCTTGTCCTCGTTCGTGTACGGACTCAAGTCGCAGCTAGGCGACCAAGACGGCCTCGGCGGCAAGCTCAGCGACGAGGACACGAAGACGATCCTCGACGCCTTGAAGGAGACGACCGACTGGATCGACGATTATGGTCACAGCGCGACGGCGGAGGACCTCGAGGAGAAGCTGACTGGTGAGTGCTGCTGTAGCCTTTCCATTTGTGGGGCATACTAATGGTGGTAACAGAGGTGCAAAACGTCGTGAACCCGATCACGAGCAAGTTGTATGCTGGTGGAGGGGACTATTACGCGGGCCCTGACGAGGACCAGGACCCGCTTCGCTCGCATGACGAGTTGTGATGAACGTTTGTATTGTTTTATATGTTGGGAAGGCAAAATAAGCTATTATTATAGGCCCAGTTTGACGAATAGACTCGGTTCATGACGTACAATGCATTGCGATGGCCAGGAGGTCGCCCAGGAGGTCGTCCAGGACTTCTGCAGCACCGGTTGTAGCGATCGCTGGGGCTGGCTGAGCCGAGATACCAATATATGTGGAAGACACAGGAGATTCCTCGTCCTGTAACTCATCCTTTCGTTTATGAATCTGGTTTAGTATCCTTGAATTCTCCTTTATATTCAGATTTTGGGAAACTAGAGTACATGTCCAAGACGGGAAAGAGAGCCGAGATGATACAGGCGTGATCGTGCTGAACCGCCGTTTGAGCGGCAACTGCATCGGAGGATAGGTCACTCACCGGGCTCGTTGCTCTACTGCAGCCTCAACACAAAGCTGGGTGCTTGGTAATTACTATCGACGATGCATGTAACCGTATACGAAGCATCCCACTGGGTTAGTACAGCATGCAAGACATATAGCTTCAAGCACCACGGCATTATAACCGGGAGTATCGGTGTCTTCCAAACTTCTTGTAGTTGAGTCAAAGTTCATGTAGTTCCATTCGATGGGACTCTGTCCGACACGCTTCAGTCTGCCGCGCTCTCAGATGAAAATGCAAATAAAGGATTTTCTGCACTCGCCTATCATGTATATACCACACTGATCCTGGATCCATTATTTCTACTTCCCAGACACGAAATCACAACTGTGGCATGTCTGTCTCTAATACTCAGTCAGTGACGAGTGCCAGCAGGAGGACTCATCACTGTCGAGGAAGTAGTTGTAAGACAGTTCAGAGGCTGGCCGGCCGTGTACTGTCCGTAGACGATCGTGAGTAGGCACACCGGCCACACATTACTGCCACAAGGTCGGGCGCCTACGCGTGAAGGCAAGGTTTTGTGGCGTCGAGTTGAACGTTGAACGCGTTCTGCCACTACGACCTGCCACGGCTCGCGACTGGTCCAACCATGTCTTCCCTATCGCATCTACGCGCGACCATCCGCTCCATCCTCAGCCCACATGGTCCTCAGCATGGGGAGCAAGAGTTCTTCGAGGAGCTGATGGCTCATCAGCAGGACCTGTTGAGAATGTACGACGTTGGTCCGCGAAGCCAACAAGAACAGCACGAGCTCGAAACAGGTACGCGCATTACATGACTAGTGACTCCGAAAGATCTTTGCTCAACAGTGACTATTGTCTCAAACAGGCGGCGGCAGACCGCTGTCAGTGAATGCTAACTTTGTGCGACAGGCTCTCTTCATCTCACAACAACTGGATTGCTCCGAGCGCTTTGTCTCTGGTCTGCTCCAAGGTGTGATAGCAGAGAATCCCAATCTCTCTGAAGAACACTGTATCGAAGCAGCCATCGTCGCGTTTCACCGACGGCGCCGCGATCTCGCCGACTGCATGCGCTACATCCTCGAAGCTGCCGAGTTAGGAACCAGCGGAGGTGCTGCCCACGATCTCTACACGAGAATCAACGTGTTCGTCTGTGAACACCTGCTTCCAAGCATTGACGCTGCGTCGATGCCGCCATTACCATCGAGGATATTCAATCAATTGCTCGCCTTGAGCAGCGAGCTTTCAAATGTCCAGAAAGCAAGGCAAAACGCACGGAGCGATACAGTGGCACCGTCTGCTCAAGGTACGTGGCACGTGCGACGGCTCGAGCGAACGTGGTGAGATCTGACTCCAGATATCTGCAGGCACGAGCGGGTCTTTGGGCGTAGATATCCTTACGCTACGATGCGACTCTCTGAAATATGAGCGGCGCACGCTCGCAACAGCATTGTACCATCTAGGTCGCCTAGGCTATATCCCACCATCCGAACTCCACACGATTATCGAGTGGTTGATGTCGAATCCTCCACGCCCCATGACGCATTATGTTCTCGCTACCGTGCTTGCTGCATTCGACCTGCTCGATCCCGATACTTTTTTGGGACAAGTGCGACAGGAGCTCATCAACGACCAGCGATTCGTGGAATACATGTCGAAAAGGCTTGGTCCCGCCACCCAATGGAAGGATCCCGGGCTGAAGGCGACCATCCTGCTGAAGTGGACACTTTTCTTGACTGACTGGCGCCGTCGAGCACCAGAATTGGAGAATCAAGAAGGATTCCGTGCAGATGAGCTCGAGACTCAAATATGGAATGCCGTCCAGGGTGATTGCTTCACTTATCTTCTCCGCTTGGTCGCGCAAATGCAAAATAAACATTCGTCATACGCATCTACCTCCTTCGCGGCAAACATTCTCGCTCAACCGGAGCCAGATTCTCCAGTAGAACTACCAGCAGGAGACTTTAAGCCGTTTCTCCTTGAAGCCTGCGAGGTTCTACTGCGTTCGCTCATCACCCAGGCGTCCTCAGAATTGCGCAAGATCAAGCAGCGACAAGAGGACCTGCTCCTTGCGGGCACGCGCGGGGACCGCTCGCGACTGTTTCGTTCGACTCATGGACACCCTGGATCGCGCCTCTCCGCAAGCCAGGGCCCCGAGCCTGAGCGGCCCAGCGCTCCACCACGCAATGACACAGCGGTCCTTTTCACCCTAATCGGTTTACTCTATTCATTACTACCTCCGGAAAGGGCCCTCCATTTCTGGGGTGCCGGCGGAGTCCTCGAGGGGAGGCGGACGACGTACAGCGAGATCGTAGAGTCAAACTCTGGCAAGCTACCAATGTTTCTCCAGTGGGCGGTCTGGTCGACCCAGGCACGTGACGTCGACATGCTAGCGGCACTGTATGATATGCTGGGGGGGCTTGCAAAGGGTCAGCAGTGCAGCGAACTTGCGTACAACTTCCTCGCACGCGGTGGAGGAGACGTCGTTCCCGGAAGTTCTCTGCCTTCGACTTCACACCTTGCTACTGCTCCTGCAGTGTCATGGAACTCCATCTTTGGCATACTGGACTCTTGGTTTGTTGCCAGTGCTGGCACCGGTTCCTATCCCAACCAACCGGCTCAGTCAGGTGCAGGTGTATCGCAGCCTGGACCGTATGGTACACAGTCGATACAGACACAACAGGCCCCACAGCCGACGCAGCAGCTCACATTCACTCAGAAGGACGTGCTACTTGCACAGGCCTTCCTTCGTCTACTGTCCACAGTGGCGAATTATTCCGTAATTGTCCGCACCACTATAGCTGGCCATGCACGATTCCGCGCGATCCAGACGCTTGTTTCGCTGATTCCACTTGGCATCCCCTTGGAGCTGAAGGGATCCATTTTCGACACGTTGTCTTCATTCTGCCAACCTGGAGCTGGAGCAGCAGGCATAGAGATCTGCAGATCTGTTTGGCAGCTCATGGAAAGGTTAGAGGTCATCAACGTACGGGCCAGTAGCCACATCGGAGGTCCTCTCGCTGCGATGAAGGGCGTGGAAGTTGAGTTGGAGGAGGTTGAAGCGGTCTACAAGATGTACCCTTCAACAATCCCGTTCCTCAAGCTCCTAAGTACACTCATACACACTCCAAAGAGCATTCCATTGCAAAAACGCTTTGCGGAAAGCGAGGATATCAACACAATCCCGGAATCACTGGGGCAACCTTACCGGCAGCCTGGAATCGGTCCCTTCTCGTCGTTCGTCATCGACGATGTATTTTCCAAGATCAACGCTCGAGAATATCTGCGACCTACGGATCGATGGCGGATGAACGACCTTTGCTTGTGCTTCATTGAGCGCTGCCTAGCGAGTTATGATCTGGAGTCTCTATTAACGAAAGTGGACGAGCTCCAACCGAAGGGCGACGAAGTGGTGCAGCTGGCTATTCACCCAGGATATGATATAATGCAGCGCTTGCTCACACATTCATCCCTGCAAAGTAACATCCTGTCCTACCTACTCGAAGGGTTGGATGGATTCGACCGGGGCCTTGCCGAAGAAGAACCATTTTTCCGAACCACCATCGTCCGCGTGCTGCGAATCATTCACCGTGTTTTTGAGATTCAGGACATTTTCCTGGACATCTTGCTCCCATCACTCGCGGATGTACAGAGTCTTGCCGACATTGGCGAAGTACATCCCGCATCCTACTTTGTCAGGTTTGACACAGCTCTTTCGTACACCCCAGAACATGTACCTGCAGTTGCGGCTTATGTGGCCTATCCGCGCTATCCCGAGTTGAATCTGCTGAGCGTCAAGATCTTGACCCTTCTAGCAGCATCTACGTCTCTTTCCCAGCTTCCGCTATTGATTGACAAGAGCGCCGAGTCTGCGCGCATACTGGATGGTTATCAAACAATCATGGATATGGATGTGCTGGAAGATGTCGAAGAGACAGAGCTCATTGCTGAACAGAACACGGGTGCTGGTGCTCCGGATGTCGACGAGCCGTCGGGCATCCTTACGCAAGCAATCCGTCTAGCAATGCTGGACCTATTTATTCAGCACACTCATTCCAGCCGACCCTATCCCAACGTGTCTCATTTGCTTCTATTCGGCGGTGCTATCTCTGAATTCCAGATTCAAGACCCACACGCTCTAGGTGCCCGGCGCTCGTGCGTGCACTCGATAATTGACTTGCTGAATGAAGGCGTGCCCAAGCTCAGGAGCAAGGGGCGTGCTCGGAAACATACAGTCTCTGCTAATCCATTATTTGCAACGCTTCCGTCCTTCGCTGAACGATGCTACCGCGTTATCTTCCAACTTTGTCAGCATCCTCGCACTTCCGAATCTACTATGCGTTATCTCCGTACACGCGAAGACTTCGTCACCCGACATCTTGCTGTCATCCCATTCATGGCACCGTCCACAGACATTGGGCAAGATCCTTTCATCGAGGTGTTGTATAACGATGGATCGCGCGTCAACACAACCTCTAACGACTTTGCTGCATTCATGCGACTACGATCTTGGATTCTCGACATGGTCGCATTGGAATTGCATGTCTTGACTAGTAAGGGGCTTAACAAGAGCATCGCAGAACTATTGGAGCTCCTGTTCGGCAGCGAGGAAGACTTTCTGGAGGGAGATCAAGCAACCTCGACCAATGATGCGCTACGACCATTCCGCGAGGTGGGCCAATCGCACATCAGAATCATCGAGTTCTTGCAATCGTTAGATTTCGACTGGTCTGACAGCTTACAACTCCAGCTCCAGCATGTGGAGTTACAATTTCTCGGCAAGCTAAACCTGCTGAGCTGCCTCCGTAGCGATCCGTCAGGGTGTGAAGTTGTAGACCGAAATGCAGTACTCTCTCTTCTGGCCGTCGCTCGGCGTAACCTCCATCATCAAGGTCGCATAACCACGTCAGCAGATGCCCAGCAGCTCAACGCTGAGACTTCGTACATTGTCGAGAGCTGTGCTGTCGAGAATCATCGACGAGGAGTCCGATTCGCCGCCTCGAATGGTTTCGATGCGTGGAGGAGACTGCTCGACATGTGCCTTCTGAAGTGTTTCGAACGGCTACCTCATGACCGGCGCGAGACTATGCTTTTTGACCTACTTCATGCAATTCCTACTGTCATGCGGTCCCCTAACGTCGAAGAGTCCGTCTCCATTTTACTGGCGGAGGCGATGGAGTCTACCATCACAAAGTTACGCCAGGACAGGTATCATCAAGTCATTCTCCAGTCTGCTGGTGGGGATGTGGAAGCTGGGGCGCTTCCTGCAGAACGGCTTTATGCTCTTCTTCGCAGCATCTTAGACTGTATAATGGACAACAACCGCCAAGAACTGGTCCGCGGCAATCTGTACGCATCTCTCATCCATTATTTGCGCCTGGTGACGTCAGCCGACGCCACTGAGCTTGCCGAGAGTGACCAGCCACTGTCCGCTTCTCTTACTGGTTCTATCAGTCTAAATGGGTCTGTTTTATTGCCTTCTGGTCAGCCCGCTGCCCGTTCCAAGCTCATGGAAGGTAGTTTGACGACCTTGAGAGGCTTCATGGATCGTCTGGTCTCCTCCGTCGCTCGTGATGCTGTTGATGGGTCCGATGTGTGGAAGACTATCTCGTTCATATTGCTTGATTCCCTTGCGAAGCTAGGCCGTCTGGAGAAACAACCAGCGATACTTAAAGCACTTGCTCGCCAAGGCTTCCTGGCTGGTTTCGTTCGTGGTATAAAGGAATCCGACAAACGGCTGCAGGATACTCTCGCTCCAGATCCATGTATGTCCAGTATCTTGCTCACCTGAACATCAATGACCTGACTATGTGTAGCTGAACTGAATTCGCTCTTCGTTTACGAGGCCAAGATGGCGCTGTTCATCCGCATGTCGCAAAGCAGACCAGGCGCTGAACGTCTGCTGGAGTCCAGAATTATTTCAATTTTGGCCGATTGCGACTATTTAGATGCCAGGCCAGAGGCTGATCAAGCGTTCATGGGTAAGCACCTTCCGCGGATGAGCATATGAATTACATTACTGAATGTCTGTTTCAATGCAGATCAAGATACCTTCCTGCCATCTGCCACTCAGCGGTACCATCAGCTTTTCCTCCCGGCGCTTCAGCTCCTCAACGGAATGTTGATGACGCTCGGTCATCAGCATATATCGGCCGGGAATCAGGTCCGCTCCTTCGCAAGTCTTGTCCGCTCGTATCGTTGACTATCAATTATTGCAGACATTGCACTTCATCTCGAGCCACAGAGACACTCTCATTCTGCTACTTAAGAATGAGGTTGATGAATTCTCATTGTCTGTCACGGAGGAGCTGCGTCTCCTTGTTTGCCTATGCACGGACGTCGTGGATCAAGTGCCGAAGACAGAGTTGGTGAGTTGGATTTATTCCTTACCTGAGTTACTTGTTACCGACGCGATTTCAGCTATCCAATTCCGGCTTCGGGCCCATCCATGCCGCAATATCATCACTGGCAGCAAGATGTCTTGGCAACAGACATTGGTCTGAGCGCATCACGCCCCAGACGGCTGACGAGCTGGAGAACGCTGGCACTACTAGACCAGGTAATCATTTCGAATATCATGAGATTGTGTGGTGGCTGATAGTTTTGTATTAGGCTTTGGCAATGAAAGCCAATTCCGAGTAGACGTGCATCAGAAGGATCGTCTGCTCCGCAGAGCTCTGATTGCTTACCTGGGAGCGGCCAGCGATTCCACAGGTAGTCATAACGTTGCAGCGAATTTTGGTACCGGAGCTCACAATTTCAATTTATCATAGAACCGGATCTGACGGTGGTGCTGTCCCCTTCGATCAACAACCCGAGACAAGAAGAACGCTCCGGTCGCTATATCGGTGTGTCTCATCCGCGTCGACTTGTATTGAGGTCCTGAAATCTTCCGCAGCCGTCGTACCCACACTCAGCGACGCGATTGAGTTGCTGAATCTCCTGTGTGATGATCTAACAAACTCCTTGAAGCGCATTGTCGACATATCTGCCGAGCTTACCTCGCAGGATTATATCAGGGTCGACAGGATCGAAGATGTATGTGGTGCATGTAATAGCCTGACATAGGATGCTCAATTTGCCTACAGATTCTGCCGATCTCGAATGCTGACCTTTTGGACAACCTCGACATGCGGCAGAAGCAGTCTTTGATCAGCCGCGAGCTTGGCCTCTGGCGCGTCGATTCCCACCGTTGGACCATGACTTTGCTCAGTGAGTCGTCGGTTTTGCACTATGCGTGATGTCTGTTTTTATGTTCTAACCGGACTGAAGGCTCGATGGAAATGATGCTCTTGCTCCTTTGGCGGCACCTTGCATACTACTGTGAGGGGCAACACCTCGAGACGTCCGAGAAGCACAGTTCGAAACTCTACGCGATGCGCTTAACAATTCCTGCCGACGTAGAGGCGTTGACAGCGGAGGCAGCACGGAAGTTGTTGCCTGTATTAGAGCGGCTACGAGGACTAGACTTGGTAAGTGTATCGTCGTTGTGTATATTCGCATTCCGGTTTCTGATGACGAATTGCAGAGCGAAGAGACGCTGGGAAAGGACTGGCAATCATATCGAAGCTACATTGAGATCATGACGCGGCGGATGAAGGACACAATTGGTGTCACCGAGGGACCGGAGGTCCTCGCCTCATAAAACGACTCATGATCATCATGAGCCCACCCACCTGGATGGATGTACTATACGGCGGTGCTGATTATTAGGAAAGACGAGATGTATCTGAAATGAATATATTACCAGCTACGCATGCAATATGGTCCGGACAAGCAAGAATTAAGGAATGGTATACATTTTGGACGCTAGACGGGCAGTAGGCTTCCGGCGCCGCGGAGGGCCATCTGGCCGCCGAAGCGAAGAGTCGTGACTCCTCCGGGGAAATAAGCGAGGACATAGGAGACAAGGGCGACAACCTGGAGAACGGTCAAGGCATGCTCCTTGAGATCAAGTAGGTTGAATACCTACTTGGATGATGGCACCTATGAGGGAGCCGACGTATGAATGCGCCTGATGACAGGTACTGTCATTAGAGAGTGTGCCGGCTAGCGATTAGGTACAACGCACCCCTAGCGAGAAGTACAGCGTGATCGCTAGACTTGAGATATAGGCGATGGAGAATGGCAGTCGCTCTTTGGACACGAGGTGCTTTAAGTGGTTTATTGGCCCTATGAGAACCGAGAAGCTGTACATGCATGTTCAGCAACTGCGTTCTCTGCATTCTGTTACCACAAAGAACTCACCCAAACATCACCAGCAAGCTCCCGAGGCTGCCGTTTGCACATCACAGTGTCAGGTTCCATGGCAGCTACGAGGCAGAGCAACGTACCTGAAGGCTAAGGCGAACTTGGCTGGCCGCAATGCGAGCAGTGGCAGTGTGAAGAAGGCGACGAAGAAGCACACTGCTGCACCGAGCAAACATCCTCCGAATCCCAGCAATCTAGCGGACAGGGCGAGCAGAATCAAAGCGCCCGAGGTTAACGATGCGGCATGTTCCCGTGGATAGAGCAGACAGCCCGACGCACCTCTCCCATCTCGACAACGCAAAGTATGCCTCCTCGTCGTTCGTCCGCTCGGTCGAGCGCAGCGGGATGTACCCGCCGCCGATTGCATTGTAGAAACGCGAGAACCTGCCCGGTGGAGTGCCGGCTGCGTCTTGCGTAGCGTCGCCGTTTCCCTGCGCCCACCGAAACTGAGCGAGGTTGCTTCTGAAGGACTGCTCGGTCGAGTTGGACATGGCTAGGCGGCCAGTGAGGATTGTAGGATTAAGTGGTTATATATGCCGCTGATGATGGCGTCCGGAAGTCGAAAGTCGAGGCGGCCATCAAACTTTGGTCATGCACTCTCATGTGCACTGCTTTTGTCTCGCGGCTAAGATTTTCTGAACGGTGTTTCCCTTTGAGACAACGCTATGGCGACGTTGGCTGGACGTGTTTCATCGCGACATCTTCGAGCCAAGGTGGTGGTTATGTCGCCTGCTATGTCAACGCCACGGGGCTGCACCCGCTGTTCTCATTAGATCTATGCAACCGTAAAGACACTGCCTCGGTAAGTCGCCATTATTTTTGAAAAACGACTGACTACTAAAGACAATGAGTATCGTGACCATGCGAAGTTGAACGGTATGGTTTTCTCATTGGAGTAAGATGTTTTGGAGTAGCATCTTATACAACGATCGCAGCTCTGCTTCAGACATGCGGTCGTTGTATACGGGTACTATGCTGCGATACTTTCACATTCACACGACAGCCTCACGAGGGCGCGCAGTTTGGAAGTGGAGAGAAGATCAATGTATACTGCTCCTCAAACGGTGTGAGCCGCATACTTGCAAGCTTCCAAGCAACAAGCACGCATATCGACTTATAATAAGGGCCTGGGGATTACGTCTGCACGAGGATGATACTCATGCACCATGCATGCTTCCTATGACCCAAGCATCGCCATGCTGGTGCTTGGTGCTCTGGCCGCCCTCATCGCGCACGCTGGGGAACTGCCACGGGTCGAACTGCTCTGGGTTAGGATGGAACTGTTCGTCGAGGTTAGTTCGCCCCCATCCGCGAACGTGTACTTTGCTCCTGCTTTCCGTTTCAGGAATCCTATCAAAGGAGCACAGTGAAATCATCACTGAGACCGGGTCCAACCATGCTCTCGCACTACCGAAAGTACCAGTGGGAGAAGAGGATGCGGTGAAGCACAGGTACTGCATTTAAACTGGGTATTATATCGTCATTTCCATCGCATTTGGAAAGCGAGACGATGTTAATCTTATAAGACTCGATAATCTTAGATATATCTGAACCGATCTGTGGATCTTACATGCTTGATGCAAGCTGCTTGAATGCCTTTGTGTTTTCCTCAATCGCAACCTCTGCCGGCAATCTCTCCATGCTCGACGCGCCAAAGAATCCGTGGATGCCTGACGTCCTACTCAGCACATAATGCGCATCTTCCACCCTCGCGATCGGACCGCCATGGCACAACACGATAATCCCTGGGCTGATCTGCACCGCCGCGTTCCGGCACTCCTGGACTGTGCGCACGCAATCGTCCAGTGTCACGCTCGTCTTCGCACCAATGCTGCCTGACGTGGTCAGGCCCATGTGGACGACGAGCACGTCTGCACCCGCACGCGCCATCGCCTCCGCCTGCGCCACGTCAAACACGTAGGGCGTCGTGAGCAGCCCGAGCTGGTGCGCCTCGCGGATCATGTCGACCTCGAGGCCGTAGCCCATACCTGTCTCTTCGAGGTTCTGGCGGAAGGTGCCATCGATGAGGCCGACTGTTGGGAAGTTTTGCACGCCGCAGAAGCCGATGTCCTTCAGCTGGCGCAGAAAGTGGGGCATTGACCGGAAGGGGTCTGTGCCGCACACCCCCGCCAACACGCCTGCCCGTTGCACCACCGGAAGCACCTCGTTTGCCTGTGATTGTCAATAGGTGAGACGGGGCGGGTAGGAGTGTTGATATGCAACGTTGCTGACCATCTCGAGGACGATAGCGTTGGCATCTCCGTAAGGCATGAGACCCGCGAGAGAGCCCCGCCCTGCCATGCGGAACCGGCCGCTATTGTAGAGCACGATCAGGTCTGCTCCGCCTTTCTCTATGAACTTGGCGGAGAGACCAATACCTAGTACATAAGGCTATCATAAGGAGACATCCTATTAAGAGATGTATTCATACCAGCTCCAGCGCCTAGGATTATCTTGCCCGTGGCGATCGTCTCGCGCAATCTTTGCAGAGCCTCCTCCCTGTTCGTTGGGCGCGGCATGTTTGCAAGGATCGGAAGGTACGTGCACCTGTGAGAGGGCTGATATTATACGTTCGCAGGATAGACTTCACTATCCCTCGGCATTGCGCTGGAAGTACGTCACCTGCGTCATGCGGTGAGCCGATCAATCCGTCTCCTCGCACAGTGTTCCGTCAGCTGCCACTCGTGCGGCGCATGGGAAATCGTGGTTTAGGGGGTCAATGTATATACAGTACTCCTGAACGGCGGCAAACCGCGAGGTCGGTCAAAATGTCGAGTTCAACACCCACCGTTGTACTGTTGGGTACATGCGACACCAAGCTCGAGGAGCTCCTATATGTCCACGACAAGTTGGTGAAAGACCACGGCGTCAACTGCAAGCTCATAGACGTGGGCCGCGACGCGTGTTCACACCCCGCCATCGCCATCACTCAGGATGAGCTTTTCAAAAACTCAGGTCTTCCGCCACCCAAAGACCTCCACGCTCTTCCACGAGGAGAACTGATCTCAACGATCATCAAACACACTAAACCCGTCGTGTCCTCTCTGTACAGATCCCAGAGCATCCACGCCGCGCTCTGTCTCGGGGGCAGCGGCGGCTCGTCTCTCGGCGCAGAGGTGATGCGCGCCGCCCTTCCCATCGGCTTTCCGAAGCTCATCGTAAGCACCATGGCCGCCGGAGACGTGCGTCCGTACGTGGGCGAATCGGACATCGCGATGATGCACAGCGTCGTAGACATCGCAGGGCTGAACGACATCCTCTGCGCCGTCCTCGAGAACGCTGCGGGAGCCATTGCAGGCATGGCGCGGGTGCAGCTCGCACGCAACAATCGCTCAGCGCCGTCGTCTCCTCATAACAAGCGCATCGCAATCACCATGTTCGGCGTGACCACGCCCGCCGTCACCTACGCTCGCGCGCTCCTCTCCGCCTACCCCTGCACGACATACGTCTTCCACGCCACGGGCGCAGGCGGACGCGCGCTCGAGCGGCTTGCATCCGAGCACTTTTGGGCGGGCATACTCGACCTGACGATCACCGAACTCGTCGACGCGCTCGTCGGCGGCATCCTCAGCGCAGGCAATGCACGTCTCACCGCCGCGGCCGCCGCCCGCATCCCGCAAGTGATCTCGCTCGGTGCGCTCGACATGGCGAACTTTGGGCCGCGCGCGACTGTGCCAGCGCAGTACGACGAGCGAAATTTGTTTCAGCACAACCCGAGCATCACGTTGATGCGCACGTCGCGCGAGGAGTGCGCGATTTTGGGGCGGCAGATCGCCGAGCGTCTGCGCGACGCGGATCCTAGTCGGACGGAGGTGTGGGTACCCAGGGCGGGAGTGAGCGCGCTCAGTGTGCGTGGTCAGCCGTTTTGGGATCCAGACGCGGATGAGGCACTGTTCTCCGCCGTCAGAGATGGCCTGAAGGGGAGCGGCATTCGGGTCGTAGAAGAGGACAGGGACATCAATGACCCCGCCTTCGTGGCGGGAATGGTGCGTAGGCTGGTGGACATGATGGAGATGGAGCCTATACCTGGGAAGAAAGCTGAGATACTATAATGAGTATAGGGGCGAAGGGCTCCTGGAGCACGACGTACGTCGTGCAACATTCCCTGCTATCTGACATGTTTGCGGGACCTCTGTAACGTGCTCATAATGTAACCATCTTGCACCATAGCGCCACCTTAATGATCCCCCATACAGTCGACTGCTCTGAGCATACTACCTCGGTAGTCATGAGCAGGCGAGTCTGCACAATAATGCTATGCAAGCCAGCGAATCATTTGTTGTCTGACTTGACATGAGAAGTACATGAGTTGGTACAAACAAAAGATGAACTGTCCTGTGTTACCCTTACCACGAGCAATTATATATACAAACATCCATCGCGAGTCGCACGTCCACAGGTCAAGCGCGTCGGTACGGCTTGATCAACAGCGGCATCTGAGCGCCCTTCTCCTTCTCGCTGCGCACGAGCGGCCGCTGCACCACCGCTGACTTTTTGATGATATCGCTCGCGGGCACGGCCAGCTCGAACTCGAACGCACGCACGAGCGTGAAGATCAACGCTTTCATCCTATGTAAGTGGAGTCACGGAATGTGTGAAGCGTTAAAACATAGCAAAGGTGGATGGGGGCTCACTCGACGAGGGAGAAGCGGTAGCCGATGCACGAGCGTGGGCCGCCGAGGAAACTCATCATGTTTCCCCACACGCCCGGAATGTTCTGCACAGCTTCGGGGATGGACGCCCATCGTTCTGGCCTATTAGTGAGTGCCCGCTGTCAGCGCAGTTCTGATATCTGGGGAGATGGCTATGCATGACGCACTTGAATTCAAATGCGTCCTCACCCCACAATGCCTTGGATCTGTTTATTGCGAGGATGGGGATGAAAATTGGGGTGTCCTTGGTTACCCTGTACAGCCCAGTGTCTGTCAAAGATCTGGGGTGCCGACGAATTTGTAGATCAGAGTTTCCTACCTGATGCTGTCGTGCAGCTCTCCATGGATGTCGGCGTACGGAGTATTAAGCGGGATGACGTCCTCTTTGACCGCGATACGGATGGTGTTGGGAACCGGAGCATGTACACGCATCGTCTCGCGTACGACGGCGTCGAGGTACGGGAGTTCGTTCAGTTCGTCCATGGTGGGGTTGTCGGTAGGCACGTTCCACAGCTCCTCGCGCAGCTTCTCTTGAACCTCGGGAGCTTGCGTGAGAGCAAATAGACACCACATCGTCGCGTTGCTTGTCGTCTCATGTCCTGCGACCAGGAAGCTGGAGTATTCATTGAGCGGATGAATGACAGCACCCTGAGATTGACTCACGTCGGCACCTCTGTGATGCGAACAATCAGTATTGCACATCATCATATGCGAAAGATGAATCACGTACGGGCCAGCACGTCCTCATCTGAGAGCCTCTGGCTCTCCGGTAGATCGGTCGCCATATTCGCCTTGATCAACAAGGTCAGTAAGTCTCGCCCTTGCAAACCAGTGTCATTCTCTTTCTGGCCGGACTGAATAGCCTTCGCGATCTCCGCCTTCCTCTCCGCAATAAGTTGCATACCAATGCGTTTCATCACCTTCTGAGCGGCAGCCATTCGTGACGACCGTCTATCAGGCTATAATGATTGCATGAGTGGAGCTTTGAACTACCTTTAAGCTGCAACGCAGAGACATACGATGAGACGGAGAGGCGGAAACAATGCCTTCAGAGTGACAATTAGGGATGGGCCCGTGAGCGATCGGAACAAGACCTCGAAGGCCTGGTTCAGTTCGTTGCCTTTGCCTTCAGTGTTTAGAGCATCGAAGTGATAGTTGAAGCCTTGCGAATGTTGCAGGTAAATGAACACCGATATGCATCTGTGACATGATAAAATGGAGGTCTCACCAGCCAACCCTATGACATCGAGCGTCATCTTGCTGAGCCCGTTGAGGACATCTATACGCATTGGCGCGCTATGCTCCGCTATCTTCGCACTCCATACGTCGCGAAGCTGTACTGCGGTTTCACATTGCGAGGGCTCAAAAGTAGGCGAGAGACACGTACTTGCATGGCTTTCTCAATGAAGATCTCGGTCAACTCCCGTATTTGGGCAGGTCCGAATGCAGGGTTCTACACGAAGATGGTCAGCTTTTCCCTCGCATACTGGGACGGATGTATTGTACCATGATTCTCCTCTAAAAATTTGGAAATTGATCAGCTTATAGGGAAGCATTTCGTAATAAACACACCTGCTGATGGTGCTGTTCGCCTGATTGTAAATTCAGACATGTTGGACATTCATAGAAGATTGTCTGTGCTGATGTACTGACCTTCTACCACTAGAAGACCTGTGTGAGGTTGTTGAGCACAGAGAAGAGGACCCGAGTAGTACTATGCCAACCTTCGCCTAGGATCTGGCCCAAACTGTATCGGGCCAGCCAAGGTTTCTGATAATCCATAGAATGGCTGAGGACATGATTCAATGCCCTTGTATCCAAGGTGTAGAGCCTGTCGCGCTGTACAAGCCTGTTATTACTGGCATAGCACATGCCAATTCAAGCGCGGGCTACCCACGTTGAGCCACCCCTTGTACTTGATTGTAGGTCCATATTTCTCGGTCCAAGCTTCGTGGAGTACAGAATGATCTGCTTTGAGGATCTGCAGCATGTTTCCAGAGATCCAGCTTGGATTGGGCGGCCCTGACAGATCACGCAACGGGGACTTGTAGGGGCCAATGATGACGATGTATATCACTTTCCACAAGCCATAGGCAACGAGAGCCGCACACAGCGACAGCAGGAGGTTTGTGAATACGGTGATCATGGCAGGAGGATGCAGTCAATACCCCCTAACTAGGTCTGAGTGTAGAATGTGGTGGCGGTCCGCAAGCCCTGAAGTGACGGTATCCACTGCTGCGCTGTCCACTTCGTCTTGCGTGTCGAAAAGGCTGCGCAGGTTTCTCACACAAGGAGCATCTAGATAGGGAGGGCAGCGCCGCGCCGAGTTCACACTGAAGAGCTTTGTCAGGTTGGATCAAAGTGTCTAAAATTGTCCTGAGAAATACTACTAAGTGCCTCTACTAACAACCGCTTGGCAATCAGACAAGAATATATATACCGAAACCCGCGGAGGCTTGAAGGAATTGTCGAGTCTGCCCACGGGAGATTAGCTCGGCCCGGCTCGAGGACGCTGCATGCGACATTCAACAGCTTCTATTGGCACTCCTAACAACTTTCGATGACAGGCTTCTCGGGTGCTGATCAATTTGGGACTGTTTATTACCTTCCCAGTACGCAAGAAGGCATTGTGAATGGCCCGGCCGCAGTGATGCTGTCAATCAGGGTGTGGGCATTCAATTCAATTGGAGCCCCAAATACAATCTCGTTACTGACGTCCTTCCAACCGCCCTCGGTGTTCATCTCCTTCTCGAATCGGTCTCTAGCCTATGGACCACTCTGCAGGTCGTACTTTAGTTCCTCTTCACTCTCGCCCTCGCTTCCAAGCACGCATATTTGAGTGATCAGCCTTCCTTGACCCAGCCGATACGGCCGGTGTCGATGCCTTTGTGGGAGGAATGGGCGGGTGCCGCGATGGCGTCAGCGCGGACGTAGACACGCTTCGAGGTTCAAGAGATTCTCCTGTGCGTCGCAGATGCCGTATACTCGCTCGCGTATACGAAATGGGTCCCTTGAGTCTGTCAGACTGTCTGCGGATCGAGCAAGCACTTCCGGAAAAAAATGAGCCAGCAGGAGTGCATCTGGTCTTAGGCTTTCCCCTTAATATCGTCTGTCTCGCTTCCTCAGAGAAGACGATTTTATAGGTCTTCCTAGGGTAGACAAGGTTTTCCCCGTAGAAAGTGGTGGTTCTAACATCTGTTCAGTTGTCCAGCCATACAGGTCTCCAGAGGCTGAGAGAAGTGAACTTTCACCATGATTGTGACAAGCGATGCTGTAGGGATGGGTCGAACGTTATTGAGAAGGACATGAATGCAATCTCCTACAGGCGTGAGATCATATTGTTTCAGCAAATTCATATCAGACGTCAGAATGCATGAACCTTGCTCGACACTAGATATACAAATCCAACATGCGATAACAGGACAATGAAGTCAGTGAAAACGAGGAGTTTAGCTTCTGCCCAGCCTCGCCTATATCACAAGGGCCGTCATGTCAGAAGTATGTGAAGAATATGGAATTGACTTGATGGGAAACACGAATATGATAGTGTGTACAACGTACAGAATGGACATGACGGAACCAGCGGAGCCTAATCCACACTCATTGTTCGCCACCGCATAAGTAGACCTGCAGGCCAGGCAGTTGAAAACAAAATGACAGGGACACGGGTCGACCGGTGGCCGGGGACAGCCGAGGCAGGATCAACGGGCTTGGAGATCAGACTTCTTCGGCGCTTCTCCGAACCAGGCGCCGGACCTTCTTCTTGTATGCTGAAAATAGAAATCCTCGGAGGTGAGGTCACAGTAGCAGCCATAAAATCCTAAGTGAACACACCGTCGTAGTTCTCCCTCACCTCCTTCGCCGCATCCACATTGGCAGGACTATCTAAATTCGGCTTCTCCGACGACAGAAGGGAGATAACGCTCAGCAGCTGTTAGGCGGCCATCAGCGATATACTGTGGCGATAGCAAGAAGCCACATACGATCGACTCGACAGTATGAACTGGCCGCCATCTCTCCCCGGAATCTTCGTAGCCATATTGATCCTCACCAGGAGGATGCTATAATCATTTGTCAGATCAAAGGAAATATAGAGGGTGAACATGCAAGAGCGGGGGGGGGACCTACCAGGATAGAGATGCAAACGTTTCCATCTGAGTAAACTGTAGTAGGCGGAAAACCTGTCAGTCTCAGCGAAGCTAAGATAGTACACGACAACGTACTGTTTGGGTGCCACATCGGCGTGATAAATCTCATCTTTGGCGGCTGAAGAGGATACTCCGGCGGAAAGCTGAGTCGTGCCTTGAAGAATCCACCCTCACTACAACCAAGCTGGTTAACATCAGCTTACTTTCGCACACCTGTAACACATACTAGATTGTATCCGGGGGCCTGTCATAAGGTGAATGTCCATCACGGATGATCCAGGTGAAAGGGCGAGATGTCCACATACCCGATGATCAGGATCTCCCATTCATACAGGTTGCTGTCATCAACAAGCCCTATGTATCGCAATGCCGGCAAATAAACGGAGCAAATGCATGGAAAGCAAATATGGGAAAAAGAATCGCGCTATTAATTGCCGTTCACAACCCCGACGTAGGAGAAGGCGAGAGTACTGCACCTGCGGAGAAGCCCTCCACTGGTCGCTTAGTGAGCTCCGCCAGTTGTCGCTGCAACAGGAGGGTGTTGGACGGTGTCGATGTTGGTGCAGATGACCTTGACATAGTGTACGACGTTGAGTGTGTACGGGATGGTAAGCCAGTGGCAAGTCGGATCGATTGCCAAACGGGCGCTTACATACTTTATAGTCCCGTGCGGTGGCGGATAGTAACCGTGGGAAAGTGGACAATTGAATGCCAGATCAAGACCGAGACTGACTTAACTCCGGACGCCTTTATCAGCCTGTATCACGCACCGACCCTCCTGTTCTGCCTCTGCCGCCATGGCAGTACATCAGGACAGCGAAGAGGATTGGGAGAAAACTGGCCAGCCTAACTGGCGAGGCCTTGGTCTAACAGACCCCATTAAGAATGTTGAGGTATTTGTCTGATCGGCGCATAGTACCCATTTACGCGAAAACTAACGCAGACCCAGGACAAGTGGCTGCTGTTGCCGGCATTCTTGAAGGTGAAGGGTCTGGTCAAGCAGCATATCGATTCCTTCAATTACTTCGTGGACGTGGACATCAAGAACATCCTGAAGGCAAACAACAAGGTGACTTCAGATGTCGACCCGCGCTTCTGGCTCAAATACACCGACATTGCCGTAGGCTTTCCAGACCGAACAGATGCTGACGCAATCGACAAAAGCGTTACGCCTCACGAATGTCGTCTGAGGGACACGACGTACAGCGCGCCGATTCTGGTGACCATCCAGTATACGCGCGGAAAGAATGTCGTGCGTCGAGCCAACGTCAACATTGGTAGACTGCCCATCATGCTCCGGAGCAATAAGTGCGTATTGACTGGAAGAAATGAGGCGCAGCTGGCCCGAATGACCGAATGTCCTCTCGACCCAGGCGGGTACTTCATCGTGAAGGGAACAGAGAAGGTTATTCTTGTCCAAGAGCAGTTGAGCAAGAACCGTATCATCGTGGAGATAGATCCGACAAAGGGCGTCGTCCAGGCTTCCTGTACATCGTGAGCACCCCACACGAACCATGGACATCGTCATGTTAAGCGATAAATGGCTAGATCGACTCACGGAGGCTTGAAGTCGAAGACGTACGTTGCAACGAAGAAGGGGAAAATATACTTGCGCCACAATTCAATACATGAAGACGTCCCCATTGTCATCGCGCTTAAGGCGCTAGGAATTCAATCGGATAAGGAGATACTTCTGCTTACTGCAGGCAATCACGAGGCGTACAAGTCGGCTTTCTCTCCGAATCTAGAGGAAGCTGCCAAGTTGGGCATCCTCACACGCCATCAGGCTCTGGAGTACATCGGCTCACGCGTCAAGGTGAACCGTAGGGTGATGGGTCCCAGGAGGCCCGCTTGGGAAGAGGCTTTGGAGGCACTTGCGACAATCGTGCTAGCGCATGTTCCTGTACGTGGTCTTGACTTCCGTTCCAAGGCTATCTTCGTCGCAACCATGACAAGACGGGTCTTGATGGCGATGGATGACGAGAAGATGGTTGATGATAGGGATTATGTCGGAAACAAGCGTCTGGAGCTGTGAGTATCATTGCGCTTGTAGAGCGATCCTGCGTGCAGAGCTCATACAGAACTGTATTGATAGGGCGGGACAACTTCTAGCCTTGCTGTTTGAGGACCTCTTCAAGACTTTCAACGCCAATCTTAAATCAGCAATCGATAAGGTCCTCAAGAAGCCATCTCGGACTAGCGAGTTTGACGCGTTTAATACAATGCAGTTTCAAGGGGACCATATCACTTCAGGGTTCGCGCGCGCTATCTCCACTGGAAATTGGTCGCTTAAGCGATTCAAGATGGACCGCGCAGGGGTCACGCACGTCCTAAGCAGGCTATCGTTCATCTCCGCCCTCGGCATGATGACGCGCATTTCCTCGCAGTTTGAGAAAACGCGCAAGGTCAGCGGTCCGCGAGCGCTTCAGCCTAGTCAATGGGGTATGCTTTGTCCTAGCGATACCCCCGAGGGTGAAGCATGTGGATTGGTCAAGAATCTCGCGTTGATGACGCACATCACCACGGATGTGGAAGAAGAGCCAATCATTCGGATAGCTTTCATGCTCGGCGTTGAAGGTATACTTTCCCCACTCGCTCCCGCTCCAACGGTCACTCAACGGATGCTTTACGTGATGACGCAGATATTAGCCTCGTTACTGGGGCAGAAATCTACAGCCCTAACACATTCGTCGTGAACGTTAATGGCACAATCATCGGGCTCACACGCTATCCGACCCGGTTCGTTCAGAACTTCCGCAAACTGCGGAGAGCTGGGCGCTTTAGCGAATTCGTGAGCGTCTACATCAATCACCACCATCGGACGGTGCTTATTGCAAGCGACGGTGGGCGGATCTGTCGACCCATAATCATCGTTGAGAATGGGCAGCCTCGGATTACTTCGGATCATATACTGGTCAGCTGTGCCATTGGCTGGCTTTTCATGTTCCTGCTGACTCGGTCTCGCTCAGCAATTAAAGAAGGGCCTTCTTACGTTTGATGATTTCCTTCGCAAGGGTCTGGTCGAGTACCTTGACGTCAATGAGGAGAATGACTCCTACATAGCGCTGTATGAGCGCGATATCGTCTTAAGCACAACACATTTGGAAATCGAGCCCTTCACACTGCTTGGTGCGGTGGCAGGCTTGATCCCTTATCCGCACCACAATCAGTCCCCGCGTAACACCTATCAATGCGCCATGGGTAAGCAAGCAATTGGGGCGATTGGCTACAACCAGCTCAACAGGATTGATACGCTGCTGTACCTGTCGGTCTATCCACAGCAGCCGATGGTGAAGACAAAAACAATCGAGCTCATTGGCTATGATCGCCTGCCTGCAGGACAGAATGCAACGGTGGCGGTCATGAGCTACTCAGGGTACGATATTGAGGATGCCCTCATTTTAAACAAGGTTCGCCAAGTTTCTCCATGCGCGCTGGGTACATGTCTGACGTGCCCCGCTACAGGCTAGCTTGGATCGTGGCTACGGGAGATGTCAGGTGCTCCGCAAGAACGCGACGCTCATTCGCAAGTACCCCAACGGAACGTACGTCCCGATGCATCTATCGTATCAGCATCTACTGAAGTGTGCGCTTCAGATTCGACCGCCTGGCTGATGCTCCGGTCGATGACAATGGCAACATCGCAAAGAAGTTCGACATCATCCAAGTGGACGGCCTCGCCGGTGTAGGGGAACGTGTCGACCCGGGCGATGTCTATATCAACAAGCAGACACCTACTAATGCCAACGACAACACTTTCACCGGCCAGGCAGCGACAGTGCCATACAAGAATGCCCCCATGACCTACAAATCGCCGGTCGCGGGGTACATCGACAAGGTTATGATTAGTGACACGGAAAATGATCAGACGCTACTTAAAGTGCTGATCCGTCAGACGCGGCGGCCGGAACTGGGCGACAAGTTCTCATCTCGGCACGGGCAGAAGGGAGTCTGCGGTCTGATCGTCAATCAGGAGGATATGCCGTTTAACGATCAAGGCATCGTGCCTGGTGCGCAATTAATCCATATTGACCAACAGCGTTGATTAACGTGAAACATCCGTCCAGACACTATCATGAACCCTCACGGTTTCCCCTCGCGTATGACAGTCGGTAAAATGATAGAGCTGCTGGCTGGCAAGGTTGGCTTACTTAGTTCGCCGATTGGTGATCCGTTCTCATATTGACTCATTCACTAGGCAGGGGTACTAGCCGGCAAGCTGCAGTATGGTACGGCATTCGGCGGGTCCAAAGTACGTAGCCTCTTACAGCTTTCGGCCCATGAATCCCGCTCATTTGCCTCAGGTTGAAGACATGTCTCGAATTTTGATTGAAAATGGATTCAGTTATGCTGGCAAAGATATGTTAACAAGCGGAATCACTGGAGAGCCACTAGAAGCATACGTGTACTTTGGTCCCATCTATTATCAGGTGCGTCCAACTGTTTCCCACCGCTAGTACATTGGCTTACTGCTAATGCACATAGAAACTGAGTCAGCAACTATTCTTCTGTTACTTGCTAGCCGTTGACTGATCAATGCACCCCAGAACACATGGTCATGGACAAGATGCATGCGCGTGCAAGGTGGGTTCAGGACTCTCATGAATGATGATCGACTTGCGACATTGACGCTTCATCTTGATCGTGTCAACTTTTAGAGGCCCACGAGCGACCCTGACGCGGCAGCCCACAGAAGGACGCTCAAGAGAAGGTGGCTTGCGGCTCGGCGAGATGGAGCGCGACTGTCTCATTGGCTACGGCGCAACGCAGCTCTTATTGGAGCGTCTCATGATCTCCTCTGACAAGTTTGAAGTCAACGCCTGTCAAGAATGCGGCCTCATGGGCTACAATGGCTGGTGCACGTACTGCCAGAGCTCGAAAAAGATGGCGCAGCTCACCATCCCCTACGCTGCGAAGCTGCTGTTCCAAGAGGTAAGTGCCCGGTTGCTCTTAGTCACGTCCAAGATCATTCACCCCATCTTCATCAGTTGATGGCTATGAACGTTGTGCCACGCCTTGTACTGGATGATGCTTAAGCGGCGGGAGCCTTTCACATTCCCGAATACAGCACTAACTTATTCACTCGCCGTGCCTTAGCAGCGAAGCATAGAGTACCCGAGCAACTGTATTGTACAAACACTTCATTTCCGGTCCTCTCGCATCTCATGTCAGCCTGCTATAATGAATATGCGACAACGGCGATTTTGTCCATTCCGGATGGGGTGTGGCGTCCCTGGACCCGCGGAGATTGCTTCCCGAGTTGTCCGGCATCTCACGTTGTCGAGTGGCTCTGCCAGCGACGATCTTGGATCTCCTGAACGCCGCAGCGTAAGCGTTGATTGAAACCGTTCGTTTGACAAGTTTGACAGAACATTGTCCACGATTGTTGGACGTTTTCGCGAAGGCGGCGTCGCACTTGCGCATGGTTTCAAATAAAGAATTTGGATTCCCGTATGGTCAAACCGCACACCAGCTCCGAGAATCGGGTCACACGGAAGTAGTGCAAGGCCGCCATATGGTGTGCTCTGACATGGTGAAAATCATGTATGAGGGAGTTCGGTCGGCCTCGCGCGATTTGACTGATAAGTTTTTTTTAGCGGGATGATGAAGTGTCCGACCACTTGTGCTACATGGCGCGCGGCGGGAGTCCAGCCTTCATTGCGCGTGTAGATGCCCGGAGAGTGTATTCGTACGTTCACGGAGATGAAGCCGTTTCAGTCAGCTGTACATACATTACCTACGTTACACGTAAATAATATCCCGCGAGGCCCGATCATGCAATCGAAGTCGTTCATGGGCGTCTGTTAGCACTTGATCCTCCACGTCTACGACGACCACGACCACATCTCGACTATGGCTGGACGCAGCAATAACGCGACGGCCCTGCGCCGGCTCATGACTGAATACAAGCAGCTGACCTCGCAAGGTGCGCCTGCTCGACGCACATTTCTTCATAGCGCACAAGAGATGAATGTTGCGTGGGTGTTCCAGGAGCGCCAGATGGCATGTTCACAGCCGGTACGGCCTAGCCTCTCTTAGTCCCCTCTGCCGACGTGCTGAGCAGCAGTTGCTGCTGTGCTGGTTCAAGGCCCCATCTCTGAGTCAGACTTCTTCACCTGGGAGGCGCTCATCGTAGGCCCGAAGGACACGCCGTTCGAGGGCGGCGTCTTTGCGGCGAAGCTCACGTTTGTGAGTGTGTTCTGTCCGATGTCGCTAGCTCTGAGATGAGACGGCAGCTGTTAGCCGTCTGACTACCCCCTATCGCCGTTCAAGATGAAGTTCGAACCACCGCTGTTCCACCCGAATAGTGAGTGCCGCGGCATGTCCGCCCGGGTGAACCAAGACGAGACGCTGACCTGTTCTAACCGTTTCCTGTTCGGTCGATCAGTTTATCCCGATGGTACCGTCTGCATATCGATCCTGCACACGCCGGGGGACGACCCTACGATGTATGAGCAGGCGTCAGAGCGGTGGAGCCCTGTGCAGAGTGTGGAGAAGGTTATCTTGAGCGTTATCTCCATGCTGGCAGGTCAGTACATGCTTGTATCCACTGGACGCGCCGCCGTCAACACGCCCTGTACATTTAGAACCAAACTTGGAGAGCGGGGCAAATATAGACTGCTGTAAACTCTACCGCGAGAACAAGGCGGTGCGTTTCATCTTTCATGATGCCCGTTGCTAGACTTACGCCGCCTCCTTCTATCCGCTAGGAATACGAACGAATCGTCAGGCAGTCCGTCAAGGAACAGCTCGGTTTGTAGGCGAGCTTTCCATCTCTACGGTGTTCCTCGCATCTGTACAACAGTGTTATGTCGGATGTATGACTGTCGCAGACAGTTTGCATTCAATCCGGTCCTTGCTTCTTCCCGCTGTGATGATTGATTGACGAATTGTCAGATGTCGCACTAATATAAATGAGCTATTCTCTTGCGTCGCTTCACACGCGAGGCCATGCTACGCGCTATTGTGATGCTACTGTACCCTATGCTATTAGCAGAATTTGAGAATTATAATTATAGGAGTGGAGGGTATGTGGGAGACTCTGGCAAGTGATGCGATGAGGTCCATGATCCATCCCGCCATCAGTGCGCGCGCTTGAACACCCTCTCATCGTACTCTCGTCCCTTTTTGCCAAACAGATGCCGCTCTACGTACTCGTTTCGCAACATCCCGTTCGGGTCGACCTCCTGCAGCACTTTGACAAAGTCATCAAATCGGGGGTAGAGCTTTCGAAGCCCATCAGGCCGGAGGTGATGGGCCTTTGCCCAATGGGGCCGGCCATTGTGTCGGGCCATAATTTCCTCGAAATGGGAAAAGAGTTTCCTGTAGGGAACATTCAAGCCATATGGCCTGTACAGTGTGTTCCGATGAGCGCGCCGTTGAGCAAAGACAGCTGATCAGCTCACTTGTACTGAACGAGCCCAATCCAACAGGTCTTGCCGCCGTTGCTGGGGCTCAGCCAGACGTCGTCCGCGGCCGTGAAGCGAATCTCCACGGGAAAATGTGGACGCAGACCGGTTGGGGACGCGGCCTCTTCGTCCAGCCACGCTCGCAGCTCGGACAGGCAGGCGCGCGTGTTCTCATATGGTATCGCCCACTCGGTGGTATACTGCGGGTACTATGTGAAAGCCCGTTAGTTGCTGAGTTGTAAGGGAAAGATGTGGAGTGCCAAACCTTGCAATCGATGTTGAAGATGCGGTGGCTGTCGTTGATGCCAACTGTCTTGTCTGACACTAGCCACGCGCCGAACCTTCCGATCCACGGGTTGAGCGACGTGATGTACCGCCCCAGGAAGAACAGGAACTGCAGCAGATGGTAGCCCACGAGCGAGTGCCACAGCCAGGTGTCGACCGGTTTCCTGGGCTGTGGATTACAGATGAACATGCATTGTCACATGCACAAGAAGGCATTTACCTCCGCCGCCCGATTTGCTGCACTGACGCGGACAACGCCGGCCTGGGGGAACCACCAGAGTCGTACGTGCTCGGCAGAGTGAACGATTGGATCGAGGTTCCGGATTACCTCGTCAAACGCTATCGACTCTTGCGTCTCCTTCAGGCGGAACGCGTCTGTGACCTCAAGCTGGACTTGGAGAATGAGGCCGGTACTTCCCAGGCCGCAGAGAGACGCCATGAAGAGATCGGCATTGTCTTGGCGCGAGCAGCGGACGCGAGATCCGTTGGGAAGTAGAAGGGTGAGCGACATCACATGGGTGGACAAAACCTGGAAGGCGATCCCCGAGCCATGGGTGGCAGTTGTGACCATGCCGGCGAGCGTCTGGTCGGAGATGGAGCCCAGGTTGATCATGGCGAGGTTGTTGGCTGCGAGCTCGGCATGGAGAGCTTGGAGGGTGATGCCACCATGTGCGACGACATATTTCTTTTCGGCATTGACCTTGCGGGCGGAGTCAGCTCGTGTGTACCGTTTAGCGGTGCCTGGCGCGAAGCCCAGCCACCGGATCGCAGCCCCGGCAATCTCCTCGCATGACGAGATATTGCGAGCGCGTGCGACAGAAAAATAGAAGCAAACAGAGAAGAGAACTCACCTCGATGATCTTATTCAACTTTTCGGTCCGCAGCATGTATCCCGAGGTGCACGCGAGATCGCTTGGGCTGTGGCCCACGCCCGCCGCGCGCACCGTCCGCCCTTCGCGGCGGGCCAGCTCGAAGACGAGCTCGCACTGCTGCTCGGTCTCCGGCTCGAACACGGCCAGTGGCGTGCACGCATAGCTGAGTCCCCAGTTTATGAACGTCGCGCGGGGGTGGCCCGCGGGGACGGTTATGGGCTGGAGGCGAGCGTAGAGGGCCTGGAGGGGGAGGTCGGCGAGCGTGGAGGTGATGGCGGGAGAGGAGGGGGCCATGTTGGAGGGTGCAATGAGATGGAGGCCATCCGGCGTGCAGAGTCTTAAATATGTGAGGAGACGTGATTTCGATTGAGTGAGACCGCCAGCCTCGATCGATTGCTCAGAGGCAGCCGTCGGGTCACTCCGAAGCCGCCACCCGCGCTGGCAAACGCCGCGCTTACTCTGGCGTCGCCACTGTTATGTCCTAGTCCGCTTGCCAGCTGCGTGATCCCGGACTCTCTTCGCGCGCTGGGCGTCCCCCTGCGCTTCCGTCAATCCACGACGCCCAGAAATATTGCGATCTTGCGTGCGAATTCTCGTCAAAGGCGCTCGCAGGCGAGCAGAGCATCATATCGTCCGCAGACGGCGTAACCAGGGCAGCTTGTTCCGGCATCCACAGTCGATAAGACCAAATCGCTCCTATGTCAAACACCACGACAGCCGTTCCATATGCCGACCGTTAATGACTCACCAGCGTGACAGCAACTTTATCTTCTTCGTGGCCTATGTGGACCTACGTGCGTCGGAGCATGCCCGCGGTCAGCGGAAGAGATCTGCACGCTCGGCGAGACAGTCTTCGCCGTCGCCGTGTGAAGCACGCGTATACGGCATGCGAAGGGACCTCTCAATTGTCGGTGTTCGGGTGCGGAGATTCCGAGATCCATAAAGTCAAAACGGTGTCGACGGGATATGCGCAAGCAAATGCAATTGAAAGCGACACACGTGTCCGGCGCCAGAAGAGAGAGTTTGCTAATCTGTCCACCCAAGCAGTGCATGACTTGGTGTTCCGCGGATATGCCGTACGAAGCAGCTAATCCAAGAAAGTCAAGGCAGATGGGAACCCCTGCGTGCACGTTGGCATTCGTGGTGGACGTCGCTGCGAAGGCACCCTCTCTTAAGCTGACTTCTCTCGCTTGTGGCGATCAAGCGCTGTGCTTCAATGCGATACGTCGCACAAGCTTCCCGGCGGTATACTGCCAATGTACAGGGAACACAGGCGAACTTGTACTGTTTCCTCTCACGGTGCACGCTCGACACTCCGTACCCGAGATGCCCTATGGCCATCGCATAGCATGCACAGCTGGCAGCCTGGCACGTCCCCATACGCCAGCTTCTTCCCATGAAACCACATACATATCGCTCTGCCTCAATCTTTCTGTCGAGCGCATCTAGGCGGTCTGATTGAGCGGACATTAACATGAACCGTCCCTCTAGCACAGCTTCGCAACTCTATACCACGAGAGCGTCTCCCGGATAATTTTTGGGATATCATTAGCGCACATTACAGAAGGATATATGAAAAACATCCACATGCATGCCACGCCCTTGAAGCTACAGGTGCGTGAATGCGAAACGGGACCGGCGTGAAGGCCTCGGACGGACTCCGTCCTGCGAACCACTCCAGGCTATGCCTAGTACTATCCATGAAGGCCGCCTTACAAGACGGGAGGGCACGAAGGTTTGCCCATCACCTCGGCCATCAAGACTATCTGAGAAAGGAAAAGCCTGGAGCTAACCTCTTGTCTCTCGCGGCCGCATCGGCCCTACAGAGCCAGTCGGCGCTGGCGCAATAGACCATTGTCACGGATGCAAGGAAGTGCTACTGAAGCAGGATTGGTCGTAAACTACGACCACGTCAGGTGTTGGACGGGTGCAGCGAGCCGCTAGTCCGGTCTGCCACCAGTCCCGTTAGTGTGCGCTGCAGACCAGGCACTTGCATTGTCAGTAGTGCCGGAGAATCAAGGAAGCCGGGATACTCACTGAGTGACGCGAATTTAGTACGGCTTCAGCTCCCGGGGGTCGGGTACCGGGCAATGCAGCGAGCACGCATACAGCTAGCCTGCGGCGCAGGTCCTGCGTTGTGGTCCGTTCGGACTAGTGGATGGTGCGAGGGTATGATTTACGTGAGGGTCGAGTTCAATTTGACTTGGGACGCTTCTTTCATGGAAGAAAGTGAGGGAGCATCAAATCTGGTGGCGGAGGCGCAGGAATCCCGGTCTTCGTGAGCGCCCCGGAGATTGGGCACGCGCTTGGTTGGCCGGATGCTGACAACGGGAGGCGCAGGGCTCCCAGTCTTCGTGTGCACCTTGGAGATTGATTGGGTGCTTGTTTGGCAGGATGCTAGTAACGTAACTGGGAAGCGCGGAGTACGGTCTCACCGGGAACGGTAGGAATGACTCACCTTGATGGAACATGGACAATCGGTCTTGCCCTGTTGTCACCTGAAGATGTCTCATCGCCGGCATGACGAGAAATCCTGAGGCTCTGCATGATCCCGATTTCGCGGTGCCCATATATGAGCTACATATGGTCCTCGGCTCGCGCTCGAAGATGTCCGAGCGCGCGCGTAGACGCCCTAAAGACCGATCAGGTGAAATGAAGCAATATATCCACACTCCATTGTCCTAGATACACGGACATTGCGTGGGAGATGTTCATGCAGCGAGGGGGTTCCGCTTGATGCTTCCTGCCAAGGCACAGGTCGTAATCGCTGTCGACAAATTCAACGCTAGTTAGATTCTGTCAGACTACGGCATGAATCAGCTTCCCGCAAGTGAATCGTTACGACATGGCTTCCCCGTACATCAGTCATACCGGCACGCGCTTTTTCCTTGGGAAAGCACAGAGACTGTCATCGCCTTCAGCTGCATCATTGATGTCAGAGCAGCGCGCGGCGCGCTTCAGGAGAAACGGAAGATTCAGCGCTGGCCCTGCACGGTCGCTTCGTGCCAATTTGCAAGGAGTTAACGCGCAGGTAATGTCCGATGCGGCTTCAATGCTTCGCGGCACCATGCGCGGCTATGTATAGCAAGCATTGGACTGTGGGACAAGGACGATCATAGGGGGATGTATTGTTAGGGCATAGTCCGGCTTGCCAAGATGGATGAGACACCTATCGTTACACACCCACGCGCCCAGACGCCACTCGTGTCCCATAGGAGACTACTGCGCACACCTGATCAGATCGATGTGCCTCTGAGATCGTTTGCATGGGTATGGCGGGAGCGCGTCGGGTGGTCCCGAGGGAGAGTAACGTAAGCACCTCCCCCAATGCCAAAAGAGCGGGGTTATTTCTCCTGCTCTGAGCCCAGAGTGTAGCCCCACTATCAGCATGTCCAGTGCCACTATACCTTGCATGCTGATCTTCTCACAGCGTGACCTCAGATGCACAGCCTGTATCGTAATGCGACTGCGCTGTGTTCGTGCACTCCGCGGCTGCGAGGAACCTGGGGTGCGGCATGAAAGGGTCCGCGTCTCCCGGCACGACCGCGTTGTCGCCTTAATATACAAATCTCAATTAGTTGAAATGAATGCTCACCAGCGTGGATGCCAATGGGCATGGCACGGAGAATCCCGAAGCAATATAGATGATCGGAGTCGATGCTTCTGTAATTCGATAGGATGTCGCTGGCGGATACCAATGCTCTGGTGCCTGGCTAAGAGGCTAACGTCCTAATACAAATTGGCGGCGATCAGACGTTGCGGACGCGGGTGTCTCCGGTGCGAGGCTACTGGAGTTTGCCGTGCTGTGAAAAAAATGGAGGAAATTATTGACAGAGACGTGGAGCCAGTCGGTGTCTGCCGTGGATTTGATGTTGGAACGCCCCTACTACTAAGCAACACATGAAACAATCAGCGTGCGGGGTTTCGACATGCGAATTGAGTGATTTGAGCACCGCTCGCTCAATGGGGTTCTCATGAAACAAACCGTTGGATCGGTTGATTAGCGATCATCCCCGTGCATGAGATCACAAGACGTATGCCATCCTACCATGTGTACCCTTTGAAAAATGTGTGTTCTGTGGTGGACCATTGCTCAGTCGAAGAATTTCACCAGAAACTGAGGTTGTATGTTACTGTATGATAGAACGTACCGGTAGTATAGATGTGAGTTGTAAGCAGGCTCTTCCGTTCTCTTTTTACGTCTCTCTCCTCAAGGAGACCCGAAGTGAGACTCTGCTGCACGTACGTAGAAACCATTTCTCCTGATTTCCAACTTGCAACATCGCGGAGCTGCACTCAGTTAGCGGTAGGGGTGTGCAGAAAGTCTGAAAATAGATGTCGGAAGGACATACATATCTCCTCGAATGATGCACATGTTGCTACACGCTGTTCAGGCTGAACGTAACTTGCTGCAGGACATAGGTTCTGCCGTGAGAGCAGGGTCAGCCCAACCGATTTCCGCCTATTGCTTAGTACTCCCATGCACCACTATCTTTATCGATGACGAGCGGACATTGTTTCCCTTCTTTCGATATGGTGAATGAGCCTGTCTCTCGGATTCGAAGTGCAATGGCCCCAAACGTGCGAATCGCCTATATAGACATGCCGCCGCCTGCCGCCGGGCTGGATGACGCAACTCCCACATTATGGGAAGCGACACCGCCATACAGAAGACCAACGTACGATCGATATCTTATCGCACGTCTGCAGTGGTCCAACGTGGCACGATTTTCGGCGTCTTGCGAAGACGCCTTTCAGAACAGTGAACGATGTTGCCGACTTCACAGAAGGTGTAAGAAAGCCATGCAGGAAGTGACCACGGAGAAATGCGGAACACAGCGGGAGCGACGCTGCGAATTAGAAGGTAACAAGGCTACGAAAGATGAACATCAATAGTTACGAGCGAACATCTGACAATTGCTTCCGGCCATAACATCAACATTCAGGTGAGACGGACGAACCTTGCGTGCGACACTGACCATTCCAGCCAAGCGTTATCACACAGCGTGGTGAAACGGTACAACGGACGGAGTAAGCGAGACGCATGTGAGAGCAAATCGCCAGGTCCTGAGATTTCGCTAAAGACGGGAAGAAAACGGAACAAGAGCTAAAATTGACACGTCCGAGATGAAGAAGGCAACAGACATACCGCGAGCATGGACATCTAGGGGTCGATGAGCCCTGTGTTCATGCCGTTTCCTGCTGGTGGAGTTTCAGTCGGCCGTTCGCGAGGAGCAGCGTCTGATGGACTTGATGCTCCGCGACCGGAGATATCCATGCCTATCGATGCTGCGAGAAGAAGTTTCAGCGTCGCACAGCACATGGCTTCTCTCTCATCGATGCGCATAGCTTGTAGACTTCGTGAAGCACAGAAGAGGGTCTGGAATGGCACAACGACAACGTCATCCAAATCAGCGGGAAACTGACGTCTTGCTGACGTGGCAGAGATAATCAAGACTTCGAATAGAAATTTCAAAGACGACAGGGAGACCTAGAGCAATTTTTGAAGGCAGACCGGCAGTGTCCATTTTGCTAGTGGATTTCCAGATCCACGCACTGCTTTCCTATCGGATATTAATTTTGCGAGCTGCGCAACGTGCTGCATGGCGTAGCCCGTGCGAGGCTGTCCATATTGAGAGTATTCTTGCTGCAGGGGTTCGAAGGAAGTATTGTGAAGCGTCGCTTAACGAGAAGGCATTGTTCGCACGAAAGCAGTACGGTGGGTCCTGCAAGGGAGCCCAGAGCAAGCTGGTTCGAAGGAGATCAATTAGTAAGACACACTGACCTGCGTGGATGTGCGTTACCCGGCGTACTAATGATAGACGGACAAATCCACGCTGGAAAGTTAGTCTTCCAAGTAGTCTGGAAGCTCTTAGAATGGACGACATGCATGCATACGAACGTCCTAGACCTGTATATTGACTATTACCTACTACGTTGTGACGCAAAACACTTGCCATTCATTAATGGCAGTTGGTTGCGGCGAAGTAGACGGCGAACTTTTAGCTATACGGTCAGCTGTTGTTAACGCTTACGTAATCCGGTCACGGAAGACATGAGGCGAAGATGGCGTTGAAGGCGGCGTTGAACAGCAGCATCCATGTCGGCCACGAAGCTCAGCCAGGAACTGCATAGTATTGCTGCGACATGGCATGTGGACCCATTCCGTCCGAATCTACAGCTGAAGAATTTCCTGGACTCCCTCGCGGATCATCCTAATCTCACAGCCCGGGCAGTCCGGGCAGCGAGCGCATTGCAGAAAAACGAGTTCCAGAAAAGAGTAAGCTCGGCTGAGTCGCTTCTTCTGCCTTCCTTGCGCGGTACTCACCGTGGAATACCGTCCAATTCTTAGTACCAGCTATCCGAGAAGATGCTAAAGCCCGCATCTATGCCCCACCATTATGACCGTTTAGTCGAGGGATACGAGAAGAGCGCCAAAGGCGTCGGCAGACCATGGTGGAAGATATTCTTCGGGGTTTGGTAGCGGAGAGGTAAGGGCCAACCTCGACGTGCCCAGAATTATCTGCTGCGAATGCTTACGCATGACTGCATTCTTCCTGCATCGTGTCAGGATGAGAAGAAGAGTTCTAAAACAGATTTCGGGGCCCGCTAGGGGTGCGGCTCTGACATTGTGCAGAGATTTTCTTCCGTCTCGGGTATCAGCGGTCGTCAGTTCACGAATAGAAATGCACGTCGTAAGTGACCGGGCTGTCTCAACATATCGTGATCCCGCCACTGACGCATGGCACGGGCACGCCGTCGATTCGGATTCCATACATACTTCACGCGATGGTCGCGAGATAAGTCGCTCGCAGTTTACCTATGAGAGGTCGGAAATTACGCATCACAAGGGGTGTTCTGGTTCCTGGGCATGCTCTTACACGAGAAGTTCATACAGCTCGGAACAGAGGCATCATCTCCGCTCCACTGCTTCACCGTCTCTCAAATTCCCAGATTCAGACGGATGAAAAGTACTGGCTCTCCGTGTAATTGGCGATGAGAATAACTACACCATTAGCACCCTAAAGGGGATCCGCACGCTCTCACAACTCAGTAAAAGCCCAGAGGACAGAACGGAAGGGTCGTCGAGACTGACTCGGAACAACGTCAACCATGGTCCGTCGCACACGATGTTATGGCTTCCAGCAGGTCATTCTTCCAGAATTTTGTCCTCCCTTCCCTCGCCTGCAATATGTGCAAGAGGTGAGGAGTCAGTAACCACGAAGGGATCCACGCGATCACCGCCGTCAAGTAAACGCACCTTCTCGACCAGCCTCCGGCGCTTTTCCCGTGCTTTCCTCTGCACCTTTACATACTTGCCTAGCGGGCTCTCCTCGACATTCACGCCGCCCTCCCACGCCTCGATCTCAGCCATGCGTCCCGGCGCGAACGTCACGCCCTTACGCCGCTGTTCGACCCACCGCGCGCTTTCCTCTACACGCTCGACGAGCGCCTTTGCCACCCCTGTTTCCTTCGTCCGCCACTGCGTGCCCTTCGCGGCTTTCCGGAGCATCATCACGATCGGCACCACAATCTCCGGGAATGCGATGCTGCCCTGCACGGGCGCACTCGCGAGGTACTCGCCGAGGAGGAACGCAGTTTCCTCGGCGAGCCCCTCGGTGTACACACGCGTCTTGAGGTACTGCTGCGGCGCCCGGATGTTTGTTTCGAAGTCAAGCGGGCGGAGCGTGGACCCTTTTGGCTTAGAGGAGCCCGAGAGCGTCGATGTGAGGATCGGGAGGAGGTATGACGCGAGCGGGACGTAGGTGTGCGTGTGCCGCGTCAGGTGCAGCAGCGAGCGGACGATGTGGAGGTGGAAGGGGTAGGAGCGTGGATTACGGATCAATCTAGGGGCGATCGCGTGCGATGAGTGACACTTGCACGATAATGGATGGATGAATAGCCTACTTCATGGAACCGAGCGACACTTGCACCAGAGGGTAGATGAGCGGTTTCAACTCGCTCTCCTCACCGTTCCTCTCCATTAATGTCTCCTTGTCGCATGCCCTGGCTAGCACCAACGCCCAGAAGTCCACGCAATGCACATATTGCCAATTGTACACTTGCTTGTATGCCTCCTTCATCGCATTACGTAAGGTTAGGCCATATTATTAGTCGGAGCGCCAGTTAATACATGGAGGTAAAGGGGGGGAGCTCACCTTGCTCTTCACCTTCATGCTGTTTCGGAGGTGAATCGCGAGTTGACGGATGTATCCAAACGCATGCTGGTATGCTGTTGCGTGGTCCAGGCAGTAAATCTCGGATGCCGAATTTTTCATGAGGTTGATAGATGGCAGGGTATGCGGTGACGTCGACTTGCACGAGCGCACGAGCGTCAGGTAGGTATTCTGTACACATTATAAGTGAGCGGCCAGGAACTATCTGCCAATGCGGCAGAAAGGGATAGCATGCTGTGGCATTGATACGTACCTTGAGCACCAAATCCATGATAGACGCATCCGTTGCTAATGCAAGCCTACGTACCGCGACGAATGCGGCAATCCGTACGCCGTCTTCCGCGGTTGACCACAGGTCTAAGCATGTCTGCACCACACAAAATGGCACTCTCAGTATCGCAAAACTCTATTCAAACTGCCAGGATACGCACCCTCAAGTAGACCTTGACAGCTTTCCGGCTGCCAGTCACGTACGGCACGAGCTTCGCACTCTCCAAGATAGCCAGGCGCAGCATCTCGTTGTCGGTGAGCTGCGTGAGCAGGTGCATGATATTGTGGAAGTATGATAGGATTAGCTTTTGCAGAGTCTTCCACTTCGGTGTCTGGGTCGGCGCCTTACTGCCAAATGTTCGTGTCTCGGATCAAACTCGCTGGATATAAGCAAGAAACCTGTATATACGTACAACTTGCCGCTCGGGAGCGTCTTGTATGGGCAGTGGTGCTCAAGGACGACTGGGGTGTACTTGAGGGTGGTGGTTACAAGCTTGTTATATACTGGGCAATACGTATGAATACATGAACGAACATGATGAGCGAGCAAGCCGAGGGAGAAAGACATACCAGATGAGCTGTCAATGGTCCACTCGAAAACTTGATCCTCCTCGTTCATATGCACAGCAGAGCGGAATGCAATGAGTAATTTTCGTAGAGCCCGTAACGAACGTTGCTACATGCAGCATTGATGAGAAACATAGTGAGACAAGAGCATCGTGAGGGAACGCACCTCGAGCAAAGCCCGTTGCCATTTCCGCAAAATCTGCTTTGTGAGCACCGGTGCCATGTCCTCCTGCATGGCATCTCCATCCTCCTCCTGCTCGCCTTCATCGTCATCCTCGTCGTCGGAAACGGCATTGAGATGGAACTCGAGCAGCTCCTTGTCATTTTCCTGAAGATATTTGTAGAACTCGGGGTCCTTCTTGGCTAGTTTTGAGAGTTCGAGCAGATGCGCCTCGCCTTCATCTATGGGATGATGAGTGGTAAAGGATACAATGCATAAACCGAGCTGACCATCTAGATCGTCCACTGAGGCGAAAGATCGGTTATCATCCTCGTCCTCATCTTCTTCGGTACCCTCGTCCGAACCGACAGCTGAACCCTGCAAAAGTCAGAAACATAAAGTTAAATGATGTTACTTTGATGCATACCTCGTCCGAGCCATCTCCCTGCATGAAAGCTCCTCCAAGGAAGTCATCGACAGACATTCCCTTGAATCTGCCGTCGGGTCAGGGCATGATGCGTAAGAAACGGCCGTGAAACATCTCACTTTTGAGACTCCTCCTCTACACCGGCCTCATCATCGTCCTCGTCCTCGCCTACCGGTATTTGCCTCTCCTTGCCTTTACTCCCCTTGCGCTTCTCCACCTTCTTCTTGAAGTCCCGGTGTTTCCGCCGCGCCTGTATCGTTTTCTGGAGCTGGCCGCTCGCAGCAAACTTTCGCGTCGCTTTCGTTGATTTTTTTCCCATTGTCACGCGGAATGATACGCGCAGCCAGCGAAGAAAGGGTTACTCGAGGTTACTCGCAGCAGATTACTTTTGTACAAGCTAAAAATCAGATCTCAGATGCGTTGCACATCACGTGACCATCTCCTCGATTCTGCCGGGCGCTAAAACGCGCGGTCCACACCCAGGAGTTGCGACGAAGTCGCACTACTCAACTTCTCTTTCCAACCACTCCCCATGCGACGTTCTCCTACATTATAACTGCTTACCAGAAGCTTACAATATCGCTACGCGTTTCAGCCCACTCATACGTCTTTGCAAGCCGAGTACTGCGACTATTAGGCGAGTCTCCTTCGACATCACATATTTCTCCAACGTTTCTGTCGAGCTGCTACAATGACTCCGAGTGCCTGCGATTGCATTGCATCGGCAAATGAGCTCCTGACTGTACACTCAGCCTTGGTCTCTCGCATCCGCGCTACTCAGAAACAGCACCGCCGGCAGCTCAGGACACTTCCCTCGCCTCCATACGGTCTGTTGAGATTGCCTCTGATCCCATCTCCTCCACTATCTCCGTCGCCTTCACCGCCATCCTCTCCCGTTCTTGCACCAAGGCCGAGGCCTGTCCGCCAAGACCTGCCTCCCGCGAAGCGCGCCCGGGTAGCCCGATATCACAACTACGTTCCTGAAGAGGAGACAATTCGAAATGACTATTCTCAGCGGTACGTCGATGGTGGAGAGTGGCCGCAGAACTGGGTCTTAGGTGCGGACCCTGAGCATCGGTTCGAGGAGTACGTAACTGGTCTCATTTGTTAATGGTGAGTGCGAGCTCATCAGGTACGCGCGCAGGTACCCGAAACAACAGCGCCTGCTTTCTCTAAAGAAAGCATCGGTCGCACAGTATGCACTACCTCCTACATACCTTCCCTTCTCTCAACTTGTGACCCTCCATCCGTCCAAATTTGACGTCATCCTCATCGACCCGCCGTTTTCGTCATCATTCACATGGGACCACCTGCAGGAGCTCCCAATACCTACTCTCGCCGCAGACCCGTCGTACGTGCTCATGTGGGTAGGCAGCGGAGCGGGCGATGGTCTCGAGCGCGGACGCGAGGTAATGGCGAAGTGGGGCTTTCGGCGGTGTGAGGACATCGTGTGGGTCAAGACGAATCACACCAGCAACCATGGCCCGGGGGTACGTCCAGCTATTCTGCGCCTCTGTTCATCTCTTATAGGGTTTCCCAGACAGATCCACCAACCACGTCCTTGCTGACGCGCACGAAGCAGCATTGCCTGATGGGCATCCGAGGCACCGTCCGACGCTCGACCGACAGCTGGTTCGTGCACTGCAATGTTGGTAGGCATTCCCTCTACCAATGACCCGTCTTTCTTCATTCTTATGCAATTCGCTCTACAGACACGGATGTGATGATCTGGGAGGGCGACGCCTCTGACCCGACGCTCAAACCGCCCGAGACGTACACACTCATTGAGAATTTCTGCCTCGGCCTGCGGCGGCTTGAGCTGTTCGGGCGCGCGCGCACGCTGCGCCGCGGTTGGGTCACTGCACTCGCGGAGGGCGAGGAGGAACGCATCGAGGAGGGCCTGTCGGTCGACTCGGACACGCAGGAGGCGGCGACACCGTGGAACCGCGAATCATGGGAAGTGGGAATCAGGGAACTATCGAACGGCGGGAAGGCGGTCGTGCCCATGACGCCCGGTGAGTTGTGTGGTCCCGATCCAGTTGAGCTTCGAACTGACTGATCGTCGACGCCAGAGATCGACGCCCTCCGTCCAAAGTCTCCCGTCCGTGGCGGTTCCACAAACATCAATGCTGGAATGGGCGCCGGTGCAGGGCTCGCGCAGGCAGGCGCATCCGGCGCGCTCACCATGCCCATGAACCCGCCACCAAACCGCACGGGCGGGTTCCAGAATCAGAACCGCATGATGATGCCACAACCGATGATGCCAATGAACGCGCTCGGCGGGGGTGAGATGGGCAACATGGGCAACGTGGGCAACATGGGCAACATGGGTATGATGGGCTGGGACGGCATGATGGGGATGCAGGGCATGGGCGGGATGGGAATGGGAATGGGCGTACCACAGGGCATGGGATTCTCCGGGTTCGATGGCGGGATGGGCATGGGCTGGGAGGAGCAGTTTGGGGGTGGTGGAGGGATGTGGGATGAGGGCATGATGGGTATGGGTGGGATGGGGATGCAGGGAATGGGAGGGGGGATGATGCCTGGTGGGATGAATGGGATGGGCAATATGGGTGGGATGAACAATATGGGGAATATGGGCATGGGCATGAATGGGGGCATGGGCGGCGGCATGGGTGGGGGCATGGGCGGATGGGGAGGGGACGGATTTGAGGGAGGTTATTGATTGTCCGCGACTTGCATGATGCATTCGGATCTCTTTTATTACATTCCGCATCGTCCAAGGATGGGTATATGTATTAGTTCGTGGTATCCGCACAAGGTAAAGTAGTGTACATGTACGAAGATGTAGCACGTATTGAATACATGGATGAAGAAATACATCTGTCTATGTAAGGTGAGTCGCAAGGTTCATAATGCTATCTTGGTTTCTGCGAGCTGGGCTGACTCCGGCTGCGGGCTTGGCTCTGACTGCGAGCCTGATTATTGAAGTGTTCGTCGAGCTTAGCAAAGAACTCCTCTTTCTGCTCAGACGACCATCTATTACTGGTTCACATACCAATCATGAGCTGACAAGACAACGATCTCATTGGACGAAAATACTCACAACTTCATTAGGAACTCCGGTAGATCTGTCGAGTCCGCGATGTACCCCAGCTCGATCATGGACGTCTGGCGAGCTCGCATCCTGGGATGACTGTCATTGAACTGTACGCTGCAGATAGGTTTATGACTCACCTCTCCTCCGGAGTCTGCTTTGGCTTGTGATGCGCACGTATTGGAGGCCATTGTTCGTTGGCTGCAGGGGCTTTGGCGCCCTTCGCTTTTGTTCTAGGCCTCGCCTTCCTCGCGTTCTTTGTCCCGCATACCCCCATCACCAACCACTCCCTCCCTAGTAACACAAAGCTCACCTTCATGACAAGCTTGAGGTTCTTGAACTTCTCACTTTCCACCACATTTTCTGCGATGAGGTCTTCATTGTGATGTATGTATGTTACCCCGACGTCCCTCAAGATCTCCTGGATATCGTCGTTTTTGCCCTCGCGTTGCGGCGGACCTGTGGAATGATGGGGAGCGAGTGAGAAATGATATTATTTGGCACGAGTGAGTACTGACGATCATCGAGCAGCAGCTCATCAAGACCGCGCAAGTCCTTTGTTTATCATCTATGGTGAACACCATCGTCACGAGATTTGTCATCAGAACTTACATCCTCCTTAGGTTCCTCGTCGGCATCGATGACCTGCTTCTTCCCTTTTTTGCTCTTCCTCGCGTCAACATTGGCCAGCGACCAGTTGAAATCGGAGATGATGGCCCTCTCGATCTATAAACATTCGAATGAGCAAGCGGCTCGTGCGCGAGGATGTGTGAGGACGTACTGCTTGCTTGGTAGCGAGAGTATTTTCACGCAGCGTGAAAATGTTCTTGATGCCAAACAGCTCTCCTTGCTTGTCTTTGTCGCCTTGCACGCCTTCGAAGTACCTAGTAGGATGAGCATTGATAGCATGCCTTCTGCTCCAGAACAGACGGACTGACCTAGTTTGGAAGCTGGCGTTGTAACCAACTTGCATCTGCTGCTGCTTGTACACTTGACGAGCATATATCAGCTCCTCGATAGATCCCGCACCCAGAAGCCTGAACACTGAAACGTTGCGTGTTTGTCCAAAGCGATAGGCGCGGTCAATCGCTTGCAGGTCGTGCGCCGGGTCTTTGAGAAATGGTAAGTGTCACACACGCAGGCCGAAGTGATAAACGTTTGCTTACTCCAATTCGGATCTGCCATGGCGTTCGTGAATCAAAATCATAGTCGAGGTGAACAAAGGGACTTACCGAAGATCACTACTTTGTTTGCTCCTGTCAAGTTCAATCCCGTTCCACCGGCTAAGGTCGAGATCAGAAACACGAATACATCCGGATCTTCGTGGAACTTGTCAATAAGCGACATTCCTGATCACCAGAAATAAGCAAGGCTTGGACGCGCAGAGAGCATAGACGATCACGTACGATCAGACGGTTTGGTAGATCCGTCTAATTTGACAAACTCAATACCTGATGGGAATATGCTGCAGGTGAGAGGGTGGTCTGAAGCATACATGAGAATGAACTGACTTCGTGATCTCAGATGGAAGTCGAGCATGTCCAATAACTTAACAGATTTAGTGAAGATCAAAACCTTGTTCAGAGGGTCCTTTCTCCAATCTTCCAACAGAGATCCTAGGACCTGGAATGGCGTGTCAATGTTTGCATATGACTGCTCGATGTAGACACTGAACGCACTAGCCACTTCCCGCAGAATTCTGGAACGAGCATAGCGGGACCATACTTAGGTGCGGAGCCCTCGCCAAAGACGATCCTCGATAGCTCCCGACGGCGGATAGTCTGCGTACCAGAATAGTGAGACATAGTATTACTCGTCAGGTATTGGGGCATTACCTGTTCTTGGGTGTCCGTTGGGGCTGATGCGGATCGTGAGTATTTCCTAATCGAATAATTCAAAGGAAAAGCCTCACAGGGCAGAATTAGAGCCAAGTGGTTCGAGATGTTGATCAGCGTTATCAAGTATCTGAATAAGTCGCCCTTCTTAAATGGATGACAGCATTTCTTCCGCCTGAAAACCAGTATCAGCATGAGCGGAATCAATGCGTGTCAGACGATTCTTAACGGTTTCCGTGAGCCACAATCACATCGTTCGTCCCTCCTTATCATATTTTGGACGGCCTTGGTGCTAAGTATGCGTTTATAAACTTGAATCTGCATGTTGGTCAGTGGGCAGAATACTACTTGGTCATCCTTTTGCGGCAGCTGTGAGACAGGTATGTCAGGATTTCTAGTATTTCCCAATCGAGCTGATCGCATACCTGATCCTGAATGATCTGCTTGGTCCTGTATCACAATAGAAAGGTGATGTTGAGACGATATATTTGTACATTTTGAATACTTCCTGCTCACCTCCTCAGGAAGAAATTAGCCAACAACTTGGTCTTCAGAATCTGTGCCACGAGCTACGAGACGGATCGACTCAGACGTTGTGGGTGTATTCAGCCATTCACTTACAACCGCCTTCGTTCTCTGCTCGACGCTAGCACTCTTGCTCTGGCCAGCATTTAGAGGCCGAGAGACATATCCTTCCCACTGACGTTTTGTTCCGACGCTTCCCGGGTTCACCCAGTCGAGGATAGTCCAAAACTCTGAGAACGAGTTTTGGATGGCTATTGGAGCTCATTGTGTCACGACAAGCTGACAGATGGAGTAAATGTACGAAGGACTCGCCTGTGCCGGTGAGGCCAAACCGCGTCGTGCAGGCGAACTGATTGAATGCCGTCGCCAGCGCCGAACGAGGGTTCTTCACGCGGTGAACTTCATCAACGATGATGATAGACCAAGGAAGATCGTCGAGCAGTTCAATATCCTTCCGCGCCGTTTCGAAGGAAGTGATGACTATATGCGTCATAAGTGGTCAGCAGGCGGAAGATGCATCTCGATTTCTACAGCATCACGCACGAACGTCCAGTCTTCCGAGCTTAAAGTCACGCAAGACATCTGTGCGTTCCTTCGGAGGTCCCGTATATATGCCAACTTCAAAATATCCCCACTAGCCGCAAGGTCCTAAGCGCCACCCTACCAAGGTACCATGACACAAGCGGCTCACCGTCTCGAATTCCCTCTCCCAGTTCCCGACTACGGAGCTTGGCGCGATGATGAGACATGTCGGCCATGTCTGGTTGGCAGGCGGCAGGGTGTGACGCTCCCTCCAGTCCGGGTAGATGTCCTGTAGATGGGATACGTGTTTTCGCCGTCGGTCTATGTCGCGATTATCCCCGTGCTTTTGCATGATGGCGGAGAGGAATGAGAGTACTTGGATGGTTTTACCTGTGCAGTGTCATTGACCTTTGTGATTCTAGGCTGCAGAAACATATAGCAGGGAACGTACCCTGATAGTGAGAGGATTAGCTGCGTGAAATTTGGAGAAGTCAAAGCATGGCTTGCTTACAAGGCCCATATCGTCTCCCAGCAGACCGCCCTTGCCATCGTTGTGCCGTTCCCAGAAAAATCGCACGCCCTTGCGCTGGTACTCCCTAAGGAATGTGTTGATCCTTGCAGGTACCGCATGTGTATCGTCGAGGAACATGGGACCTAGATATTTCTGTCCAGGTTTGAGGGGGAATGTCGGACGAGGCTGCATATACTAATACAATAGATGATGCCTCAGTTTGATCAAGATGCTTCAGTCGCGACCGGAGGCTCACCTGATCAGCAAACTCCTCAGCCTCGCTGTCCGACTCAGTCTCAGAACCTGAATACACCGCGACTTTTCGAAGATGGGAAGGAGGGATGGCTTTCTGGTTCGTGGATGAAGCTTGGGTGGATGCTGCAGCTGTAGAATCTCAGTATGTTGGCGTTCACGATTGCTCCCTTATCTCTTACCTGTTGTTTGTGTTACAGGGTTCGCTGAGTCCACGTCACTCTCAGACTCCGTCTCCGACTCTGTGACTGATTCACTCAAGTTGTCGAGCTTGGGCTTCTTTGCCAGTGGAGGATGGGCCCCAAGCGAAGGCGAGGATCTTCGTTTCGCTGAAGAAGCTAAGGGAACCGGCTGTGCTTCTGGGGCTGACTGCAGTTCTTCCTCTGTCTCCGGCTCTGGGACAAGCATTGCTCAGGTACAAAGTCTACGTGCCTTTAAAGATCATACCTGTCACAGATTCCTCCGTGGCTTCCTTGTTGCTATTATCAGGCTTCATTAAAGCAGCCCAGGTCTTTAGAAGGATTGGTGATTCATCATCTTCCTCTGCTGTCCCTGACTGTCCCTGCAACTCATCATCCGTATCGTTCTCGTCGTTAGCTTTGTCTTCATCTTCGTCTTCCGATGCAGAATGAAGATCGAGATCCTCTTCAAGTGCTTTGAGCTATCAATACTGCAAGTTGAATAGAAGACGCTCACTGAAATATTGCGCGAGTGGATTGTGATACGTTATAGCAGACGATTTGGGAGCTTTCTTCCCTATTATTTGCACAGTGAGCAGTCATCAATTACCGACCATTGGCGACACTGAAGTCCAGTACCTCTATTCCCTTTTGGCGCCTTGATTCCCTCTAGTACTGAGCCCCTGCCTGTCCTTCCCTCGGAACCATGCGAGGTCTTCGGTGACATTGACCTACCTTTCGACCTTCGCCCCCTTTTGGGTGGCTCATATGAAAATGAGCCAGGGTTAAAGTCAGAGTCCGAGTCGACTTCTGTTTCATAGTCTCGCAAAAAAACACGCCGCCATATATGAGCCACGCTCACCTAACGGAATGGGTCTGGAATGGACGAATTCTACGAAGATTTTGATGTAAATGGGACCTCGCTCGGTAGCGGATATAATGCTCACTCTGTCGCGACTTCGATGTGATCATCTTGAGATGCGTGTTCATGGTTGGAACAAAGCAACTTTGGCATTGAGTGGTGGTGGCAAGGGTGGCCAAAGTGCAACCAGAGGCCAGATTAGATCTTAGATCGCTCAGACACGAAACTCAGCGCGTCTTAATCACGTGACAATAAGACGCGGTCACGAGGCGCTTGCGCACAACCTACGGGGAAGCTAAGAGTGAGGGGGCATGAACTTCCGTGATGGTTCGAATGGAATATAATGCAACGATGCTATGCGAACTGCTTGTGGCGGGGCCAACGGTCCCGTTCTATAGAGGACGAGAGTCTGCAGTGTCCGAGGTCAATTCTCCCCATAAGGCAAGAAGCGACCCCGACCACTCTGTTTCCCGAAGTCGCTGCTTGAAAAAGTTGGATGCATATGACTCGAGCCACATCGATCACACACAACGTCTCTCAGGGAAACATTTGAAGCACTGCTTTCTCTCGATCTTGGTCACCATTCTTACTCTTTGGCGACGTGCTACACGTCCCACTCATCTACCGGGCTTTGTCCGAACCATGGCTTCCGCAAACACCATTGAGCTTGCTCAGACTGGCAAGCGTGATCTCCTCATCTCCCTTGAGAAAAAGTACCAGGAGCAATGGGCCGCGGAACGCGTATTCGAGGTCAACGCACCGACTCCGGAGGAGACTGCGGGACTCTCTCCTGCGGAGGTCAGGGAGAAGTTCCCGAAGTGGTTCGGTAACATCGCATATCCCTACATGAACGGCTCGCTGCACCTCGGGCATGCTTTCTCTATCTCAAAAATCGATTTCGCTGCCGGCTACCAGCGGCTCCTTGGAAAGCGCGCTCTGTTCCCTCTTGGCTTCCACTGTACGGGCATGCCGATCAAGGTGAGTTCACGCTCGATCTATTTGTACGTGCTCACCTTATATCGAATGCAGGCTGCCTCGGACAAGATCGCTCGAGAAATCGAGATGTTCGGTTCTGATTTCTCTGGATACAAGCCCGAGGATGAGACGCCAGTCCCGGCTGCCAGCACGTCCGTTGCACACAAATCGGTGGACAAGGCGAAGAAGGGCAAGATCGCGGCTAAGGCAACTGGTCTGCGGTACCAGTTCCAGATCATGGAGTTGATGGGCATTCCTCGCGAAGAGATACCCCAGTTCGCGGACCCGTACTACTGGCTCAAGTACTTCCCCCCGATCTGCAAGGTAAGTACCGTCCTGTTTTCCTGCGCCATGCTCTGATTCTTCAGGTTGAATAGAATGACAACAATGCATTCGGATCACGCATAGATTGGCGGCGGTCGTTCATCACGACGGATGCGAATCCGTACTATGACTCGTTCGTCCGATGGCAAATGAACAGGCTCCACGATATGGGTAAGGTAAAGTTTGGCGAACGTTACACAATCTACAGTCCGAAGGACGGCCAACCCTGCATGGACCACGATCGCTCGGAAGGAGAGGCTCTGGGGCCACAGGAATATACCGGCGTCAAAATGGAGGTAGTCAGCTGGAGCGAGGCGGCTGCAAAGGAGATTGAGGGCAAGCTTGGTGGTCGTAAGGCGTACTTGGTAGCAGCTACCCTGCGCCCAGAAACAATGTGAGTAAGATCTATCCATGAGAGAATGTACATGTTCATGCCCAGCAGGTACGGTCAGACGAACTGCTATGTCGGCACAGCGCTCAAGTACGGCGTGTTCGTGATCAACGACCAGGAGGCGTTTGTCTGCACATACCGTGCCGCACGGAATATGGCATTCCAGAAAACCACTGCTGTTCCGGGTCAGGTGCAGCAGCTGGTGGAGATCGAGGGGTCGAACCTCGTCGGCACCAAGATCAAAGCGCCGTTCTCTATTAACTATGAGGTGTATGTGCTGCCGATGGACAATGTCCTTGCGACGAAGGTGTGCATAGCACTTCTATTTTAATACTAGGTGACTTGACAATCGCAATGTAGGGTACAGGTGTAGTTACGTCCGTGCCATCCGACTCGCCGGACGACTACCAGACGCTGATGGATCTGCGCAAGAAGCCCGAGTTTTACAAGATAGACCCATCATGGGCCGCATTCGATCCGGTACCCGTCATCTCTACGCCCACATATGGTGACATGACCGCACCTGCGGTGGTCAAGAAGTTCAAGATTCAGTCGCAGAAGGACACCAAGCAGCTCGCCGAAGCCAAGGAGGTCGCATACAAGGAGGGCTTCTACAATGGGACTATGCTCGTCGGCGAGTTTAAGGGCCAGTCCGTGCAGGATGCGAAGCAGAAGGTGCGCGACAGCATGATCGCGCAGGGTCTTGCGTTCGCGTATGCGGAGCCTGAGGGGTTGGTTGTGTCCCGGAGCTCGGATGAATGTGTTGTTGCCTTGATGGACCAGTGGTATTTGGACTACGGAGAGCCGTCGTGGAGGGCGCAGGCAGAAACGTACGTGTCCGCACATCTCGTTCAATCCGAGTTTATCTGACGGTCGGTCGCTGCTGTAGATTGCTCTCGAGGATGGAGACCTACCACCAGGAGACGCGCAATGCGTTCGAGGGTGTCCTCGCGTGGCTTAACAAGTGGGCATGCGCGAGGACTTACGGCCTGGGTTCCAAGCTGCCGTGGGATCCCGCGTTCTTGGTGGAGAGTTTGAGCGACTCCACCATCTACATGTCGTACTACACCGTCGCGCACCTCCTCCAAAGTTCGTATTACTTCTCTTCTTCAATACACTCTGCTTATAGTGCTGCTGTTAGGTAGCATCGATGGCCAAAAACGCGGTCCACTTGACATTGCCCCCGAACAGATGACAGATGAAGTCTGGGACTACCTCTTCCGCGACCAGCCCTGGCCAGAAAACGCCCCGGTATCGAAGGACAAGATCGATATCATGAAGCGGGAATATAACTACTTTTATCCATTCGATGTGCGGTCGTCCGGCAAGGACCTGATCCCAAACCACCTAACGTTCTGCATCTACAACCATGCTGCATTGTTCTCGGAGGACAAGTGGCCGTTGAGCATGCGGACAAATGGTCATTTGATGGTGAATGGGCAGAAGATGTCGAAAAGCAAAGGCAACTCGATGACGATGCGACAGTGCGTGGAGAAGTTCGGTGCAGATGCTGCACGACTGTGCTTGGCGGATGCGGGCGATGGTATCGAGGATGCGAATTTCGATGAGAAGACCGCGAACGCAAACATTCTGCGACTGTTTACGCTGATCGGCTGGTGTGAGGTAAGTTTGTTGCAGATGCCTGCGCATTCAGCCTAACGCTGACTACATTACATGCAGGAGATGATACAAGACGAATCAAAGTTGCGATATGGTAAACGCAACTATCACGATCGTGTCTTCGAGGAGGAGGTCTACAGCCGCATCAACACCACAAATCAATGTTACGCTGAGTAAGCATTTACTCATCACGCACTGTGTCGCTCTTCACTTACCACTCATTCCAGTATGCAGTATAAGGATGCGATGAAGTATGGCTTTTATGAGCTGCAAAGCACACGCGACTGGTACCGCGAAGTGACTGCTGATGTGGGCATGCACGGGGACCTCGTCAAGTGGTGGATCCGCGCTGCAGCGCTTCTCGTCTGCCCCGTCGCCCCTCACTTTTCCGAGCACGTCTGGCGGACAGTACTCAAAGAGCCAAAGTCCGTGCACCACGCCCGGTGGCCGGAGCCCCGACCCGCAGACCAGACAATCATCGACTCGGGCGCATACATGCGTGACACGATTAAGACCATGCGCGATGCGGAGCTGTCGCTGCTGAAGAAGATAAGCAGAGGAAAGCAGGGCCATGCGCCGTATGACCCTACGAAGCCGCGCGCGGTGCGGATTTACGTTGCAGCCACGTTCCCCGAATGGCAAAACCAGTGTGTGCGAGCGGTCAAAGAGGCATACGTTGCCGAGGCGGACAAAGTAGACGACGTGAAGGTGCGCGAGCTGTTGACGCAGCAAGGGCTCATCAAGGATAAGCGCGTCATGCCTTTCGTTCAAGCATTCAAAGTAGGTCAAGTCCTATATCTAATACTACATCGCGTCTTATATGCGTCTATTAGAAACGTATAGCGCAGTTCGGTGCGCAGACCGCGTTCAACCGAACAGTGCCCTTCTCGGAAGTCAAAGTGCTTGAACAGATCCTGCCCTATCTGAAGAAGACCTTGAACCTGGTCGACGCTGAGGTCCTTCTGGCGGACGATGCAAAGGCAAAGGCAACAGACACTTTCACCAAGTCCATTATAGAGGGCGCAGAGCCCGGTAATCCTGCTTTCGAGTACCGAAACGTATAGGGTTAGATTGGTAATTACGGTGCGGTTTAAATACATGCTATGATCGTTTGATGGCTGTTTGCAATGGATTCACCTGCTGCACGTCTTAGCTTGCCGTTTCATGCAAGTCCATTTGAGCCTAATTCCGATGTATTATAAGTTCGAATCGGGCAATCACCGCCTTGACCATCGAGATCAGTACGTAGTCAACTTGCGCGGACCACTGACCAGTCTCGGTCCGACAGCAATATGGTATCCGTCCGCCGCTATCTGACATCCATCACAATAATTTCACCATGATTGCTCACGAGTGGGTTCTAGATCTTTAGGACCGAGGACAGCGGCGTCGCGGGCGTTTACGGTGCGACCAGGACAGCTTCCTGGAGGGGTCGAGGCAGCGTGATGAGGGCGATATGAAGTCCAAACATCTGGTACGCACAGGACTGAGATAACTGGATTGGTAGTAAGATCGTGGTGCGGCAAGCGAAGCCTCCTTCCGCGGCCGAGATACTACCATCATAGAGGTCATGGCCGCTGCTATGAGCGTCGTCATACGCGTAGGTATCCTGCAATTCAGAGCGCGTACAAGAGTGCTCATGTGTCGTACAACTAGGCAGCAGAAGCACATCGAGCGCGGTATTCTCAACCAAGTCGCGAATGGTGGTGAATTTTACGTTGAGGTGCTGCGCAGAGGTCGAAGATTCTATATGGTAACAGATTGCAACACTTGCGACGGCCGCGTCGACGGTTCTGTGGCGTGCCACAAGGTAGGCATGTGTTGAATCTCATGCACAACCTGGATGCTAGAGGTGCAAGTGGCAGTTGGAAAGATCCTCTGTCGCGTGGCACACGGAACGTTCCTGGTCTGGGGTGAAGAATCACGCTGAGTGGCCCACGAAACGAAAATGCCACTTCGGATGAAATCAAAGGCGCGGATTGGACGCCACTCGACGGTGACCGTGGCTGGGCGGCGATGCATCCTCGTTGGCCGTGACCTACGCGTACGCGTTGTTGTCGTGGGTTTGTCTTGCTACAAACGTACTTAACGGCCATCTTTCACAACTTCCGCTCACTCCACTGTCGACCTCCTCTCCTGCGTGTCACATACTGGGCATCTATTCGAAATGCGAGTGAAGAAAGAGGAACTCCCAGAACCCTCCCTCCTCGTCGACTCTCTCCCTTCCTTGTTGCTTACGCAGCACAGAAGAGTGAGGCCAGTGCGGCAGAGAAAATCAAAGCCATGGAGGCTGCGATCTGTTCGATTTCGACGGGAGCCTCAGACCTCAACTCTGCGTAAGTATCTACCCTCCTTTTATTAGTCCTTCAAGCGAAATGTTGTGGTATGCTCATAGCGCCTCGGCTCTTTTTTCTGGGCAGGGCACCTTCTCTACTTCTTCGCTACTGACCAATACATTAGGCAGGAGTGGGGAGGGCAGCGCGCTGAGAAGCGACATTGGGGAGAATCTTATTGATTGGAGTAGCCTCAGGACATGGGTCGCGTCTGAGGGTGGCAGAGAGTCAATAATCATAAATATGATAGTATGCCCCGACGACAGAGACTCCCGTTGAAACAATGCACTCCGATCTCAAATCTCAGGATAGGTTAAGATGAGCGGTTCCCCGTTCCACAAGAACGAATAAGTTCGACGATTACTTTAGGAAGCGAATCTCCTTCGAGATGGCCGTGAATCCTTCATCGCCATGCTATCTGAAGTTCGTTCTATGGAGACTTTCTTCTGCCAATTTAGGTTCTCTGCCATCCGCACGTATATAAGATGCCCTCTCGCTCTCGAATGAAGCCCCGATCTCCAACTCCAACTTCTCTCAAGATCTAATGACCTCCCCTAATCATACACACGCTCGCGCTCTCTCCGAGTGGAATCGTGTATATCAGAGTCGTCTGTCAGCGCTGTCTCAACTTCTCTCGGTGAACACCCATGCACAAACTCAAAAGTCGGCGGCACTATCACACATGCAAGGTAGTATCCCTGCACCACAAGAAAAGCGGTGCGGCAACCTCTCACACAGAGGTTGCATATATGTGCACTACAAAGAAAGTATCGATCGGTGACGCGAGAAAGACAAGAGAAGATCTAGCACAGTCTGGCACCTCCTCTAACTTCACTTTACTGGTGCCAATCTTTTCGAGGCTCTCGCCAAGACCCACTCGTTTATTTGGAAAGCCCTGAAGCCTGCAATGCATATCTGATGTCTTGAGAATCTCTGTTTGTGCATTGCCCTACCAGGCGGGCCGATGGGATAAGCATGCGGATTGAGTTGCGATGTGGTGATGGATACAACCACATCTACTGCGAGGATCTGTAAGTCAATCCACCGGCGATAGCGGTCAGTCTGGTGTACGGGGTCCGAACTCTCACTTTGCTCAACGTTTTGCGCGTGAACATTTGCAGGAACACCTTCGGATTGCGCATTCCCTCATCATGGCTACTCAAATGATCCAGCAACGAGTTTCAATATCGCACCACCCCACGGCACTAACAGTCCGCTCCTTGCGAGTAGCGAGCACACATTCCTCCGCACATGGTGCCAGAAGTCCTGTCTCTTGAAGCTTGAAATCTTGAGATCCTAATTATAAGTTAATTGCTCTTGCAAGCCTACCGATACTCAATCAGCGATGATTGCCATGTTGATATGCCGCCTCGTGTTCAGGACCACGTCACGAACACAACACCTTGTCTGTTTAGCTCTCCCGCAGCATGCCTCCTCGGAAACTGGGAAATGCCTTAAAGCCTTCTGGCGACACCATCGATATTACGCTGAGCACAGCGCGGTCACTTCTCAACGTAGGAGGCGATCTGCTTTCACTTGCGCCGATCCCGGGGCTGGAAGTCGCGGCGACTGTACTCGCTAATGTCATCGGCACGATACAGGTTAGCGTCCTTGCTCTGGTTCATCGATGGACTGAGGATGCCACGCGATGCACGACTTGACAGGACATGAGAAAGAACACTGAGGATATGCAGAATGTCGCCAATCGGGTCAACGAGCTTGCGGCCTGTCTCAAGGCTGTCTGTGAACAAGCAATTCAGCGAGCGAAAGAGTCAAATCTGTCTGTGGCGAACATGAAGCCATCGAATCCGTTGGAAGATCGGATTGAGCGTCTGATAGCGTACGTGTACCTGCCATAAATACTTCTCTTTACATGTTGAACATACGCCGCAGGAGACTTAACGACATCGCAGAGAAGGCCAGAAAGATGAAAGGTCGATCAAGGCTCAGCAGATTGGTCAGAAGCCAAAAAGACGTGGAGGAGCTGAGTGACTTAGAACGGGGATTATCACGTGCGACTCAAGACTTCAAGGTCAGTAGAGCGGTTGTAAATATATGTTGCCTATTGCTTACAGTGCGTGTGATACGAACATAGCTCGAGGGAGATATCGCTGTCGAAGTTCTTGTGAATGGTATGTTCGACAGACTTGGCATTATTCAAGAGGGTGTTGTAGTAGGTTTCTCTCCAAAATGAGTGCTAAGGATAGCGGCTGAGGTTCCCGGCTTGTACATCATAGGCAATGCAGAAGGTTCAAGTGGATGATCGTGAGTACCCTGGTCCTTTCACGCCAACGTTCTTCCTCAATTGCAAGCCACCCAGATGACAGAGGTATCCTCGAGCGTCTTCCATACGCGCGTGCAGCAAACCACCGATCCGGGCTCCATGAATCGAAATCGGGCTACCTACATGGAACGAGGGAGGCTCTGTTGAAAGAGATCGACGAATGGGCCAAGGGGACGTCTAATACACTGCACCATCGCATCTACGTCCTCAGCGGTGCCGCCGGTACAGGCAAGTCCACTATCGCGTGTGAGGTGGCCAAGCGCCTCGAGCGGGATGGTATCCTCGGCGCATCCTTTTTCTTCGTCCGAGGGTCTGAGCAGCTGGCGACGACTCGGTTCGTATTCACGACTATCGCGCATCAGTTAGCATCCTATCAACCAGAGACCGCTCGCGACATCGTTGACGCTGCTCGTTCTTACCTCGCAAAGGGGACCGACCCACAGCGGATGGAGTATGGACTGGACGAGCTGATCATTGAGCCTTTACTCAAGTTGCCCACGGATCGTCCTCCAATTATTCTCGTTATTGATGCGCTTGACGAATGCACGGATTCGGCGCAGGAGTTGATTCCGAAGATGTTGTATCTGCTTGCTGCTCGTGTAACGACCATCTCGTTCCCCCTTCGGATCTTTATCACTTCCCGCCCAGACTACCACATTGAGAATGCTCTCGATTCAGTGGATTTCAGAAAGGATCGTAATTTGTTCAAGCTGCAGGATGTTCCAAGGACGACTGTGGGCCAGGACATTGAGAAATATATCCGGCACCGATTATCCAAAACATTTCAAGGTGAAGAGTTACTGATCGAGCGACCCAGTGCAATTGCAGAGCTAGCCAAGAAGGCGGACGGATTGTTCATTTTCGCTTCTACATCCGTTAACTTCCTCGACGAAGACCCAGACTATGCCGTCCAGCGTCTGGATATTCTCCTTGCAGATAGCAAGCACAATTCGCAACAAGATCTCAGCTATCTGGACCAGCTATATACCCTCGTTTTGCAGAACGCGTTCGGCCAAAACATATATCGCGATGCGGAAAGGATGCGGAAGGTCCGTCTTGTGCTGGCTTCCATCGCGTTGCTTCAAGATCAGCTCACTGTGAATGCGATGGCGTCGCTCATTGGCCTTTCCGTCGTCGACGTCAAGTCTGTGGTCCGGCGCCTAGCATCGGTCGTCTTGCGCGATGCCGATGACATAGTTCGGCCTTTACATGCGAGCTTCCCGCAGTTCCTCGTCGACAGCCGCCGCTGTGTGGATACAACATTTTATATCGATCCTGCAACCTATCATGCGCATCTTGCGATATCCTGCCTCTCGGTGCTGATTCAGCGTGATAGCTTGCGGCGCAACATTTGCCGCCTTCCCAACCCTGCGAAGATGAAGACTGACGTGAACGAATTGCCGTCTCTCGTGTCTCAGAACGTTCCGCCGCATGTTCAGTATGCGTGCATTCACTGGGCGTTCCATGTCTCGAGTACGCCGGCCGCTGCCTCCGAGATTTGTATGCGAATTCTCGATCACCTGGATTCCTTCCTCACGAAACAATTGCTTGTTTGGTACGAAGCATTGAGCTCCATGAACCGACTTGAGATCGCTCCTGCGGCACTGCTCATGGTTCATTCGTGGTGCCAGGTTCGTTTGAGCATTGTGCTTGCTATTTTCGGCTGACATGATTTCGATTTCCCATTCACTAGCGTTCTGAAAATGCTGCCAGCAATGTCGAGCCACTTCTCGACGATGGATATCGTTTCGTTCTTGAATACTTTGATGCAATCAATGCCTGCCCCGAGCATATATACATCTCCGCGCTGTCGACAATGCCATCCTGCAAGTTGTATGATATTTATAAAGCATCTTCTGTGCAATCTTACGGCCTGAAGATGGTCACCCCTCGCGATCCGAGTTGGAGTCCGTGCATTAGGGTAATCGAAGGAATTTCTGCAGCCGTGACTGCTCTGGCGTATTCTCCAAACGGTCGCTGGATCGTCGCGGGTACCTCGTTAGGCACTGTCTGTTCATGGGATGCCGGCTCCGGTATTCCTCTCAATACGATGGCGGACAATGCGACAGTTCGGCACAGGAATGCAGTCTCGTTCGTAGACGTATCGCCGGATAACTCTAGGATTCTCTCGTATGCAAAGGACATCAGAATCTGGAACCTGGCATCCGGTGCCCTCCTACATGTGATCCCCTTAGACAAGAACACGCGACTTAGAGCGGTCTCGTTCTCCTCAGATGGCAACATGATTTTGGCCATCGCCGACGGCGCACGCAGCATCTGTTCATGGGATTCCTGCACCTTTGCGAAATTACCAGAATCCAGCAGCATCGTCAGCTACTATCCCCACTCCACCTCTTCTTTTTGGGGAGCCTCTATGGTTCTTTCCGAAAAATCGGAGACGATATCCATCTATGACCTTGAGCGCAAGGTTGTACGAAGCTCGCTTTCGGGCCACTCGGAACATGTCAATCGCGCATTATTTTTACCTGGGGAAGATTCAAAGGTTGTTTCATTCGATTCCTCGCAAGTCAAAATTTGGGACGTCCCTTCTGCGCACTGTCTCCAGACCTTAAATGCATCTCGTACTCTTCTAGCCCTTGCCATTTCTCCTGGAGGCCACCGCATTGCTGCGAGCAGCCGAGGAATGATTGACATCTGGGATGCGGGCACAGGCGAACACCTTGCAGTGCTACCTGATGATGCCGAGGCAGCGTTTTGTCTCTGCTTCTCACCGAAAGGAGATCGGCTGTTATCTGGCGGTATGGATGGCATTCGCGTGTGGGACCTGTCAAATACCAATGCGATCGGACTGTCGAGCAGTAGACCCTATCGCTCCGAGATACAGGGGCCGAACGTGCATCAAGTCATCTTCTCTAATGATGGAGAGCTGGCGGCGTCGGCAGCTCAGGATTCCACATTAACTATTTGGCGCATACGCTCGGGCACTCCTATCTCAACGATCACGTATAACCAGTCCGATAACGTTGAACACATGGTGTTCTCCCCGAATGGCCGATACGTTGCGGCGATCTGGGACGATGAGGTTCTGGTGGTCTACGATGCCGAAAGCGGCCAACCAGTGGTTACCATGAAACTCGCTCGCCACCCGGCGTACATGCAGTACTCCTCGAGTGGGAATTGGCTTGGCATCTATATCAGGCCGCCTCGCGGCCAGAATTATCATCTCGACTTGTATGCTGCTTCTGGTCTGGCATTAGTGACAAGCGTCGACTTGAAACAGTTCTCTGTATCCAGAGGCAATTATGAGAACACGATCAAGGCACTTGCATTCTCACCTGATGACAACAACATGTATGCGGAGACTATGGATGGCTCGAGCTTTCTCTGGGACTGTCACAGCGGGGAGAGCTTGCCGATAGCAGAATTAGATTGGATCAAACACCGTGGTTCACCCCCAGCATCTCGCGAATTCCGGCTTGATAATGGATGGGTGGTGGATGGAACAGACCAGAAAATATGTTGGATTACCACATCGAAACGACCATTCTTGCAAAAGATGGCTTTTGCTTATTACGGCCACACTGTCGTGATTGGCGCAAGAACCGGAAAAGTGAGCATCATCGATCTGTCAGGAGTAGAGCCTGAAAGCTAGATACTACACACTATCGTTTCCTTGGCGCTCCTTGACGAATGCTGCATTCCTTGACGAGTTCTGTATCCAACATGGAATAAATTCCACGTGACGATAGATTGCACTTACACAGTTCGACGCATATGGAACACTACGAGGAATTCCGGAGAATGCGGCTGGACAGTGCGTTCCTCAAAACCCACCTGCCGACATGAGCCTGTTTTCTTGGTAACTCATGGATCTAGTAGCAAACGACCTGGAGTGTCAGTACTTCCCTCCATGTTACGCGCGCTGCATCTGTTAATCTCTTATATGGCGTGCACGAACCCGAGCATTTGAGAAAAGACGAGGTTCTTGCTGATATGGCTCGTGAGTCTCAGTGTTGATCGAAAGCAAACACACACCACCATGTAGTGTTCCAGGAGGGCCAACAACTCTGACGTGTGATGTCCCTGTTGTGCTGAAGGTATGCGGTGTCTGAGCTTACCTTTCGAGCACGCTCTGCACCGCCACTCACAGCATAGAGATTACAAGACATAGCAAGGCTGGTAGAGAATTAGTTTCCAAGGGGAAACAGAACATGATCAGACACGCGTCTGTGGCGTGGGAAGCCCTGCGACGATTTACGCTTGGGCGCCTCTGACTGCACGTTCCAAACTTCATAGCTTCACCAGTTGTGCGGAACGCCTGCCTACCCGTACTGACTCGACGTTGACCCAATGACTGCTGATGAGCGGCAAGTGCTACTTTTCAGGACGGCTTCATGTCAGTGCTGAAGCCATCCCTGAGTGACTCATCTGTACTCGACCAGCTAGCTCAGCAGCCTACACGACGGCCAGGACTTGACTGATGTGGTGAACAGGTAATATGGTTTAGTCTATAAACAGCGTGCTGCTGGCTTTCCCCCACGAACGCTGTCATCACAATTTTAGCTTCATTATGATTCAGCCAGGGTTTCTTTTTCCTATAGCAATATCGGTCTACAAAGGGCACGGTACACCTTGCGCGTGCTGAGAAGGCGCACGCACATTGTCCCTTGCTTAACCGACGAACTCTCTATTCACATAAAACGACATTGTCGATTTTTGTCGTCGCAGAGCAGCCGGCGTGAATCGGGTCGCTTGCCGTTTCTGGGAGGACACGCGTCTGTGGCATGGCGAGTGCATTCACTGCATTCACATGATTTCCCAACGACATGACCCTGCCGCGTTTTTTGACCACTCACCATAATCTTTGAGCCCTACCGTTCTTGCTCAATGGCCCCCTTAGCGAAACTCCCGGACAAACTGAAGCCTTCTGATGACACCATCGACATGACGTTGGCAGCAGCGCGATCGCTCTTCAGCGTTGGAGAAAATGTGCTCACGTACGTACCTGTCCCAGGGCTGGAACACGCGGCAACTGCGCTCGTCAAAATCATAGACGCGGTACAGGTCGGTGTTGCTAGTTCGTTCCATCGCTAGACTGAGTGTGACGCCGTACGATGTAATATCGTAATTGGTAGGAAATGAGGAAGAACAACGAGAATACGCGGAAATTAGCCGGCAGGATCAGCGAGCTGGCAATCGTGTCTTGTCGGTATTCGCGAACAAACAGTCAAAAAGATGGAAGAATCGGGATCATCCGATGTCAAGCCATTGTCCCCACTCGTAGATCGGATCGAGCGTCTCACCGCGTAAGTTTACTCAGGCGATTTATCACATCTCTTCATGCCCATGGTCTGCTACAGGAAGCTCAATACTATCGCAGAGAAGGCCCAAAAGATGAATGAACGATCACGGGTCGGCAGGCTGCTCAAACGTAAGAAAGATGCGGAAATCTTACAGGATCTTGGAAAAGAGGTAGAGAAGGCCACTAAGGACTTCCGCGTCAGTCATGCATCAGCACATATGCAACAAAATGTTTCTGACAACATGCATAATGTTAATGGTAGCTGGAGGGAGGCATCGCAATAGAAGCACTTCTTGGCACGATGCAAGAAGACTTCTCGGTATGTTCATCGCCAGCATAGCTACGAAGGGCACTGATTGAGTCGTGAGTTCTTATGGCTAGGCAATGCGGAAGTTCCAGATGGATGATCGTGAGTATCTATATTTCCTCCCGAGTGTATGGTTTTCAGAAATACTAGCTTTTAGACGATAGAATGACACTCGATCGTCTTCCGCATGTATCCGCCGCAAGCCATCGGTCCGGGATCCATGAATCAAAAGCGAGATACCTCCCTGGAACACGCGAAGATCTTATGAAAAAGATTGAGGGATGGGCCAAGGGGGCATCCGATGCAGTGCACCGCCGCATCTACATCCTCAGTGGTGCCGCCGGGACAGGCAAGTCGACCATCGCATGCGAAGTGGCCCGGCGGCTTGAACGCGATGGTCTCCTTGGTGCTTCCTTCTTCTTCGCTAGAGGCTCTGAGCAATTGGCGACGACTCGGTTGGTGTTCACGACGATCGCACACCAACTGGCTTCTCATCAACCGGATGTGACCCGTCCTATCGTCGATGCTGCTGGTGCGTATCTTGCCAAGGGGAGCGATCCACAGCAGATGGAGTATGCGCTAGACGAGCTCATTATTGGGCCCCTACGAAAGTTGTCCGCAGATCATCCTCCGATCGTGATTGTCATCGATGCGCTCGACGAATGCACGGATGCTGCGCAAGAGCTGGTCCCGAAGATGCTGTACCTATTTGCTGCTCGTATAGCAGCCATGCCCTTTCCACTCCGAGTCTTCATCACTTCTCGTCCCGACTATCACATTGAACATGCTTTTGACTCGGTGGAATTCAAGAACGATTACGCTCTGTTCAAACTGCAGGATGTTCCTAAAACGACAGTGAGTAGAGACATCGAAAGATATCTGACTGACCGGATATCGAGGATGCCACGAGGCAAGGAGCTGTTGAACGATCGACCGAGTGCAATTTTCAATTTGACAAAGAAGGCTGATGGTCTCTTTATCTTTGCGTCCACTGCCACCAACTTCCTTAATGAAGATCCAGACTGCGCCATACAGCGTCTGGAGATTCTCCTTGCAGATGGGAAGCACGATACGCGGCAGGATCTAAGCCATCTAGACCAATTGTACGCTCTCGTTCTCAGGAATGCGTATAGGGACGCGCTGATTCGCGATGCGGACCGCATGCGCAAGGTCAATCTTGTGCTGGCCGCCATCGCGTTGCTTCAAGATCACCTTACTATCAATGCGATGGCATCACTGATTAGCATCCCCGTTGAGGAAATAAGATCCATCATCCGACGTCTCGCATCGGTCATCTTGCTCGACGCCGACGACATGGTCCGCCCATTGCACGCTAGTTTCCCACAATTTCTCACTGATCCTCGCCGCTGCGCGGATCGTATATTCTACGTCGACCCTGGAACTTACCATGCGCACCTTTCGGCCTCTTGCCTCTCGGCACTCAACAACAGCCACAACCTGAAGCGAAACCTGTGCCGGCTTCCTGGTCCGACGATGCTGAAGATTGAGGTGAACGATATTTCGTCGCGTGTGTCGAAGAATCTTCAAGCACATGTACAGTACGCGTGCACGCACTGGGCCGCCCATGTTTGCAGTACACCTCCCGCTCTCGCCACGGAGACTCTCGATCAACTGAGACTCTTCCTCACGGAGAAATTGCTCTTCTGGTTCGAAGCATTGAGCCTCATGAATCGACTTGAGATCACACCTGAGGCGCTATTGATGGTGCGATCCTGGTACCAGGTTTGCCTCGATGTTTGTTTGATGGATTTAGGCTGACATGATCTCTTACTTCAAGCATTGTTGCGCGTATGATGACGGCAACATCGAATCGCTTATCGACGACGCATATCACTTCATTCTTGAATACTTCGACGTCATAAACGCCTGTCCAGAGCACATCTACATCTCTGCGCTGCCAACAATGCCTTGCTGCAAGCTTCTCGACACCTACATGACTTCTCAACTGCAATCACCCGGTGTAAGGATGCTAACAGCCCGCGCAAACAAATGGAGTGCTTGCATCAGGGTCATCGAGGGAATCGCCAAAGGCGTTAGGGCTCTCGCCTATTCTGCAAATGGCCGTTGGATCGTAGCGGGGATCAACGACGGCACTGTCCGATCATGGGATGCTCGTTCCGGCATACCTCTTAATACGATGGCTCGTCATCGGAAACCAGTCACTTTGGTAGATATCTCGCCAGATAACACCAGGATTGTCTCGTACGGAGGGGATATCAGAGTCTGGAACTTGACATCCGGCGCCCTACTGTGTATCATCAATACAAATAACACGTCACTCACAGCTCTCTCATTCTCCTCGGATGGCAAAAAAATCCTGTCTACTGTTGACGGAGCCCACAGCATGTCTGCGTGGGATTCCTACACTTTTGCAAAATTGCCAGAGTCCAGCAATGAGGCCAACGACAGCCCCCACTCCTCCATGTTGCCTTGCTGGGGAACCTCGATGGTTTTACGAGCATACAGAGTGGTGCATATCCTTGATATCGAGCGGAAGGAGATACGAAGATCACTTCGTGGCCACTCCGAACACGTCACACATGCACTTTTCTTTCCTGGCGGAGATTCAAGGGTTCTTTCATGTGCGGCATCGCAAGTAAAGATTTGGGACGTACCTTCCGAGCGCTGTCTCAAAACCTTGGAAACCTTTGGTCATATCTGCAGCATTGCAATATCTCCAGGGGGTGATCGTATTGCCGCGGGTTGTGAAGATAGAGTTGTTCACGCATGGGATGCGAAGACGGGTGATCGCCTTGCAGTGCTACGTGGTCACTTGGACGCAGTCAAGTCTATCTGCTTCTCCCCGGCCGGAGATCGACTGACATCTGGTGGGACTGATCGTACCATCCGCGTATGGGACCTGATGAATAGCAATGGTTCTTACCAGTCGGACAGCAGTATCAGTCCACCTGAGGTACGGGAACACCGTGTTATGCTGGTCGTTCTCTCCGAAGACGGAGAGCTGGCAGCGTCAGCAGCTCGCAACAACGCTATAACGATTTGGCACGTGCAGTCAGGCACTCCCACTTCCACGATTACACAATCTTGTGCCGTTGCTGGCATGGCATTTTCTCCAAATAACAAACACATTGCGGTGATCTGGTTCGATGGTACTTTAGAGACCTACAATGTTGAAGCCGGCCACCCAATCGTCACCACAATGCTCCTAGGCAGCATGAAGAATGTGCAGTACTCCTCGAGTGGGCGTTGGCTCGCCGTATGGGACACTCCCGCTGCAGCATATGGAGACTGTCATCTTCACTTGTATACCGCTTCCGACCTTACTTTGCCGGCGACGACGATCGAATTGAAGCGCCGGTCTACGGCCACGGACCAATGCGTCGACGCAATCGAAGTAGTCGCATTCTCTCCGGACGACAGCAGTGTTTGCGCTCAAACTATCGATGGCTCGATCTTCCTCTGGGACTGTCACAGCGGAAAGTGTTTGTCGCCGGCAGAATTGAATTGGATCGCCCGTTCAAATTCTCGCCCAGCGTCAATCGACTTCCGAATTGATAATGGGTGGGTGATAGACGGATCTGGCCGCAAGGTCTGCTGGGTTACTGCATCCAGACGGCCGGATCGGTACAAGATGGATAAAGCTCTACCTAGCCATGGGTGTAATTTAGTGATCGGCGCAGAGACTGGGATCGTTACTATTCTCGATGTCTCAGAATAGGGGACTCCTGCGTGAAATCTAGATATTATACCTCCGTAGTCTCCCCAGCTTCCCGTAACTTCTATGGTTCTATTCCAGCCCTACGCCTACCATGCGCAATAAGCTGTCGGATTCGTCTTCGCATCGTATTATAACAGCCCTCGTTGGCTGACATTGCTCATTAGTCTAACACCTTGTGTGAAGCCGTGGAAATGATGACATAGTTGCAAACTCACCTGCATTTCACTCGAATCCAGTCCCCCATCAGCCAGATTTAAATTGCCCCATACGCGATACGGCCATCCACTACAGTAGTAAGCACCTTCGTTTTCAGTATCTCCGCATACGGCGCATCTTCGCGCATGACATCCGTATCGAGCACGACGTAGTCCGCTTTCTTTCCCGCGCTCAGCGAACCCACCGCATTCTCGGCAAACGATGCATATGCCGCGTCGAGCGTCATGCCTTTGAGGGCCTGTGCGCGTGTGAGGCGTTCCTGCGGGTACCTACACCACAGAGGAATAAAGTGAAGACCGATACGAGAAAGAGATTGTGGGGACACACCATCCCCCTGAGCCGTGCGGACTCTCGCCACTCCTGTCTAGCCGCGACACTGCGGCATAGAACCCAAGCAGCGGATTAATGCCCTCGACGGGGAAGTCTGACCCTAGAGGAAGCACCCCGTTGCGTGATGATCTGCAATTTCATTCACGTTCATGACAGGTCCGAAATGTCGATATCATGTATTGTTACGCACCGTAAGAGCGTCTGGTATGCGTAGGCGCCCTTGATCCGCTCAGGTCCCTAAGATACGCCGTTTTGAATTCTGCATATCGAGGACGAGAGAATGCTATAGCACTCGCCAGTCTGGTCTCGGCGTAGCCCATATCACTCGTTCTGTTCCACAAATCATCAACGCTTAGCTACTCACTGCACATAGCCATTCTGCACTCACGCATGCGTCGGCTGCACGCTCGCAATCACTGCGCTCTCATTATAACGTCTCAACCAGTCGCAGGATAACCTATCAAGTACTCACCGCCAAGCCTGCCTGTCCTCTCGAGATCCTCCGCACGCATGATCTGTGCATGCTCGATTCTCGGCCTCCGCGCCTCCGCTTCACTGGCATTCCCAGCGAGGAGCTCTTCGTAGATGTCGAGCACAGCCTTGTTCGCGCGGTCACCAATGCAGTGAATGTTCTGCCACGCATCGTCAATACGGGCAAGCCGGAAGCGGACATGAGAGCCACACTCACCACGCCCCATCCGTCATCCCAGAACTTCCTCACAACGTCCCGCAGTTCGCTCTCCTCCAAACGCATGATGCCCTGCGTGTCCGGCTTGTCCGCATATGGTTCAAGCAGCGCCGCACCCCACGAGCCCAGTGCACCTGCATTCAAGATCAGAACAGATAAGTGGATGAAAAAGGAAGGACATAGACACACCGTCCATGAACAGCTTCACGCTGCGCATCGTCAGCCGTCCCTCACGACCATACCCATCCACTCGCTCGAACTCTCCGCCCCAGTATCCGTCGAGCTCCTCGTGCGCCATCGCGTACACCCTGATCTGCCCGTCCTCCTGCCCGTCAGCCCCATATCAGCACCACTTCAAATGAGCTGCCCACCGGCATCCGGCCCTCGTCTGCCATCCTGCGCGGCCACGTCAGACGGCAACCGCTAAACGGAAGAGAAGAGGAAGACGACGCACCTCTTGAACATGCGCCACATCGACCCATCCACCGCCGCATCGTGCACACTGGTCAGGCCCACCCGCAGGGCGTCCCTCATCGCCCGCTCCGCGCGCTCCTCAAGCGTCGCCTCCGTCGGTGGGGGCACCGGCACAAGCGCCATCGCCGCATCCAGAAACACGCCTGCCGCCCATATCGTCATCACACAGCCATTGGGCAAGAGGAGGAAGAGAAACACTCACCACTCACCTCGCCATCTTCCCAGACAACCTCTCCGCCCTGCATCTCACCCGCGCGGGGCCATCGTCCACCGGGAAGCTTCCCGCTGCGTTCGGCAATATCGAGCGCGCGCGGAGAGACCCAAAGTGCATGCCCATCGACACGGGAGAGTGAGAGTGCACGGTGGGCGAGCAGCGGGCGGGAGGCGAGGTCGGTCTGTGGCGGGAGCTATCGTCAATCCCGGAAAGATGGAACAACAGCGGGGTGAAGAGACGGACGCACTTTGCTCGGGAATGCGCCCCGCCAGCCCTTCCAGCGCGTCTGATCCCAGCCGAAACCTTCGATCCACGCCTCCTCCTCATCTGAGGTGAAGTTTACAGGGTGTGCACGTGCGTAAGCCTCTAGGCGGTCGAGAACGTCTGTGCAGGAGTATATGAACATGAGACGGGAAGTAACGCACGCGGAATTACGAGGCAAGGAAACATCACGGGTGATGGAGCACTCACCATCCATGGACGTCGCGTCTTCGAGGTTGAGCTCCATCTTCGCGCCGTACATTGTCAGGTGGGCGTGTGCATCTGGTATCGGTGTCAAGTCAGCAGGCTGTAGGTGTCACATCGCATTCGGTCAGGAGATCATAAGCGTGGATGCCAGCTGTGCGAGAGCAGCCAGAAGGAGCGAATTATAGCGGGCAAAGTTCGTAACGAAGAGGCAGGAGTGCGAAAAGAGGCGCATATACCCCGAAAAAGTTGCAGCATCTCTAACTCGAATAGGGTAGGACACCGCTCCTCACGCTCGCATTCTCGTAGCGTGACGCCAGAGGCAATATGCCTGCAGAAACTGAGCTACCAAGTCGCCACTCAGTCGCGGCACAGCCTCACGCTATAAGACTACAAGCGGAATCGAACAATGACTGTCTCCCCGCCTTAAAGCATCACAATCACGAAAGGCGATGCTGTAGGTGTGACGGGCGATGGGCGACAACAGACGCAATCACTCACCTGCAAGGCCGGGGACGATGATGCTCCCCTTTGGTGTGTGCAGAACCGTGAGCGGCTTCTTGGCCTGGGGTTCGCCGCCATAGAAGGTGTTGACAAGGCGGGTTTGGTGCCCGTCCCAGTGAGTGCGAATGTCATCTGCATTGGAGCGTTCAATACATGGACTCACAACTGAGGAATAAGAGAAGTGATATGGACGGAAAATCAAAAGGATGAGACAGAAGGTAGGTTGTGTCTCGTATGCCGTGATGGCACGGCACAGTAAGTAATAGCGGGAAAAGGAGTGATCCATAGGCACGGAGCAAGGAGGGGGCACTGGCATAGAAGTCAGAAACAAGTCAACACTCGCCTATAGTCCCCGTAGCCAACAATCGGTCCTTCACCACCAATAGACAGTCGACACTCGGGTTCTGCTCGTCAACGGTGTAAACGCGGCCCTCCTCCGCACAGAGCGCGTACGAGTCGGGAACAGTAGTCAGAACATCCGAGGTGCTCGTGCTCTTGCCGATTCCAGCCAAGCGGGAGTAGTATGTGACGAAGCCGGCAACGATGGAGGCGACAAGGACCTTGAGGGTATACGTGCGTTTGTTCTTGGGTTGCCAGACACGAGGGCCAGTGGGACGAGGTGGAGATGGTCTTGCGGTCGGAGAAGGAGCGGGAGAGTTGGCTTGCTGGTTGTGCTGTGGTGCTTTCATGCGCCGGCGCGGGCGGGGCATCGACGCGACAGTGAGACGGTGCAGCCCCAGATCGCATCGGAAGCGGTCCCTATGCGCGTTCGTGGCGTGGGAAGGTTTCAGCCTAGGTGATGAGCGCTTAACAAATATTCCCGGACTGAAGTGCGGCTCGAATCCGCTCACAACCCACAGACGTGGCAGACTTCCGCTATGTGAACGATAATTAAGGTCCATAAAATCTCAAGGCCATCCTCGAGACAAGGGATGGACATCCGCGGGGCCTAAGCTGGTAAGTAGTCATGCCTAACATCACACAGCAAGTTGTCTGATGAGCTATGAGCTTTGAGCCACACTGAAATTAAATTGCGACACTTGGCTGAACGTTGTAACAAGATTGCCATCCCGTACTGAAAACCTCTGACTTCTATTCATTGCACAACGTCTCGTTTGCAATATCGAAATGCGTCTCATAGGGTCGTCTATCACCCGCCGAGCTGCTCTGCTTCCTGCACTTATGGCCATCCCATGCGACGAGCACAATTAACCCGGCTCTGGCCATTGTAATCCAGGCGGTGTGCATGTAGGAATGCGGTCGAATTACATACCAAATGGTCGATCGCAAGCGAAGTTTCATTATCGCGGGTCCATCATGATGTCCGTGGCTTTATCGTCCATTCAGGCGAAGCCTGACATTAAGGTAGACGATTGAGTAATGTCAATGCTGCTTGAGGTTAAACGGTCCCGTGTGCAGTGACTGGCGTAAATATCGTCCTCATACTCAAAGCGTCTAAAAGCTGGAAGCGCCCTCGATCTCTGAACGCTTAAGGAAATGACCATCCGCCGACTCCACAGTCCCGTTGGAAGAATGGACGTGGCTCTCTCCGAGCACGACACCATAAGCTACGGAAAAGGTCAGAGGCGGCACTGTACCGAGCAGAGTACGACAGCTTACCATTATATGCCCTTGCGCGGACGTATGTCGTTTGAGGGACGGGTATCATGGTCTCGAAGCCATCCTTCGGGGCCTGCACCGCCGGCCTGAGCACATTCGGATGCGACCCGATCAGGACTTCCCAAGTGGCGACTTCGGTCGCGCCATTCCTGTAATATAAAAGATTGGCCACGACGTCTGGCTGCACATCAGGAGCGCTTACCAGCTAGCCCACACAACCCTGGATGTGCAGATTCGTTTAGAGTGGGCTGCTTGTCAGAGGATGACAACTCACGATCCATTAAAGGCAATGTCTGGCACCGTCTGAGGGTAGCTGACCCAAGTCGTCGTCTTCAACGCGCGGTAGTTCTGCGCGCCGAGCGGCCGATACAGTCAGAACGGAAGTGCCAGTTTCGTCACGCTGTGCAAACACACCTCGATCAGCGAGCCGGTCAAATTCTGCCCTCCCAGTGCCGCGGAGTATATCAGCGTGCCGTTTTGCCTAGGTCGAAGCATCATCTCAGCTGCATGCGATTAGCGAGACTGAAGACACAGACAGGTACTCGGAGATCCTGGGAAATCAAATTATTAAATGCAGCCCTCCCTGTCGAAGGTGAAACATGACGCACCATGGGTTCGAGCCCCACCCAACCACCACGTTTCCATCAGGATCGTACTAGAGACGACAGTCTATCAACGTGAGCCGACTCCGAGAATCTGCTACGTACCCTGCAAGAGCCCTGAGAAGTGCTTGTCAATGGTTCCGAGGGGAGGAATTCTGCAATCAAGGTCGCCTCCATCGTGGTGAAATTGAGATCCAAGGCGAGCCCGCGGGCGGCTGTTCATTCACAAAGAAGAATTAAAGACTCGGGGCTTGCATTAAGAGACATCAGACGCACTAGTTTGTCCAGTGGTAGCTATAATAGGGGTCTGTCAACGGAACACAGCTAACATGCAACGAGAATTCCCTACCCTCGCCAGCATGCATGCTGATCGCGGTGTAATTTTTGATGAAACGCACGTCTTGCTGCCCGTAGAACGTGGCATTGGTCCCGAATGTGAATGAATTATTCTTCCCTCCGAGCTGCCAGATAATTTCGCCATCCGTCCCATTGATGTAGTAGACGGCTTGTGTGTGGCTGTAACAAGACGATGCATTTTGAGCCAAGGAGCTCCTGTGACCGAGATAGGATCCTAGCATACCTGGAGTCAGCGAGATAGTTGCCTTTGTCATCCTTGTCCACCGAGTTGATGCGGAAACTGTGATCAAATACAGTCAACACGAACAGCTTCGAGGGCTGGGAAAAGAGATGGTGACAAACTAATCCCAAGCGTCGTATGCAGTTGTACTATTCTCTGCAGTTGTGTATGAGGCCGAAAAGGGGACATGCTCGGTGGAACTGAGCGAAAGGGGTGACTCATCAGCAACCACCTGCCAAGCGGTACAGCACAAGACCTACTTCCACTTGAACAGCACCTCGCCGGTGGCAATGTCAATCCTATGTACGCATGGTCAGCAGAAGCGACTGAATAATTAATGGGACATACTCCTCGAAGAAGTTTGCCAGCACCCATCCATTCTCAGTGCCGCCGTATTCGGACAAATTCGCCTGCACAGGCAGGTACGCCGGAATCAGCGCAGTCGAGTTGGTCGTAATCGGGATGGTGAACTCGTGCAGGTCGCTAGTATCGTTGATCGAGGTCGTGAGTACGTGCGTCACCGCGTACGTTGAGTCCAGTATGTATGACTGAGCGATTGACAATTGTCAGCGACGGCATCAAATATGCATAGGAGTACGCCAGCGCTCGCCTTTCCGACGCCATAGCGCCCGAACGTGTTGAGCGTCCCGTTCCACACTGTGAGCACGTTCGTGCCGTTGAGCTGGAAAGTTCTCCTCAGCTGGATGATGGCGGCTTATCGTAAACGCGCACGTACCGTTTGCACATCCAGGTTGAAGCATTGACCAATTTCGGGGTCCGTCCATACGAGGTCACCCTTAGATGTATAGATCGCCGGCGCCGGCTGAGGGACGTCGGTGCTCCAAGGACAACTAAGAACGATACATGCATGCGTAAAACAGTCTCTTCAAGGGCTCAGACACGCACGTCAAATAGTAGCCGTCACGGTATTCCGCTGTTGGCTCTTTCGTGATGATTAGTTTCAACGGGGTAAGATCCGGACGCGAGTGGAACTGCTCATGAACACGTTCAGGGCATGCAGATGCCGTGCATTTACACAAATCGCGAAAGACGTACGCTTAAAAACTCCTGGCCGTGGACGAGGGCCACGCTGAATGCCAGAGAAGTTAGGAATGACGATCGCAGTAGTGACATCTTGACGAGCTGGAGACTCGGATAGCAGGATCAGAGCAATATATATCATCATTGACAGCAGCGTTCCCGTTGTGCTTCTCCCGACATGATGAAATGCACAACTTCCAAGCGGGTGACTCATCCGGCCTCCATCGGGGATCAAACATGGCCATTTAATGCGCAACACTCTTAGCGCGTTGCCGCCCCTTGAGCACGCCGCTTGCTGCATATGTGGCACGTATATGCGTCAGTATCAACGGGTCTGCACGAAGAATGCACAATGATCGCTGTAGCTGCAGTAGCTTAGCCACCGAAATGAGCGCGCCGTCCCAAGTATCAATTCAGCGCGATCCGTGACAGGTGGTAGATTCCTCCGTCCCGCATTTTCGCTCCCATAGGTTACGGACCAGTGATGCTATTGACCATTGACAGATCTTCTCCCGCTTCCCGGGAGTCATAGAAGCGTCATGCTGTCGCCATCGTCGCGTTCGAGGCGGAACAGTCTCGGAGCGGCAGACAGCGCGTAGGGATGCACCAGCTGCTGCAAGGTTGGCAGTCGGCCAAACCCCCATGGCCACCCTCCCCCAAACCGCCTATGGGGGTTTTACGTTTAGATCTTGTGCTTGAACTTGAGGCCTGAGAGAGAGGGTTCATAACATGGTGAGTTGGTACTACCTCAGTCACAGTGTAGCCACGTTTCGTATTTCAAAACTCCACAATCTTATTGGACTGGGGAGAGTCCCGTGTGAAGTTGCGCTCAAGCACGCTTGATCCTGTGGCCCTCACCATCATGCGCCTCGCAATGAATATAAGTGTTGTCAAGAGAATAGAGCGCATTGTATGGGGACCAGCTGTTGCCGCAAATGTATAGACTCGTGGGCTTTTACAATGGACTCGCGCCCCCTTGAATGACAACGGGCGACTGTGACGTGAAAATCTCACCGCTCGGGCCCAATGCTTCTTTGAACGAATATAGGGCATCATACGGAAACATTGCTTTGCATGACGAATAGCACCAATAAATAGAGTCCACATCATGGATGGCACCTCACGGCAGCACAAGGCACTTCAGTTTTCAGCTGTTCATGTTCAGCCACCGCCACTTTAGCTGGTCTGTGCGCGGGTGACACCACGTGACGATTACATAAGCTGTTGAACGGGTTCCGGCTTGCGCTGCGCCTGCGAGCGAGCCCTCCCACCAGCAGCCCAGCAGTAAGAGACAGCCTGTACTGTGCCTGCGCCTAACGCCTGCCTCCCAATTGCACTTCCTCATACCTGCCATTCCCTTGTCCCCTCTTTTCTCTGTACCAAGGTGCGTTGATAGGCGTCTTACACGTTATCCGATGTCGTTGTCGTCGTCGTACACGACGGCGGGGCGCTGAGCGGGGGTGAGGAGTACCCGGTGGCGGCGGGAAAGTCGCGTCGCGACGCGTCGATGCGCGTGCCCTTGGCGCGAGTTTGGCCCACCGTTGCACTTCGTATTTTGTGTGCGTCGTGTCAAACATGCTGCTGACGTGTCATTGGCGATGCAGATGCCTAAAGAATCCACCAGAGCTACAAAGGTACGCCTTATGCACGTTTGGGCCGCATACAATCTGTTAATGAGCGCATATATGCATGTGTTGCTACTGTAATCGTCTTCGGGATTGTGGCGATGCAGCGTAAGGCCACCGAAAAGGCCGAGAAGACCCCTAAGTCCAAGGCAAAGAAGGATCCCAATGCGCCCAAGAGGCCCTTGTCAGCGTACATGTTCTTCAGCCAGGACTGGAGAGAACGAATCAAGGCGGAGAATCCTGATGCTGGCTTCGGTGAGTAGTCGAGTATATGCGCCCGTCGCCGTCGTGTCCGATGTAGGCGGCGTGGCCGGCGTCAAGTGATGCTGTGCTAAGTATGTGCGTGTGACAGGTGAGATTGGCAAGCTACTTGGCGCGAAGTGGAAGGAACTGGACGACTCTGAGAAGAAGGTAAGCATGTGGTAGCTGTATGCAAATACATGCATTCGCTTACACATACCGCTTCAGCCGTACGTTGAGCAAGCGTTACGAGACAAGGCCAGGGCAGAACAAGAGAAAAGCGAATATGATGTTAGTCTCTTCTATTTGTGCCACGTTCTTTCGCTGACGACCACGGGTAGGGCAAGAAGAACGATAGCGCCGGCAGTGGTGACGGCGACGACGACGACGACTAATGGATTCTGAAATCCAGAAACTTGTTCACAGTACGTTTGGCCAGCACTGTGCATCGCGTCTACGGCCAGCTGCCAGATTCCGTTCCTTTCCGTCGCTTCTCTGATCTGGATCTCTCGTATACTAAAAGCTGCATTTTTGTTCCCGGCTGCGTCGTCTATGCTCTCGTCCATGTACTGTGTTTTTGTGTCTAGCCTGGCCGGCCTGGTACGGATGCCGCGTTGTTGTCCATTGATCCGCCGTGACACTTCTCGATGTCCACGCTTGCTGTATCTTGACGCCATGTACTATACTAGACGATGGTAGTAGTGTGCCTCGATTATTTATTTTGCTGTTTCATTGCCGCATGCAAGTCCGTGAGCGTCACAATGTTCAGAATTGAGCGCAATGTATCCGACACATCAGCGTCTGTAAGGCTGACGAGCGGGATGTGGCGATGGAGTCGAGCGTAACGGGGACGGCACGTGGTGGGTGACGAGGAGTGGCACCGCATGCGACGGCGCAGAATTGCCAGTGCTAGCGCTTAGTCCGCCCTCTCATCGTTACGCTCTCTATCATCTATACCCTCCCCGCGACCACGGCGCCCTCCTTGTTTTCTAGACACTCACGGCACAAGCAACACATCATGACGGACACCCCGAAAGAGAACGGCAACGACGAGGTCATCGGCGAGGTGCGTACTGCTCATTGGATGGTGCTATGCTGTCGAGGCTGACTCAAGTCCATGTTCGCTTGCTGTTCGAATCACCGCGTGTTGCGATACACAGGCCGTGCCGCCAGCGCAGAAGAGCAGCTGGGCCAGCTTCCTCAAATCGTGAGTTTGTCAGAGATTCTTATGCGCGATCACCCATCTCGGCCCTTGTGCCACGGGCTCATAAGTCAAATCTGGGATCATCCGGTTGGCGGCGTCGTCGTTGGACCTGCAGCGGTACCTCGTGGAGATACATCTCCGGTCGTTCGTCCTCAACGCAGTGCCAGCCGCATCGAATTGGTTCGAGCGGCTTCTTCCCGAGCGTGGTTGTGGTAGCCGTGGGGCAACGGGTTGGCGGCTTAGCCGTCTGTTACGCGGGATGTGCACCACTAATGTCGCAGTGAGATCGTGTCGGTGGCTCAACTGGGATGTGACGTAACTGCGCCGCCTTCTGACTGCCTGCCATGATATGACACTGGGTATCCACTGGCCAGTGCCCTGTCTATTTTGGTTTCAATATACGGGAACAGCTGCCGTTGTTACACAGCGTGGTAGACGTGCGGGGCATGTTGACTTAGTGTCGAATCGCAATCCCGGATATGGTCTCGAGGATGCAGTTGCTCGTCCTCCGCATGCATGTCAGGAATCCAAGTGCGACGTCAATACCATTATCGACATAGTCGTTTTAGTCGCTTCCTCACCCCCGATTCCCTGTTACCAAGATAACGTACTAACGGTGCTGTCATTCATCAAATAGGATTGCCTCGTTCTCTGGTGACTTGTCCTCGATGACGGCACCACCCTTCATTCTTTCCCCCATATCACTGACTGAATTCCCTGGTGAGCGTAGATTTTCGCCTCAGTTTGCGATGTATATTCTAATATGCTCATTGTGGATGATGTGCACGGCAGCATATTGGTGCGAGCGGCCAGAGCTTTTCTCTGCGATCGCAGATGCCAGGAGCGATGAGGAGCGATCGATGCTGGTTTTGAAGTGGTTCATAGTAAGTCATGTCTTGTGGATAGCAAGGCTGTGTACTCACTGAGGCATCTTCCAACCACAGAGTACCCTAAAAGGACAATATACCTCTCGTAATGAGAAGCTTGGTTCAGAGAAAAAGTAACGTCGCTTGCTACTTGTACACACATCTTGGTACGGTATTGACTAAGCCGCAGGCCATTGAACCCTGTGCTCGGAGAGTGCGTGCGATTGTGATTATTGCACTGCATCAAGAAGCTAAAGCCTTCTGTCGTATCCAGATTATTCTACGGTTATTGGCCAGACATCAACGGGCGAGGACAGACAAATCTCGTGGTAGAGCAGGTCTCTCATCATCCTCCTATCACTGCCTATTACATCGAGAATAAGGCGAAAGGGATCGCCCTCCAAGGCCACAGTGCGCAGAAGACGAGCTTCAGTGGTACGTGTGTGCGTATTCACATCAGCGCGCGGCCGCTCATGATATCCATCTATGCAGGTGGTAGCATTATCGTTAAGCAGATTGGTCATGCGATCTTGACAGTGAATCTACCCAACGGTAGGAAGGAAGAATTCCTGATCACGCTACCAAAGCTGCGGATCGATGGGCTTTGGTACGGCTCGCCATACATTGAGCTCTGCGACACGAGTTACATCCAAAGCTCGACTGGCTGGCTATCCACCGTGAGTGTTTCTCGCAGTCCTTCTCATCTTGATCGACGACGATCACACACTTGCGAAGATCGAATACAAGGGCAAAGGCTACTTTTCTGGAAAGTCGCACTCGTTCAAGGCGGTGATTTCCCGGCCGGGCTCCTCGAATGCCGCGCACACCTACGAGGGCCTATGGCATCTCACGTCGAAGGACATCAAGACAGGTGCAATCTTCACGGACGTGACGAGCCCCAAGGAAGAAGTGTCGACGTATCCGATCGAAGAGCAAGACGATTGGGAGACTCGGCGCCTCTGGCGGTGGGTCGCGAAGGGCATCCGGGAGGGCGATTTTGAGACGGCCAGTAAGGAGAAGGGCAAGATCGAGGTGAGTGCGGCGTTGTACGTACAGTACACAGGTGATAATGACTTGGGGACGGGAACCATAGAATGAACAGAGACAGAGACGGAAGGACGAGCAGGCTGCGGGCACGCAGTGGGAACTCAAGCACTTCGAGCACATTGACTCGGACCCTATCTGTGCGTAGCGCCTTTCTCCTTGGGTTCCTCCTCGTGGCTTCTCTTTGTGAGGCTTCCCTGCTCCGTGAACTGACCCCGGAACGTTGTATAGATGAGCGGCTCGGCAAGTTACTCAAGGCAAACCCGCCAACGGAGGACACGTATGTCTACAAACACAACTATCACGACCATCCTCCGCAAGCGACCGCATGAGCTATTCACCGTGAATCTTCTGATTGGTTTCCTTTGCCCGGACACTCGGGCCCCTATTGGCCTGTACTCTAGATGTGTACTGCTCTAATGAATGTTTTGGTGCATCGATGTGCTGTTGTGCGGCGCCTATGCTCCCATTCAGCTCAACGTATGCGACATCATTTTTCTCTCGACTTCCGCGTCTCCTGTGGTTTGATCCATGCTCGTCTTTGCATGTTGTGGGACACTGATGTATGATTGTCACTCCGTAAGCCTTTCCTCTTACGTCTTCGACATTCTATTCACATTCTTCTCAGAAACTGTCTCACAGATAAGGGTGTCGTTCTTCCAGCCGCTACACTGTGAATGGTCATTTTACCGTTGAAGTGAATAGTGCGAACTCTACGACATGAATGTTCCGGTCTAGAGGTGAACTTATCTCGTACCAGCACGTTCGTGCGAGGAAGATGCGTCAACAAGCTCAAAGTGACTGTGAGAGCATGTGGATGCGAACTATAAAGCCGTCAGATGCAGCGGTACCTCTCAACCTCTGTCATGGCTCAGTTACCCTCGCCTGTGGCTTCTTCCGTGCCTGTTCTCAATTCAGGATTCCCCAACTGTCATATTGACAGTAAGTCCACTCACCTTGATTCCATTAAAATAATGTTTCTCCCACAGAAACCTGACGTTAGCCTTGGTATGTGTTGGGATCATTGTGAAAATGTGCAGATACACTGTGTCGTACGAAAGCGCGAATGTCAAGATGTGGAAAGAAGAAATTGATACCCTGCTACCATTTGTGAGTCGTAACAAGCCAACTCGCGTATCGTTCACCGTTACGACTTTCACAGGCTGGACACGGTTTTAACAGCCTTCAACATTGCTTACTACACTGTGCTTCAAGGGTCGAATCAAGGTAAGGCTGTCAGGTCTCACAGGTGTGCCTAATCGCAGGCTTCATTAACGTTTCAGTTCCGGCGACTGCCGCTCTATCAAACTCGTATTTCGCGGCTGCTGAACGCATAAGTCCTGTAATCGTGAACGGGCTATGGTTCTCTGCGCTGTCTCTAACTCTCATCACGGCCTTTATTTCTATCATTGTGAGAACCTGGCTCAACTATTCTACACGATTCAGCACCTTCTTGACAACTCATGAGAGGATACATTTGTGGCACTTTTGGCGTAGAGGCCTCGCTAACCGGAAAGTGCCCGAGATAATCGGCTGGCTTCCATTCCTCTTACAGATTGCCCTCATACTCTTCCTTTGTGGACTCATCTTGTTCATCGATACACTCAGCCCACTCATCGCGTACATCATTTCGGCTATGGTGGTCTCCTTGGGATTCTTCATAGTGGCCACGGTCGCATTCACTCTCATGACGCCCGAATGTTCCTACAAATCACCACAAACCTGGTACTTCCTTGTATTCGCTACGAAATTATGGGGCGCGATCGTTGCATTGATTAGAGCCATTCGGCACATCTTTTCGTGAGTGCACATGCAGCTAGGATGGTGATGACATTTCTCATCGTAGGTGCCTTCACGTGCAGCGCTGCAAAATGCTCCTCCGAGGCGTGGCGCATGGGGTCACCCCCTTCTACTACCACCCTTATGAAATGCTACAAAAACGTCGGAAGATTTTGACGTAAGTCAGAAGCGGCACATATTCACAAAGGATCATGACTAATAAGGCTCTGTAGAATTATGCTAGAATGACCGGAAGGGCCAATATCGTACTTGCTGATTCCAGTGTCGAAACGCTGGAATAGTCCATTTTATAAACTTTCTAATGACTGGACAGCATTCGAGGAGCATTGCCTGAACGTGAATTATCAGGACGACCTCGCTCTGCTGATCGAGGTGGATGCAGCAGCGAAAGATGACACGTTCCTAGAAGACGTCATTCGACCTCGTCTTCGGGCCGCCTCTGCAGAGGAAGCATTATCCGTCCTCATCGACATACTGAAGCACAGGGCCATCAAGATCAGAGACCCGACAAAGATCAGAGACCCGACAGTGTCCTCTCTTATTGCCGAAGAAAGAGGTTTAAAGACTATCGCTCAGATAGCGCAGATCACCATGGACGCGATGTTTACAACCCTTGGTGCCCTAAACGAGAGCGAGACGAGTCAGAGCGGAGAAACACATCTAAGCGGCACCTAGAGAAGATAATGGTACAACTAGTATCTGTCAATTCCGTCATCGTTGATCAGCTTATGGCGTTCGTAGAGGCATGCACAATTTGGCCTCTGTCACTGCCGTCTTACAATGCGTTGACTGCTTCGAAAGCCTTGACGCTGGTTACCTCATATTTGGAACGACTCAACAGTCCAGGTGGGTAGGTACCACTGCTATTGATGTACCTGTCCTGACGTGCTCGTATAGATCTGGTCAAGCCGACAAAATTAAGACCGGTCACGTGGACCGTGGCAGGAGAAAAGACTATCGCTAAGTTTCTGGAGCACGTTTGGCAGGATAGCGCGAAAAATCCGAAGATTTGCGAAGCAGTGCTTGAATCGCTGTCCTCTCTGCGACAGTTCGGTTATATGCAGAGTGACATTAAGCTCGAGGGGGTTCTATGGGAATTGGAACTGCTCGTCGCTCACAAGGCGAACTTAGAGAAGATGGGAGAGCAATGGAAGTCTTCCGCTGCGGCTGTTAACCGTCTCATGGACACGGTGAAGGGGATGAGTCAGGACGATGATATTCGCAGACTCTGCACAGATATTAGAGAATCCCTCCACGGAGATGATGAAAGGCGGTTCTAGCGATACGGGGTATTTCCAGCTAGAATACAAAGTACTGCCATTGTTAAATATTCTCAGCTATATCAGTCATCCTTTCGGGTCTGTTCATTTCCGTTAGTTCCTCGCTTCGTCTGTCCAGTATGTCATAGTGACCAGGTCTGCAGGATCGTGGAACACGTTCCTTTGCGTTAGTAATCGGGTGTACCTGTTATGAGAGCAGATCGCTGACCTAAAGAGGAGAATGATCGGTTCCATGCCGGACTCATCTTGATTCTGGAACTCGACAAAGTCGACCTTGCCTTCTTCCGAGCCATGAACGTTCCTGTCAAGACTAGCGATCTTCAAGTGGACCGTAAGCGCCGACGTCAGTGCAGCAATTTGTGGGTGATCTGTAGAGTGAATATATGAGCGAGCTGCGTTGTGAGGGTAATGACTAAAGGGTGCTCGCCAGCCTCCTTGCCAACCGCTTCGACGAAATTCTCACAGAACTCGCGGAGCTCCATCGGCTCGTCGAGCTCGGGATGGAACAGAACATCGGCGTATTTCTCCGGCTCTGAGCGCATCTGTGCGGACGTAAGAAGGCGGAGGTAAACCACGATGGAGTTGGACACTAGATCAACATTCAGTTGAAGAACAATCAGCTTAGCCGCAAACATGAAATACCTTCTGGAGTGTTGAATGCCTCCAGGAGTGTGGTCTGCGTGAGCACCTTGCCGTTACTGTCCGGGGTGACGATACTGTTGATGAGAGAGACGAGTGTGTCGTAGAAGTCCTCATATACGAGTTTCTGAAACCCTGCTGCTTCAAGGAGAGGTTGTGATACTTCGAGGATCGATATTGCGCTGACCGCCGCTAGCATAGGATCGGGGGCGAGGAGAATCCGTTCGATGTACGCAAATGCTAGGGCTGATGAGCAAGCCGGTGAAAAACGTTATTAGAATGTTCGTCTGCTCCTTGTTCGACGTACATCGATAAAAGCAATCGCCTGCGGTTGAAGATTCGTTCAAAATCACTATGCACGTAGGATCGAAGTGGAATACTAACCGTCGCCTCTTGCTCTCCGGACACCAGTGTACCCATGAGCAATCAACCAGTCGATCTTCTTGACAAATATTGGGGAGCCACCTTCGTATTCGGCGCGTAAGGAGGCCATCGGTTCAAGTGCCGCGATCAAGGGCCTGTCAGTGGAGATGGTCTCATCAAGCATCTCCTACAGTCCATCATGAGCAGAAGAAATGGAGCTTCATGACTATTACAACTTGCCTGGTTCATTTCATACTGGCGAATGGGTGTGAGTGATGAGAATTCTGCAATCAGAACGCGGCATCGCAGTCAGTCTGAGTGGCGCACGGGATAAGAACGGGTGAGCACCACGTTATACAGATGCTAACCATTCTCTTCCATCACGGTGTGCGACGAAGACGGTTCATCGTCCACTGGCGGGAGGTCGGCGGTGTTGAGTTTGGCTGGTGCACTCGGTTAGCGAATCGCGGTTGTGGCGCGAAGTGCCGCCGCTACTCACGAGCTTCCGGTGACGAAGTTTCAGCTGAGGGATGATCGTTTTCACTGTGCGACATTTCTGACATGCGAAAAGCAGAGAGTAGAATCTGTTCAGTGCCGCGAGAGCTAGTATATTGGAGGTAGAGGATGTTTCCTGGATGTTCGAGTTCGACTGGGCGGATTAACGCCGGGACGCGTACATCTTATATGGTGACTAATTTCCAAATATGGCAGGTGTTGTTGATCCGCGCCTGCGTCCTCAACAGTTTCTGCATCGCCCACCCACATAGCCTTGTTGTGCAGAGAGATGTTCCAAACACATCCTTTTCGCTCTGTTTGCTTTGTGAAACCCTTTCAATCTACACTAAGGATCTGGAGCATGGAATGGCGCAAACGTCATTCCACACAGGAGATAGTCATTCTCTCGAGAGGCTGGTGCGTCTGCCAATGGCTTGCAGGGAATTAATCATTATGAATTCTATAAATACAGATGGAAGTCAACGGAATAGTAAAGACATGAACCGTAGATGACCTTGGAAATGCTGCTGTGCATCCAAGACCTGTCCATTGTAGTTGCGAAGAAAACAGTCACGATCAAGATGTATCGATGGCTTCTCTAGCCAGCCTCCAGCCAGTATGCGCTATTCTCATCTCGTTCTCGTTCTACGTCTCCTTCTCACACGTCAGTTCTACTGGAACTCAGTCGATAACTCGTTTTCGCCATGCATTGCCCCGCATGCTACGCCAAGCATCCCTCTAACGACACGACGGTTCACCCGTTCCTCCGCAGAAAGCCTACTAGAAAGGTAGAGAATGATATCACGGAAGCCGTTCACATTGTCAACAACCGGCCAAAGGTAGACACAATCGTTCCTTAGCTCCAATGCGTAACGATCGTCACTGACAGACTCTGAAATCGTAGCACGCTCTCGAGAATGATCAGACAATCATGTCACCGCACTCTGCTGCTTCTATGGTCAACCACATACCGGCGGGCTCTCCGTCTCCCAAGTCCCACTCTAGACAACGCTCGGGGCCCGTACCCGCACCCACGGCAGCAGCGTCCCTGGTCAATGCTCACGTCACTATCACTCCCGTAGCTGTCAAGAGGCAGATGAAGCCATCTGCGTTCAGCACCTTCCCCACGCCCCTTGCATCGCCCCGTCCGTTCTATCCGCCCGGCTTTGGCGCTAGGCGTGGCACCTCAGTAGCTACACCCAGTCGGCTCCCCATGCGCAATAGCCCGCCTCGAACTGAGGTCAGCATACTGACAAAAGAAAGGATGATAAAGACGTCGAAGCATAATAATGCAGGGATCAAGCTTACAGCTAAGATCGAGCCCAATGACATTCCTCCCGTTACGAAGGCTGTCAGTCGCGTCCCTGTTCTCGTCCACACATCTGTCGTCAGCTCTCCCCCGAACACTGTCCGAAGGATGATTGATACGAAACGAAGCACGAACGTCACCCCTGTGCGTAGTCGAGGCGGAGATATGAAGATTAGCAACGTGGAGGTCCTGAAGAACAAAGGCAACATCTCAGTATCTCAGAGAGCGGCGGGGGTCACCAAGCATGGCAAGCGAGATGCACAGATTAAAGAGAAGCCCGAGCGTGTCGCGATATTCCAGGCTTGTCCCAAGATTAGCCGCGACATCAAGGCCGCCGTTGATCTTGTCGTTACCGGGTCGAAGATTACCGGGAAAAATATCAGTGGTACGGCACGTGGGAAGAAGGAGAATGAATTGAAAGAGAGGGAGGGAGATAGGAAGAAGGCGACAGCGCACCGCATACCCGAAGGAGAGAAGGCATATCGAGCCCGAAACATTCGTGGAGGAGTACCGACTGTTGAAAGCCTCTCATATGATGGGAAGAAGAAGAAGCAAGCTCTCGCGTGTGTTAATGATATCAAGAAGTATGAATCCCCCTCTTCCTCTCGCGTTCATCATTTCGCAAAAACTGACACATATGCGATAGGATTAAGACGAAGTATGCTCAAAGCGTCCGCGGCAGCTCACCAACCACTGGCATGGCCAACTCTCCCTCGCCTAAGAATGGCTTCATGTCTGCACCTCATAGCAATCGAGAACTAGAATCAGACGCTACCACTTGCCGTGAAATGAAGTCGCTATGCCGTGTAAACCTCGGGGTTGAGGATCCGATCAACATCGTAGATAGTGGTGGTAATGAGCGCAGAAAGACGTGTGTACTCTTGCTATTCAGGGATAGTCTGTCTTCCTCACTCGCTTGTGCTTTTCCCGTAGCGCAAGTCCCTGCGGAGAGTCGCCCAAGCGTACTGCAGATACCACCGGGGACACCACTTCGGTTGCAAGCCTCCTCGATGAGACTGTGGTTTGCACACCTCACCACTCAGGGAAGTCGTGTGTCGAGGAAGACGGCACCGAGGATGCAAGCGCTACCCCCTCGGCAGCAAACATCTTTAACGACCCCACGGCTGTCAGCCCCAGCACTGGCCAAGATATGTGAGCCGATATTCTACATCTGGTTCCAAATGTTCGCAACTCGTAAACTCAACAGTATTTATAGATCCAAACTACAATGTCCGGTTGAACTCGGAGACATCCGCTTCCCCGTCGCAGTCAAGCAGGCACTGGTTCAGGCCCCTGCCTTTGCCCCCTCGAAGGGCATTCGTCAGATTGTCGGCACCATCCTCGCGTTCGTCGCTGCCGACGTCACAAAAGATTACGCGTCAACCCAGTCGGCCGTGCCCGCCGCTTGCGTTCTTGTTCCTGTCTTACCGGTGGACAAGCACGGTAGACCCTGCGTCACCAAGGAGGTCCGCGAGGATCTCCGCAGAATCTTTGATGTGGAGACTCAGCGCGTGCAACACACCCAGGCTGCCTTGGACAAGCTCGCGCAGTTCCTGGATTCTGACGAAACCACTGAGGAGAGCGTCGGCGTCAAGAGACTCAGTGGGTGCGACGCGTTCCTGGAGAAGAGTAAAGAGCTCCACAGCTACCTCGACGGTGTGGTGTCTATCGCTGAGAGGCTCTCTCCGGCTACTGTTCCCGGCCCTTCTTTGCCCATTCAGTGGTCCGAAGCTCCAAAGAAGAAGGTTAAGAGGACAACCGAAGGCCTCATCGAACAGGCAGAAAGCCCCTCTTGCAGACTAGCGTGTGAACTGGCGGAGCAGGCCAAGTTGCGCGCAAAGGCTCTGGAGCGCCAGTTCAAGATGACAGGCGAGGAAGAAAACGACCATTGCGCGGCCACGCTATCGCGGGCACCAATAGGTGGTCAAGCTTCTCCGAGTCCTGCTCTAGAGAAGGTACAGCTTCGCCTCAGCCCTGGACCTTCCACGCCCACACCTGGCACGCAGGGGAAGTTCACCATTCCCACACTCAGGCGCACACCTGGTCCGCGAGGACCAGCACCGTCAGCAGACGATGCGGATGAACAGGATGTGAACCCGATGAAACGTCGCTACCTCGAGTGGTCGGCAAGGAAGCTGTACGAACGGCAGATTGCATCCGGAACACCGACTAGGACCGTGTCTGCGGCCGCTGCCTCTAGTGCGGAGGGAGAATTGCCGCGTTTGTCGATCGCTCGCCATGCATGTAGCCGGTTCAGCTTGCCGCCGCTACGACCTGTAGCCCTTGAAGCTTCGTACGTCAGTGCGTAGGTCGAAGAACATGCAGATGCGTGTGGCGACGATGTTGGGTGATGTTGACGAGGGACTCGACTCAGTCAGCTGGATGGATGATGGGCTGATGGTCGTTTTAGGAGAGTTTTTCTTGGATTTGTTAAATTGCGGTCTTTTATTGTGTTTCATGGGAATTTTGTCGACGTCTATCACTAACTGCAATGGTCGGATTCTTCGCACTGGTTGGCCTTGAGACAGCTCATTGAAGATGTCACGCATGTTATCGGGTGAGTTATGACACCTCTAATGCTGTCTTTTGGATTTACTTACGTTTCGAGCAGGTGCCCAGACGCCCATCAGGTACGCGACATGATGGGGTACCTCATCGTTTGAGCCCGCATGCGAGGACATCTTCAAGAGTAAGCTGCTGCACTACCTCTACTATCTAGTCCCGTGCTCATCATTTATGTTGCTCCTTCAGGCTCATTTTCAGGCAGTGGTGAAGTAGCGGACAATGATTTGCGGCTTGCTGATCATACGTCCGCGCGGGGAGTGGTGTACTGCGAACACCGCCCGTTGTACTTCGTGTCTCCTTTGTCATCTATTTCTCATTATCGCGCATACTATGTTAGTTAACTTTATCAACTTGCACGACATCATCAGTCATCGTGGCGCTCACGATATTCTTTCAAGTGGTCACTGGGCGGCGGGGAGCAAGAACGCGATATATCAGCTTCGACAGGAGTGCGGTCACCTCTGAGCAGCTCGAACGAAAATATTGTTTTAGGAAGACCCACAACGTGCAATTGCATATTCATTAGAGCCGACAAACTGTTAGTAGAACATACCGACCAAACTGATTCCGCATACAACTGTACTTATGAAGGCAAGCAGCTGAACGGCAACGCCGTAAGCGCCGCATACACCTCCGCCTGCGTCGCCGCGTCAACATCCGTCTTGTTGGTGATGCTAAGCACCGTGACGCTCGAGTAGCAGCCGGACGTCGCGACCACGTCGCTCTCCGCAGGGAGCGTAGTACTTCCGCACGTTTCATAATCCGTCGCGTCATCGCTCGCCAGGTTGCGCGAAAAGACCCACTTGTAGTCCGTCGCGTCCGCGCAGTCATCGATGCTTGGGTAGTTCACCGAGACGATGACGTCTGCGGGGAGGAGCGAGGATCCGGAAGTGCCGCTGGCGAGGATGGTTTGCGTGTAGTAGACGGTGAGGGCGGCGTAGATCCATGAGGACTCGGAGGAGGAGGCAGTGGGATCGGATTCGAGAGTCGTGTAGGAGACTTGGGCGCCGGTGTCGCCGGAGAACGCGGTGGCGGGTATACCCAACTTTGAGGCTTCGCATGCTGCGCCGCTGTTCGCGCGTTGCGTTAGAATCGTAATCACAAAAGTGGCAGGGACAGAACGTACACCGTTCCTGACTCTAGGACTACTGTTCCCAGGTTGTCTGTACAAAATGACGGTTTCTTTCAGACACACCGGTGACGAGATTGGGAGAGAATCGAGACTCACTGCCGATGTTCGGACCGCTGACGACGAAGTCTGGACCCGCGCCATCGAAAAACTGAGGTGCGAGAGTCTGGATGCCGTAGCTTACAGCGTCGACACTAGTTTTACGCAAATCAGGTGAGGTCAAATGCCATCAGAGAAATCCAGACATACGGGTACGAGTTCACATAGTTCAGACGAGCTATAATACGGCATGTTCAGCATACTACACAAGGAAACGTCAAGTACTGCGAGACTACGTACGATCACTCGCATTGTAGCCTTCCGCAGGAGAACCGACCGGACACGTATCGTACTCGCAGGGCTCGGTCAGGACAGTCGGCGTCGCAGAATCCGAGCCTGTCCCCGACTCGTTCTCAGCAGGAGCGGACAGAACGACCTTGATGATATCAAGGCGATTGTCAGGCACAGCGACAATGTAAGTATGGCACGAGAACTCAGAAAGCTCACGTCAAAGCCTGCGTCTGTCAGATCGGTGTACTGGGCGCGGATCTGAGCATCAGCCCATCCGTCATCGTTCGTCAAGACGATGTTCTGGGCATGCGCGATGAAGGCGCTTGAGAGAGCGATGGCAATGAGTGACGCAGAGATACGCATGCTGGGAGCTGGGAAGGGCTGAGGGTGGTATTGACTCGCGCAGTCGGGTGAGCGACGAGACTGCGCTCTCATGCGAACAGAAGCTAAATTTATATGCCAGATCAGAGGACGCACGTTCGTCGGGGCGTCAGAGAGTCGCTGTTCTGCGCATGCGGTAATGTGAGGGTGCGTGCCTGACAGGATGGCTTTCATGGACGAGAAGCGAGACGTGCCCACGGCGAAGGGGTATTCTCGAAGTGAGTAGCTGCAATATCTGTACAACCGAGCCTCAAAGTGACCGGCTGCAATTGCTCGTTTGTCGATCTCTGCCAATCAGGCTCGTGTACACGCACGTACGCAGTATCGTCTCGCGAACAGCAGCCGCCCATCGTGACTTTCTCCTCTTTGCCGACCGTCTTTGTCGCGCATATATTATGGCACTGGCAATTCATTCAACACGTGCATTTGAAGCTGAAAGTGAAGCATCCCGGCTGAGACGACTTCTCTAAGCGCATTTTTGGCAAAAGCTAGACAGAAATACATCGTATGAGCAGCACATCAGCAGAAGAGATCCTACAAGGAACGGCTCAGGTGTACGCACGTTCGACTGTGCAAGCAGATCCATCTGGGAAGCGGTTCCGTGTCTCGCATGAAGGAAATGACGATTGACTAATATGCTCTATTGCGAAGCAACAGTTTAAGTAGCGAGAAGTGAGACGCACTTTCTTCGTGGGCTGGGACCTCGTTGTTGCATGAGCTTGACGCGCAGCAATTCGGCACGAAGAACCGCGTCCATAAGAGGGGAGTCATCGTATGAGCATTGCACTGCATTTTCGCTGAAAAAGTCGCGGTGCTTGCTGAAAATCGCTGTTAGTGACGGTGCGTAGCCCATCCCTTTCGTCCTGTGCAGAGCAGCGTTCGCGGGTGACTGATGTTTCTGAGAAAGCATACATGTGAATGTAGAGACGCGCTCTTCGTCGAAGCTGAAGCATGGTTGTATTCAGTGATATAGAAAGTTGCGTGTGCGATAGTCAACAAGAAGATTGTATCGGTTTTAAGATATCAATGGGGTAAGGAGCCAAGGCCTTGAATGGACAGCGTTTCACCTGGCGTTGAAACACCTACACATAGGGTTTCGCATGAGGTCCGGTCAAGCAAATCATCGCGCTTCTTTGCTGACGCAGTTAGAACAATCGTCGTGAAGAGCGCGGCCAGTGGCGCTGCGACGATCCACATTGCCCAGGGTCGCGGGTACCGCGGAAACGACGAGCAAGTTACTCGTGACCTCTCGCTTATTTTCTGCTACGCCTGCTTTTGTGGACTGCGCCGACAGACGAACAGGCCAGCGAAGAAACGAAAGGCGGATCGATGAGACGAGTAAAAGATTTCTGTTGCCGTGACGATTAGCGGTATTGATTACGTTAGCAGCATACACTTCGGGTGTACCCGAGGCCTCCAGATTAGGGAGGTACTGCAGCGCCTTGTTAAACGGGCTTGTCGCTGCTGTCCACGACGACCACGACCTTTCGACAGCGTCGCTCTGCCTCTTCGCTGCTCTGAGCTTTTGGCGAACGGGGAGCGACATACGATCGCTTGGCTAAATAGTAGCTCACGTTCTCTTACGATAATTCGACTCCGCCGCGTCAACTCCTTAGTCGGGAACCGTGTTTCCGGTGTGATTGAGTATGGCCTTCAACCAAGTTACTGCGACATCCCTGACCCCTTCACGGCCTGCCCCGGCAGCACCCATGCAGCGCGGACCTGTCGCCCACGCCTTGTCCTCTTCCGGTTACGTGTCTTCCTTCTCCGTTGGCACATCCTCACCCTCAGGCTCGTCATATGCTTCCTCCTACTCCGGCATCGGTGGATCGCCAAATCGGGGCTCAGACATGTCTTCAAACTCTCGTGTTGTACGAAGTGGGGCCGTTGCTGTGAAGGAGGATGGCCTGGTCAGTTGGTTGTGGAGGCCGAAATGGCTGGTGTTGAAGGAGCAGACGCTCTCGATACACAAGAGCGAGGTGAGCGATCAGTTCTCAGGCAGGCATCGTAGAGCTGGCCATCATGTTCATTTGATATATGAACCGCACTGCACGTCCCTCTGCTGGGTCGTTCGTGGGTCAATCGTGGAAGGCCGTGTCTTCCGTCTCCATGACAGCTTCACAGGCTGCCCGGAGGCTAGATGTACATCTCATTGTCAAACAGCGTCTATCTTGATGAAGAAAGACGTGGAGGCATAGAGTACTCTTTACGCAACACTATAGCCGCCATGTCTCCATTTCTTCGCGGCTTCCGAGCAGGTCCTGTCAAAGTCTGCCATCATGATTTGACAGGCTGCAGGCATGCACCGAATCCGTTTACGTATCCTGCTCTTTGATTGCTCGTCTCACCTCTGACATATCGCGCCTAACCCATGGATGCAGTCCTCCCACCAATACCAAAGTCTCATCAACCTGGCTGATATCGCAAACGTCGAGCGGACAGATCTCAAGCCATATTGTCTACTCCTAGAGACGAAGGACAAGCGTATGTACTTTTCTCTCAAAAGTGATGAGGAATTGTATGGCTGGCAAGACGACATTTACTCTCGGAGCCCTCTGATGGGCGTCAGCGGCCCGACAAACTTTGTGCACAAGGTGCATGTCGGCTTTGATCCCGTTTCGGGCGCATTTACTGGCTTGCCAGACGCATGGAGCAAGCTGCTCACAAAGTCGGCCATTACACGAGAAGACTATGCGAAGGATCCCCAGGCCGTGCTCGACGTGCTCGAGTTCTATACCGACCACCAGAAGCGCGAAATGGAGGAAATGGGCATGGGCCACTCGCCTCCACGAAATAACGGAGGTACGGGCCTCCCCACTCTCGCCTCAAGTCCACCTAGTCCCTCAATCTCGCTTTCATCCTACCCCTACACAGACTCCTCCAGCGCACCGCGGTTCAACGCAGGGACAGGCCTCGGCGGTTCGGGTATGAAGCTCTCCCCTCTCGATTCACGCCCGCAGATGATGCGGCAGGATTCGTCGCAGGGCGGCTTCACCGGAAACGGCGGTGCGGACAACCTCTCATCAAGTGCCGCCCTCGCGCGTGCTGCGGAGCTCGTGAATGGCGCCGCCGTCCAACATGCGAACACAATCTCTGCCGCACAGACGAACGGGGCGATGCGCCCCGGCGTTCCTCCTATCGCTCCCGGTTCGGCGGCGCTGCAAGCATCAAGGCCTGCGCCAGCACGCCCGCTGCTAACTACGCACCGCCCTGCCCCACCAGCGCCGCACGGTAACGCACCCAAGCCGACTTTGCCTGACCACACGCCCACCTCCGCTGACCTTCGCGCGCGCGCGAAGGCACAAGGCCCGCCGAGCGAGACGCAGACTTCGAAGCCATCAGGGTTGAATGGCGAGGCGCGCGATGACGGCGAGAAGCGACCCAATATGGCACCTTCGAAGTCGTCTCCGGCGACCAGCTTGCCCATCTCGCAGCCCGCGAGCGGTGCGGCGGGAAGCACTGTCGGTCCGCCGCCGGTGAAGCCGTTGCAGCCGAAGAAGGCTAACGTGCCCAAGGACCGGGAGCGAGAGAGGGAGAGGGAGAAGGAGGGGCCGACGGTGGCGGTGACGATGCCGGATGATGAGCGGGAGCGGAGGGCGGAGAGGGAGCGAGAGCGGACGGAGAGAGAGAAGGAGAAGGGCGGCGTCGCTGCGGCGGCAGCTACGCTCGAGAAGCCGAAGGAGAAGGAGAAGCGGATCAGCACAATGAACGAGGTACAGATCATGGAGAAGCTGCGCAGTGTTGTCAGCGATGACGACCCGAAGACGTTGTACAGCAAGATCCGGAAGGTCGGGCAAGGGTGAGTGATTCTCTGAACGTTCTATTGGAATGGGATCGAATACCGATCACTGCTTGAATAGTGCGTCTGGCCACGTCTACGTTGCGAAGACGCTCGCTACCGGTAAGAAGATCGCGATCAAGGAGATGGATCTGTCGAACCAGCCACGAAAGGAATTGATCGTGAACGAGATCTTGGTGATGAAGGAGTCGCAGCACCCGAACATTGTCAATTTCCTCGAAGCGTATCTTGTCAAGAGCAATGAGCTTTGGGTCGTTATGGAGTACATGGAGGGTGGTGCGCTAACGGATATCATTGAGAACAATACGCTCGAAGAGGATCAGATCTCGAGTATCTGTTTGGAGGTATGTGTACCGATAATCTTCCCATGAGAGTCAGCGACTGATGAGCATCATAGACGTGCAAGGGTCTGGGCCATCTGCACAGCCAGCATATTATTCACCGTGATATCAAATCTGACAACGTTCTCTTGGATGCTCAGGGGCACGTCAAGATCAGTATGTACATCTACTTTCAATCGCAATCATACGCTGACCATCATCTCAGCTGACTTTGGCTTCTGTGCGAAGCTGACGGACCAGAAGTCCAAGCGAGCAACGATGGTCGGCACGCCGTACTGGATGGCACCCGAGGTTGTCAAACAGAAGGAGTACGGTGCCAAAGTTGACATCTGGTCGCTCGGTATCATGGCCATCGAAATGATCGAAAGCGAGCCGCCATACCTTGATGAAGAGCCGCTGAAGGCACTGTATCTGATTGCGACGAATGGCACGCCGACGTTGAAAAAGCCCGAGGCCGTCAGCCGGGAGCTGAAAAGCTTCTTGAGCGTGTGCTTGTGTGTGGACGTCAAGAGTCGCGCAACTGCCGATGAGCTCCTAGAGGTGAGAGAGCTTCCTTATTCATGTGTGTTACGTGCTGACGACGGTCTCCGCGACAGCACGAGTTCCTGAAGAAAGCGTGTGCGCTGTCGGGCTTGGCGCCCCTGTTGCGGTTCAGGAACAAGCAGGCATCGTGATTTGCATGTTTTTACGACTGTGCTGGACTCGCGCGAGCTCGTGGGTCCGGATACGAATTCTTTTGCTCGTCGTCCGTTCCATCCCTTGAAGATGTCTTTGATGTCTCTCACGTGCTGTACGTTACCCTCTCTCTCCTGATTCATATCTGGTTCTACCTACCATCTATATTCACCGACTTTGGCTCCCCCTCCCTTTATCACTCCGATCCCCGATTACGATTGGAAAAGCCGTAGTGTACTCATTTTGTCTGCTAGACGAATTATTTCGGATGCTGCATTCGTGTCGCACGCATACCTAGTGCATACGCGTGTGTGTAGCTTATGTACGAACTGGGAACACGGTGGCTTTACACTGAATATATACGAGGGACATGAACACATGCACACAGCGGCGAAGGACGACATTCGAGCATACAATGGCATGAATCCTATGGTAAGTCATACAAACATACAGACATATGATGAACCATTCTCTCAAGCGGGAAGGGTGTAGTGTCAGGGCATAAGTATTCTAACGATCATGGAGCAATCAGCTACAACGTCATATAATCAGAACTTGCCGGTGGCCAGGACGCGGTAGAGTGCGTTGGCCTCCTCGAATCGTGAGTTGCGCAGAGTGAAATGCATAATCTCGGCGGAGTCGATGTCAGATGCAGGATCGACAATGGAGAACTTGATGAGGGAGTTGTAGAACCGACACAGCTGCGGGCATGCGGTGAGCTGATAATAGACCAATTTCAAATGTCTACACACGTTCTGCACGCCCTTCGCGAAGCGATCATCGCTGATGCTGCCTTCACGTTCTTGTTCTTCGGCCCTGTCCAGCCAAGCGATGCATTCGTGGATGAACCAGCCGAGCACCTCAGTCCTAACGAGATCCGCTATGGTCGTCTTCCCGCCAGTGGTCGAGTCCATGACCGGGGTCGGATCGCGCAGCAGGCGTCCCACTAGATCGAACGAGGGCAGTGATGGTGGTAGGTGCCTCAGGACATCCAAATATAGCATGAGGTCATTGTCATTCACGGCAGCAGACGAAAGCAGCGCGGAGAGCAGCGGATGCACTAGCGTCGGGTTGTACGCGATGAGTTGAGGGAGATCGACTGACGTGAGGACCGGTGGTGACGTAAGTTGCGGGAGGGCAGGCAGCAGCGTCTGCAGCGGACAGACACGTTGGTGAGACAAGTGGCAGGATGCGATGAACGTACCCGTTGCTCCGAAAGTGTCAGCACCCGCTCACGAGCAGCGAGGAGCAGAGTCATCGCCTCAGAGAGTCGCTGGGTCTCCTCATCGCTTTCTGGTGCGACTGGTGATGCGCCCGTCTTATTCCTGCGCCATGAGTCAACTAGCGATTCTATAGATACGACAGAGCAGCGTACGCCTCTTCTGTGAAACGCCCCAGATATGGCTCCTCATCTTCCAAGAGGAGGTTAGCCGCACGAAGTTTGGGCGGCAGCGGTCCACGCGCGAGAGTCATCGGGGTGAATATCCCAATCTGTGTGACGGTGAACCTGCCGCAAGGCGATGGGAGTACGCAATGGACGTACATCGTCGCCGTCGCCTTTCAGAATCTTCCATAGAACCCAAACGAGCTGCTCGCCCTCACCGGATCCCCCTTCGCGTGCCAGTTGCATCGCATCCTCTCGTTCTTTGATGAACGTAGCGAGTAGCGCAGACCGGAATGGATTGATTGCAATGGAATATGGCGCATATAGTGCATAGAGAAGGTACGAGACGAGGATCCGTTGTGCGGGCTGCAGGGCAGGTCAACGAGACTCTCTGCAAGTGATAGCGACGCACTGACATCAGTCGACGAATCAAGCAACGGAAGGAGCACGTCCAGCGCGACCTGAAAGCGCGATGATATCGGAACAAGCTGTGTGAACGCTTGCATAGCCGTCGAGCACGGCAGAGAATATGCCCTCGCAAGCAGCTGATGAACCGAAGCCCGGGCAGATTCGACTGAGGGCTGCTTCATCGCGAGAGGAGGTGCATAGACATTGGCAGTTTGCATCATCGGGCCTCTATCATGGAGTCGGTGGACCGAGAAATGGCGGTCGTCGTCGTCGCTCCTAACGAGCGTGGTGAGGTCTGAGAGCAAGACTTCAACTGGCGCTGTTATATGTTACATGTAATGTCACGTTTATCAACGATTCACTAATGATTGATTCAATTGATCTGATATTGATATGTACCGTCATAGATCGTCTATCGCGTGCAACCTCAAGGACAATGCATGTATCATGCTAGAGGAAGACTGGGAGTTGAGTCAGCTCTGGAATTTCTTGCATTCACAGCATTTACGGCATGAGGATCATACAGCGCCTCTGGCTATGCCTGAATCTTGCAGCCACCTTCACCGTGACCGCATAAGAAAGCCCATCAAGAACGACCTCTGAGAAGAAGTGCCGTTCAATCTCTCGTAGGATATACTGTACTGAAGGTCTTCTCCATCAACCGAGCTGATCCTACTCACAAGCCATTTTTGAATATCAAACCGTCCCGGATAAGGACCAGACAGAAATGCCCCAGTCAAGTATCCATAGACGATATTCGTGGAGCAACTCGCGAGGGACAAGATCGAAGTAATTACCAACCAAGGCACGGATCTGTCAAACGGTCCGGCTGAAGTGGGTGCTTTTCGCATGCGCTGGGCAACGGAAGACTTCCTGATCAGATCCCGAAGCGATCCAAATATTCATTCAGTGCAGAGCAGCCCCTCGCACTATTGAGTTCTCCCCGATTAATCCAGTTCGAGGCTTCCCATTTGCTGACCTGAAACGAAGCTGCTCGAGTTAATCCTCAGAGTTCAAAAAACTATGAGTTCTTCATAAAGGCTGGCCAACACTTGTCCAGTTTTTGACCAGAGACAGGCTCCATGACGAGATAATGTGAGTTGGGTGGTTGCGCATGATCGTCCGGCGGCGAGTTGAGATGAAAATGAAAGTGGTAGTCCTGACAAGGTGAACGGTGTCAAATTCGGACCGGCGTGGATATGGATGTTTGATACCTGTACCCCGGCCGACAAGACGAACGAGAAAATCGACTAGAATCCTTTGAATGGTCATTCGATGCTTACAGTGCTGAAAGATTGAATAACGGAGAGACGTTGCGATTCCACCGCGCCATCCAGCGGGGCCGATGAAAGCCCATTCAAGGGCGGACATAATGCATCCATTCTGCTGCAAGGTTTTGCCAACGTACACGAAGCATGGCTGCCCCTAAATGAACTATGGTGGTAAAACATGAATCTCTCACATCCAGTCAAACCTCATCACACGGAAACAACGTATTGAATGCTCTCCTCTCTATGTCTTGATTTTGTCGTTCACTAATGAGCTAGCCGGTTATCCATTCCATATCGCGGGTTGAGTACCCAGATATGTCGTTATGCGGATTTATGAGATGTATCGAATGGTGAAATTGTGCGTGGGGTTGACCAGGAGCGCAAAGAGGCGTCAGAGCCGATTTGTTTCACCGTTGCTCTTTCCGCAGTATGGCACGGTCTGCTCTCGAATAGGACGGATAGAGCGAATCGATATGGAAATAGAGGACTACCGAAGTGGAAGAATAACACAGGCCCGCCTCTACCGGTTCTTTGTATGCCTTGTTGCCGAGAAACGCACTTCAGATGAATTTCAAACACGAACACGGACACATACGCACCTATACGTGAACCGCTTCTTCGTCGCCGAGAACTCTCCCAGTTTATGTCCCACCATGTCCTGCGTGACGTTCACCGGTATATAGTCCTTTCCATTGTGCACCAGAAACCTAAGTCTGAAATAGCAGAAAAGCGGTAAATACAATCCCAAATGCTAGGATCAAGGTCGTACCCGACAAAATTGGGGAGGATGGTGCACGCCCGGGCTTGTGTTTTGATCGCGACATTGTTTTCCATTGCTTCACGTATATTAGGAAAGGCCACGAAGAACGGACCTGTTCATATGTTCGGTGAGCAGCACAGCACTTGAGACACAACTACATACCTTTCCATGCTGAACGCCCAGATAGTGCGACTGCCGTAGGAAACATCGTCTAAGGACCAAAGAACTTCAGCCACCGTTGATGAGACCAGTTTAAGGGTGGGGATCACGTGACCCTACGTTAACGCGTCGCGACGCGCGCGCTCTCGCCCCCTCCCCGTCCACCCTTGAATTCTCACATGTAGCACGCAGTCCGGCGGGTGAACTTTGCAATGACCACCCGAGGGCACTTGGCCTCTTCATCTTGCGCCTTTGGTTCAGGTTCCCACTTCTGCGTGTGCTAACGTCTCCGGCGACGCCGCCCGGGGGTTGCTTGGTTCGACAAAGACTCCCCACAAGCCAGTGAGGTTAAGACAGGATAGCTCTCCAATCTTCTTGTCTAGGCGAATGGAACACCATTAACGTATGAAGGTTGTGGCGATCGTGTGCCGTTTTATTCGAACTCGCGAATTTATGTGCCAATATTAGCAACTTTGGAGTCTGTCGACATGCCTCTTGTGCACCACTGCGGTACGTCGTATTGAAACAGTGAAGCTGAGCTGCATAAATACGAAATCTTTACGTCAGTCTGGCCACCACTTCGAAACTGTGACACTCGATCGCTCTACAACTATATCTATCCTCATGTCCCACGGCAGCAGCACTCCATGATATGCTCTGCATCGGCCGCCACGCAAAGGTACTTCTCAACTGCTGTAACAGCGAGACGAGCGGGCAGTATTACTCTGTGAAGAGTATCGCCCTTGTGACAATACGAGTCTTCTGCCTTTACACTCTCAGATCGTTGATGGCTCATTCTCATTCGATTCAACCAGATCATGAACGATCATGCATCATGCATCACATCCGGCGATTCGCTGCTCGTTCTTGATGAGCATCGCCACAGCATTATCCGCCCAGGCGGTGTCCTTCCCCACGCGCGTGGATACTAACCTATAGGCATCAACCTACAAAACCGATGTTTCTCATAGCGGAGGCCGCTCATGAATGATCTTCACACTGCTGTGGAGACGGGTACCCGCATGCCGATGTAACTGTCAAACGAAGCGCTCTTGCAATCATATTCACGCACTGCCGTCGATGGCCCGTCATGCATGGCGCGGTCGTAATAGAGTTTCAATATCATATGAATCGCTTACGTCGCACGGAGTGCCTGCTGCATCTACCGGCTTGTCACTAATGGTGTCCCCCATCAATCAGAGAGATGGAACTATGTGTTTCACAGCAATCCATCTTCTTCCATGTGTCAGCTGCCCTGATGCCTTCCAGGTCCTGCCGGGGCCTGCATCGCAATATAAGGATTCTACTCGATCAGAGTCATCCCAGTCGCGCGCTCCTCCTAGCTCCACGATGTCAAGCTTCCAATTTCCATCTTACGAGTGAGTCTGAGGCTAGAACCGCATTGCACTGATCAATGCTGACAGTTACCGAGTCTGGGTCCATTGGTGGGTTCAATCTTGAGAAGACACGAAGGCAGAATGACAATAAGCTACTCTTGCCACAGGTATTAGGATTGGCATTCAATTGGGGGCTACAAAGTGTGTTAACTGTTCAGACTTGTAAGCCATCTGCATAAGAACAGATGTGATGATAGACTGAAGCTGCCCGAGACATTTACTACCTCTGCTTCCCGCACGATCACTGGACTCAGAAGTGTCTAGGTGAGCCTTGTAGTCATGACAGCTGGGCTTTCTAGCTGATCTGTCTGTCTTCAAGTATACGTGCTGTGCATCTATGAGTGGGTACAGACAGGATTGATCACAGCATTCATATATCGTCTGCTACTCGGGATAACTGCAACGCAGTCCATATTGTCAGTGTATGATGATTTGGAACTCTTCTCCGGCAACGCGTGGGTCACCATCTATATTATGGGTGCAGTCCAATCGGCTGCAGTACAGATCTACTTTTCCCGCCGCATATACATCCTCTCGCGCTCGTACATCATTCCATGTTTTACCATTTTCGTACGTGTTCTCGTTCATTGTGAGCATGCACATCTGACGTCGATCATCTCAAATCTTCGCCGTATATTTAGGTAGCATTGGCTCAGCTGAGCGCTGGGCTTGTAGGCGGCGTTCAGAGATTGAAGGTGCTCTTATGATGACTTCGCTCGTCGACTCTTCTGATTGACACTAAATAGACAGATAAAGATTTCGTACGGGACGATTACGATGCAAACTTCCATTACAGAGTCCTCAATATGGACGTGGCCACATGTGTGAGGCGCTCTAGAATCCAGATCGACGTTACGTGGGATGCTGATTTGTATGGCAGGTTTGGCTCGCTGCAAGCACTATATGCGATGTGACTATCGCCGTATCGCTCGTAGTTTTGGTCAGTTCTGTGTATCCTGATGATGCATCCTCTTACGTCTACAAAACAGTTATTCAGGCTCAAGAATGGTCTGAGATGGACTAACATCATCATAAACCGCTTAATAAATCTGGTCATCGAGACAGGCTCATTGACTGGTACGTGTGCCGTATCACCGCCCCAATTTCAACAGAAACTCATAATCGTCGGTAGCGGTCACAGCAGTTGTCACTTTTGGTCTCTTCGTGGGAGTGCCTGTACGTTCGGCATCTGTTAACCCCTGTGAGATGCTTTGTTCATGACCCATGCAGAATACAGAGTTAGCCATTTGCCCGTACGTTAATGGTGGATTTGCTCAGAATCACATTACTGACGGATCTCTCAGACTCCTTATCCTGTCAAAACTGTACTAGCATCAGCCTCGTATCTTTCGCTATCAGTATCACTGAAGCCTCTTGCACAGATACGCAAATTCTGTCCTGATCACGCTCAATAATCGCGTGATCCTCAAGTCTGGACAACACGGCGATTTGCCCGATGCCATTGTTTTGAAGCCGACTGTCCATAATATCGGCCATATGCACGACTATCCGACGATCGATGCTGATCACTCAAGCATAGTACCGCATGTTCCTATCATCATCGCTGTCAGCCATGAAGTGGGCACTTTTGTCTCGAAAGATGAGGAGGAAGTGTGTCTGGACATAATCTTCGATGACTGATCGTGAAACTGACTTGGCGGCTTCAGGGTCGCATCTCCGCCGGTCATGACCATAGCTCGGAAAGCGAATGATCCAATGACTCAAAGAACAGATCGTCCGGCATCAGCATAGGGCATATCGACGCACGCCTTTCCACTCCGTCTCCCCGCCTGCACCGAGCATGCGATGAATTATTTTGATACTTATCTTACGGAACCATGGACTCGTTGCTTTTCATTGTCCGAGTCCCGTTTCTCTTGACGATGCACACTGTGTTACTCGGAGGCAGAAGAAATTCTCATCCTGTCTCAGGGCTTTGATGATGGACTGTGCGTTGCGCGAAAGCTTGCGTGCGCAGCGCCATTGCTATTATTATCATGGTGTCATTCTGGAGACTCGGGCTTAAGTTAAAGGACGTTTGCAAGGGCTTGGAACGTCAGTGTGCTACCGTAGCTGGCCCAGACGATTGGCAACCTCACCGGTGGCATCTCGTGGCAGGAGTACGAAAATGACGAGCACACCGCTGCCAGATGAGGGACAATATAACGCTGCTCAGGCGCAGGGCTACGCGGAAGGCGCCAAGAGCTACAACGGTGGCAGGAAGAGTGCTTACATCCGCGCAACCTCAGGAGATCGCCAGGAGGCTAGGAGACTTCTGGTAGGCAACAAACCTTGTTTGGGTCAGGATAGTTTTCTGAGTGTCGTCTAGGCAATATTCGTCGGGACAAAGGAGAGACCCACAATGAAGCCTGAATAATCCACAGCGAGTGGATGGTAGGACGTTGCGTGCAGGAGGTGGCTTCCTAGCTAATGGTACAGTGGGGTCAATGTATCGATGGAAGCCGACGAGTATTGTATAACTTTCTATGTTCACGGATGATTCTCCACGGGAGGTGAGCATTGAACGTTATCCAGACTCACGAAGATCAGCACGAGTCACCAGAAATTCTGTAGATCGCGTGGTAAAGCATGATCCATTCCACACAGAACGCATCGCTCCTAAAACAGCGTGTTGAACGCCACTTCGAGTCTGCGATTGAACGACAATACAACTGGCTCGAATAACATTGATAGAAATGTGAGAAAAACTACTAGTACAAATTAAACGATAGTCACGGTGGTATATGCCGTAGGCAGCCGTGCAATCGAAAAGGACGGGCTACTTACCGCCCTTGACAAACGAACTTCTTGAACGGGTGATCTGCACGCCTGCGACGCGGGCGAACGAAAGCGCACTAGGCTTTCCAGCTCGCACTGTCACGGAGTCCACGGCACCTGACTCCAGACACACGAGTTTCACGATCTCGTACGCGAACTTCTCAAGGGTCAGATACTCCGAGCGTTCCATCTCCTGCGATAATTGTCAGCACCCCTGACGGCACGAAGACAAGTGAGAAAGCACCTCAGCAATCCTTGCAATAAATTCACCGTACGCGGGAGAAAGCCAGCCAAGTCGTTGGTGTATTATGATATCTGTGAGGACGCGCTGCTTCGCTTCCCGCTCAGGCGGGTTCACGCCGATGATCGTGGACAGAGAGAGGTTCTTGATCGAGACTTGGATTTTATCATGGTGGTCACGCTCCTCGATGTTCTTTCTGTACGGGATGGTGACCTCCACAGCAAATTCCTCGGCTAGCGGAATGTACTTTGACGACTCAACAACGATGCGGACTTGCGTCGCGATGGGTCCGGAGAGTAGGAACGCTTGCTGCGCGACTGCATACGCAAGCCCCGTTGTGCCATCAAACATCGCGCCGGGGCTTTCGACGCGATCGATGATGTTCTTGCATAGATCGCCGTAGTGCACCGTGTCGGTGACCTGATCGGACGTGCCTGCCCGATCGAGGTGCGCGGGCTTGAGATGAAGGTAGACACTGACACTGACCGGCTGCGGACGCACGCGTCCCCACCAGTCCGCGTCCATATTCGCGGAGAGCTGGATAGAATCGATGAACACGATGTCCTCCACATCCAGGGTGACCGTAATGTGCTCCTCCTTTGTTTTCCGCTTCTGCGAAGGAACCTCAACCACCACCGGACGCTTGGGGATGCTGGTGCCTGTTGACTTGCGGGCGGTCTGCTTCGTGCGTGGACTGTGTGAAGGAGAGAATCCTCCCACTTGATCAACGCTTGAGGTCGAAGAAGCTCCTTGTTCACCCAATTTCAACCACCAATGGGCGTTCGTCGATGTTTCTCCCTGCGTCACGACGTCAAGTCGACGAACAGCAGCAAACTGCTCGTCATTTGCATTTCCGTTTGCAGCACTCGTCGAGGGGACATTCAAGCTAGTGTCGACGACCTTCTTTGAGCGACGCTTGCTTCCACCAAACTTCGCTTTGGAGGACGACGGCGAACTTGCGACAGGTTGTGACATGGCCCGCCTCTTGCTTAGCATATCGAGAATGTCTGCAGCGTGCCTAGTTGAAGCGGCAGATGTGTCGACTATGCTGGATTAGGCGTTCACTGCAGATTGAAATGAGTATTCCCGAGACCCACCTCCTGGAGTGCTGCGAGGTACAGCGGCAGCGGCCTGTGGCTCAGCAACGCGGTTTTGACGACTCGAGTCGGCTCCTGAGCTCGAACTGCCTCCATATTCTGCCCTGTGAGAGCAATGTTTTATTTTTGTGCGCGCCATGAAGAGCTTGGGATGATTTTCGAGAGTCGACGGTCAACATATATATGGTGCGAGGCTTCATCGCCACCAGCGCCACACACCACGAGTCGATCACACGATCAATATGTGTCGAATGACATCAAGCATTTTGTTACTTCAAAGACTTTTTGTGCACTCTCTCGCAAACAGTCCCTGCGACAAGATACATTTCCCAATAATCAATCACTACATCATGTATATACGACTGCAAGAGATATATCTTTTGGGGGTAGCGAGCTAACAATGAGGTGCACGTGGCGCCAGAGGCCTTTTTTTCGAATCCAATATCCGTAATTACGACAGACAACGGCCAGTAATGGGTACGTATGTTTTGGGCGTAACGTGGAGGACGGGGCAGGGCGAGGTGGCGCTAGAGGTCCACAGTCGGTATTTCCAAGAATTGCTTCATACATCCGCTCACAAATGTATCCGACGATTACACTGCTAGCAAAGAACCGCTATCCAGCGAGTGGCTGGTAATCGCGGAGGTCATGGCCCCGGCCTTCAGCCCAAAGGAAGGGTCTTCAATTTCGTGTCAGGCAGTGTTCACGTGTCTGCCGTTACAAGGGAACCTTTGCAGTTGTCAACAAACGGACTATGTATAGATGCTGGTATTGAGGAAGCTCACTGCAGATCAGATGATGACAGACAACACTCCTCGTGCATGCAAGTCTGTTAAGCCTTCCTCGACAGAGGCTCTGATCACTTCCATATCGCGCTGGATTTTCAGCATAGGAGTCATGCACTGCAGCCTCAGCATGACCTTCAACGCATTCGAAAAGTCTGCATCCGATAGGATCCGGATCAACGTGTCCACGTCCGACATGCTACGCAGGGAGACATCCAGCGTGAGTTTGTCTATGCCCGACCATTGCAGCCTGGGCATCAAACTTGCGAGCAACTCAAGCGAAGACGTGACCAAAGATACGATTCGCAGGGCTTGGACGAGCTCCAGGGCGGCGAGGAGCTGCAAAACTTGCGTATCGTCTGACAGGCACCTTCAGTAATCGTGGTCATGCTTCCGTTCTACAGACGCGCTCACCTAGAACGATAGGATAGATCCGCAGGTCGAGATGGCGTATCGACTGGTGGTTTGCTCGAAGCAAGCTGATGAGCGCGATGAATTCTGGAATTTGGCGGACTATCACTGTCAACGCGCCAAGCTGTGGAAACGACGGGGGGTTTGTCATAGGGGTGAGCATAGGGAGAAGCTTCAGTCTCTTCAGCGGCCAGGCGGGCAGGGTATCAAAAGGCACGTATGCTGCATCCCAGAGGCCACCCTCCATTGCTAGATCGGCCACGGTGGGAAACGCCCTGAACAACGAGTCGACATCCTCGTACGTGCAAGAATCGCCGAGCAGCCTGACATGTTCCACAGCACCGAAGCCGGAGAGTGCAGAGAGGTCGCGTCCCGAGAACTGTCCATATAGCGATAGGGTATGGACGTTCCCGAGGTATTTGTTGAACATCGGCACGATGTCATTGTAGTTATCATTGGAGAGAGACAGCGACACCTCTCGAACGAACTTGCCAACGTGAGGAGAGCATGTGAGCAAGTTGGCGAACCGGCGCGTGTACGTCTGTGCGTGGAAGTGCATGGTGTGGTAGAGGTGGTAGAGAGCGGTAAGGTGCCATGAACGACATGTCAGGCTACAAGCTTTCAAAGTAGCTTTTTCATCGTGCAAATAGCCCATAATCCTATCTGCGATCTCGGGCGGGAAAACGACCCCATGGTGAGCAGCTATTGTGGCGTTGTTCATGATGATGAGTCGCTAGTCAAAGCAATCAGCACTGATAGATAATGCGAAACAGATATCGCGGTGGCAAATCTGTGAGGATCGCATGTCACCTTATCTACACGATGACCTCCAGTAGACACTGTAAGAATAATGCGAGTAAGTACCTGAGGTCGCGTATATGAGGCGAGTTGCTCTATCAGCACTGCAACTCTGAAATCCTTGATCGATCGTAACTTCAAGTCAGGTGATAAACAAGTCAAAATTAGACCGAGCCTTGCCCGAATCTGCAGTCGACTTCACTGTTCAGTCACCCAGCCGCTTCAAACTTCTTCAGAGGTGATGCTGGGCTTACTACATAACATATAAGGATTTATCCGTACTCAGACCAACTCAAGCATGCAAGAGATCATCTACATTAAGGCTGGGCAGCTCGCGAACTATGTTGAACCCACTTCTGGTACACGCAAGAAAGTTACTTCATGTAGGAGGAGGGCGAAGAGTCAAATGTCGTCCGTGACGTCTCTTTCAGGGAGGGACTAACGCGAAGTGTGCGTGTTCTAAGAGATAGATTTTCGTAGGGCAGCGAGCTCACAATGAGGTGGCGCTAGAGGGTTTTTTCTAAAATACGAATTATTCCACCGCGTGCTGTCGCTATGTGAGAGACAGCGGCCAGTAATGGGTACGTATGCGTCATGTGGAGGATGCACAGGGCAAGGTGGCGCTAGAAATTCACAGTCAGGATTTCCAAGGACTGCTTCATACATCTGCTCACGAATGCATCAGACCATTACGCTGACTAGCAAAGAACCGCCATCCAGCGAGTCTCAGATCGTGGAGTCATGGAACCTCAGCCGCCGAGGGAACCTTTGCAGCTGTCAGCAAGTGGACTATGCATAGGTACCGGCATTGAGAGAGCTCACTACAGATCAGATGACGACGGACAACACTCCTCGCGCACACAAGCCCTTTAAGCTTTCCTCGAGGGAGGTTCTGAACTTTCCCATATCGCGCTGGATGTATAGCATGTGCCTCATGCACTGCAGCCTCAGCACGACCTTCGACGCACTAGAAAAGTCCGCATCCGATAGGACCCGGATCAGCGTGTCAACATCCGACATGCTACGCGGGAAGACACCCAGCGTCAGCTTGTCTATGCCAGGCCACTGTAGCCTGGGCATCAGACTTGCGAGCGACGCAAGCGAAGGCGTGACCAGCGATAAGTTTCGCAGGGCTTGAAAGAGTTCGAGGGCAGCAAAGAGCTCCAAAACCTGCGTATCGTCTGACACGCGCATTCAGTAATCACGGTCCTGCTTCTGTTTTACAAAAACGTTCACCTAGGACATGGTAGATCTGCAGTTCGAAGTGGCTTATCGACTGAGGATTCGCTCGGAGCAAGCTGATAAGCGCGGTGAATTCTGCATTTGTTTCCACTGACACTGTCAAAGTGCCAAGCTACGGGAATGACGGGGGTTTTGTCATAGGGGTGATCATAGGAGTCAGTCTCAGTTTCTTCAGCGGCCAGGCGGGCAGGGTATCAATAGGCCCGTATGTAGGCTTCGCGGTGTAAGCGTCTAATGCGAAATCGACCAAGCTGGGAAACGCGTTGAATACTGAGACGAAAGTGTGGCACGTGCAGTAAGGGTCGAAGAGCCTGATGTGACACACAGCACCGAAGACAGTGAGGTAGCGTCCTGTAAAGAGTCCGCACAGCGTGAGGGTATGGACGTTACCGAGATGTTTGCTGAGCTTGAGTATCGGCGAGAGGTGGCTGTAGCTATCACTGAGCAGAGTCAGCGACAGCTCTCGGACGAACGAGCCAATGTGGGGAGAGTGTGTGAGTAAATTGGCGAACCCGTGTGCGCAGTAGGGCATAGTCGTTGAATGGAAGTGGATGGTGTGGTAGAGAGCAGTGAGGTACCACGGGCGACATGTCAGGCTACAAGCTTTCAGAGTAGCTTTGTCGTCGTGCAAATAGCTCATAATCCTGTCTGCAATCTCGGGCGGGAAGACGACCCCATGGTGAGCAGCTATTGCGGTGTTGTTCATGGTGATGATTCGAGGCTAGTCAAAACAATTAGCACCGCAGACATGAAGCGATTTGCGCATGTGGCAAATGCTTAGCAAATGTCGACAGGTTTTTTGCCTTTGTGATTTCAATATGCTATGGTTCCTTCCCACATTCCATATCAAGTATTTGCATATAATATGTTAGAGGCAGAAACTTAAAATCATATATTTTAAGAAATGACACCATTTTCAAACTCACCAAATACATTTAGAATTTGAGTGCTGTTGAATGTAATCATACATTTTTGAATTTCAAACTATGACATGTATAAAATATCCAGTAGCAGATGAAGGTGTAATTATGCCTACATTCTACTTCCCTACTGAAGTCATTCTAACCAAGGTTACTAGAATGAAAGTCATTCACCGTAATTACACCTTCATTCTGCTACTGGATATTTTAAAAATGTGATGGTTTGGAGTTGAAAAATGTACAATTACATTCAACAGCGCTCAAATTCTAAATGTATTTGGTGAGTTTGAAAATGGTGTCATTTCTTAAATATATGATTTTAAATTTCTGCCTCTAACATATTATATGCAAATACTTGATATGGAATGTGGGAAGGAACCATAGCATATTGAAATCACAAAGGCAAAAAACCTGTCGACATTTGCTAAGCATTTGCCACATGCGCAAATCGCTTCATGTCTGTGGTGTAGCACTGGTAGACTATTCGAAGCAGATATCGCAATATCATTATGGCAAAATCGCGCAGGGGTGGGAATGCTCACGTGACAACAATGACGTATCTACAGCCTTGGCACTTGCTTGGCACGGCCACCACAGCAGCTCCTCCATAATCCATAACGTGAAAGACCTCTCACACTGCAGACATGATGGCATTTGCAACTATGGCATATGCTGAGTTAGTCTTTTGCCTTTGTAAGTGATATTTGCAATGGTGTCATTTTGTATCTCAGATTGTGAAAATGCAATAGGATATTCAGTGATCACAGATTAGTTACAAACGTTTTGAGATATGCAAGCATCGTGCATATTTAAACAATATGTCAAAATTTAGCACTGTAAAATTTGAGTCACAAATTATATATATTAGATGACATTTGCAAGTGCAGCAGATGAAGATGCAAAGGCTAGATTCAGTCAAGGAGGCTACATTCCACACATCATAGCAGAAATTTACATAAACACATGCAACACCATTGATTTAGTCTGGCACAAGGTGTAAGATGTATTAATTCTGATGTTGAATATAGGCCTCCTTGACTGAATTTACCCTTTGCATCTTCATCTGCTGCACTTGCAAATGTCATCTAATATATATATAATTTGTGACTCAAATTTCACAGTGCTAAATTTTGACATATTGTTTAAATATACACGATGCTTGCATATCTCAAAAAGTTTGTAACTAATCTGTGATCACTGAATATCCTATTGCATTTTCACAATCTGAGATAAAAAATGACACCATTGCAAATATCACTTACAAAGGCAAAAGACTAACTCAGCATATGCCATAGTTGCAAATGCCATCATGTCTGCGGTGTCACGCAGATATCCGCGCATCATATAGTGAAGGGAATGGATATCATGAGTGTGCTCGGTGCGTGCTTTGCAATTCTCCGAGGAAAGATGCTGATGACTGATGTCGATGGCGGGTGAAGTGAGAGCAAATGTGCATGTGTCCGAGTGTGACATGGGCTGCCAGAGGAGCGTCATAGCTCATAGTAGCCATCCACAAAACACTCATCGCTATCGCACGCACAACACAATTGCTCTCTACAGCAAGGGAAGCATTCAACGCTACCTCCCTCCCTTTCCGAGTCCTTTACCGGCTAGCTGAGAACTCGATATGGCACAATAAGGTGCGCAGTGAGGTTCTACATAGAGACATGCATCACAGTGGTACAGCACTTAGGTGAGGCGATAACTACCTATGCAATGGAGAATGCAGTGTTGACTCTGCCATAAATCACGTCGAGAGTGTCTTGCAGTAAATATGACACATCAATAACATTATAAGGAATTATTGTTTCGTCACTCAGGCACGATCAATCTCTCTGGTTTCAGGTGCTTCATGCAAGATCCGATTGAATGAGCAGAACAAGAAGGCTGCTAAATCGTTGACAGGCGTGCGGAGTCTTCCGAGGACTCAGTCAATCAATTCACCGACCACATGCACAAGTCCGTGCAAGTGACGCAGCGGCAACATATCAGCCAGCGAAACTGTATCGAGCGCCTCAGCTGGCTGCTCGGCTAAAAAAACCTGGGCATCGAATACTCGAAGGCGAGGAATCTCGCGCTGCGGTGCACGTATCCTCACGCGTTCTACGACCACAGAGAAAAATAAGAGAATTTCCACTTTAGCATAGAGAAAATGCCGTCGAGCTCGATTTTGCTGAGCCCGCAACTCAAGATGATGGACATTGCGATGTCGGGAGACATTGCAATGCTTGCGGAGTAGGTGAGATTGTCACTGTCAGTTTGAATACCTGTACATTGACGCTTCAACATAATAGATGCAGGCTCTCGGCCCAAGTGAATGCAGTATTCACTCGGCCATAAATCACATCGGAAGGGTGGACAGGCGTTCTGGTGAGAATATCGATGATAGTGTCATCAGTCTGATCACCCAGCGCTGAACAGTCGGTATCTCCTCTATGAAGCCCAGCAAGCACATTACTATGGTATGATCTTCATGACAATCCTCGTTATTACTCCACTGGCTCCATGCAGGGCCCCTCCCCCAATGTAGCACTTGTGTCTGTAGTGACCCCAATGCCCGCCACCACCACAGGAATGAAGCATCATATCAGGATCTTGCATGAAGGTGCTGATGCCGCCGTCGTGCTGTGGGGCTCACCTCCCCTATAGCTTAATGCCACCCTGAATCGATGCTATATTGCAGGTCGGCTTCGAAGAGAAGAACATCATCATGGGCAAAGGCATGGGCATGCCGGAATTCTGCGAGTTTCCCCATGTCTCTGACTGGGATAAGGAACACGAAGTAGTGATGAAGTGGGAGGGGCTTCCGCCACTCATGCCATTGAGGGAAAAGGGACGATTAGCTTTCCGAAATGTGAGAGAAATTAAGCAATGTGATAAGTACGATGGCATCAAGCCATTGACCGATGAGGAGGAGCTGGTCAGACGTTCAATATCGTGCATAATTTGGCTGCCTGGCAAGATGTATGTATATCATGGATCGAAGACTGACGAACGTCTATCGCATTCAAATGCCTCTGCCACAGTCCATTAGTTATATATACTGCCCTCGTACGTCATTACAAACTGATAGTAAATTGTTCAAGAGTGCGTGCTTCGAGCAAGGGACCCGGCCGCGGCCACGCGGCGCTTTTCGAGTATGGTGCGCGTCACTTAGTCACTGCTACTTTTGTACAGTGGCCAATTTGGCCGGGCACTGAGACATCCAGTTACATAATCCTTCCAAGTCATACACTAGTCTATATATTAAGGACAGCAATAATGCAATCACTGCAATGTGCGTGAATATATCTGATTGAATGCAAACTTTTCTCTGAAAAATTCCAGAAGAGTCATCCCATGCCAGCTGTCCACCCTTTGAAGCAGTTTCAAAAAGCTGCTGCCCATGCACATGCAGCCAAGGCTTGTCAAAATGAAGAGAATAAGGATTCAGTCATACAAGGGGTCGACATGATTAACACAGCGTGCATAGCAACATTTTTTCATTGAAAAATGGTAGAGAAACTCTGAAAACATATTAAGCTTTGATTTGGAAAAATAGTGAAGAAATTGAAGCTTCCTCCATCATTAAATTGCTATATATGGGCATATACTACCCAAATATGGAATACCTTACATAACATTTCTTAACATTTTTCCAAAGCAGGGCTTTATATTCTTTTACCATATTTTCACGGTTTCTTCAGTGGAAAATTATTGGTATGCACGCTGTGTAATGATGATCACAGCGGAGTGATATTTAAAGGCCAACATGGGATCAGCAGTTGCCTCATTTGGTTATGCCACGTGCAATACTTACTATATCTGGGAGTTATCATGTGATGTGGCCAATTTTGACCTGATCACACGCTCAATTTTGACTTTCTAGACAATCACTCTAGTGGAATTGATTCTTTTGTGAAAAGGAGCAATTTGGCTAGAAAACTAAGAAATCGGCCAAGATTTACGGGTGCAATTTCAGTTGTACAAAAGTAGCGGTGACTAAGTGACGCGCACCGTAGTATATAATGACCGCCAGCCGACGCTGCAACTCTTAAATCCGTGATCGATCATAATGAGTCTGGGTGATAAACAAGTCAAAATCAACGTCACTAGACCGAGCCTTGCCCGAATCTGCAGCCGAGTTCAGCCCAGCCGCTTCAAACTTCTTCAGAGGTGTTGCTGGGCTTAACACATAATATATAAGGGTTTCCATGTTTCCATCCCATCCTCACACGGTCACCAACGGAAGCATGAAAGAGATCATCTACATTCAGGCCGGGCAGTTCGCGAACTACGTCGGAACTCACTTCTGGAACACGCAAGAAAGCTACTTTACGTACGAAGAGGGCGAAGAATCGGATGTCGTCCATGACGTCTCTTTCAGAGAGGGACTGACACAAAACGTACGTGTTCTGAAGGGCCTTGACAACTGTGTGCCAGTTGCTCAAAGTACTGAAATCAAAGGGCGAATCGACATTTTGTCCCAGGTTGCTGCTCTTTGATAGGAAGGGTGGGCCACTTTCAGATCTGATAGGAGACTGTAATGATATCGACTCCTTTCTAGCCCATTTTGGACCCCTGTCGAGCGCAAGTGGCCTGTATGGGTCAGAAACGGGCGGTGAAGAGGAAGCTACGGCATCATGGTCCGTATTCCACGAACGTAGAGCCCGAATGCTTCATAATGCCACAGATTCTATCCCAGGAGCGGCAACGTGGTGGAGTACCGTCAAGAACGCATCCCAGAAAGCGACTACCACAAATCTCTTAACGCTGAAGAAGTCGAGCGGGAAAGTCCCCACGCGGAGACTGGCGAACACTCGCACGCAGCCGACACGCAGAAGGGGAATGTGCGCTACTGGTCGGATTTTAGTCGTGTCGACTTCCATCCGCGTTCGTTGCAAAAGTTGCCGGACTTGCCGGAGTGGAAAAGCTATGCGGGCGATTGGAATTTGGGTAAAGAGATCTTTAAGCAGCATGACAAGGTACAGTCGTCACGTCAGGTCATGCTTCACGCTTGTAACGCAGTAGCCAAACGCGTCATTCTTTACAGGACACAAGCCTTATGGATGAGTCGTTCCGGCTCTTTACTGAAGAATGTGACAATCTCCAGGTGAACGTCATTCATTTTGATTGCTTTAGTTGATGCTGACACACGACTGAAATCTCGAGGGGATTGAAGTCATCAATGACACTCCAGCATACGGCGGTTTTACCGACGCATTTCTTACTGCATTCCGGGACGAGTTCCCCAAGATCCCGTGCCTGAGCGTCCCGCTTCTCTCTCACATATGCCCTGGGACGCTGGAGGCAGATGAGGTAAGCCTGAATTCTACCCCTATCTGAAGTCCACTGACTCGGGTTTGATACAATGTAGGAACGTGGCATGGCGCGTGTGATCAACGACGCGCTTTGTCTGCGTAGCTTGGATACTCTGGCCACTATGAGTATACTAATTCAGGCGCCAGAGACGTGGACGACGGGGGAGTGGCTGCACGGGATAAATCTAAACGCAAGCTTTGATTTCTTAACATGAATGTTCTTATGTTGAACTATTCTGCAGCGCAACAGCCTCTACCAGACATCTGCAATCATTTCGGCGCACTTAGAAAGTTCCACCCTCCCTTTACGGTAACGTCCTTCTCCTTGCATTCTTCATCGATAGCCTCTGAACTTGTTCGCCGATAAAGATTAAAGGGATCGACCGATGATCTCACTAGCGCTTGCGAGATGCTGAATAGAGAAGGAGAAACGCGCTTCGCACAGCTCTCCGGCGTGTTCCCGCTCCATTCGCCTGTCCAGCCAGACAGAGACTTCGTACGGAGGATGTACGACTTTTCGGCATTCCCGGGCAGTGGCGGGGCGGTGCCGCACGCGGAGGTAAGTGTTCTCTTATTTCTTTAGTAAAAGACCACTCTCATGGCTTTGAAATAGCATGAAATTCTGGATTATGCTAAGATCTACGTCGCTCGCGGATTCTCGGCTTCCGATCGTCGAACATTCGACAAGTGGTGCGAGCCGCACAGACCAGTCCCATACAAGTGCGATTCCTAACTTCTTATATCAATCGTGCTCCCCCTCTAAATAACCTTACAGCATCTATGCTCCAGCTTACCCAATTCCCACTTCCTTCCCACCGTTCCTCACTTCACCACCTCCCCCTCCCCCTCCACATACAGCATCCCACCATCCCAGCACGCCAGCCCACGCGCACGTTCCCACCGTTCGCGTGCTCTCCTCGTTCTGCACGACCCCTCACACTGCGAGGCTGTTCGGCGCGTACGCGCAGGCTGTGGAGGAGTGTGCGGCGCATCGACCGACCGTGCTCGAGACGATGGGTGTGGAGCGCGACGAGGCGAAGGAGTTGAAGGATGTGCTGTGGGCGCTGAGAGATGGATATGCGGGTGCGGAGGGTGTGGTGGAGGAGCCGGAGTTGGGGGAGGACGAGCAGTAAGTTATGAGGCTGATCGATCGACGGTGAATGACAGGAGACGTACTGGTCGTGCGTCGGCGAAGGAAGTAACTGTAGCCTATCACTTATGAATATCTCTGCCACTAAGATCAGCGTAATGCCAAACACACGAACATAGATGTACTGTCCGTCGTGGATCCAGAACGTAGTCCGTTCCGAGCCTAATTTGACCTGTGCATTCACATCCAGACCGTCCCGCGAGAAAGAAGAGCAGCCCATCGTGCATCAAATCTTGTAGCCACCCCAGCTTACTGCAATCATTCGGCAACGATTTCGATCAACTACCAAGTAATCATACAACGAGATCGCCGTTCGTAAGTGATCTCGCCGAATGGGCACATATTGACAGGCGCAAGCGAATGTGACGCCCCCTATCTGCTATGGAGCAAGTCGGAAGAGACCTGACGAACGTTCAGGCGAAGACGGCAACAAATCGCGTTTACGTACCGAGGACGTCTTTTCAAACCTCCATCCCTGATCGTCCAAAGCTATATCCAGCCCATCGTCGCCGATCCCAGCGAGCAGCCCAGTTAAGATGGGTATTCGCGCTCAAGGCAGCAGCCGGCTCCCTCCCGAGCCCACAGGTAAGCACGTGCATGTGACGTCACAGATGAAAGCTGATCGTGCACACACCCTAAAACGCGGGCTCGCCGTCCTCGTCGTCGTCCTGCTCAGCCGTTTCGTCGTCGTTGACAACGATGAACTCCCTTAGGAACCACAGGATCATCATCGCCTCTCTCTTTCTTCCCAACACCACCGTTCTGGGCGACTCTCTCCCGTCTTCTCCAGATGAGAATGCTTTGGACACCACTAATGGTCCGTCCCTGGTGCCGCCAACCCCCGCTGCCCGGTCGCCTTTACCGGCGAGGCCGACGGGTCCTTTGAAGAGCATCGTTGAGGACCTTAAAGTGAGCTGCAGATATACTATCGGGTGCTCCAATGTCATATATCAAATGTTGTAAATCCAGTCTCGCCAGGCAAGCCCAGCAATGACGCCCCGCGGGGAGTCCACGAATCCGTTCACTACCTTCTCCGGATTGACGCAGCCGCCTTCGAGGAACAATTCCAAGAGCAACTCTGAGATCTCACTTGTCGATGTGCTCTCTGCCAAGGCTGTCAACCTCAACGGTGCCAAAGCTCACGCCGACGGTCTGCACAGCGGCACGAAGCGCCACCAGCTGACGCATTCCAGCAGTACTGCTTCCCACACGAGGGTTCAGCGCAGATTGTCTCGGAGCTCCACGACGCGGGCACATAGCCGATCAATCTCGTCGAGCAGGCCATCTTTAGAGCTGCACAGCACCAGATGGCACATTGAGAGCAACCCGCATGTGCGTAAATCATGGTAATCGTTCATCACAAGAGACTGATGGACTGTGTGCAGTGCAACGGCGGGCTGAAGAACGCCGTAGAGAGTGTCGGTACTCGATTGAAGCGCAAGCTCTGGGTGGGCACGCTTGGAGTGAACACGGATGGTTTCCGGGACAGTTTACGCCGCAACATAGAATGGCGTATGCGCGATGACTGTGATAGTTTGCCGGTGTGGATACCAGATTCGGAGTTCGCGGGCTGTTACGACGATTTCTGCCATCAGGTTCGTGTTATATTTCTCTTGATAGTTGCGGATACCTGATTATCTGATTAATGCCAGGTTCTCTGGCCGTGTCTCCACTACGCGATTCCGGACGCACCCAGGACGAAGTCCTTCTACGAGCATGCATCGTACAATCAGTATGTTGCCGTGAATCAGCGGTTTGCAGACGCTATCGCCTCTGCGTACCAAGACGGCGATATAATATGGGTGAACGACTACCACCTTATGCTATTGCCCGCGATGCTTCGTGCCCGCCTGCCTGGTGCATCCATCGGATTCTTCATGCACGTCGCGTTTCCGTCGTCCGAGATCTTCCGCTGCCTGAGCGTGCGCGTGGACCTGCTCAAGGGCGTGCTTGGCTCAGACCTGATCGGGTTCCAGACAGCGAACTATGCGCGCCACTTCAGGCAGACTGTCAGTCGGATATTGACGGCTGAGGCGCTGCCGAAGGGCGTGCAGATGGATGATCGGTTCGTGGATGTGGGCGCATTCCCAATGGGAATTGACGTGGGTAGCTTGGATGAGAAGAAGTGAGTTGCCTTATTGAGGTAGGATGTGATCATCACTGATAGATGCTTATAGGCATGACCCGGAGGTTGCGGAATGGGTGAATGCGCTGCGGCAGCGGTATGCTGGGATGAAGCTCATTGTAGGACGAGATAAACTTGATCTCATCCAAGTAAGCGGGTGCTTTCGTTTCGAAATGATTTGTGCTCGGATGCTCAATGTTTGCCGACAGGGAGTACGTCAGAAAATACAAGCGTTCGAGGCATTCCTTGAGAAATACCCAGAATACCAAGGCAAGGTGGGTCGTTATACAATGTCGATCATGAAACCCGTCTGATTAGTGTGCCTCCAGGTCGTCCTCATCCAAGTTGCATTGCAGACGACGGAGGAGAGCGAGATGCAGGGTGGCGTCTCAGACGTTGTGTCACACCTGAACTCGCGCTTCTCCACTCTGACGTACCAACCTGTCGTGTTCCTGCACACGCAAGATCTGACGTTCAGTCAGTATCTGGCACTATTGACAGTTGCGGATGCATTTATGGTGACAAGTCTGCGAGAGGGTATGGCGTTGAGGTATGTTTTCACGTGCAGTTTTCGAGAGCGTTCAGGCTGAGATGTTGCCACAGGACACATGAATATGTGGAATGCCAGGAGGAGAGACATCGACCGTTGATCTTGAGTGAGGTGAGGGTTCCTGATGCAGTCCTATTACCTGTGTGGCTGACACACTTCTCAGTTCACCGGTTCATACAGCTACAGCGGTTTCAGGTCATGTATCCCGGTCAACCCATGGGACAAGCGGATGACTGCGAAGGCTATCCACCAGGTAAGTCTTGTCAAGCACCTTACGCGTGATGGCATTGATCAAGATTCTTCATCGCAGGCCCTGACTATGAGCGACGAAGAGGCATTGTCACGGTGGGAGGTTCGTATTGATTTTTGAGATTATCTTCTTTACTAAATGATGGCGCTATCAGGACATGCACAGCCACGTAGTGACTCAAAGCGCACAAGCTTTCGTCACCTCTTTCCTCGTCCGTTGTCTTCGCGCCAGTATTGAGCACTCTCAGACCGACGGCACAGAAGTTGCGGTGCTCGACGTGCAGCGTGTGCTCCCGCGCTACCGGCACAGCCAGAAGCGTCTGCTGCTGATAGACTTTGAAGGCACAATGTGGATACGCGACTTGCGGAAGATGAGCCGCGGCGTGTTTGACCCGCCAAAGGACGCGATCGAGGTACTGAATCGCTTGGCGGATGATCCGAGGAATGAAGTTTGGCTATTGAGCGGGTTGCCCGTCAAGGGCATGCTGGATATTATAGGAGAGGCGGCGCCGAAGATTGGCATTGTGTATGTGCATCGCATCGGTTTGACTGATGTCTCCCGATGTTTTCGTGACTGATGTTGTTCGTTTATATAGCGCCGAGAATGGCTGCTTCATCAAGACTCGACCTGACCGTAATGGCGGATCGTCGTGGATTAGCATGGTGGCGAACTTCAATTTGACCTGGAAAGCGCCTTGTCTCGAGATCCTTAACTATGTGAGTGCTTGACGGCGGCAATTGCACAATGTTGCAAGCTAACATGCTTGGGATCTAGTTCACGGAACGTACGCCAGGCTCATTCGTCGAGGAGAGGGAGGCATCGATCGTGTGGAGGTTCTGGGTTGATCCGGATGAATCATCGTCTGATCGTCAGTGGGCACGTCGGCAAGCATCCGAGGCTCAGAACCACGTATTCGACAGGTTCGTGGCCTTATATTGTCTTTACTTTCGCCACGGCTAATTATCGTCCTTAGTCTCGGTGAGCGATACGGTCTGCGTATCATTCCTGGCGCAAACAGCTTCCTAGTATTGCCGAACAACGTCTCCCGCTCGACTGCAGTGGGAGCGATTCTGAATCCTGGCGGTCCCGCGCGTTCTACGTTGGTGACGTCTGTGCCGTGGTCTGCGCCCGAGGCTACGGAGGCGGAGAGCGTGCATGAGTTTGACTTTGTTCTGGCCATTGGCAAGGACCAGCGGATGATGCGCCGGCTGAACGAGCTGGACAATGCGGAGACGGTGTCGACGGGGGATAAGGGCACTGATGCGAAGTGGAAGTTGGATCCGTCGAAGGTCATGCCTGCGCTGTGGCGATTCGCAGATGCGAAATGAGCGGTGGTATGTTGCAGATATGGCGATTACTTGTATATGGAGGCGATGAGATATGTTTTTTGCTGGTTTTTCTGCTGTATACATCACCTTGCCACATGCATTCACCGGGGAGACGATTTGTACTGGTTCCGGATAGGATGAGTCCATGTCCCTGTAGTTATCTGACACAGCGGTTTCGTGTATCTTGTAAATAAGTATAACGGTTCTGCAGGGAAGACAATAGACATGCTCCATCTAAGCGGTTCGAACCGTCCACAGGATACGTCGGTCGAGCTAACTTGCCGTGAACCAAGACGGCTGATCGCGGTGATGCCGATCAGCTCGATCAATGTCATATACCAGATACATAACACCTGTACTGTTACTTTACTCCAGAGAACTTGCAACGAGCACGGAAGGTTAGTCATAAACTACTCTGAAGTTGGTGCCTGACATGCTATGCGTGTGCCAGCAGGTTTTCCATTCTATAACGGCGGCCAGTGTACTAGATTGTTTACGATCATGTTCGAAGCACCATATCCACCGTACGACCCCACCGACAAGTCTGGGTGAGGCTCGCAAGGCCACTCATCTGGCATGCATGACGCTGATTATCGTCGCCGTCTGCACGGTCTCATCGCAGCTTCTCGTGAGTGCCGCCTTCATCTAGCTTCACGTCGATAACTCACTGGCGTGCGTGGACGCACAGCTACGAGACGGTGCTCAAACGGTGGCCTGTTATCCTCACCGGGATCATCGACAACATCTATCGCGCGAACCATGAGATGAGCCTGGCGAGTGCCGGCGAGACCTCTGATGCGATCACGCAGGAGAAGATCGAGGAGGGGAAGACGATTATTGAGAAGATTGGCAGGTTGAAGTATGAGATGGGGAGGGATCGACCGCTGGAGTAGGTCATATCAGTTTTTTGATGCTCATAGGTGGAAGTGGTGACGACGAACGCGAAGGCCCATTCCCGAGGACGGGGAGGCTCAGGTGGAGGTATATAACACGGAGCTGGCTTGGTTGAAGGAAAAGGGCCATGGGTCGTGGTTTACCGCTCCGTGGCTCTATGCAGAGTAGGCTTCCAACTTGCTCGATCTTGCGTGTACGGCTCATCAATGCTCGCAGATGCTACCTGTGCGTTGATCTCCTGCCCAACAGCGGACTCACTGGCTGACGATGACCAGTTATCGTCTGCTCCGTTCGTACTTCACCCAGACACAACATTGGCGCGCGCATGATCCTTTCCTGTCTCAGAAGGAAGAGACGTTCCGCAAGAGCTCCAAGGCGATATTCCGTAAGACATCCGTATCTCTCAACTGTGTACATGCTCGTATAATGCGTCGGTGCTATCGTAGAGATGGCAACCACGATGCACGAGTTGGAAGAAGATAAGGACAAGCTCGTGTCTGAACCCGCGGACCTCAAGGTGATCTTTGGGGAGATGATTCAAATGTGTCTCTGGTGCGTTCGTTCGCTTCTTCTCAGGGCCCCCTTCTCTGAGTGACCCGTCGGCGCGATGCAGGGGTAACGCGACGGTACCATTTCCTTGTCAATTGCACACTTTCGGGATCCTTTTCATGCTTCACATTAGGACCTGTCGATGCTGACCCATCTCTCGCATGAAGACATACAGAACCTGCAGTCCGTCGGCCGGGATGCTCAGGCGGCTCGGAAGGAGTACATCCTGACGGATGATCAGGACAAGGTCTGGGTGCACCTGACGAGCTTGAAGGATGCGAGGATAGATTTCGTGCTGGATAATGGTGCGTGTGAGTTGTTGATGACATGTCACTGAAGCCGACTATACCAATGGCTTTGTAGCCGGATTTGAGGTTCGCTGTTTGTCGTCTTTTGGAGCGATCTTGCTGCTGAACTCTTCTGGCACGCAGTTGTTTACAGATTTCGTCTTTGCCGATTTCCTAGTGACGTACACGCCCTACGTCTCGAAAGTTGTCTTCCAGTATGTCTTCTCACCACCATTCATCTGGTATTACTTCTGGACACGCTGTTTCTCTAGCCCAAAGCTCATTCCCTGGTTTGTCTCCGATGTGACCCCGCCCGACTTCAAGTCGGCGATCCCTTCGCTTCTCTCGCCTACGTTCCTCTCGGAAGCGGCGGGTGTGCAGTCCGCATCCCATCATGCAGGCGAGGCGCAGGACAGCTGCGAACATCTGAAACGGATGGTGACGCGCTGGCAGGGGTACTTGGAGAGCGGCGTATTTGCGCTGTCGGTTCCTGTAGATACGCCCTTGGGGGCGTCAAATGAGAACGTACGATCACTTGCCCTCGAAGAAGGTGGGCTGTTGGGCTGAGTGGAGCTGTTATAGGCCAACTTCTGGACGTCGCCATGGCCGTATTGGAATATGCAAGAGCTGGCGCCGGAGGTGCATGGCAGGTTGAAAGATAGCGGGTTGGTCATCTTCAAGGCAAGTGAGACGTTCGTCAGTCTTGGTGATGGTAGTGATTGACGTTCTGACCGCAGGGTGATCTCAAGTACGTGCCATTCTGTTGGGTCTGAGTGTTGGACTGATTTAGTTACGTTGGTATGATAGCTTCCGGAAGTGCATATCAACTTGATGAAGTCGACATTGGGGAAGCTGAGGATTTTTCTTGCCATAGGTTAACTGGCGATGTCAGCTGGCCAGCGAGCACTCCCTTCCAAATTGCTCTCGGTACGCAGTACGTTTCTCAGTTTTCGAGTTGAGCTTGTTGCGACTTCTTGGTATCACATCCAGGACCGCTCGCAGGCTCGTTCCCGATTCTCACCCTCCGCACGAACAAAGCAGACGTTGTCGTCGGCGTTGGACGGGAGCGCGCAGAGCAGCTCGACAAGAGCGGCGAAAACTGGCGGTTCAACGGAAAGTGCGTACAAATTTCATTTCTCTTGTTGTGACTAGGTCGGTATTGACGATGTTTTGATAGGTATGCGCTCGTCTTGTTCCTGCCGAAACGAAAAGATTAGATGCGGAGATGTTGATTGTAAGCTCATGCATATCGCGGACTGTTGGGTGCAAACTGAAGCAGGTAAATACCTACCACTGACTCATGTCACATGATTACGAAGGAGGGTTTGCATTTGTCCGCTTTGAACATATTCATTAGCGATACAGTCGACCTTGCAGGTATTTGATATTGAAACGTCGATAAATACTGGCGATATAGCTCCTCTTTCCATCTCGCCGTGTACCAAAGTAGCAGCGTTTCCCTTGTATTCGTGATGTAACATGTCGAAATCACTCGATTAGGTGTGAACATTGAAATATTGACTTTTTTGGGCGGTGGCCCCCTTGTGGGGCTCCTTTTCTAGCACTCGGTCAGGACTTCCATCGAACTTTCTGCGCTATCTCATTTTCACTTATAAACGGCCCGTCCTCATCACCGCGATAGCAATTTTTTCCTCTGTTGTGACTTAAGTCAGTCATTTGTGCTCGCCCTGAACGTTAACGCGAATATCCGGACATGATTTGCAGTGTGGGGCTGTAGTGTTAGGGTTCGAGAGTCCGTCGTGCCCGTGACGGTAAGTTCCTTGCGCGACACCTGGTCGCCAAAATGATTTTGGAACATTTCGTGTGCGATCCTCTCGCATTCACACATCTTATACGCCGTCGGTACATGAGTCGGCTCAAGCGAAGCCATGTTAGATAGTCACATGAGGGTCGATCAGGAGTTTGTACAAGTGACGCCCACGGGTTTGCTTCTGTTCTCATCCTGGCACCACCATGTCATCGATGTCGGTTGCTCGTCATTCTAATCTCATCTTGACAGCGGTCACTGGTTTGAAGCAAATACCTCGACATCTATATTACCGAAAGCCTCGACATGATAACAAGAATTACAAGAGCTTGCAAACTGCACTACTCTAATCACAGCACATCAGCTGCAATTAGGTTAGGATGCCGCGTCAAAGTTACACAGATATTGGGCGTGGATGAGCCGTTCGCGCAACGGTGGAACATATCGACACTATGGAATCCTTAAGCTTCCAGTTCAGCGTTTGAACCGACGATAATCTGCACGACTTTGTCAGAGCGAGGACGAATCTTGCAAGGGAATGGGCGCGGGTGCCTGTACAACGGCTGAGCACATAAAACCTACAGCATTCCAGAGAATCTTACCTGACAGACCCTGAGGAAAACTTTGGTACCGGAATGATTTCCTGTCCCGATGAATCACAGTCCCGTCCAATATCCATGGTTGCCACCAGATTGGCCGCTACCAGCCATGCATTCGAACTAGCCAGCAACCGGCCAGGACAGACCCTGCGAATGAAGAGATGAAATTTAGCAAAGTATGTAGTACTACAGTTATACACATTACCTTCTTCCGAACCCGAACGCAAATGTACGCGGGTCAAGTAAGTCTTCGGTGCCATCGGTGGTCTTGAGGAATCGATCAGGGTTGAAGACTTCAGGATTCGGATACATATCCTCATCTCGCGTCATAGCCCTGAGAATCCGTTCAGACACCCGTCGACCCACAACGTTGGAAACCCTACCAGATATTAGAGATTATCATGGTCCCTCCCGGGATGTAGTAGTCGCGGTATTGATCATCTTGAGAGACGTAGTGGGGTACGCCTCGTCAAAAAAAGAGCATGAAGGCATTGTTTTCGCTCGGGCAATGTGCCATACTCACCAAGCGGTGCAGGACAGCACCATCTGTAGTGCATACGATGTCAGATAGAGCCGGACATGCGTAATGAGGGACGTACCGGAGGACCTCCTTCAAAACGCATTCTAGATACGGTAACATCGGTTGATCGTCCGGGGTCGGAAGCCTTGCTTGTCCTACCACCGCGTCCATCTCCGCCTGAGCCTTTCGGTACACCTCGGGATACAGTACCATGGCAAGAACAAATGATATCAGGAAAGTACTAGTCTGGATGGTTTGCATAAGAAAGACAGTATTTGGACAGAACGTAGTGCGAACCGTATCAATCCCGACTAAAATGACCAATGAGCTCAATGGATACTCAGCGGGAGTCAAAACAGTCGTATTTCGTACCTTGATATATGACAGCAGCACCTGCTCTGATTCGAGCCTCGTCCTCTATCCCACCCGCAGTATGTGAGGTCTCCTGCAAAAGGTTGCTTACGTACGAGGGCTTAGCGGATCCGGAAGCCTGCAGGCGCGTGAGCGGTGATCAACGACACACAACGATTGAGTAGCACCATCTTGGCTTTGACGTTCTCGTACGGCAGACTCATTGTTTCGAATGTGAACCGTTTGAGCTCGAGCGCTCTACGCTTGAAGGTCCCCGGGCCCGGTAACCACGTTGGTACGTACTTGACTATCGTCCAATTACGGCCAGGGTTGTCAGAAGGTCTAAGTAACAACGCGAAGAAGATTGCACTCACAAATGGGAAAGAGGTCCACCAGGGTAGAGCCCACCTCCCCAATTTCGGCAATCTCAGCCCCGACTTCGTCTGCCATGCGGACAAAATCATCGTCCGCGGATGTGACGGTATGGCCGTAGCTTATCTCCATGAGCACTCCGGCTGTGTATCTGTCCGCTCAGAATAAGTAGCTGTGGTCACTACTGGGTGAGATAGATTTACCGCTTGAGGTGCGATAAAAAATCTTGAGGCGTTTGAATCATGTTTGAAAGCAATTTGACCACTTCTCGCCGCTGCATAGGACGATAGCCGTCGAGGGAAACTCTGGAGGAGAGCGTCGTCTGGAACCACTTTCGATGCTTCCGCCATTCGTCTCCAACGGACATCAGAAGTATGTTGGGTTTGACGGATTCAATTCTTATATACCAGAAGTTAGTTGCAACGATTCAGCCGATGCTAGGAATGATAGCTCACAATTCACTGAGCAGCACAAAGCGCGGCCTGTCTGAATACGTTGCGCCGCGCTTCTCCAAAAGGTCTCGTGCAGCGCGCACCGAGTTCAAGATGACGATGTGCTTCTGTAAGACACGTGCATATATGATATCCCCTGAAGCCGATTCAGCATGTGCACATACTTCATCAGTAAAACCGCGCACCATATTTGACCCCCCATTCAGTAAACGTATCCTGTTGATACTCCAATGGCATCTGTAGAGCATTTCCTACCAGAGGGAGCCCCTTTGGTCCGGGCGGTAGATATTTACCCACTCTCTGCTTTGAAGTGCGAGAGAAGACGAGCCATAGGACGGTTAGACAGCATATAGTCACTCCAAGATAAGGTGTCAGGTCAAGCGTCATTGTGCAATGCATCGGCGAGACTGCTCTCATGTCCTATTTGTACTCGAGATATGAAGAGCTCTGTGAAAACAACTTCGCATAATATCCCAGAACGTAATGCGGCGCCTCACCACATGGGGGCCGGACGGCTCCGCTGACAGCTAATCAGTGACTGAATGGACTCCATACTGCAAAATGGAAGTCAATGCGCTGACGAAGCATCCGACGCACGCGGTTCGGAGAAGTGGGGATGATTGGTTTTCTCACATCACTTTTAGAAGTCCGTACAAGAACCCGAAACTTGCTGAGAATATATCACATAACGGGGGGTTTTTTTCCACCAGATTACGTCGCTGAGCGATTTTCGACCTTAGGATCGGTAGGGAGTGTTCCCATATGACCAACGTCCATTGATCGAAGATGATTGTTGTGCAAAAGAGGCGGGACGGTTGGTGAACAGCGACAGAGACCTTGCGACTATCAGAAAGACCGACATCTATCAGCTTGCTGCCATATGATTAGATTTCCGTAGAGCAAGCTGTAGAACGAATGAAATTGTGCGTCCCGTTGATACATCCAAGGCGTTGCTTGTGCGCGTTAGAAGATCAAGAACTATGAATAACCTCGGTATCTCAACAGACGGTGTATTGCAAATGCAGAGCCTATCTGCAGGTCAACAACGCGCAAGGTAATGGTGATTACTCACTTTTGCTGCAGCCGATGATACTCTGACTAAACGTCGCCACGGTGATCTAAAAAGCCTCTGCGGATGCCCGAAGATTTTAGGTACCGGAAGGCAGGCAGGTGAATAACCCCGTCGTGATCGAACGACGGAATTAAACTGAAAGACCTCCGCGATATCTGTTATACAAGCGTATCAGCGACGGGAGCCTGTTCAGATAGCCAGGAGTATTCATACGTACCTGTCGATGTGCGCTTTTGCTCTGTACGAGAATTGAGTAAACATGTGAGACCATTCTGATGCTAGCTTGTCGAATATAGGACGTTCAGCGTTCAAATTGCGCAGGCTGGGGATCGAGATAGCAGGGACCTATAGACAGCTCTGGAATCCAAGCACGAGAACAGTTCGAGACAAAACGGCGAGGTGCGAAGCATGTGATGACATGCGAGACCAGCTCGCCACGAGCACCAGTCCGCATCTGCTGATAGCACATCGATGCCAGTGTAAAGCTTCCTCCGATGCGCAATTCGCGGCATAAGCAACCGTCCTCTGTATGGAAGAGCGAATCATCCCAACTTCAGTTCGTCTAGCAAGTTAGTCTCGAGCTGCAAACGCAAGATACAGTCCGAAGTGGGGTTGATAGTAGTCGCCATCTCCCGCAATATAGTATAGACAGACATCAGTTAGTCAGAACTTCCGGCTCCGTTCTTCCCAGCCTTCATCTGTATAGTCATCCGTGCGATTTGCATAGATAGTGTCTTGATGTTACATGGGAATGGTTTCAGTCTCTGAAATTGAGTTCGATATGCATGCGAAACGTCCTTTATTGCTTGGCCTGCGACGGGCACCGAATCAGAAATGATCTCCTCTCACGCCGAATCGCGAGACCTATATAGACGGGTTAAGAGTGCTCGTAGACACGGGAGACATGGAGGTATTTTCGAGCGTGCTATATGCTGTGACAAATGCTAATTAGACAGTCAACCTTCAACCATAATAAGTGAATGTTACATGTGCCACCACAAATTAGTGTGGGCATCAGCCGAGCTGAGCTGAGCTGAGTCATGTAACTCGCCGTCAACTCGGACCTCCGAGTTTCCTTGGGGCGAGTCGCGAGTCAACTCGCGAGTCCACCGTATATCAAAATGGAATGCGCTTGTACGGTCCGGGTGGAGATGCGATGGTTCAAAATTCAACAACCATGAACGGTTGACATCCATGAACACTCCACTGGCTGCGTATTCGTCGGAATCATTTGTAAACGATGCAATGGAGCTCAAAGCGTGAGAAATTTACCTCTTGGGATGAGGTGCAAAGTCTTGCAGTTTTTGAGTAGGTTCGTTAAGAATACCACTTCTCGCTTCCAGTGGGTTGGAGGCCGATAGCCATCGAGCGCGACCCTGGTTGGCAGGGCTATCCGGAACCGCTTTTGATGTCTAGGCCGCTAATTCTTCATATGGCATAAAATGAGTCTACGGCTCGGCCGCTTCAATCTTGAGATCAGAATGCTTTAATCGAGGTAAGATATTTCTTCTATTACGCACATTTCGTTTATCAGCCCAAATGCGGTTCACCCAAGTTTGTAAAGACGCGTTTATCCAGCAGCTGTTATGCAGTGTGCGCAGAACTCAACTTGATGATCATATGTTCCGAGAGAGGCTTGCGTATGTAGATCACACCTTCTGTCATTCATTGAGCAGAAAATGTGTTATGACGGCCCCGAACGCTCACCTTAGTCCCCGACTTGCGAAAGTGTTCTGCTGACACTCGAGTAGAAACACGATGTGCACCGAAGTTCGTATGATGGCACGTTGCTTGTCGCAGTAGCGAGCGTCTGTAATCATTCTTTGAAGCAGCAAGAGACAAGTGAGAGCGTGAGGAGTACGATGGCGCAGTTAGTAATGTACAGCATGAGGTGTGGAGGAAAACCATGATCAAAATGAGAAGGCATCTTGAGTCAAGTGGCCGTCGTCGTCTATGTAATCGAAGCCATCAGGAAAGTACTGACCATCGTCACTGGATCCTCTCACTCAGGCAGGCATGAAACAACCTCTTCTATCAGCTACAAACGGCCCCACAGGAGACGTGATCATATTTGTAGCAGTTTTGGGTACCGCATAGCGTTTGACAATCATCTGCAATTTAAAAGGATAGCGGCGCTCGTTCCTCACGCTAGAGTCTTCAATTAATGATACCTACTGCTCGTCGTGCGACCTGTTTAGAGTCGATCTCTGATTTGTTACCCCGTTCGTTAATCATTCCTGTCTAAGACAGCACAGCCGCGTGTGATCTTCTTCGTCTTCAAGTTGTGCTGGCGATGCCTGGTAGTATTGTCTGACTCCGCTACCGCCCACGGTCGGAAGCGCGCTCGCCACAGCCTTCGTGCGCACCCACCATGATCGCACAGGCCCTCGCACCCTTCGCACTTCTTGTCGTTCCTCACGACCCGACGCTACTCACGAACAGCCCATGTTTGGCGGACGCTTACTATGGACAGTACGGACTCCATAACGTATTCATCACTGACGATGCGTGTCTTGGCTCGTCGGGCGACTTCCTCTCTACAGGATCTATTGTGCCGGTGATTCTTTCAAGCGAACAGCAGCTTGTCTGGCTGGAGCACAAGGTGGTAGACGATGCGATCAGACCTGCGATATTTGTCGACGAGATGGATGCCTTCCTCGCCGAGCTGGTTGACATTGAGTACCCTACTATCTACGACGCCAATACGGCGTACGACTCGGAGCAGCTCGCCATCACGTCCGTCCAGTCTTCCAAGGTGCTTTACCACACGCCAACTAGTGTCCTGCTCTCTATTCCATCTGCGCTATTCCCTTCGCTTGACGGGATCCTCCCTCGCTTCTGGACGCCCACACCCTTGCCAGACGCGCCCGTGCCTTTTCAACCTGTCCCGGAGTCCTCTATCAAGCGCGTGCGCGAGTTACTTGATCAAGTGAAGTATGATTCTGCCATTGCTGCGCTCGTTGGGAGCATCTCGCTGTCTCAGATGCGGAAAGATGCGCGATACCTCACGGGCGAGGATCCCGAGTCGCCTCTGATCTCGCGTCATTCGTTCTCCCAAGGGGCTTTGGACGCCGCGGACTGGCTCAAGGAGCAATTTGAGAGTACCGGTGCGAGCTGTGAACTGAAAGACTTCCTCACGGGCTTCGCGCCGAACGTCATCTGGTCTGTCCTCTCCCACATACTGTGCACAATCGTTCATCTCGCTGACGTTGCATGCAGCAAGTACGCTGCTGAAGAAGAAACGACCGAGACGCTACTTCTGAGCGCGCATTATGACAGCCGCGGCTCGTTCGGGAGCATGCGTGCCCCGGGTGGGGACGATGATGGTTCGGGGACGACCGCGCTCCTCACCATCGCGCGCACGATCGGAAGTAAGGGCGTGGTGTTCCGCAAGAACGTGCAGCTGTGCGCGTTCGCAGGCGAAGAGCAGGGACTGCTCGGCTCGAAGGCGTATGCGCGGGAGATGCGCGCGGCGGACGCGGATTTGACGCTTATGATCCAGGCGGATATGTTGGCGTACCATGTCCCGGGCGAGCCCTTGCAGCTGGGACTGCCAGAGTTGTGCGTGTCCTTCTACATTCTGTTTGCCCTCCGTGCTTTGCTCACTGCATATGTTTCGTGCAGCGTTGGGACACCGGAGGTGGCTCAGCTAGTCTCAAACATGTCGGCGTTGTACAGTCCCGAGCTGATGGTTGGGTATACTCGGGTGCGTGTCTAGTCAGTGTCTGTAACAGTTGAAGACAAATGCTGAACGCCAATGTACTGCGGACTCTGCCACAGGCTTGCTGCAGTGACCACCAGGTTGGTGCCCGAGATCACCTTGTGCATTTGATATCGTTCTAAATGGATTCTTCCACCTGTCTGCGCAGAGCTTCCATGAACAGGGCTTCCCTGCGACACAGGTCTTTGAGCGCGCAGGACCCATCGCGGACCCCATGTACCACAACAGCGGTGAGCATTGGCTACCCCCTTTCCGCCCTTGGCATTGCCGTATAGCTCTACTCGGGTTCTCTGTATCTCATGTACCGCACGTCGTCTCCATGGCAGGTGATCTGACCGTCCGCGAAGGATACGATTTCGAACAGGTTCGCTCGATAGCGAAGGTGCAGGTACGTCGTTCATGTATCTGTTGCTTGAAGACGCCAAAGATTGATTGATTCATCTGTTTTATTTGCGGGGGGAATTTGGAATGTGTAGTTCGCGACACTGTTGCATTCGGCCGGGTTTGAGACGAAGCAGTAGAGCTCGGGATATCATTCAGGTACGTTCGTCCATATATATCATTCTCGAAGTCAGATCATTCAGCAGTTCAGATGCTGCCTCGCCGATGATCGTTGGCCGTGTCAACGCTCGACGTCCTGGAGTAGGAAAGGGTATTTCTTCGGTTGTACATCGCTATTTCCTATACCTGTGTGAGAGTATACCTGCAGCGTCTCCTTGGGAACAGCAACTCGACGACGTTCATTCAGGCGTAATCGGCCATTAAGCGCGTCGATTGTTGGACGTATCGCCATCTTGGCTAGGCCGAGGATATCCGGACACCACGCAAGATTAGACCTCGGCTGTAAGATTTGGTTGGATGCGCCAATCGCTGTGCTGTGTTGAGATGCATAGCCAGCTGCGCACCCACGTCTCGTGTGTCTCTGGGAGACGGCGTATTCTTTGTGGCTTCTTGTCTTCATATGAATAAGATTTTGTCTCATAGCTTGCGGAGTATTGTGTTGCGGTTCGCACCGCCTTGCCCACCACCAAGGCGTCTCATCTCATGCCGAAGAAAAGGTTTTCATCTGTCTCCATATTATCCCTATTGATCTCAGCAATCACATTTAACTGATGCGGGTGATGGCAACAGCTGCGCCTCGTGTACATGTCATTCCATCGTCACGAAGCGCTTCGGTTATCTATGTACATATCTCGACCATCAATTCATCAACATAACTGAACCACTATAGATGGCTCGTGGTAGGTGGGACAGCTTCTCTTCGGCACCCCTCATACAAACCCTGGTCCTCGTGGTCTATTTAGTTGGCGACCGAGTCTTGGTCACTGGTGAGGCTCTTCCCGCCAGGTATCCCCCGCCTGCGGCCCCCGCTGGCCAATTATTTACTCTCTTCCCGCTTATATATCGTGGCCTCTCATCTGGCGCGACTTGTGTTCGCTTCTTTATCGTAACATATCTTCAAAATGTATAACCTTGCGGGCAAGATTTCTTCTAAAGCGAGATCCTTGGTGCGTCTCTCCGATCACTTCACTCACGGAGACCCTCGCTAACGGAATCGGTGGTTTTGGGTGCACAGTATACGAGGATCTCGATTACGCGCTTTGGCCTCGCGTTCCTTGTGCTGAGCTTTCTCCACTGCCTCGCGCAAGCCACGATTCAGATCTATCTATTGAAGGGCGACCGGGGCGCCTCTATCGAGTTCCTGCGCATCCAAAGCGCCTCAAATGTGTCGTCAAAGGCAATCGCGTGGTTGGACGTGAAGGGACATGACAATTACACGCTGAGGGTGTGTACCGACGTCCCGCTTACGCTGCAGGGAATCGAGTCGTGCGAGATCATGTTTGAAAGTGGCGTGTTTGAGGCGGGTAACGCGACGGTCTCTGCCGCAGCGGCTACGTCGGCATGTGTATGCTCATCTGAGGTGATGAGACGCTTATGCGGGTGACGATCGTAGGTACTCACTGCCCGAGGGATCGATGTGAAAACGGTGACTCCGGTGACGAACGCCTCTAATCAAGTGGACGGCGCGAACGTCACCTTTACGAATGGGTCGCAAACGGAGACCGTCATGGTCAATGAGCAGTGTGCGCAGGTGCTCGTGTATCCCACCGAGGTGTACGTTTCGTTTGCTCTGATCGCGTGCGACGCCAGCATATCACTGCTCTACATGACAGGATGCAGTCGTATGCGATCGAGGACGTCGCATTGTTGGGGCTGCAGGCATGGCTCTTGTGCATCTCGTTCATCGCTGTGAGTGAGCACTTGTATACAGGCGCTCTCTCAATTGATCGGAGTGACAGGTCGCATGCTACTCCATTCCGCACACGTACGTCGCTGTTGTATCTGCGCGCTGGCACATCATGACCGAGTGCCTCGGTCAAACGCAGCATCGCTATCATATGCACCAGAGTACTGGCGACGATGTGGGCTGCCTACTCCGTCTGGCACACGCTCTATTCCATGGCGGTCTTCGACGCACTCTTCTTGGACGACGCAAGCCCGTGCAAGTTCGACTTGTTCCCGTCGCTTTTTGACACACGTCTCGCGCTGGCTGTGAGTGTCATCTCATCCATGTCGGACATGGAGATGGCGACTCAAGTCCGATCATCATCGCAATCATGCAGATTGCCGTATTATTGTCTAACATCTCGGGATTGGCCTTCACGTCGTGGCTCGGATGGGCACTCATCAAGGTATTCGCGGGCTCTTGTGTTGCCAACGCTGCACCTTTACCTGATTGACGCGGCTTCTCAATAGACTTTCAGCACATTCACGTTCCGGCGCGTTGGCCCTCCCCGACCGATCGTCCGGATCTACCGTGTAAGCCCCCACTCCTTGATATTCAGGTACATCCAATCGCTACATGCGGTATATTCACCTGTGCCATGTAGTTGTTCCTCGCCATGTCTGTCCTCCTGCAGCTATGCGCGTACTTCCTCATCACAGCCACTGCGATGTGGATCTCGTGGCTATTTCACGGCGCGATCGGGCGCATCTCCACTCACAATGCCTTGTATGAAGGCTTATTCATCGCTACGATCATTGTGAGTCCTGATGAACACTATCGTAGCATGTTTCATGAGCGCTGACGTAATATGTCATCACGATCGGCGTAGTCGATTCTTCCGTGGATTATCACGGTGCGCCATCCTGCCACTGCTCAAAGCACGCCTGGGAACTAACAGGACGCTAGGGTTGGTACGCTGTCCGGCACGAGCGCGAGACGCTCATGGCGGTGTTCCTTGTTGTATGCTTCTTCTACATCGTGAGCTGGTCGATCATGTTCTACTCAGAAGTCTACCGGTGGACCTTCCTCGCATGGTTCTTCTTCGCAGCGTTGACGATCGTCTCGTTCGTCATGCTGATCGCTACCGCGGTGTTTGGTGTGATATGCAGGCTGAACTTTGGCAAGGGGCTAGCGGAGTACCGTGCGTATTTGCTCGCTTATCAGCCTGATCATCAGATGTACACATCTCGTTGCTGACGTGCTGCTGCGATACAGTGCATGCCGAAGCGGTGCTTGCTGAAGCCAACTTTACACCGGGGCTATTTTCACAAGAGGAAGAGAAGATGTCGACGCGGAGTGACAGTCTCTATGACGTGCCTGTGCTCACTGGTGGGAGCGCACGGACACACGATGTCAACTGGGTCTCCTTCGATGTCGAGCGGCCTCCGATTATCATTATGGCACACGGTGACACGACATCGGCATCTCTATGATGCTTGCACGTATGTCTCTTCGTACCATTATTGGTCCATCCAGGTGATGGACGTTGCGATTGGATTCGCTTTCATATACGGGATCATCTCATGCTGTATTCCCGATCCTGAACCTAGTAGTAGGCCATGTTCCATCGTATCACACGCACGTTATTGTAGACAGTACTGTCATTACGGCCCAACCTGTACTCTGCATCATCGATGTCGCTCAAGCTCACATTGCTTTTCGTACTCTGAGCGAGCTCGGCGTACTGGCTATACTTCGTACGGATAGGCGTTGCATACCATATTTCCGGGACATGCTCCAGCCCCAACACATATGCATTTACTTCCCTGTATGCATTGAGCATGCATGGCCGTCTCGACATCCGAGTCCAAGCCTTCGTATAGTAGGCTCCGTGGTTTTTTTTGTAAAAAAAAACCTAACCTGAGAAAGAAGTGCTCGCAGTGGTACATAACGGCCGAACAAATAAGGAAAAACGCTTGCTGAATCAGTCCAGAAACATGTGGTATGTGTCGCCGACTTGGCGGACCTAGGTCCTGAGTACTGCAATTCGGGCTTCATCCTCATCAGGGGCCTCTTTACACCGGCTCCCCAGCTTCCATTCCTGCGAAGAGTCATTATTCATCGCATCGCGATGGATATACATATCATTCGATGGGTGGGAAGCCCGAGTTGTCGTAGCTTGGAGGAGGATCGGACTCACAGCGAGTACGGCAGTACGAAAGACTCATGAGGATGTCTGTCGTTTTGGCTATTAATACCTGCACACGGTGTAATAGCCTGTGGACTACTCTCGACCGGTCGATTACACCTCGTATGGGAAAGCATTCCGTATCTCAGGGACATGCTCGAGCCCTATGCATCCACCGGCATGAATGCATTGCGCCAAAGCCGTCGCAACGTCCAAGCCTTCGTAGTAAGCCCCGTGCAGGAAACCTATCCGGAGCACGTCAACATCGCGATCAAGACTTCCACTGCTCCGTCCAGCTCACCAAAGTATTTGATGCTCGTCGCCTCCCCGGCAAACCAGAGCCGCTCGTCCACGGTGGCCCTGAAGTTTGTGTGGTGCCCGCTAAAGAACGAAGGCGGCCAGTTGGAATATGACCCTCGGAAGAGCGGGTCGGTATGCCAGCGCGGAAAGTAGAACGCTGTCGGCTCGGGGATGGTGATATCAGGGTACATCGCCTGCAGGACTTGTAGGACTTCGGCTTTGACCTCGTCGTCTGAGAGTGCTTCGATGCGGACAGAATATTCTCCCTGGAGAACGAGAGACAGATCGACATTGTGAGTAAAATGGGAGAAGTACTTGTGGCTTACGGTGACCGTCACGAAGACGATGCCCGATCCTGGGAAGAATGCCGTAAGATTCATGTTTTGCCAAACAGGATACCTGCCTCGCGTGGTGTCCGCGTACAAGGCCATCTGGAGCGAGAACGTCAGCACAATGCTCGTCTCCGCTGTGGAAGGACGAATGATTTGACGCACCTGGGTATCGAACCAGAAATCCTCCTCAAACTGCAGGAAGATCTTCGTGTATGTTGCCTGAAGAAGCAAAGAGTCACTACGAGTCATCACAACCGATGCAGCATCAATGGCCTACCATAACCATGCTCTGAATCGCCTCCTGCTTCCAGTCTGGCAATGACGGCTCGAACGTGACATCATCATTCTGCAACACTCCCAGACTGAAAGTGCACAAAGCATAGTCCGCCACGAGTTCTATGCCATTCGTGAGCGTGACACTGACGCCGTCCGTGGAGTACGCAATATTCGTGACGGTCGCGTTGTACATGACCTGCGATGGCTGGAGGAACTCGGCCGCCTCAGCTTGGATGAAGTGCTTGAACCCACGCTGGTCGATGGACATCATGTTGTCGTCTCCGAAGCCGCCCACGTCGGGGTCGTAAGTGAAGTTATTACCCTATCAATGAAACATTAGTATGTGGATAGCGCATACCAGATCTTCCACGTACCCAAGAGCTGGCGATCAAAGAGGACTCGATAGGCGTCTGCGCGTATTCCCAGTCAAACTGGTAGTATTCGCAGGCCTTCTCAGCAGGCGTAATCGGCTTCGCGTCAATGAGAGAGTATCCACTGCGTGCAGTAAGGTCGACCAGCTGCTTCTGCACGCGCTCTCCAGCGACCACCGTCAGTGTCGTATAGTTATTCGTAGAATCGTCAAAGACGTCCGTGTAGTTTACGGCGCCGCTCTCGTCATAGGTCGCTGGTTGACAGAGTCGTCAGACATCGTTCGTTCGTGGCATTTGTGGATGGCTCGACGTACTCATACTGCCGTACCAGTCATTATACACAGTCTTGACTTGGTGCTTCTGCACCAGTTCCCAGATGGGGTTCACGGGCCCGTCGCCGGTCTGCGTGCCTTGCACCCAGTTAGGACCCCTCTCGACTACCCATTCGTTGCCCGGTACGCCAATAGTCTCGGTCTGCAGACGGCCGCCGAGTTCATCTTCACGTCAGAAACGCTGGTGAGATCAACCACTGTCGCGTCGACAAGAATGATGCTCTTACCTCGAGCTTCCACGATAATGAAGTCGGTGATTCCCTGCTCATATAGAGTTTGCGCAGCGATCACGCCGGCCACCCCACCACCGAGGATGAGCACCGTAGGATCTGCTTCCTTGATGTCGCTCTCCGCTTGTGCTCTTCCGACTGAGCGAGCAATTGCTGGGATACTCACGACCAACAGCGTTCCCAGGCTACACCAACGGCGGGACCTCGGGAAGAACATGCCGAACAGTTCGCCCACAAACTAAAACGTCCGGGAGAGGAGAGCGAGAGAGGAAGAGGTGATACAGAACAGCACCCACACACACTGCTAGGGACACATGCCTGCTGCTCTTATATCCGTGGGCTCCCAGGGCGATAACGGCTACAGTATGGGATGCACCCTACATCTGTTCATTTGCCGTAAATGATGGACGGGACGACAAGAAAAGTCAACTGACTGCTGATGACACGCCCCTACGTCCAGATAACGGTGTTGCGCCAAGTTCCGTGTCTGATCAGGTAGGCAATAGTAGCAGCAGCTTTGACCGACAACCGATCACCGACAACTGACGAGCGGGCGTTGATGCTGAACGCATAGCGACTGAGCTCTTCGGTCGATGAACCGGACTTGGACTGCAATACATACTTGGAGTCCATGATTAGCCAATAGTGGCGTTGACACCTTTCTGATGGCCAGAGTTTCACTTATCATCGACAGAGCATGCGGACACAAGAGACTGACGCGTGGCGCCTGTCCTTCAAAAAATAGAGCCGAGTCAAGACGAGTTCGGTTACGTGCTTCTGCGATATCGTCGGGAAAGAATGTCAAGTACGCCAGTGATCGAGGCAAATAAAGAGAGAATGAATGTGGCGGCACGTGCGGCCAATTTGACGCGCTTGTGGCGTCCGGCGCTTGTGTGACTCTGGCACAAGTCACCCTTGGTATACGAGCTGTACAGCCTCGTAGTGCTATCTGCCCACCTTTGCCTTATTACCGGCACTCGAAACATCCGCTACACTTCGTATGGGTAGGCATTCCGTATCTCAGGAATAAACTCGAGCCCTGTGCATCCACCGGCTTGGATGCATTGCGCCATGGACGTCGCAACATTCAAGCCTTCGTAGTAAGCCCCGTGTAGGAAACCTATCCGGAATAGGTCAACGTCGCGACCAAGACATTCACTGCTTCTTTCAGCTCACCGAAATACTTGATGCTCGTCGCCTCCCCGGCAAACCAGAGCCGCTCGTCCACGGTGGCTCTGAGGTTTGTGTGGTGCCCGCTGGTGAATGAAGGCGGCCAGTTGGAATACGACCCTCGGAAGAGCGGGTTGGTGTGCCATCGCGGGAAATAGAACGCGGTCGGCTCGGGGATGGTAGCGTTCGGGTACATCGTCTGCAGAACTTGCAGGACTTCGGCTTTGACCTCGTCATCTGAGAGTGCTTCGATGCGCACGGAGTATTCTCCCTGGTAAATGAGAGATGAATCGCCGTTGTGAGCAGGATAGGGGAAGTATGACTTACAGTGACTGTCACGAAGATGACGCCCGAACCCGGGAAGAAGGCGGTAAGGTTCATATTCTGCCACACAGGATACCTGCCGCGCGTGGTATCCGCATACAAGCCCAGCTAAACCGAAAGCATCAGCACAATGTTCGTTTCTGCTTTCACAAGGGAAATAATTTGCCGTACCTGGGTGTCAAACCAAAAGTCCTCCTCAAATTGCAGGAAGATCTTCGTGTACGTTGCCTGCAGAAGCAAAAATCACCACGAGTTATCACGACTGCTATGACATCAATGACCTACCATAACCATACTCTGGATCGCCTCCTGCTTCCAATCCGGTAGCTGCGGCTCGAACGTGACATCGTCGTTCTGCAACACTCCCAAACTGAAAGTGCACAAAGCATAGTCCGCCACGAGCTCGGTGCCATTCGTGAGCGTGACACTGACGCCATCGGTGGAGTACGCAATGTCCGCGACCGTCGCGTTGTACATAACTTGCGGTGGCTGGAGGAACTCGGCCGCCTCAGTTTGGATGAAGTGCTTAAACCCACGCTGGTCGATGGACATCATGTTGTCGTCTCCGAAGCCGCCCATATCGGGGTCGTAAGTGAAGTTGTTCGCCTGTGAAGAAAGAATTGGCACGTGAATCGCATACACTAGAATTTTCACAGACCCAAGAACTGGCGATCAAAGAGGACTCGACAGGTGTCTGCGCATACTCCCAGTCAAACTGGTAATACTCGCAGGCCTTCTCAGCGGGCGTCATAGGCTTCGCGTCAATGAGAGAGTATCCGCTGCGCGCAGTAAGGTCGACCAGCTGCTTCTGTACGCGCTCTCCAGCGACCACCGTCAGCGTCGTAAAGTAATCGTCGGAATCGTTGAAGATATCGGTATAGTTCACTGCGCCGCTTTCGTCATAGGTCGCTGGTTGAGGGAGTCGTCAGGCGTCATTCATTCGCAGCATATGTGGACGGCGACGTACTTATGCTGCCGGACCAGTCGCTATACACAGTCTTGACTTGGTGCTTCTGCACCAGTTCCCAGATTGGGTTCACGGGCCCGTCGGCTGTTTGCGTGCCTTGCACCCAGTTAGCACCTCTCTCGACAACCCATTCGTTGCCTGGCATGCCAATAGTCTCGGTCTGCAAACGGCCGCCGAGTTCATCTTTTATTAAAAATGTTCGTGAGATCAAACGCTGTCGCGTCGGCGAGAGCCACGCTCTTACCTCGAGCTTCCACGATAATGAAGTCGGTGATGCCCTGCTCGTACAGAGTCCGCGCAGCGATCACGCCTGCCACTCCACCGCCGAGAATGAGCACCGTAGGATCTACTTCCCTGAGGTTGCTCTCATGCTGTGCTCTTCCGATTGAGCGAGCAGCTGCTGGGATGCTCATGGCGAATAGCATTCCCAGGCCATACCAACGGCGGGATCTCGGGAAGAACATTGTCGAACAGCAAACCAAAGCGTCCGGATGAGGAGAGCGAGAGAGAGAACTCGGACGGGCGGTGTAAAACAGCACCCCACATTGCCGGCGATGCATTTTCGTTCCTCTTATACCTGCGGGCTCCCATGTGGATGGCTAATCAGTTTGGCATGTACCTGATATCTGTGCTTTGCCGTAAATCATATGGAAAAGATGAGAAGAAGTGCCGTTCACGTATCCTTACTTCCAGATAAGAGCGTTGTGCTAAGTGTCGTGTCTGATCAGGCAGGTGATAGATTAGCTTTGGCCGACAACTGGTAATTGACAATGACAGGCGAGCGCGATGCTTACACGTAGAGCAACAACTGAGCTCTCCCCGGTCGGTGCGACGCTCGGAGTCCAGAAGTCGCCGTGGCGTCGTTCTGATGGACAGGATCAGACATCGCATCGACAGAGCATGCGGGCGCAGTAGACTGAAACGAGATACCGGTCCTCCGGGAATGGAGCCAAGTCAAGACGAATGAGATTATATACTTCTTCGATATCGTCGTGCAAGGATTTCCACGTACGCCGGTAGACAGCTCGAGAATGTTAGCAGCACAGACAGATGCTACGGGCATGGCACAATCTAAATCGCATCAGAGAATCCCTTTGCGTAATAGTTGAAGCTGTACATGTGGGAAAGCAGATGAAACCGGCGTGAAAGAATGAGCCGGGTTTTTGTTCAGAGTTTTCAGTGCAATTGAACTGTCTGACTGACGCAACGAGACAGAGAGTGGTGAGTGGTTGCCGTGGCTGGACGCTGAATATTGATTGCGAGTCAACGAGCGACACGTCTTGAAGTTGAATGTTGAACGTTGAACGTTGAACGTTGAATGTGCTAACACTAGTAATGGAACGTGTTTGTGGCGGAGGGCGCCTAATATGTTGGCTTGTGCCCAAACCCTTTGGTGAGCTGAGCATGCTTGAATCAGGCTTCCTCCGTGCACCGAAGGCTTTTAATACGTGGGCGCAATATAGTATTCAATAAGCTGTAAAGAAGATGGCTTCAACGAACGAGCCAGAGGCTGTGCAAGCATTCAGAGCCTGGCTCGTTGAAAACGGCGGGAACGTTCACCCCGATGTCACGTTTCGAAAGGGTGAGTCGACTATCGAACATTCAACAAACGCATGATGCAGGTTTTTAACTCAAAACGGTATAAACAGTCCCATCCGGATACTCAGTTGTAGCCCGCAACGACATTCCATCAGACACGACAGTGGTTTCCTGTCCATTCTCGCTGGCTGTGACCCCAGGATACTCAAGGAATGCTCTGTCAACGACGCTCAAGACCCTTCAGTCAAATGATGTCATTCGTGATTGGTCGGAGAGGCAATTGATATGCTCATATCTTTGTATGCACCGGATTTTGGGCCGGGAAAGGTATTTCCTTTTCCCGTAAGGACAGTTTGCATTTGCAACTCGGACAAGTCGATGGAGACACGTAGAGCGCATATTGTGCTGTTTAGGTCGCCATTGCTCCATCTACTTGTCCCTGTTGCCAACGACGTCCTCCGTCTCATCTTTCATCACTGTTGATGGCGGTAGTTGTCCGCCGGCGTTCCAACACTGGCTGTATCTGGACACCTTACCATCCCCTGACAAGCTACGGACATCGTTACATTTCACAGCGTCTGAATTGGAGGCATTCAAAGGAAGCAACCTATATGGAGCCACGGTCGACCGGCAGCGCGACTGGCAGACGGAATGGCAGCAGTGTTGGGACGCACTCACGACCGCGAACGGTGCATGGGGGAATGGGTATACTTGGTGAGTGTCTGCACCTTGTGTGGGCACGAATATCAAGCTTGATTTGCATCCACGCTGACGTCGACGTGACTGTTCATACAGGGATAGATACCTGACTGCGGCTACATATCTGTCATCACGAGCCTTTCCTTCGACACTGCTCTCTGCAACTCCATCTCTGACATCTACGCCAACGTCCGATCCAGTCCTCCTACCTGGCGTCGACTCACTCAATCATGCTCGTGCACAGCCTGTCTCTTGGGTTGTTTCCTCAGCTTCTTCTGCTTCGTCCGAGTGAGGTCCAATTCATTATTGGCTTGCCGTCCATCTGATCTGACCAACTTTAAATTACCACCAGGTCCACAATCTCTCTTGTTCTGCATAACTCGACCTCGCGCGGTTCCGAACTCTTTAACAATTACGGACCAAAGCCCAACGCCGAGCTGATCCTTGGGTACGGCTTCGCCCTCCCACACAATCCTGACGACACGATCGTTCTCAAGCTGGGCGGAAATGCTGGCTCCGGCGGCAAGTGGGAGATCGGCCGGAATGCACGTGGTGCGGAACCTGTGTGGGAAGCGGTGCTTCGCGCGGTATGTGCGGGAGATGATGAGGAAGAGGAAGAAGTGGAAGCGGATGTAGAGGATATGACGTATGCAGCGGAGACGCTGGCTTCGATGGCTCAGGTTTTGCTGGACCGGCTTCCTAAAGGGAGACAGAAGGATATGAGAGAAGAGGTTGCGATCATGCTCGAGTATTATCTTGAGGGTAAGCCACTGTTCTGGTTCTCTGTTGGGTACGGCGTACGTGATCACTGACCAATGCTCGTCGCAGGGCAACGAGATATCCTGCAGTCTTTGATCAAATTTGCTCAAGAGAAAGGGAAGCATGCTGAAAAGTTAGCTTCCGTTCAGAGTGTTGATGATTCCGATGAGGAGGAAGGTTTAGGTAGCTAGCCTATCAGCAGGGATTGCTGCGAAGTTCATTAGATTGTGAGCATCAGTTTTGAAGTACATTGATCAGGTATCCGTCCTCTGTGCCAGACAATCTTGAATCATCGGAATAAACTTCGCGACTGCCCGTGATAAGCCTCATTCGTGGACGTTGGTGCATTTTTGTCTCTTCTTGAGTTCGTTATTCGGAAATAAAGTCGCGTCCATCACGCGTCTGTGGCGTGGCAATTTGAGCGCGGTCTGCCCGTCCGGCGTCTGTATTCTTCCTGGGCCCTTATCTCTGCGTTCATATACTTACTGTACCACGATGTTAGCTCTCATTTCTCTCGGATCCCTTCCCTCCTCTGTTCATCGCAAGAGATCACCATGGACTTGCAGGAGGATCTCCTAGATCTGTATAAAGTCGTCTCAACATACCCTGCAATCGATAACCACACCCACGCATTGCTCAAGGAGGAACATCGCGATGCTGTACCCTTCGAAGGCTTGATATCGGAAGCTACCGGACCAGCGTTAACGGAGGATGCCATCCATACACTGGCATGCTATCGCGCCGCTGCGCAGCTCGGGAAGCTCCTCGGCCTGGGCGAGACGGCCGAATGGGAGGACGTCAAGCGTGCGAGGAGCGCGATGGACTACGATCATTTGTGTCGCACGTTCATGGAGCCAACGAAGATCCAGTGTGTCCTGATAGACGATGGGCTGGGAACGCGGGATATTGTGTATGACTACAAGTGGCATGATCGGTTTACGACCAGCCCGACGAAGAGAATCGTGAGGGTCGAGATCGTCGCTGAGGTATGTGCGCTATTCCATGCATTTCGTAGTAGCGCGGAGTGACGAGCAAAGCGCAGGACATCCTGAAAGATCTCATGGACGCACAACTTGCAGCAGGCGGCGTCCAAACGAGAGCCCTTATGCAGTCCTTCTCGGAAACGCTTGCCAGCGAGCTCACAGCGAGCGCTTCTGACCCCGAAGTGGCCGGGTTCAAGTCCATCGCGTGCTATCGTACTGGTCTTGACGTGGCGGTGAACCCAGGGTGGGCTGACATAGAGGTCTGCTTGGTGACGGCAGCATTGCGATACGAGTCTACGAAGCGGTTGCGGCTCTCGGATAAGGCGCTGAATGACTTTGTTGTGAATACGACTATGCGGATAGCCGGGGAGTTTGAGAAGCCAGGTTCGCTTACCGTTTTATGTTTTATATGCATGTCATCTGATCGCGCTGCAGTCCAGTTCCATACCGGTCTGGGAGACAATGATATCACCCTGGCGAAATCCTCTCCTTCGCACATGCAACCACTCATCAAAGCCTACCCCATGACGACAATTGTACTCCTGCATTCAAGCTATCCGTACACGCAGGAGGCGGGCTACCTTGCCGCAGTCTACCGAAACGTGTACCTCGACTTTGGCGAGGTGTTTCCGTTCGTGAGTGCAGAAGGGCAGCGGCAGATTGTCAGGCAAGTCTTGGAGCTGTGCCCGACGAATAAGATCATGTGGTCTAGTGAGTGGTACTCTGTCGACCGTACCGAGACGACGTCGGTTGAACCTGTCATTGCGTCGTAGCTGACGGGCATTTCTGGCCTGAATCGTATTACCTTGGGACGATACAAGCGCGGCAAGCGCTATATCAGGTCCGCACTCTTCCTTTCGTAACGTGTCAGTTGGCTGACGTTTGTTTCCTAGGTTCTCGAGGCATTTATGAAGCAGAGAGAGCTTACCCTCGCGCAAGCCACTTCCATCGTGAAGCGTGCGTTCTTTGAGAATGCGAATAGGATATATAAGCTCGAATTGCAGCCGCACGTTATGTGACGCTGGGGAAGAACACGAATGTATACTTTGTAGCGGACGTACCCGTAGGTGGCCCTACAGTGCTCGAAATCGCTCCAGTACGAAAACCGATGTCTAATTGACAAAGTTGCGTTCAGGCCACACAAGCCTGACACCGACGTGCTTCGGTCCTCACAATTAGGGTTCGAGCTTCAATGCTGCCTCGAAGTTTGGATTCCTCGCTCCTGACCAGCGCACCGATACATGCGCAATCAAGTATCCATAAACTCGAGCTGAGCCCTCGGATTCGAGCTGCACGTTGTCTGATAGTCATAGACGAGAACGCAGACATAACTGAAGTCTGATAGATAATGTACTGACTATAGCGCAAAAGTCTACTATTTTCCTCGTAGAGGTGGTGCTATTGAATAGACAGCTCTAACGAATGGTTTGACTTAATTTACCGCCTGTGATCATCTCTTGCGTCCGAAAGTCAAGATTTTGCTGTTATTGCGACCAGCTGCGGCTCTATTGTGGCCCATTGCAATGTATATAGAAACTTTACCACGATCTGTTCACCAGCATCAGCATGCCACGCGTGATCAATATTTCAAGGTTGATTGTTTTAATTCTCACGCGCACGGTTTGCTACGGTTTGACTTTGTCCGGCGCATGCCAACCTTCTGTGAGCTCACTGCCATTGCGTCCTACATCATCCATTGCGCACAGAGCTTTGGTGGATTTCATGCTCACGAGGACGGCTGGCATCGAACTATTGCTGTGGATACGATACTGTGAGTGGAGCGGGTGGTGCTGTCATTCGTGCGGTGGGACATCCAGGTGAACAACATCTTCGAGTTGTCTCCAGTGCGTGGTCCTGCTTCTCAAGCTGTGCATTATTAACACTGTAATTGCAGCAAACAGCTCAATTTCAATCACGTACGGTACCGCATCATATAGTGACATGCTCTCCCCTGATTTGTCCTCAAGGATAACTGTTGTTTTTATTCGGCGACCAACCACTCGTGCACTTAAAAGGCCTGTCTATCAGACCCTTTCTAGTTGGGGTGAGTGTTGTTGCTCATTGCTAGGCTGAAAGCTCAGCAAGGCAACAGAATTTACATACCATGGCCAATATGCAATCCGCACCTGATGACCTACATACTATGCCAGAAGTGACAACACAGCAAGCAGTTGATGAGTTATCCAATGCAGGAATGCAGACGCTCGTGCAGTCGCCGTCCCAACTTGACCACGGCATTCATAATTCCATGCTCCCTATAAACCGCCTGTCCAATGAACTCCTAGTCATGATCTTCATCTGCACACTGGATTCCAAGCCTATAGACGAGTTGACGGACAAGTCGACAGATGAGGCGACAGATGAGTCGATGGACGAGTCGACGGACGAGGCAACGAACCTTCTAGCAATCTCCTACGTATGTCACCGATGGCGTACGTTGGCTATATCCACACCATTGCTATACTCGCGAATCAACTTGCAATCATGGAACACACGTTCACGAAGAAAATTGCTAAACATATTATTGAAGCGGGCGCGATCTGTGCCGTTGGACTTGAGACTCCCTGCCATGGGTGTACGGTCCGGAAACCCATTCGCAGACATTTTATTGTCTCATGCAGGTCACATACAACGACTCAGCATGACAAGAGCAGATTCCGGATCCTTAAAATATCTTAACTTCCCGCTTCCACAACTCGACTTCCTCTCTATTACTGGATCGCCATTCGAGGACACTGTAAGATTCTCACCTTCAGCAGGCCAATTTCCTGTCCTGCGTAAACTCAGCCTTTCTCTCGTCATGGTTCCTTGGGGTTCCAGCATATTCACAACACTCGTCAGCTTGGAACTATTTGGTGTCAGAATGCTGCAAAATGCCTCCGCGCACAGCCTTTTTCTAGATATGTTGGAACATTGCAATGATCTACAACGTTTGGAACTGGATGGCGTGTTGCCGACGGAGCATGGAGGACTTCAAGACCTCACCCGCGTTGTGCGGGTTCCCAACTTACAAAAGCTCCTTATACATGACGTGCCACCATATATCCCATGGCTACTCGAGCATCTTTCCCTTCGTTCATCCACACTTGTCAACATCCATTTTCGCGGATCAAACGATCATCCATTTGAGTTCCCTTATGTGTCCAGGCTCTTTCCTCACCAAGTGAGAGAAAACCTTGCCGCCTTCTCGCAAGCACGATTTCTCGCCGTTCTTGCGGAACACAAGGATGAATTGCTCATCATTTCTGACCTCAATCGGGATGTGTGTGATGAGTTTGAGGCGAGTCTAGCTTTCTCAATGGAAGTCGATGAAGACGTCGATCTGTCGCTATATATGCCTGCGCTGCTGCAGGATATAGCTTCGTTGTTCACCAGTGATCTGTTGCATCTCAAAATCGGAGGAATCACTAGCGGTATGGTAGTCGACCATTGGAAGTCAGTTCTCAATCATTTCCCATCCTTGGAGATGCTGGATATCACTGTCAACGATGAGCCGCGAGATCTGTTTCGTGCTCTTCTCAACTGCTGTTTTCATTTGAGAAGAGCTATCATGCGTCGTGTCTTTATGCTTACAGAGGACGTACAAGCTCTCTTGGCATACCTGTCTTCCCGGGCCGGATTGGGAAACAAATTGGAACATCTCAGGATAGAGACCTGCCTCCAGCCCCTGGACGAGGATGCTCGACGAATCATTGCTTCCTACGTGAATTTTCCGGTGGAGTTCGAGGTATACGACGGAGACGATACATCCTGAACCAGTCAGTGTCAGTCCTATATCTGGGTTCCTCTCCGTGTTTGAATGTGCAAGACGGCACTTACAAGTTGTCACATAGGCTGGGAAGTTGGCGAACGCTCTGGCTCATTCTTGTGGCATCTGTATTGCTCTACAACCTTGCAGTGCGCCTTTGGTCTCTAACGGTCTCGCCGTTGCGCTTTATTTTCAAACCTCAAACATGTTTTGTGCCCTCGAATTTGCTTGTGGGAGTTCTCAATGTCGATTCTCATATCCGCTGTCATAAGCTGTATCGTGCCACTGGGTGTCGGTCAACAGTCTCAACCGTTCCTATATAGCTCGTGCTACAAAAGCTCGATGTCCTAGTTGGCGCATAGAATTTTCACTTCTTCTTCTTCTTCTCCGCAGTCATATCCACACTTTCTATCCACTTCTTGGGAACACCTTTTGCCATCAAAAGATCCGTGACTGCCTTGGTCTGCTTTCCTTGCACCATGATTTCCATATCTACTGATTTGCCATGTACGGAAGACACTGGACAGTCGGAAACAACGTAAATTGATATAGCACGAAACAACGAGAACGGGACATTGAGGACATACCGGAGGTAGAGCTGGCACAGACCCTGCGCAGCTCCTCCGCGAGGTCGTCTGCGTCCAGAGAGTATGGCTCGAACCCGGTTACCAGCGTGCAGGCCTTCCGACCCTGGCGTACCTTCACGACGATCTGGATTGGCTTGAGCTTGCCTTTCCTGCACAGGTGGCAATCAGCATGGCAGTACCGTCATGAGGCGACATGCAGACGAACTTCCGCACGACGTCCCTGCCCTCTACCCTGATCTCATACCAGCTCTGCATGTGGTCCTTTAGCCGCGCGAGCACTTCTTCGCGCTTGAGGAACTCGAGATCGATCTCTCCCTTCTTCCTGATCGCAGTAAGCAGAATGTCATCCTCCCCGACGTTGATGTACTGCTGGTCCTGCGCATTGATGAGATTCTTCGCAGACACATAGGTGTTGAATATAGTCTTCAGTTCATTGAGCGTATATAGTTCCGACGTGCTGCAGCATTATCGGGTCAGTTATAGAAAACAGTCGCCCATACACACGACCGCAGGTAGAATGAACCCACTCACTCTTTCTCAGCAGCGGCGAACCATGCCACGGTATTTTGAAATGGCCTCAGAGATTCTGTGATGCGAATTTGACCCTTCAGCTTCTCTTCAGCCTCGCGCTCCTGGCGTTCCCTGTCTGCGGCCTTCTGCTGCTTGGTTTCTACATCCTTCACCGTTTGTACGGGACGATGCTCAGCTACTGCTGGATGTTTCGGGAACACCGCTAGACAATTATCACAGGGAGCTCAGATGTCACGGAAGTAACAATACAATCTCGAACAGACATACCAGTTACCACGACATCACCTCCTTTTGCGTCTTTGAGCTTGATCAGCCCTTCTTTCGCACATGCCTTTAAGAATGCCTTCACGGACTTGTGCGTGGAGTGCTTGACATCGACGGCGCTTCCATCTAGGAATCAGCCATGTTAGACCCCGAAACGCACTCCCGGCCAAGCTCGCACCTGCAAGTCCGTTCGCGCCGACAACCTGCGTGGGCCTTGCGGGGAGCACGTATGAGCTCCAGAACGTGGAGGCCGGCATAGGGAATGAAGATAATGGCAGCTTGTGCAGGGTCGTGGACAGTGCTTGTAGCAGTGCGGATCGGAGAGCATGAGAGACATCTGTGGTCGAGTGAGTGAGTTTCAAAGATAACGGACATCGACGTTTGAGAAGGGTGTAAGTCTATTTAACAGTCCATCGTAGCACATAAATGATGTCCAGAAACAGCGCGCACCCTCAGAAGTCAATACCGCCTGTGCACTCTGCGTAGTGGCAGCCGGCCCGGAGCTACCGCCCGCAGTAGATTGTTCGTCGCCTTGTGTCTCTACAGTCTGCTCACTTGCGTTCGCCGCTTCTCCTTGGGTCCCCTCCAGCACATCTGCAGTGGCTGCAGAGCCATCTCCTAGCATTCTTGGCTCGGGAACGTCTGCGGCCTTCTCAGTGCCCGTCTCCCACAGTGCGTCGCGCCATGTGTGCAGCACATACACCGCCTTGCCCTTGACATTCGCGTCTTCTGCCCTTTGCAGCGTCTCCATTGAGACTGCCATGCGGCCGACGGCGATGGGAAAGCCGAGCTTTCCTGTGTGGTATTGCGTAATGGAGACCAACTGGTCAGGAACGAGTGATGTTGGGTACTGGACGACTTCAGGTCAAGAGAGTGTTATCACATCATTTCTTGACGTCAGCCACGGAAAGGACAGAAGGTGTGAGAAACCCGACCTCCGGGAATCATGAGATCGGCACCGTTGATCAGCTTCGGGACAACGGCTGACGTTGTGGAAAGAAAAGGGAGGAGATTAGGACGCTTCCATAGTGTGTATACTGCAAAACATATTAGCAGGTGAATCAGATTTAAGGGCTCTGTAGCGCGACGTCATGGTATTGAGCTAGGATGCGAGAGCGACACACATGCGTAAAGTAGTCACGGTACAACATCTCGATGGAAACCTCGTTATGCTGGATACAATCTCTCTTCTAAAGATCTATCAGCCACTCACCTGTTGGAATGAGATCGTCCGAATCCTTCCCGATCGTGAACCATAGTGGATCTCCTTCCATGGAGAAATAGGCTACCTATGAGATACCGGACAATGTCGGACAGAATACTGACTTCACCAAAGACACTTACGCCTGGCTCTTCCGAGTAAGTAGTGAACTTCTGCCAGTGCAGCCCTTCGGGGACAAGAACATCACCATCATCTGGCTGCAGCTCCTTGTAGGATTCAAGAACACGCTGTTTCAGTTTACGTCTGTGGGACGTTCTAAGAGGAGCTGCATTATGAGTTAGCGATCAATCAATGAGATCCCGGATGGGTTACCGATTGTTTTGAGATCAGCGAACGGTTTCTTGAACATGGTGCCCAAGCAGAAGACGTCGGTAACTGATCTCGACTTCGCGCGACCCCCTGGTTAGTGGGCGCTTAAGTCTCTGCGCAAGCGACTTGTGGCGTCAATTTCTATCACTTCAAGACCAGCATTCAGTATAATGTTCTCCTTTTATGGCGCCGTCATGAAAATGCTAATATCTACTACTCAGCCTTTCGTATCATAAAGGAGGGCCATTCGAGGCGAGCAACGAATTGCAAGTGTGGCTTGACCGGGACATCTCGGAGTCATCGAAGATGATGAGTCTATAACGCTGCATCCATTGAAGTTTCTCGTGATCAGCTTGAAGACGAGCCGAGGATACCACTGCTTGAAGAGTACAAAGCCCTCTTATATCGCCCGTCTCTGGGATCGATCGCAGGTGAGGTACAGTCATCGATACACACAATTTGAAGTTGCAACGTACCGAGGGATGCATCGAACTTGAGCAGACGCTAAGCGTACCTTTGAGAACAGTATCTTTTGTACCTGATTTCTCTATCATTCACATGTTCACTCGCCACAAAGGTTCAGGCGACTGCATTTCGTGCAGGAGACCGATCGTGCGCCAATCGAAAGCAGTAAATCATTGTATCAATAGCACGTTCGCACGTATAGGATCTGTGCGAGAGCTTTTTCTTCGTTGTGAGTGCTAAAACGATACGGTCTGTATGAAGAGGGGACATCTTTCATCTCTGGAAAGGAGCAACAGAAGTTGCGTCATCTTCATCGGATTTAGCTTGTGTGATCCATCCCGACTAGTCATACGGTGCAACCAGTCGTTACATTTGGCACCTGTTGATGTAACTTGCAAGCGCAGAAATATACGAAGTTTCCAGAAAGAGAAGCTTCTATGCTCTTGGTGAACATTAGAACTCAAGAACAATGGACGATAAAACATCATAGCCGTCTTTTTAGAGTATATACAAACATAAGACATTTGAAGATGGGTTCAGTAACACGATTATTATATGATACACTGAGCACATGGCTGATAAAGATTCGGCTTTCCAAATTGCTTCGTCACCTCGCTCATTGATAGAATTGATCAGATCAAGCCGATGATGTCGTGCGTCCCGACAAGTTAATGCGCAACATAGGGAGAAATCGAACGAGATCATTCACCATCGTTAGATCTTGTTTTCACGATCATACACTGAATGCATTGCGTGTCAGAAGCGTGTTGGGTGAAAATGTGAGCTACACTCACAGTCAATCTTCAAAATGCCTCTCGCCAACAACGCAGGCCACTTCGCCTTGAGTCGAGCGAGGTCAGCATCCCAGATCTCGTGAGCATCTCTGCGCCCATAATTCAGAGGAATGTTGACGACGAGAGAAGACGCCGCAGTGAATCCACCGTCAAAGTATGACAACAGAGAACGCAGGACATGATACCACCTTACGAAAGGGTACATGACGACGACGACGCGCTCTACGTCGGATGACTGGAAAGCAGCGACGAGCTGTAACAAAAACGTTGGACCTATGTTCCAGTGAGATTTGAGACGGACACTTCTGATGTCCATGCGCCTCTCACGAAGCACGTCCGCGAGTGAGGATACAGCGGAGTCTAGGACACGATTGAGAAGTCTTCCCCAGAGAGCACGAGAGGTAACATACCACCTACGGTGTACTTGAAGCTCAGGTCGAGATGCTTGATATTGCCTTCGTGTGTGCGCAGAAATTCGCGCAGAGCGAACAGATCTCTGTCGGTAACGAGGTCCAACGTCAAAGCTTCTATCAATGGCAACTTATGCTGAAGCAACTTCGGCAAAACAAGGATAGGAGCTTGAGAATATCTTGGATTCGGAACAGGGGCCGTGATTTTCAGTTTCCTCAAAGGGAACGTAGGCGAGTCACTCGCAACATCGCAAATACGGCAGCCGGGAGAGGTATGCAAAACCAGACTTGATAGTCTAGGAAACGCGAAAAGGACACCCTTCAAGTCCAGGATCTCCAAGCTGGCCAACTCCATCGTCAACTCCTCCACTGGCCCAACGCTCTTGACTATTTCGAGATTGAAAGGTACTTCGAATGCCGTTATTCTAAGACTGCGAACAGAGTTGAGGTGCTTCATGACATCTTCGAATGTAGAGGCGTGGTCATCAGTGGAAATATGCATCTTCAGCTGTTTGACGCAGCGACCAATGTCTTTGGAGGATTGAAGGACTGCGAGAAACGCATGCGCCTTACTATCGCTGGCTAGCACGACAGAGAAGAAGATATGTTTGCGGGCCCAAGCCACCCAAGCGCGACAGACCAGAGCGACGCTCTTGAGGGAATCGAAGTCATCATGAAAATTGTCAATGATATAATTGGTCAACTCCGGTGGGAGTTTGTGAAACCCCGCAGAGTTGAGGGACTTGAGTGAGAGTGCACGCGGATGGAGAGACATGAAGACGTGTTGAGATGGGGAGAAAAATAGAGCTGAAGGGTGAAGAGCGGAGTGGAAGGGGCCTCGTCTTGACGAATGTCTGCGAGAGAGGGAGGTCAGATGTTGCTGCCAGCAATGAGGGCAAAAACATGACCTTTAAATATGTGGGCAAAGAGATCTCGAGTCGATGGTGGCACAGCCACGCTTACCTGCTATGACTGTAGTTTAACTCAGCGACGCTAGATGGTGGGAATTTGCGTAGCCGAGTGGCCATTGTGACGAGATTTGTGCCACTGGTCTGCACATTCCATACCCTTGGGTAGGTTTCCAGTGGATCAAGGTATCGGCACGCACCTGTAGATTGTGAAGCGCATGAGCGTGCCACGAGGCGGTGAGACTGGTGCGAGACTAGTGAGTCACCGTGTGAGCGCGTGCCACTGGTCTGTCCGTGGGGCATCTCCGAAATTACTTGCCACGCTCATGCTTTTTCAACCTATTTCAGGCACAGCAACATGGGTGTGCTGCAGTATTCAGACGATGATGGCGATTTGCTGCTATTGCTCCCCGACTTCTAGCGCAACAGTCCAAACGTGGGATGTCAGTCTGACCGCACAGGCAACGGAGAAGTTGCAACTGCTATATTGATAGTAAATCGAGACGCGACCTGGGACTTTATGTGAATTAGAGGAGTTGGGGAACAAGCGGTTGCGGTTGGCAGCTCAAGTGTGCTCCCTGGTGAAACTTGTAGGATCCGAGAACACGCTGTTTCAGTCTACGTCTGTCGGATGTTCTAAGAGGAGCTGCATTATGATTAGCCGATCAATCGGTGAGTTCCGGGATGAGTTACCGATTGTTCTGAGATCAGCGAACGGCTTCTTGCACATGGTGTCGTCCAACTTGGGTCGGTGACTAACTTCGACTTCTCGCGCTCATACTTAGTGGGCGCTTAGGACTCTGCAGTGCGAGCGCTTGTGGCAGCTACAGCATTCATTCGGCCACATAATCTTTTTGATTAGCAAAGCAGCCGTGAAGATCATTACTGACAGTATTTGATAATTCGGGAGGGTCATTCTAGGCGAGCAAGGAATTTTAGATGGACTTGACCCGGACCTCATCGGAGAAGGTCTCCAGTGTTACCGATATCATTCGTTGCATCTACTGAAGTCTTTCAACTGAAATGCAGAATATGTGAACTGTTCAGGGAAAGGAACTTCTATCTTTTCGTTGGAAACTGGTTGCAAGAATAATGTATGATAAAGCATCATAATCATCTACAGCACACACAAACAAACTTAAAACACTTGAAGACAGTAACGCGATAACTACTATATCGTACATTGAGCACACGATTGGACTCTGGAGGGGATTGACGTATCCAAATTGTTTCGTAACCCCACTCATCGATAGGATTAATTAGACCAAGCAGATGTTGTTGCGCATCCTGGAAAGCCATTTTGCAGTACGGCGAGGCAGTGGAATGATATCGTCCATCATTGCTAGATCTGATATAAGTATTCGTGATCCTCATCCACTGAATCCGTTGCGCGTCAGGGACGTGGCAGGAAAGAATGTGAGCTACACTCACAATCAATCTTCAAAATGCCTCTCGCCAACAACGCGGGCCATTTCGCCTTGAGTCGCCACAGGTCACCACGCCAGATCTCGTATGGATCTCTGGGATAGCAATAGTCCAGAGGAACGTAGACAACGAGAGAAGACGCCGCAGTGAATCCACCGTCAAAGAATGACAATATAGAACGTAAGACACCAAACCACTTTGCACAAGGATATATGATGATGACGGCGCGTTCTACGTTGGAGGATTTGAAAGCAGGGACGAGCTGTAACAAACATCTTGAACCTATGTTGTGGGATTTGATACGGACTCTTTTGATGTCCATGCACCTCTCACGAAGCACGTCCGCAAGTGAGGATACAGTGGGTTCTAGGAGGACACGATTGAGAATCTTCTTCAGCGAGCATAGTATGTGACGTACCATCTGCAGTGTACTTGAAGCGCAGATCGAGATGCTTGATGTTGCCTTCGTGTGTGCGCAGAAAGTCGCGCAAAGCCAACAAATCTCTGTCAGCAACAAGGTCCAACGTCAAGGCCTCTATGAATGGCAGTTTATGCTGAAGCAACGTTGACAAAACAAGGTTAGGAGCTTGAGGGTGTTGAGGATTCGGAAGAGGGGCCGCGATTTCCACCTTCTTCAAAGGGACCATAGGCAAGTCGCTCGCAACATCGAAAATACCGCAGCCGGGAGAGGTCTTCAAAACCAGTCTTGATAGTCTAGGAAACGCAAAGAAGACACTGTCCAAGTCCAAAATCTCCAAGCTGGCCATCTCCATCCTCAATTCCTCCACAGGCCCAACGCTCTTGACTATGTCGAGATCGAGAGGCACTTCAGGTGCCATTATTCCAAGACTACGAACAGAGTTGAGGTGCTTCATAATATCTTCGTATATAGAGGAGTCGCCATCAGTGGGAATATGCATACTCAGCCGTTTGACGCAGTGACCGATGTCTTCGGAGGATTGAAGGGCTGAGAGAAATGCGCGCGCCCTACGATCGCTGACTAGCATTACAGAGAAGAAGATATGTTTGCGGGCTGAAGCTAACCAAGAGCGACAGACGAGAGCGATGCGCTTGAGGGAATAGAAGTCATCATGATTATTGTCAATGATATGACTGGTCAATTCCGGTGGAAGTTTGGGAAACCCCGCAGAGTTGAAGGACTTGAGTGAAAGTGCGCGCGGCTGGAGAGACATGAAGACGCGTTGCGACGTGGGGGCAGAATGGAGTCCGCGTTATGAAGCTGAAGGGTAAAAAGCAGAGTGGGAGGGGGCCTCGCCTTGATGAATGTCTACCGAGAGAGGGAAACCAGATGTTGCTGCCAGCAATGAGGGCAAAGACATGGCCTTTATATATTGGGTCTCGAATCGATAGTGGCAGGGCACGCGCGTACCTGTTGTGACTGAAATTCAACTCAGCGACGTTAGATGGTGGGAATTTGCATGGCCGAGTGGCCATTGTGACGACAGCATTGATCTTTGCCACCGAGCTGCACATTCCATACCTTTGGCTGGGCTCCCAATGGATAAATATATCGGCGCGCATTTGTAGATTGCGATAGTGCATGAGCGTGCCACGAGGTGCTAAGACTGGAGCGGGACTGCCATGCGAGCGTATGCTGCCGGTCTGTCGGTGGGCATCTCCGGGATTGCCGGCCACGCTCATGCTTTTCCAACCTGTGTCAAGCACAGTAACACAGTATTCAGGTGATGACAGCAACTTACTATTATTGCTCTCCGACTTCTAGTGCAACAACCCAACCGGGGATATCAGTTTGGCATAGAACACATGAACGTATAAATGACTGGGCTACCGACAATCAAGGATGTAACGTTTTCTGTTCTCATTCTAAATTGCTCGTAATGAATGTCGTAATCAAGCGCATGCCGGTAAGGCTATCGGAAGGTGCTGAAATGAGCATGCAGTTACTTTGATGAATTTTGATAAGAATCAGCCTTAGTAACGGGCAGCAGCAACTGGTGTATGACCACTGCTGCACCATGCATTGTGTCAGCAACATTCTCGATGCATACATAATGGCACTGTACTGTCTGAAATGCGTCCTGCGAAGCTTGTTATACTGAGATCATCGTGAAGTTGTTGTACATGTTGGCATGCGAGTGAGAGTGACGGGCGCTTGGGTGACCGACATCCTGCAGGCTGAACAGACGCCCAACATGCTCAAAGCTCTACTATTGAAGCTGTTCTTTTTTCATTGGACAGGCTTAAGGGTGTAGACATACCGCATAACTGATAATATGAAGGAGAACGGTAATATAGTCAATGCATACGTTACATGGGAGAAGCCAACGGTTGTTCAAGTCAGCAATGTAATGCATGGATACTATGTGTATTGCGAGATATCTATGTTACGATCGTTCAACCTAATTATTACACCATCCTATTCGTCGCACTAAGAACATGCACATCTCAACGGCAACTACACCCTTCACCATCAGGAACGAGCGTAATCAGACCCTGAGCAATGAACAGTGTTAGACACCTTATTAGAGAACACACGAGGAAGCTTACAAGTCTTCGGGAAGATCGATCTTGAGGATACCTCTTGCAAAGAGTTCCGGCCATTGATCTTCAAATTGGTTAGTGAGAAGGTTCTTCCAAGACGACGATGCTTCTAAAGGTATTCCGTGCCGTTCGTGTAAAGGGACCTTGACAATAATGTTATTGGCTGCGACGAAGGCGGGTTCTTCGATGCCAAAAATGGAGAGCACTGAGAGCACTGTGGTGAAAACAGTTCCTGCTGGAAGAATGTCGATCAAAACTTGCTCGGCATTGGATGTTCCGATGGCGGGAATCAAAAACTCCAGCCAGTATTTGTTGCCCGACGCAAAGCGTATGCTTCGTACATCCGCGCACGTTTCACCAAGAAGGTTGGCAAATCGAGCGATAGATTCGACTAGTAAATGCATTCAGCTCCCCAAATCATTCGTGAGTGGACTCAACGCGGAACCTACCTTGAGCAGAGTACTTGAAGCACAAATCCACGTGCAAAAGAGTTGTTTCCTTCGTCCGAAGAAAGGTGCACAACGCTTCGAGGTCCTCATCGTCCAAAATGTCCAGCGAGAGAGACTCCAGAAGAGGGAACCGCTGCTGGAGCAGTTTCTGCACGATCTTGAAAGAACCCGGAGCCGGGGTTGAGTCTGTGATCGCGAGGCGTCTAAGAGACGGTATAGGGAAACCCAAGGCGGCATTACTTTGCAATGGAAGCCCCGAGGAAGTGTTTATCATTAGACCTTCCAGCTGAGGGAATGTGCTCAGCGATTCCGAGATGACGGTGCCTCTCAGTATGGTTGCTTCTATCACCAGCTCCTTGATAGGCCCAATGAGCTTGGCAGCCTCCGCATGCAGGTAGACTCCCACCCCCGTCAGCTCGAGCTTATGGACTGAGCCCAGACATCTGATAAGCTGCCGGAGGATGGCTCTGTCCTCCTCGCGTATGAGACACACCAGAAGACATTTCACGCATCCAGCGAGATGCGGCGAAGTTTGGAGAAGCGCGACAAAGGCGTCAAGGAGTCGCGAATGATACAGCGCTATCGAATAGAAAAGATGGGTCCTGGTAGAGGGAAGCATGTCACGGGAGGCAAGTGAAACGGACTTTAGCGATGCTGAGTCGTCATGCAAGTAGCCTATGACAATGTCGGTTAACTCGGGTGGCAGTATACGGGCCCTCCGCGTGTGAGAAGACGAAACAGTCCGAGAGAAGACGTGCATAGCGATACGTTGAGTTGGACGGAGAGCTAGGTCAGCTTGGACGAGCCGAATGAGAAGGCGCTGCAGGGGATGTGCTTCCCCCGGAAATGTGACTCTCGGACAAGGGAGAAGTGTAATTCCAGCCACGGGAGCAGGCCACGAAATTTATACAGCCGACGGCGGGAAGTCGCATATTGACGGGTGGCAGAGCCTTCCATGTTTAGACAATGGTTCAACTCAGTATGCCTGGCTGGTGAGAAAGCGCGGTAGCCGAGTGGCCTGTATGGCCGAAAGTCATTCATGATCCGTGCCACTGGGGCACGCGCTTCCACTCCTTGTGACTAGGACATCTTCGCTAGAATGCGTCGTTGCATCATTGAAAGAGCGTGGCCAGAGGGATGGCATGCCACGAGGCAGTGAAACGGGGGCGATGCTATCATTGGAAAATTCAAGCCGCCGATACGATTGGGGCACATCCGGTATAATGAGCCACGCATACGGACGCCCAGCACGCGTGCGGGATGCGGCGGTGGGCATGCGAGGACAATGATTGTTTTCCGTGTCGTCGCTTTCGGAGAGGTTCACATCCTTTGGGAAGGTGGTAGCTTGTAACTAATTCACCTACTTATTTAAAGGTGAGCTCTCAGCGCGTAGAATCTCGATACGACGAACTAAGTGGATGTGATAGAGCCAGTGCCGATCGTGGAGTAACATGGCTTTCGCACCAACCTTTCGTAACTCAAACGTCCCTTCGACGAGTCTGCTACACAGAGGTCGTACATCGTATCAGTACATGCTTCGCAATAACCTCAACAGCAAGCCGAACTTTCTCTTCTTTGCGGCATCCTGATCTTCTGCTGTGTGCGTCACCACGGGTGCCGACACAACTCCCCGCGATATAGGCCTGATTATGCCAGCGACGACGCGAATCGTCAAGGATGTGATGTGGCATCAATACAGTTGTGACGTTCTACACGCAACATGGGCTGGCTTGGACGTACAGAAGAGTACTCACTGGACATGCCGCCAGTCATTGACGGCAGCAATCAGGACTGATGTGCCTTCGTTCTAGGTTGTTGATATCTTTGAGCTTCTCGATTTTATGCCCGCCTTCGAATCAAGGCATCGAGAGTGTTTTGATGAGCGGGAGGTTTATCAGAGTGTGAGCAAAGGTACACACTATTCTCGCCCCAAACGTACTCTCTTCGAGATGGCTACACTATAACCACCACCGACCGTCCTCCCCTTCTTTGTCGGTGCCAAAAGCTTCGCATCGTGCAGGAGTCAGGTTCTTTGATTTACTCCTCGTGGTTGTCGCTCAATCTCTTTGTCGTCGTCGCCCTCGCCCTACCATTCTCGCCAGAATTGATTCTCGTGCCTTCGACAGGCGGCGTCGGTGTCACTTGATGGCGATGTCCGCGAGGATGTTTGCGTATCGCTCGTTCTTGCTCGCCTGCCTTGCTGGGATATGCACTATCGATGATCGTGAGACGATGGTCGGCACGGCAAGCACGGAGCGCGGCAGGCGTCTCGCCCGAACGCCTCCTTGGAGTCGACCAAGACGTCGACGAGTCTGTAGTTATCGCCGCTCATTCTCTCACAACGATCTCAGTGCACTAGCAAGATCAAATCACGACGATACGGCCGCCAGCACATCATGTTTGATCGTGAGTCGACCGCACTTGACAGCGTGTAACGTGTGGACCTCATTGACGATGGTCTTAGAGCTCAAGGACAAGGCCGGCAAGGCCAAGGAGTATGGCGTAAACAAATTCACTACGACAAGAGACCACATGAAAAGCCAGCCAAGCAAGAATCTCAATTGGAATGTCGACCACAGGGCCCACCCTCCTCCACCCCCTGCCGCTCGTCCCAAGAATACCTTTGCACCACCACCTTCAAGATCAGGATCCTCCTCAAGTTCGATTCCAGCACGCAGCCCGAGCGAGGTCTCACCTTCTCCCAGCAATCGGAGCCCACTCGCGCCTCCTCCGGCCCCTCCAAGACCGGGAGCATCAGCAGTTGTGAGGAAGACGACCCGTCCGAGTGACACGTCGCCGAGCATGCCTCCTCCTCCTCCAAGCAGGATCACATCGAGCTACAGGACTGCTTCTCCGCACCATGTCGGCGACGGGCCTGATCACATTGACTGGGCGAATCTGTCTCCGGAGGATAAGGAGGTCTTCTTCAGCTGGTTGGATGAGTTTTTCGCTAGGTATCTCAGCACCTCGGTTCCCCCGAGCATAGCAGGAGGGTCGGTCAAAATCCTGCAGCGGTCACCTCAAACATCACCGCATCCCGCCCCTCCATCTCGAGCATCGTCCACAATGGCTCCGGTAAGCGTCAATCTACGCGCGTCTATTCGTTTATTCATACTTTGCAGCCCCAGGTCCCAAAGTGGTCCAGGCCACCCCTTCCCACCGCTGCCACCGATGGTGCGGATCTTAACTAGTCTATGTCTCGAGCACGGTTTCACACGTTGTAGAGCAATTTATGACATCACACCCTGCGCCCACGCAACATGGGAGTGCTGCGCTCGACCTTGCATGTTATTTCTCGTCCTCAGCACATTGGGACTCTGCTTGGTATGCGTCTGACAACCCACTGCGTGCCCCGCCGCTTGAGGGCAACACACAAATCCAGCTGGCGGGATCCATGGAGCAACATGGGTTGAGAAAGATGGTATATGGCGGGGTGCTCTTCGCTGACCTGAGCATATGTTGGTTCACCATCGAGTTTCCCACGAACGGTGCTGCAGATCCAAATGACGCGCGTGCCGTCAAGCGTGCAGCGCGCTACTTGCCGCGGCCGCTTGCCATGGACCGGGCTGCGCTCGTGGACGCGCACGAGAGGTACAGCGAGACGATCGCCGCATTCGCGGAGAGCTTCGAAGAGAGCGGGCAGTACTGCGGACGCGGGGAATGTTGGGACCTCGCGCATCAGGCATTGGAGTACTTCCAGCAGTTCGACTATGTGCCGCGGCCGGTGACGAGTATCTGGCGTACGCACGGGCACCTTATCTTCGAGGGCAAGGCGACTGGCAGGGGCGGGCCGCAGTATGGGCGGTGGCGCGGGGGAGATGACAGGGTGCGCAGAGGCGACATTGTCGAATGGCGGAGGGTGAAGTTCGGGATGAGCATGGGTTGGCAGACCGTCACTCAGGTCTTGGGCGACCCGGACCACACGGCTATAATCGTGGGCGATGCGGTTCCCGCGGTGGCAGTGGCGGATGGGCAGAGCGTGAAGCCTGCAGAGCTGGGGACGCTGGAGGTGGTCGAGCAGAGTGTGAGCACTGGGCAGACGCCGCATCGGTCGAAGTACGTGTTGAGCGGGTTGGAGGAGGGCGAGATGTGGATATACCGGCCGGTGAGCATGGAGGCGTACGTTGGTTGCTTTTTGGAGGCCAAGTGCCCAGAGGGAATCAATGCACAGTCGATTTAAGGGTCCAAATGCTGCTAGTTTTTGCTCATCATTCATTTCCTCATCGTGTGGTGTTTATGGACTGGATTCAGACTTTGTACAATATACATGATTGTTCACTGGCTTGTACACTGACGATGCTCGATATAAGTCAATACAGGCATTACTTCATTTTTCACAGCGAAATCAGCACTGCTCACGACTTATTGAAAGCGGCTGGGTGTGGTGATGAGGATAGTCGGATGTTAGTGTATGCGAATCTATGTGGATCGTTACTAGAGCGCTTGTGGCACTTGATCACTGCGCGCTCTTTGAACAGCGCCATTCTTTCCTCTTCATTTTGTCTCTTGAATCCACACTCGCTCTGAAAAATGCCTCGTGCGACATCCGACCGCTTCAACAGGGCGCATCAGTCTTCCGCAAAAGCTAAAGGCTCTGAGTCTTCAAGCTCTGGCTCCGGAGTGCACAATCCGATCTTCAACACTGAAAGATTCGGCCAACATATCCTGAAGAATCCACAGACGGCCCAGACGTGCGTTGACCTTCTGCATGTATGGCCTCTCTGCTCACCGTGATCATAGAATAGTTGATACGGTTAGTGCGCATGGAAAGGGATGTGCAGGATGTACGACTGAACTAGGATGTACCACAGGCAAATCTGCGGCCTACGGACAACGTACTCGAGGTCGGTCCCGGTACTGGAAATCTGACAGTGAGAATACTGGAGAAGGCGAAGCATGTGACGGTGGTGGAGATGGACCCTCGCATGGCTGCTGAGCTCACGAAGCGAGTACAGGGAAAGTGCGTCGTGAACGTGGTTCTCTCAGTGATGCTCGTCTAATGCACTTGTAGACCAGAGCAACGCAAGTTGGACGTCATGATAGGTGACTTCGTGAAAGCGACATTGCCGTACTTCGACGTCTGCATATCGAACACGCCTTACCAGATATCCTCGCCACTCGTGTTTCGCCTTCTCTCCCACCGCCCGCTCTTCCGCACCGCCATCCTCATGTTCCAGCGCGAGTTCGCCCTCCGTCTGGTCGCACGCCCAGATACAGAGCTATGGTCGCGGCTCTCCGCGAACGTGCAATTGTACGCCAAGGTCGACCTCGTCATGAACGTCAGCAAGAACAACTTCCGCCCACCACCGAAGGTCGAGAGCAGCGTCGTCCGGCTCGTTCCGCGCGACCCACCGCCGCCAGTGGAGTTTGGCGAGTTCGATGGGCTGACTAGGATCGTGTTTGGGAGGAGGAACAAGGTGGTGCATGCGAACTTCCAGGCCAAGGGCGTTATGGAGATGCTGGAGCGTAATTGGAATACTTGGGCCTCGATGAATGATGTAGTGAGTTCATCACATACATTGTGTGGCCGGTTGGAATGGTGCTCACCCGCGTCAAGAAAATTGAAGATAATGTCAATATCAAACAAAAAGTGGAGGAGGTTCTTGACGAGACAAGGTTCAAGGACAGCCGTGCTGCAAAGATGGACATTGATGATCTGCTGAAGTGAGTCAAGTTTCTGGTCAAAAGTCACAATGGTGGCTTATTGGAGTTTGAAGATTGCTTTCCGCATTCCATGATGCGGGCATTCACTTTGCATGACGTACCTCGCGTAGTCTTAACGTGGCTCGTTTGGTCATTATGAATCCGGACTCAGATGATGGTATGTGCTGTAGATCTATATCCCAAAAATACACTACTGTACATATAAATGCATACAGTGGCTGTTCAAACGTTCATGAGCCGACCACTGTCTTCAGCGATCCATAGACATACACCTCATATACGCTCTTCTGCACAGCGTTCTCTTGCCGAATGCCTCGATCGCTCCTGCCAGGGTATGGATTGGCAGGCACGGCACTTCGGGGACAAAACGGTCAGATTCGCAATAGTTGGTGAAGTGTGGTCCTTACAGGACGCTGCGCCGTCGGCGAAAATGACTCGTTCAGGGCTGTATTAGCTGCGTCTCGTACTGCTTTGGAGTGAGGGTTTTCTGTGAACGGTCCACGGTCAACATGCCACCTCTAGATCTTGCACCTGAGTCGAAAAGGAACCCACCTGCGAGAACGCATGCATCCGAGCAATCTGATCTCTAAGCACCTGGTTGACTAGATCATAACGCATTGACAATCAGATGCGATTCCGAGATTAAATCTGAAAGGAAGCGCACTGAATCGATGTCTAGCCAATGTGTTCTTGCCCTCGAACGCCTGCAGTTATACACGATCGTCCAGACGCTCGTCTTGATGCTCCAGAACGAGCCCAACTCACCGGGCTCACCACGAACACAGCATAGTTCTCTCCACACCCATTCGACTGATCATGGATCTCCAAATGAATGATGGGTATCGCTGCGCGGATGGCATTCTCGAGCTCGACCTGTGAGATGGGCATGGCGAGGAGGCAGCAGAATGAGCGTCGAGGGGTGCCGGGGGTGTCAAAGTGTATCTGATAAGATGGTCGCCTTCGATGGACTTGAGATTTATGTACGAAAGCCTCGGCAACACCCGATAGTAACGCCCATAGGCCGCTTATGAAGACTCGGGCTTTCACTGCGAGATACTCGTCCTCGTGAGCAAATGGCGGCCGCGACATTATCATCTTGCACCCTACGGCTGGACAGGCATCTCTGGATGCAAGAGAAGCAAGCGGCCTTGCCAGATGGTGCGATCATTCGCCATCTTCCGTAATTATACGAAGGGTCGAAGTCAAGCGTCCAAACAATCGTTTTTTCGGGGCCAGGAATAATAAACTACAGCGAACAGAGAGGTCGTCTAATCATGCCTATATGAAGGGGGACTCGTACGGAAACTGAGAATAGTGAGCATCCTACAGTCGAGTGCAGATACGTCCTGTGCTGACCCACCGCATCTCACCGGAGCATAACAGTAGTTAGCATACATGTACTATGGTACTATTGTTCGCTACTAGATCAGCAATACGTTTTACAGGCTCCTTGCGCGGGTTGGAAACGAACTCAGCACTGCGAATTGGTGCTCACCGATTGAAAGATAAGTATGAGTGCTCTTTATCACAAAGCTCATTGAAACCACCAATTATGGTAGTAACTAAAGACAGTAACTGAGACAAATTGTATCACCACATAGCCATCATAAGCGAAGACCACCCTGTCCAGCATCGAAGACTCAGCATCATGAGATCGAGTACCGTAAGCTGATTGCCCAGATCCATTGTCATCCACGAGGTGCTGGTTCGAATGTATTCATAAAGAAACGTCGCGCCTCATGCGCATTGCCGCTCATAAATGTCTCCCCATGACCCGGTTGGCTCTGTGGTGGTATCAGTCAAGATTAGGCTCCTCTCCTGGTTCACCGTCGATCGGTGTCGTTGACTTGCTTAACGCTCCGATCGTGGACTGGCGGCACCGGCGGCCTCATGTAATAATGTCGCACCAGGCGCCCCGAATATGTCAAAGACGCCAAGTGAGATTCGCCTCAGCGTGCTTCGACAGGTGTGTACCCGAACACGTTTTCTCAGAGAGCCGGCGGAGCAGAGGTGTTGAAATTGTGCGGCATGCATGGATAGTGTCTTGCTCTTGTGGCTGGCCAGATGGCTGAACATTACGCGACGAACACGAGTTGCATGGCTTACCTAACGGGGAGTGGCTGGTGTGACAACCAATCTGCTGCCACCCATTGTTCTTTCAGGTCGAGCCGCTGCACGGCTCATGCTCCTCCCCCCAGTTCTCATCTGTATTCTGCATTTAATATCTCATTCTACAACCGTAGAGCAGCTTCGTTCCCTCAGTTGACTTCATCGCCTATGTCATGTACGTGACCGCCGTAACTTTTGGCGTCGTATTGCCTCGACTAATTCTTATTCTAGCGATGCCCCTTGCCACTCGCGTGATGGTGCTTCGCTCTGCTGAAGAGAAGTCCCCAAGACTTTCAGTAGAACTAACCGACATGATTATCGACGAACTTCGTGACGACATGTCGACCCTTCGAAACACCTGCATCGTACATAGTTCGTAGACACAAACAAGCCAGAAGCATCTCTTCCACTTCGTAGAGGTGACCGATGTCCGTCATCCGTGCGCGTTCTTCGAGCTCCTGTCCCGCTCTGAACATCTTGGATTGTATGTGCGAGAGCTGCGCATCATTCTGCCAGAGCTGGACACACTGGGGCAGAGGGAGATCGTCCAGAGCATACCCTTACGATGCAAATGCGTACAGAAGCTCGAACTGCGTGGTGCTTGGATATCCTTCACGGAGAAGGATTTCAGACAACTTGACGCGGTGAAAGAACTTACATTGGTCATAGAGCATAGCAACATTGATGTCCTTCAATCCGCTCTGCGGGCATATCAGGGACTCGAGAGCTTGACCGTTAACGCCCTTGAGGGCTCCATAGAGGATCGCATCATCTTTGATTCTCCTGTGAATGCCTTAAAGCGTCTTCATTCTATGGACGCAGGACCTGACTTTGATTAGTTCTTCCTCGCACGGCCTTACCGGTATTCTCTCATCGTTGGCTTACCACCCGCTACCATCATTGGAGTCGCTTGCAGCTGCCATCTCCACGGAGTGTGATCTCGAGGCCCTATGTGCATTCCTGCGCATACATGGAAAGGATATTTCATCTTTAGATTTACGCTTTCCGAGGTGCATCTTCAGCGTTCGTGAGTTCTCCACCACTTTCAATTACAGCTAATCACAGCTGAACGCATCATAGATCGTAGTGCATCATCTCTTGCAGATGTCATAGCAAAAGGTTGTCTCAACTTTCATCGGGTTAGCATCTCGTCGCCAGTGCACTTATGGTTCAAGGAATTGGTTCCTGTCCTTGGACGCACTGCCGTGCAAGAATTCGTGTTCGACTTCGATGGTGCAGGATTCTGGATTTCGCCTACAGATAAGATCTTCGGGTCGGAGGCACCGTTCTCTGCAGCGACCAGTGTCACCATGAACCTCTACGTTAGGCCCGCGGATACGATGTTCATTGGGTTCTACCTACCTGAATTCCGGCGAGAATGGTCGAGGCTGCATTCTTCGCAAGTGTTGTTCATCAACGTTTTCCCTGAAGAGTGGGTGTCTCCTAACTTACAGTGGTGGTCTTTCTTTCTGAACGGTTGTGCAGCGAGACCGAACGCGGTAATCGGTGAAAAACATATTGTCAAGTGGCCACTTGAGGAACGCTTCTTTCTGATGTCACGCCACCTGGTGGTTGATGGTGTAAGCTCTTGTTGGGAACCCATCTAACGATGTTTTGTCTACATATCGACGTGCCATCACTGCTTCTGGCCGTCTCATACATTGCACGTTGTCACATTCCTCCGTGCTTCTTTTGCGCGTCCTGTCCTCTAGTTTCTTTGTGGAATGTATCACGTATTCTCTGAAACCTCACAATGGTTTCCGACGCAATTGAGATTTATGTTCCATATACCATGCGTGGGTAGAGATGTTGCAGCTGCGACGAAGCTGACCTTAATTCTTAACAGTCGGTCGGTAGTACTACTACGACCTAACATTTCACTAAAGCGAACATCTAGTTCTCAACAGTTAGGCATGTACCAGTCATTTTTCCTTGCTGATCGACGCGCGGATGGCACGCTCGAGCTTCCATGATGCATGGGCGCGGGAGGATGAGTGTGATGGGACTTTGTGGCGTCAACTTCTAGAAGAGCCGGGCAATCCCCGAAAGGTTGAGTTGATTCGCCGCTATTCGCAGGTCGCGTTGTTTTTTTTGATACAATTTACATACCGCCGAAGGCGGTCGGGGGTGTGTCTAGGTACAAGTTGGGCATAGGACTACGTAGGTAGGAGCATATGTAAAGGTGTGAACAGATCACGTCCGAGTCAGAACCTAACCGGGATCGTACATTATAGATGCCGCTTCCTAAGCTGAGCGGTTGCTTGCGAGGTAAGGAAGAGTGAGCCGGGCAATGCGAAGTGCTACGACGGTGTGTTGGGGGGAGAGGGTTCGGCCGGGCGAACGCGTGGTTTGTGCATCCACGCGAGGAGCGGTGCTCGGGGTCTGGATAGCGAGTGTCCGGGGTCCTGGCAACATGGCCAGGCTCCTGATTCGCTGGCTGACGATCCAGGGCTTCCGAGCGCGTTTGGGCCGAAACTCTCGAGCGTACAGCGGCTGCGTAGCTGCCTAACGAGGGAGGCATGACTACACCACTGCTACACGCTAAGAAAACAAGGAGTGGGAGGGTGGGAGAAGAAAACTGCTACACAGCGTGGTAGCGAGTGTCGTGGCGATGAGGAAGAGACGTAGCGCGCGCATGTCAGGTGAGCGCGTCTCTTCTTCTCCCACTTGCTTAGTAAGCAAGCGTTCGTCCCAGTGCTTGTTTCTCGCGCTGGGACTGAACTTCACTTGGTCCAGGCATCGCTATCCCGGAGGAAGGCGGCTAGAGTGGACCAAGCGTCTTTGAATCGAAATAAGTCCGGTATGCGCAGGTCTTTATTGGGGCGAGAAAGGTGCCGTCTAGCTCGCAGGTCGCGTACTACGACAACAATCCTTCACTATCCTCAGCGTTAATCTGATGCAAATGCAAAGTGCGACGGCAAGCTTGGCAACAACCTGCGCACTGTATTCGGTAGATAAACCAGACTGTTCGACGGATGCCAACTACCTTAGAATCATTATGGCGCCTGAGGGACATGCCTTAAGGGTGGGTATCGAATACACTCTGCAGTGATAATGCGCTGCCTAACTCAGACCTTGACTAGCGCAAACGTCGTTGGGCTCTAGCACTGCGCATCCTTGTCGATTTCCTGCATCATTCATTGTATCCCCTCATATAATGACAACGGATTTCATTCCTCTAAGATACACTGCATACAATATGTCTACGTGAATCCCCCGCAGGTGTTCTTGCTCGCGATTACCCGCCATGAAGGCCAGCGACGCTTCATGGCAGGCTGATATTCCCCGTGCGGCGCGCCACATGTCACGCCTCGCAAGCGCTCTGCCATCGACGTATTCTGAAATGGCCACGCGAGAGGATTGACTGAATAGCTTGGTACTAGGTGAGTAGGTATGTGATTTCGGCTGATTTGGGTGTTCGTTAATTATACCGGAGAAGGAAGCCATCATAACACCTCTCGCGTATAATCGTTTAGCATACAACTGTCAAGGTAGACTACGTAGCCAATGTCCACAGTCCAAGCCGAAAGGCAGCAAGATGTCGCTTTGCGACATACTGAATACCCACGAATTCCACGAGGCAGAGTTATCCTGTTTCAGAATCTCATTATGTGCGGATGCAAGCGCCACGAGAATATTATTGCCTATCACCGCCGCAGCAGACGGGTACGTCGTCTCTATAGGTTCATGCGGTCGGCGCTATCGATGATGTCAGGACTTGAGCATGGAGGCGAGAGGGCGGCCCGAGCACCCCAATGTGGTAACGCCCCGCCAGATGCCATCGCCTCGCGTTGCACATATAATCCCGACACGCAGATGCACCTATCGTTGCGGCAGTCGCGACTGCACCTCGTTTTCGTTATCGCAATGTGCCAGTGCCACTGGCCGCTGACAGTCGAGACCATCAGTCAGTGGCCCAAGTGTTCTCTATATGGAAACGTCACGCCGCACGCCGGATACTCCGACACGCTCATCACGAGAGAGGGCTCCAGACTTTCTCGGCAGATGTGTCCCGACCATGTTATTGGGTGCCGCACAACTCGTGTTGCTGGCCACACGGCTGGATGCGGAGTGCCCTTCCGCGAGACACATGAGCCTTCTGGAAGGTGTCTCGCGCAGCTATGATCAAGTGGCTTCAATTGTTCACACCTCAGACGCTATAAGCTGTGCGTGTCGGCAACCGTTGCTACACTCTTCTCCCTCTTGCATTCCCTCATGTTGCATCCCGCCCACCCAAGAGCCACTTCAATTCAGATAGCTATGTCACGTGTGGCGCCACATCATATATTGTGTTCATCCTTCGCTCATTGGTACCTTTGTCAGCGGCGTCCATTGCCACCCGCTCAACGACGTACCGTCCAGCGTTCCCGAAGTATCCAAGGGTTCCCCAAGAGTTGACAAACATGATCATCAACAACCTCCGCGGAGACACATCAACACTTCGAGTTACCTCCCTGGTTCACCGCTCTTGGGTACAGGAAAGCCAGAAGAACCTCTTCTACTCTGTGGACATCACCAGGTCCGGCCGGATGTATGCGTTCTTCAGGCTCCTTCGCCGCCATCAACACATTGGACTATATGTACGAGAGTTGCGAATCGTTCTGCCTAAGCCCTCCAGGAGCGGGAAATTTGCTACCAGGGATAGAGGAGTAGCGCGGCGAATTCCTCTGCATTGCAAACTTGTCCAAAAGCTTGAGCTGGGTGGGTCATGGATACCCTTCACTGAAAAAGAGTTCGCGGCGATGGGCCTGGTGAAGCAGCTCAAGGTCGATATATGTTTCAGCAACATTGATGTCCTTCAATCTACGCTTAAAACCCGTAACGGACTCACAGGCTTGAGCATTAGGTCATCCATAACTACTGCATCCAACAACATGACCTTTGACCTTCCTTTCAACAATCTGAAGCACCTTCATATCGAGGCCGTACTTCCACCCTTTCGCATGGATCTTGTACGGCCCAATAATGTTCTCTCGTCATTCCTCCAGCATGCATTGCCAGCACTGGAGTCGTTGAGAGTTGACATCTTCTCTGACGATGACGTAAAGTCTCTAAGCGAGTTTCTGCGCAGGAGGGGAGGCAACTTGACATCCTTGGATTTGCGCTTTTCTCTTTGGTATGAAGGAGACGGTGAGCCCAACACCTCACTCTTCATAAATAAAGACTTACTGATCACGCCGAAACTGATAGTCTCAGCTCTTGCCAGTGCCCTCGAGAGTTGCTGCACTGTTAATCAGATCCGTGTTAGATCAAATAGATCGGGTTGGTTAAGAGGAGCGGTAGATTGTCTTGGGCGAACTCCCGTTCAAGATTTAACCATTGATGTGTTGAGCTCAAGATTGACACCCATCGCCACTTGCCTAGTTCTTCATGGCCAGCCTTCGGAGCGTACCTTTTCTCGAGCATCCAAAATCACAGTGAATCTCTATCCTGATTCGCAGCAGAGTGAGACATGGGCCAAATCGGAGGCGCGTCGTTTCCAAATGAAGTGGGCGACATTGAAGTCGTCAAAGGCCCTCTATGTCAACGTGATTACTGAGAGGTGCGATCTTCGCGGTTTTCGATTGCAGTTCCGCTATTCTAAACGGCTTTACAGCGAGATTTAGTGCGATGGATGGTATTCTACGTCTTCTTATCGGGTCGTGTGCATGATTGTCTGTCATTGTATTCACCATCTGAATGGACGCTCAAACTCTGCACCTTCAAGCCCCTCGGCAGTCTACTATAGCAAGTGTTTCTACCTTCGTCCTATCTCTTTGTAATCATAATATATCGTCTCGCCTCGTCGGTTCCACGTGCGATTCACCATTCTCGGCCGTGTCACACCCGAGCAACCTCAAATAGAAGTAATGCATCGCTGACTGTTGCCCCGCCGCCATGCTGCATGATTTTTTTTTCTTGCCCAATGATGATTGCGTCTTCGCAGCAGTGACGATAGCGCTTTGTCTCTCGCTGGCCACCGGGCAACACAAGCAGGCCTGGGCACCCGATTTGGTAACGTCTCGTTCGTGAGGTGTGTCTCCCGGACACGTTTTCTTGCTTTGCTGATCCGGTGAAAGAGACGCGACGCGATGCACATGAACCTTGTGGCACTCTACTACTACGCCACGTCGTGAACCTGGTGATGGTCTACACGAGTTCATGACTAGACTAAAGAGGAAGTAGCCTGCCGAGCAACGACGCTCCTGCGACCTCTTGTCCCTGCATAAACCAATGGCCGCCACAGAGTCATCATGAACAGTCGCTCTGGTCCCTCTTCGTCTGGGCCGTGTTCAATCCTACTGCTCAACAGCCTTACTCTCCAGCTACTAACGGCCAGCACTGCACGCCTTGTCGTGTGAATGGTCATACAGCGTCTTGACGGCTTGATTCGTTTACTGACACCACACGAAGCGACATGTATTATCACTTTCCAAGATGGGCATCGTCCAGCGCGACACGACCCCTGGAGGCGGACCCAGAAGTCACCAACATGACAGTTCATAACCTATTCGTAGACAACACCACGCTGTGGAGCATCTCTGTAGGTCAATCAACACTGTCGCCTTGTCTCTACACTTGAGTTGATTGTGCGTCCCGCAGCGGCGCAGCGGCGTCTTCTGTCGGAAGACGAATTTGAACGTCTCTGTCGATGTTCATCTTCCTGGAAAAACCTGCCTTGATGCTTTTATACCGGCGCACAAAAGAAGGGACATTCTGTTCAAGTTGATGCGGTCTACGTTCGGATAGACTCTAAACATTATCGGCAAACCCTTCGCATTCAAGTTTTGACTTTTCTAACTTTTCTCCGTGATTGCCGTCAACTTCATTGTCGCACATTGAATAACGCAAGACGGCTCGTTATGCTTCGTTCTATGAGCAATGGCAATCTAGTGCAGAGAACCTCGTCTTTGGACCTTCCACTCGCGTTCACGCAGACTCTTTCCCTAAATGCCAGTGCTCCTGCTTCTGTTCCGTTTGTCTCTTATCTTCCCGATGTTCTACGAGGCTCATCCTACAGCAAGTGACAAGAAAGTTCTCCCCGGATGCTGTCAACGTTGCGCGTGTAATCCAGATGTACATGCATCTAATGTGCCCCGTTTCGCCGGCATTGTATAGTAAGTGGCCTTGTCTCCCCTAGGCAGACTACAAAATATCTGCTTCTCTGACAGAGGGAGGTCAGCAGATATATAGAGTGGCCTGAGATTTAGCTTACCAAGCCCCTCTCACGCTCCTCTAAGAACGATGAGTAGAGCTCAAGTTACGAGAAATTTTTAGTTGTCCATTGGAGATGATACAGTACAAATTGCGACCGTAATACCAGTACGACTTGGGAAGGTTGGTTCGACTGCAGATACAAATTTGGGGATAATTAATGTTATTCGCTATCGTGGTGCAATACGCCTCTGCTTTGTTGAAAGAGTTCTATTTCCGCCAGCATATCTCTCTTCTAATATATTTTCAACCCACTACGTCACCAATGATCTGCACCGAATCATTTGAGGAATCCGAGCGTACCATCGCTGCCGATCGAAGCACTGTACCTACACCATGCTGAGTGGCAAGGTTCGCTGGATCCACGGGATCGGCACTATAGCTATCTGTAGGCTCAGTCGCAGGAACCGAGTCACCTATGTGGAGGTCGATATCATCGGCCTCGTTTGTGATGTACTTCGTGTCATCCCGAACCCTGTGCCGGACGCAGTGAGACCACTGTCACTCCGAGACAGCCGGTAAAAGATAACTGACTACTCACTGTGTGGCGCAGTCCTTATTTGAACTGTGTCCGCTCTGTACCTTCGGTTCTCCTTCCAGCTCCTTCAACTTCTTCGCTTCATGCTCACCGATTTCCTCCAGCCGATGGCTGTCCTCGTCCGATGCAGGGAAGCTATCCCCTTCAGGATGCGCAGATGTCGCTTTGTTTGTTTCACCAGCGAGCCCGCTCGGTGGTGGAGTGTGACCAGAAGCGCCCTCAGTAGCAGAGACAGCTGTTTCCGCCCCGACCTGGCCGACTGTGCTGACATATACCTCGCCAGCTACGTTCAGCTCGCGATCTGCCTTTATGCGCTCCGCGTCACGCAACGCCACCTCTTTCAGCACTTCACAGTCAACTGTGTCGCCATCTCCTTCAGGATGTTTGGCCGCAGCCGCTTGGGCCTCCGCTGCAAGCGAGCCAGGCGGTGGCCGGAAGCCGAGAGCGCGATGCTCGTGAGACATGAGTGCGCGCGCTTCAGCGACGCTAATAGTGCTGAGGTTCACGCCTCCGGTGGATGATGACGAATTTGCATTTCTGTCCGCCTCGTCAATGGGGCTTATTTCGCTGGTGTGCTTGCGCTCAGTTAGGATCCGAATCGCGTCCTGGCGGGCGAGCTCTTTCAACTTGGCAACGTCCGGCCGCTGTTTCTCCGGGTTGCCCTCGGGATGCTTGGCTGCTGCAGCTTGGACTTCTGCGGCGAGCGAGCCGTGTGGAGGGCGGAATCCGAGCATCCTGTGTTCCTCGGACATGACCTTCCTGGCCTCCGCTGCATTACAATGAGCAGAATAACCACCAGGGCTGCGATGATCACGCACCTTTGCCTATCGCACTCAAATCAATCCCAGCAGCGTCGGCGATCGACCCTCTGCGCGCTGACGCTATTGATGCGGACGGCGAACCCGCGGGGATCCCAGTCGAGCGAGGACTGTCTTCCTGAACTGCAACTTCAGCGTTGACGACGCTGAGCGACGTTGCAGGTGACGATGCGGATTTAGAGGACATGGTGGGACGGCAGAGGGTTTGAATTTGGCTTTTAACGTTTGCTCCATGACTTGCAGCTGGATTTGGTGGCGTGTGGAGTGGAACAGACCTTCGGCGGCGCGTCACGTCATGGCCCATGCGGTCGCGTCCCGTCACGGAGCACGTGCGTCCCGTGACGTGTCACTTTCGACAACTCACTATACCCGACTTATACTACAGTGATCATAAAACTAAATGTTGCAGATCAGTGTTGCAAAATTGAACATGTACGACATGGGTTGATTATTCTTCTCGTGAAAATTACCCTCTGCCTGCCAGAAGTGACGCTTGGAGGGAGATTGTGTGTATATGAACAGTGGCAACGTACCTGAATATCGACCGATGAGAAGGACACAATTTGCTGTATGGGGCGATATCAGAGTTGGAGTCATGCCCGTGGTGGTTGGTCCTTGCGCGACACATGTCCGTCAGATGATTTTATTTCGTATGCGATCCTCTCGCATTCACACGTTTTATACGCCGACATGAGTCGGATCGAACGAAGCCATGTTAGACTCTACTTACGACTCCGTAAGGGTCGATCAGCGGAGACGCGTTTGCTTCCGTTCTCATCCTGGCATCACTCATCGACGTCGGTCGCTCGTCATTCCAATCTCACCTTGACAGTTGACCACTGGTTTGAAACAAATACCTCGATTTTCAAAAGGCTCAAAAGCTTCGACACGGTAACGACAACTGTAAAAAGCTACAACCTGCACCACTCTAATCGCAGCAGAAAAGCTGCAATTAGATTGACATGCTGCGTCAAAATTGCATAGGGCGTGGACGCGCCGTTCGCGCGACGGCGGAACGTATCGACACTACTAGGGATCCTTAAGCTTCCAGTTCAGCGTTTGCATCGACAATAGTCTGCACGACTTTGTCTGAACGCGGACGAATCTTGCAAGGGAATGGACGCGGGTGCCTGTACAACGGCTGAGCACATGAAACCTACAGCATTCCAGCGAGTCCTACCTAACGGTCCCCGAGGAAAACTTTGGTACCGGAATGATTTCCTGTCCCGACGAATCACAGTTCCGTCCGATGTCCATGGTTGCTAACAGATTGGCCGCTACTAGCCATGCGTTCGAATCGGCCAGCAACCGGCCAGGACAGACCCTGCGAGCGAAGAGATGAAATCAAGCAAAGAATATAGTAATATAGTTATACACATTACCTTCTTCCGAACCCGAACACAATTATACGCGGGTCAAGTACATTTTCCGTGTCACCGGTGGTCTTGAGGAATCGATCAGGGTTGAAGACTTCTGGGTCCGGGTACATGTCTGCATCTCGCGTCATAGCCCTGAGAATGCGTTCAGACATCTGCCGTCGCGCAATGACGGAGACTTACCAGATATTAGAAATTATCATGGTCCCTCCCGGGATGTAGTAGTCGCGGTATTGATCATCTTGAGAGACGTAGTGGGGTACGCCTCGTCAAAACAGAAGCATGAGGGTCTTGTTTTCCCTCGGTCAATGTGCCGTACTCACCAAGCGGGGCGGGACAGCACCATCTACAGTACACACAACGTCAGATGGAGTCAGACACGCATGATGAGGAATGTACCGGAGGGCCTCCTTCAAAACGCATTCTAGATACGGTAACATCGGTCGATCGTCCGGGGTCGGAAGTCGTGCTTGTCCTACCACAGCGTCCATCTCCGCCTGAGCCTTTCGGTAAACATCGGGGTACAGTACCATGGCAAGGACAAACGATATCAGGAGAGTAGCAGTCTGGATGGTTTGCATAAGAAAGACAGTATTTGGACAGAACGTAGTGCCAACCGTATCAATCCCGGCTAGAATGGCCAATGGGTTCAATTAATACTCAGCGTGAGTCGGAACAGTCGTATTTCGTACCTTGATATAAGACAGCAGCACCTGCTCTGATTCGAACCTCATTCTCGATCCCACCAGCAGTCTGTGAGGTCTCCTGCAAAAGGTTGCTTACATACGAAGGCTTAGCGGATCCGGAAGCCTGCAGGCGTGTGAGCGGTGATCAATGACAAACAACGATTGTGCAGCACCATCTTGGCTTTAACGTTCTCATACGGAAGACTCATTGTTTCGAACGTGAACCGTTTGAGCTCGAGCGCTCTGCGCTTGAAGCTCCCCGGGCCCGGTAACCACGTTGGTACGTACTTGACTATCGTCCCGATTACGCAGTGTTGTCAGCAGGTCTTCATAACAAGACGAAGAAGATTGCACTCACAAACGGGAAAGAGGTCCACCAGGGTAGAGCCAGCCTCGCCAATTTCAAGAATCTCAGCCCCAACTTCGTCTGCCATGCGGACAAAGTCATCGTCCCCAGATGTGACGGTATGGCCGTAGCTTACTTCCATGAGCACTCCGGCTGCGTACCTGTATAGTTCGAAATGAGTAGCTGTGGATATTCTGGGCAAAATGCATTACCGCTTGATGTGTGAGGCGAAGTCTTGAGGCGTCTGAAGTAGGTTTGATAGCAGTATGATTACTTCTCGCCGCTGCATGGGACGATAGCTGTCGAGAGAGACTCTGGAGGAGAGCGTCGTCTGGAACCACTTTCGATGTTTCCGCCATTCGTCTCCAACGGAGAGCAGAGCCATGTTGGGTTTGAGAGACCCGATCCTGAGATATACAAGTTAGCTGCAATGATCCAGCGGATGCTAAGAACGATTGCTCACAATTCATTGAGCAGCACAAAGCGCGGTCTATCTGAATACGTTGCGCCACGCTTCTCCAAAAGATCTCGTGCAGCGCGCACCGAGTTCAAGATGACGATGTGCTTCTGTAAGACACGTGCATATACGATGTCCCCTGAGGGCGATTCAGCATGTACACATACTTCATAGGTAAAAACGCGCACCATATTTGTCGCCCCATGCAGCAAATGCATACTGTTGATACTCCAATGGCATCTGTAGAGCATTCCCTACCAGAGGGAGCCCCTTTGGTCCGGGCGGAAGATGTCTACCCAGCCTCTGCTTTGAAACGCGAGAGAAGGAGAGCCATAGGACGGTGAGACAGCAAACAGTCACTCCGAGATACGTTGTTAAGTCAAGCGCCATTGTGCAACAAGGCGAAGAGATCGCTGGCAGGTCCTATTTGTACTCAAGATGTGAAGACCTCCTAGATTCTGTGAAGATAAATTTGCCTAATGCGCCTCACCAGAGGGGCCGAATGCTCCGCTGACAGCCCACCAGTGACTTACCGGACTTCACACTGCAGCATGGGAGCCGATTCGATGATGAAGCACCCGACCCGCATATGGCTGGGAGAAGCGGGGATAATTGGTTTTTCACATCACTTTTTGGAGTCGTACAAGAACCTGAAAATCGATGGGAAGATATCACGTAGCGGTCATCGGATGACACCGCTGAGTGGTCCTCGCCCTTCTAGATCGGTGGGGAATGACCCCATCTGACCAACGTTTCCCTTGATCGAAGAGGATCAGTGCGGAGAAAGGGGGGAGTAACCGGCGAAAGAGATGTTGCGACTGTCATAAAGGCCGATACCTATCAGCTTCCTGCCACATGATTATATGTCCATCCATAGAACAAGCTGTAGAACGAGAAGCATGAGATCGTGCGTCTGATGATGCATCCAAGGCGCTGCCTGTGCCCTATCTCCGCCAAAATGCGGTCGAGAGTCGCGTGAGAAGATCATGAAGTATGAGTTACCTCCATAGACGATGCTTTGCAAGCACAGAGCGTATCTGCAGTTCAACAACGCGCAAGGTAACAATGATTATGCTCTTTGCCTGCAGCCGACGATTCTCTGACTGAACATCGCCACGGTAATCTGGATAGGTTGCAAGCTGTCTATCTTGAACGTCCGAAGAGTTTAGGTTTCCTTCTTTCGTACCCGAAGGCAGGCGGGTGAATAACTCCGTCGTGGACAAACGACCAAACAAGACTAAACGATGTCCGCAACATCGGTTAACACAAGCGCATCAACAGTGATGACCAACGGGAGCCTCCTCAATTAGCCAGGAGCGATTGTACGTACCTGTCGATGCGCGCATAGACTACGAGAGTGCCATTCTGGTGTTAAGTTGATGAATATGGGATGTTTGGTGTTCAAGCCGCGCACGTTCATGGATCTTGAACCGCAACCACCATCTTCTTCCGCTAGCGCCGGGGGTTCGTCCTCCTCGTCAACGGAACTCGTGCACTCAACCTTCGTCCCCACACTTACACTAGCTGTCCGACAGGCCTTACGGCCATGGCAGGCTCAGAGACCCTCTGAGCTGCTCAATGACATCGACTCTCTGGTCGATGCCGCACATGCGATTCACCTTGCAGTGTCTCGCGTCATCAGCCGTGCCGAGCTGTTAAACCGACGCAACCCTGACCTGGACAACCTCCATAAGCAACGCCTTAAGACTGCCAGGGACCAGTTCTTCCCCGTCCCCAACTCCGGCTCCACCCCTCAACCACAACCTGCCCCTGTCCTATCCCCCCCTCCGACCACTGGACCCGACCTCACGGCAGCCCTCCAGGACCTTCGCTCCGCCCTCGACGCCAGGCTTGATGCCTTGGAGACTCGAATGGCGACTGCGGCCCCCCCGCCGCAGGCGAAGGCTCCCCCTCCTCCCAAACCTCAGGTACGTGGCGCTCCCAAGAAGCGCTCGTACGCGGCGGCAGCCGCCCCTTCTCGTCCGGCTCCTCCCGTGACGACTCCGAACCCACCCGCTCCCCTGAAGGCTCCTGGACCCAAGCGCGCCCCGGAGCCCCTGCAGTACGTGGTTCGTTTTGCTGGCCCTACGCCGGCGCATCTTCTTCAGACACCCCCCGTCCAACTTGTCGGCGATGTGAACGCAGCACTGGCTGCAGTTCCGACTGCTGGAGGACTGACTGCACTCGCAGCCTACCCAAGCTCCTCTGACAACATCGTCCTGGCCTTTCCCGCCACCACATCCTACCGCCGCATTGACGAACACCTCCCGACCATCCGTACTGCCCTCAGGCTCAACCCGGATCACCACATCTCCAGGGATGTCAAGTGGTCCAGGGTCCTCATTGGCAATGTCAGTACACGGGCAGCTCCAGGTGGTGCTGTCCACCCAGAGTCGACTTTGTCGACCGAGCTCCTGAAGAACCCCGCGCTTGCGCGCCTCCGTACCACCCAACCTCCACGCTGGGCACGCCGACCTGAGCAAATTGACGGTGCTCGCTTGTCCGTGGTCCTCGGATTCGAAGACCTGGATGGCTCCATTCTCACGGCCCTCCTCCAGACTCCCCTCTTCGCCTTTGGCACACCCGTCACCACGTCGCGCTGGCATGATAAGCCGCGCCTCCGGCAGTGTACGAGGTGCTGGGGCCTCAGCCACCTCTCTGCAGGCTGTACGAAGCCACCCCGGTGCCGTGTGTGCGCCGGCCACCATCTCGAATCGGTGCACCGCGCTCAGTGCGCCATGTGCGCGAAGGAGAATCGCGCCGCCTCAGACCCTTGCGCTCACGCGCGCTGCATGAACTGCTGTGGTCTCCACCACGCTGACTCCGACCAGTGCCCCAAACGCACTGCTTTCCGGAACACTGGCCCCGCTCTGACCTCTTCTCTCGAGCGCCCCGTGCTGCCCGCTGCTGGCGACTCCGATGTTGCTATGTAGGGGCGAGTACGACTTTAACTTCCCCCCACGTTCCTTTCTTTCCATTTCTAGCGCCCCCCGTCCGCTCCCCTCCGTCACCACAAGGCATGCCCGCACTGAATACGGGATCCACATGCCGGCGTAGCAACACTTAAACGCAGGGGATCAGTTTTTATCCAGCCTGCTGCGTGGTAGGGTTCGCCGCGCGTCACCCATTCATTCTGTCGATTCCCTCAGTTCTTTCCCTCCGCCCCGACATATCTTTGGCTGCCAACTCACTCCGCCCTTCGGCCCGCCGTCGTGCAATTCACTAACCCTGGTCCAGCCGGCTCCCCCTCAATGTTCAACTGGTCACCATGCCCCGCACGCCAC